CCATGGAACACGTATTTCAAATCGAGTTGTCCAATTTCCACCATGTGTTTTGATCTTATACTTCATAATTCGTACTGAATATGAAATGTCGCTAAGTGAAAGAAACGACGCTCAATAATGCACACACAACGCGATATCTCTCACACATAAATAGGTATCCTTTCACAATATTGAGTTGAAGTAATGAATGAATGAATGAATTGTCGACTGCCATAATCGACACCGCAACCCATTCATATTCGAATCAGGGTGCTGCATGCTACTCAAAACTGAAACCTATCTGTTTCTCGCCGACTTTGGTTGGAATAGAGATGAGATTTCTGAGAATAAATCACTCGCTTCACGTCCTTGCAGGCTGATTTCACATTTATTTGACGTATCAATTCTTCACTGATACGGGTCCATCCATCCCACGAACTAATCGAAAAACACAAAGATATTTGTGCAGAATGCTAAATAAGAATAACTCAAGGAACTTCCAGTTGCGAAAGTGCACCTCTCATCGCTGAGAAATGTAACATGATGATAAACTTGCTGCCTAGTGCTCAACTGCTCACTGATTTGATCGGCTACTTATTTTATCTACAGCAGCAGCAGTTTTTGTATGCAAACTTGTGTCTGTTACTTTTCCTCTATTGCACAATTTCTATAAATTGAAACTTGTGTGCATATGTAGTAGTTCCATGCACTTTGATTGGCTAATGTACATAAATAATGAGATTCCTTCGCGACACTAAATTCAATGGAGTCAGCAAACATCAACTTTGTGCAATTTCGAAATCAACTATCAACGCAGCGAAGAACTTATGTACAATTGTGGACGACAATACTTTTGTAGGGAGTTATTCAAATATATGGATGGATGATGACCGCTCGTGCATACAATGCATATGTACATAAATAAACATACGTACACCTACATACAAAAGATGTCTAGCTCGTCTGCCGATTCTGAATTGCATTTGACTTCAGCAGTCTCCTACCTATGTACATACACGTATTGTTCGGAAGGATGTGTCCACAGCTCACTATGCATTTGGAATTTGGCACGTTGGCGAGTTATCATTCCCAATGGTCGATTCCATATATTTATTCAATCAATTGGAGTGAGCGTCAATCAAGTGGTCAGAAGTCTACGTATATACGATCATCTTCCATGTCGATATCGCATGTAGGACAACATGAATCAAATTCCTTGAGTGAATATTGCCAGAATTTTATCTTGTTCTGAGACTAAAATTGTCGGTAACTCAGTATTCATTCATTCAACCGGTCAATTATTCACTCCGCACATCAGACTATGCGGCTTGCCCATATTTTCATTAATAAATACGCACTTAAGCAGTTAAGTCGGCCCAGACCATTAATAAACTTGTTGGCCTACCAATTTGGTTTGGAACATATTCTACGACGTGCTTGAGAAAGAACATTTGTTTTTTAAAATACTTGGTCTCCCGAGGCCACCCATTTTTGCACAATTGAGAAGTGATCTTGAGAGTGAGTGAGCAGAGCAGAATATGCTTATTCAGCTCCATTAGAAAAAGGAGAGCGTGTCTTTAGTGCCATATTTGTAGTGGAGCAAGTTTATAAATAAAACATCACGCTTGATCAGACGCACGCGGAGAGGGCGATGCGGAAACGTCGCCTGGAGAAAGTGCGGAGGAGAGGACAGAGTGCGAGGAGGGAGAAAGTGTACTGCTCCCCCCTCATTCAGAGCCAAGGAGATTGTTTCACTTCACATGCAAATACGGTATCAATTACCCAAATGAGTTTTTTCTTGTGCATCTGCTGACGGAGGTGCCATTTCATTCAATTTCCCAGGATAAAACTTGGCTTTATTATTTCATTAACCAGAGAGCATCATCTCGTATAATTTCCAATTTACAAAACTCATCCTACGTCCCATTTAGTAGGTTCGGAAAACGAATAAAATTCCCAATTTTGATTATTACTGGGCTCCTTCCACCAAATTCTTTACGAGAAGAGTGGCCTGAAATGGTTATGAGTTTTTATTTCTGTCGTGATAAAGATGAACGGGCAACAAGACAAGATAGACGTACAACTCGGTAATCCGTTTCCTCGAGTCAAGTCCCATTTGTGGTTTATTTTTTCTAAATATTTCCACGCAAAAGATTCTTATTTCGCGACAGTCTCGTGTAGTACGTTACGTTGCATTGTAAATGGTGGAATAGTGTAGCCCATTTATTTAACTATCATTAATGTGCTCCCTTGCGAGTGGTGTGGCCTGTGCAGAAATGTGCCTGAGCAGAAGCAGGGAGGGAGCATGGAGGGAAAGTGTGGCAGACTTGGGGAGTAAATGAGGAAAAGTGCGAGTAAATAGGAGCGAGCCCTGGGGAGCTGTAAATCACGCGATCTTAAGGATCACTCGCCAAACCCGCCGCTCGTCAGTCACTCTCACACGTCCCTCCGTTGGATAAACGCATTGTGAAAGTTTTTACATTCTGCCGCGTAAACAGCCAACTTTCACCCAAATAATTTCATGAATGATGACATTCATCTCTCGATCGCTTTCCTGATGGATGGAGAAATGTGGATGGAGGTGGATCGGGTGAAAGCACTACTGCGTGCGAGATATTTTACTCCATTTGGTTCACCTTCGTCGCCGAGGCGCTGGTAGAAATCAGTTGTATCATTGATCATTCACTCACTTACATTTACAACCCGCTGAAAAATCTCGACGCAAGGTTTTCCTCCTCTGAAATTGCGAGCAGTTCATCTCTGTCGCCAATTGGATTAAAAGTTTTTAGGCGAGACATCCATTTCTGTCCAATCTCTCGTTAGCTTAAAAAATGCAGCTGGCAGCGTGGTTGGAGCAGGATTTGGACAGATTGAAGATTTCAATGGAGACACTTTTCCTATGCAGCGTTTCATTTCAAATTTGAATGAAAAATTGCATCTGGTCTGCCAACCCACTGATTTAGCTCATTTGTATCACCCGTTCCTATCCTGGAGGGAATCATCGCATGGCTGCCACTCCACCGCCGCCGCCGCTCATGTCCTACCACAGAGATATCAATGTCACGAAGTATTACCATACCACGAGCCTCCACTTTCTTCCTTGGCGTGACACTCACTCTCCGTCCCACAAGACCACTCCTTCCACGACAACTCTTGACATACTATTAGCAAAAGTTAGCCCAATTATTCCAAATATTTTGATCTGCCTTCTCCTGACGTGTAGATAACCCAAAAGGTGATATGTCACCAATTAAGGGAGGAATTGTAAAAACGCCTGCTCACCTTTCGTACATATTTATACGCGCAGTCAGCTCATCATCAATCTGTTTTTATGTTTTCTCACAACTTTCACTTTGAACTTTCGCACCCTTGCATTTTTCTTCCCAAGCCGTAACAAGACCGTATGTCGTTCTGGTTCGCCTGATGCATGCAAACTTTTTCTCCGAGAACTTACTAACAGCGATAGTTACGGAAACTTACTTACTTTGTGCATGGTTAAACTAATTCTGGGAGTGAAAGTGTGATGATGATCGTACATAACGACCAGCGGCCAGGTTTCCCAGTGTATCTTTCTTCAAATGAAGATCTGCGTCGTGGCTACGACTCGGGATATGCATAGGTAGCAAATATGTGGAGTGTGGGTCGACAGAACCCTGACATGTATATGAATGTCCTGTCACGGCTGCTGTGTCATTTGTTGCAGATGGACACTCTTGGAATATTACTTTGACAAAAGTGAAGGTCTGCCATCAGGGAAAATAATTCAGGCAAAAGGACGAGAGAAGAAAGGCAGGAAAAAACATGCAAACTTTTTCCATTTGTCTGCCGAGCCTGGTGACGTTTCGCCCATTTTCCAAATTGAGCTAGTTGAAATAATTTATCACCGACTGGTTTTTGTATTTTAATACATTTTTACGCTCAACCACTCGCTCCCAGCGTATGACAAAAACGTATCTCTGTTCTTTCAACGGTGACAGGTGGCGACGCGTCATTCGGTTGTCGGACAGCATATTTTTTACTTATTATCTTGAATACTAGACATTTACCACGTTAACACGTTCATCAGTTCATTATAGCGGCATTGTTATGTTGCTCATGTATCTACCCTGTCCTACAGGCTTCATTTAGTAATTTCGGCTCATCAGTCCATTCATTCATGGTGCTATATGTATGCATAAATATGCAAAAGACTCTCCATGTCCACTAATAATGCAGCGCATGATTTTTATTGCCAACATCAGGTAGGCACAAATTGCCAGATATGTAATGCATATAGCACGTGGGAAGGGAAACTCATCATTCATCTGCACACGCACATCATCACGCCGTGTCACACATACTAATTAAACCTGCTACCAACCGACTTTCTTCTGACGTCTATTTTTACTATTTGCATTTGTCCTGGGCACGTACAAAATAATGAGTTTTATCAAAATTCTTGACAATCCTCGGGACAAGAAGACATTGATGTCCAATTTGCATCAGAGTTTCGTTCCATTTTTGCCAAAGTTTTTTTTTTGGCATCTGCTTCTGAATCAGAATGCAATCTTTTCAACGAGACTCATCAAGTCACCGAGAAATTGAGCAAGTCAAGCCGATCTCATTTGAATGCACAACCGGGGATTGCACAGCATCAGTTTTTAAGTCCGTTAGGAGTTTGCATGATTAGTTCTAGCTTAAGTAAATCCTCGCAGCTCAATATGTCGTTCACGTCGAACGGCAGGGTCATAAAGCACATCCGTGTGTCACGCTGTCTCTTTTCCTTTAAATAACGCTTAATTTTTGCATAGCCGTGCACTAGCTGGAATGAAAATGAGCCGTAATTCTGAACTAATGCAAATCCTCTTATTCCTGAAAACTTCAAAATTCCTGAAAACCTTCAATTGTCAGAGTTGTACAACCAATGGGATGGATTGAGCATTATACTTCATAATTGATGAACAATGAAACTCTTCAAAAAACTGTCCATTGGAGAAAGTTGAAATGTCATCTTGTAATTTTTATTGTTGTCTTTTTTGCAGTTATCGGAGACTTGCGGGCTGAGCATATCCGAACTGGAGGCGATGGCGGCCCGTCAATCTAGACAGCTCGAAACACAGGAACACCTCCTCGCGGCCAAAGCGCAACGTTTGCGTTTCCTGAAATCCAGTGGCGAAGTGGAGAGGCTTCAGCGACTGAGGGAGAAAGTTGCCTCTCAAGAGGAACGACTTCGGAAACTTCGAGCTCTACGAGGAAAAGTTCAAGGAAATCGAAATGGGAACTCTGTTTTCAGTAAGGAATATTATTTTACACTCGTCTCTCTCAAAAATAATCAACTTTCTGACCTACGTATAGCAGCACCATAGACATTTCATTAATGAGTCGCTAGTATAGCTGTCGTGTGTTGATCACTTTTTTAGCCCAGCAATCTTTCATGGGATCCCGAGGGATTTCTAAAAAGTAAACTTGTTCTCGCACCAATTAGATTCAACGGCCCAATGTAAAACAACTCTGTTGACAGGGTTGAGTTATTATTAGCCGCAAATGCGCAATGGTCTGGAACGAGAACTACACCACGTACGCCAGAGCCAATTGTTAGAGTCACTGTCAACAGAGTTTCAATATTGCGGAGACAATGAGTCTACATTCAATATTAAATTTCCACTAAGAAGGAGTGGCGACAGCAGCGTCTTCCGTCCGCTATTTGTCTGCCAATACATACATCTTGGATGGAAAGTAAATAAATTTTCCAGCCTGTGGCACACTCGACGACGACCTAATGGCTAATTATTTCTCCAAATTACTTTCTTTCTCCTGCAACTCAGCCGAATAACGAGGAGGCTGCCACGGTCGAGTACTGTTGGCCTGTGAATTTCCTTCATGTCAAGATCGGATATGCTCAACTAGCACTTTTCTCTACTCGTCAGTAGAAATCCCGAGGCGTTTGAAAGTATATAGAAATTCCACTTCGTCAAATATCTTAGCATAGCAAAGTAAATTTTTGTGTGACAAGGTTTTGAATTTTTTGAGAGAAAGTTCCCAGAACTGGGGAGGATGGGAAGGCGAGTTGTGAAGGAGACTTTCCTGTTTATAAAAACTTGGAACTTGTAGTTTCACTTTCACCAGCAGCAGCCAGGCAAACTCTCGGGAAGGGAAACGAAGCATCAAATTGCTCCCGTCAATTTTTGTTTTGCACACTCACTCACGAGTCGCCAGGAGTCCTTGGAGTCGTCACTCCCATCGTCACGGTCCACGGCCCCCTCTAATTACTTTCTTGAGAAAGAAATGCGAATTAAAAGTGAAAGGCCGAATGAGAGGAGGAGTGAGTGACATCAATAATTCCGTGAGACTAGAACAACACGGAGATGCACTCAATCAAACTCGATTTCCTCTGGTCGAGTGAAACAACCAAACGCCAGACCAAAGGCTGATTTCGTGGCTGGTTCCGCATGCACTCCTCCCTCCCGTTCTTCGTGGATATCGACGCACTCACAGCACCAATCAGGATAAAAACCTTGAGAACTTCAAACAAATACGGTTCTTTTGAACACTGCCTGACTCAACTAGTGCTTCCAGCCCCATTATTACCAAATATCGTACGGGGAGATATTTTAATTCGTGTTTTACAATTGGGCTGAGGAGTTGAGCGAACAAGGGAATCGACCAGTCTACTAATTTACCATTGGCATCGAAAGGCAATTTAAAATGCTGTACTTACTTGCTTGCACATTATTCTCCAAGAAAGCCCAAATCCTCCGCGGCCCCCAAAACGAGGGAGTAGTTGCAGACATTAAAAACTCATTAGAATCCTATTATCCGTCACTTAAGGGTGGCAAAGTGCCTTCCGGGAATCAAAGAGAGATCGGATGCCTTGCCTCTCTTCATGCATGATGCTGCAAAACCGTTGCTTATGTATTACTAACAATGAGATGGTTAAAAAACGACCATCATTACGCAAACCACCGACAAATATTTGTAGATCGTGATGGGTGGGATTGCTGCATTGATTTTTTTAAGTTTTTTTTCGATCCTATGAGAGGCACAAGAGCTTTGGCATACGTATTAAATATCACTTACTGACATGTAGCCCACATTAGTGTACTCTGTTCACTGTGTAGAGCTTAGGTTTCTTGTTTTCATGTAAATATTACTAACCCCTCAAGTTTACCATGTAGCGGATGACATTCGTGCGTTGTGGGAGGAAGATAGCGCTATTGCTGTCATTACAATCTCATAGAATGATTCCTCATAGAATGATAGAAAGTAATTGAAATTTTCTAATGTTTATTGTTATTATTGTCGCAGTCGGAACACTTGGCCGATTAAAGCCTGCTTCTTATCTCCACGTTTCGTCATCTTCTGAGAGCTATAACTTTAATAAGATAACACTTAACTGATCCCACGTTGTAATGCTTAAGTGGTGTGTGCCTGGTGGCAAAGTGGCGAAATTTCATAGGTGCGTGCATAGTAATGTAGGCATCAAAAGTAAACTTGTTAAGATCAGGAAAAGTTTTAATGAATGCTCTCGAACGCGGATAGTTTGGATTTCAGAGATGAATAAATTATTACCAAACCTCAAAAACTCAACCACGCTGGAAATTCGTAACCAGACATGTACCGCACGTTCGAAGCCAAAACTCTCTAGGTTTTAGTTCATCCACGTAATTTGACTTGATAATAATTTCATACGTTAACGCGTGCGGACAAATTTGAGAGTTTGACCACGAATCGAATTGAACGGGCGCTTATGCACGTATGCAATTCACCACAGACGGAGTATTTAGAACACGTGGATAATATAAATAATGGTGAAAAACTATGTTGGTTAGTAGGCCTTGGAAAACTCGTATTTTTCTCACAATCAGTCATCTCTACCACTTTCCGCACTCAGTTTCCCCGTCACTTCCTCCATTTAGGCAGCCCAACATCAAAGAAAGTTCAGGAATGATGAGACAAAAGCTTCTTCTGTAAAAGCTTAACTCAATTTAATTATTCTGTTGGAAGGAACTGAGTGAGCGAGAGAAAAGGCTTGTTAAATCTCTCCTCTTCTGTATCAATTGCAATTTGACGATGAATTTTGTATGACTTGTTAGGCAAGAACAGAGGAGAAAAGACCACTTCGCCAACTAACTAACTTTCCTCCTCAGTTTATTTACAAGTTTCTCTCTACCCAACTTACTTCCTACTGCCAGCGAAATGTGGAGAAAGTCTCGAATGACCTGGTCGGACAAAACCATGTCACTCGCTTACTTTCCATGTCAGTAGCCATGTCGATACATAATCAATCAGCATCATTACAATCACATCGGAAAGCTTCAAAATGTCTTTTTGCATAGTTTTTAAGTCTACTTGGAATAATTTTCATGGCCTATGCAAATGTATCTTAATGCCGACTTTGACGTGGCGAAGGACAGGAAGAATTATATGTACTTAAAAGTTGTGGTTAACCAAATCTCTTGTTTCCTTGATCCAACAGGCGCTGATTTGGAGTCACTGCGTGCCGTATTCAACGAGAAGGAGAAGGAACTGTCGCTGGTAGGTTGCATTTCAAACCTGTAAACATAAATACATACGTGGTTTATACATATGTAACAGATACCATGCTTTCATTATCCATCTTTTTTGTAATCTCATGAATTGACTGAAATATAGTACGTGGCGAAAGTTGATGAGCTCACGAGACAACTGGAGGACTTGAGACGCAACAAGAAGGAGCAGCCTCAAAATGGACAAACTGCTGCGGCCCTGGAGCTGGAAAAGTTGAAACGAGAGCTTTTGGTGAGCCATGTTCCTCGCAACAAGTCAATTTGAACGTAGAATGAAAATGTAGTTGAGCGAATTCGCATCGTAACATTCATTTTAATTGTGATTTATCCTAATGGATCTGACGATGGGAGTCAATTTGTAAGTGAATCAACAGGACTGGTCTTCTTACGGTGGATGAAAATCGGACCCTATAATAATCGTTTTGCACGTTAAGTGGTATATGAACTCCTTGCTTACATGTAAAAGCAAGGAGTGCATATGTGTAAGCTGCACATGGACATGCATCAGTAGGACGCGTATCTAGATTTTTAAGCAGGAGGACCACCTTAGTTGCCCAAGTAGTTCTTATCTTAATCTGGCTGCAAAAGTGCACTTTATCAGAAATGGTTTAAATATGAGAACAAGATTACCACTTACCATTGTTGTTATTATTAGATGAAGTGCTCCACTGACTCTTTACCGCACACTTGCATAGACGTGCTTGTGCGATGTATGTACATATATACGTACGTTTGTGTATAATATGTGCGTATGTACACATCCAATTAAAGTCAGTTTACTTGCCATGTCCACATATTGATGCCGACTTGTTGTGATTTTACCACAGGGCTAAATTCATTCCGTTTTGGCAAGAATTCTGTTGTGGATTAATAATATAAACGAATAAGCACATAATAAATACGTATAATGTGATGGGCAGTTGGCCAACCAAAGGTCACGTGTGTGTGGGCAATGCGTGTGCTAAATGACTACTTGGGCAGTCGAGCTTAGCATCTCGCTTTCCAACTTTATTTGGTGCAGTTGGACGTACTTCAGTATCAATTTCCCTCCAAGAATTTCCAGCTCGAAGCCATACCACGGCGATATTTAACCGTTTCACTGGAAATGTCCCACCTCATTCGTGCCATTTAGAAGAGACCACTCAAGGAATTTCAAAAATTGGGATTTGCTCAAGTTGATTTACTACTAATTCAGCATTTCGTCGTGCTGTGAAAATCTTGTAGTCGACATTTCCTAGCCAAGAAGAGGAGAATGAGCTCATGGCGTTGGCAGCAGTGCATAGTTTGACTCGGCAAGGATGAAATATGGGCCAAATATTATTCTCCCCTTTTTGATGACACACAATCCCTTTCAAGTGAGAAAAGCAGAGCATCTCTGAGGAAAGTGCATTGTAATCAAACATCACCATCCGCTGCGTACCACGACTACCCCACGACCGACCAAGCTGCTTGTTGAATAGGAGGAGGACTGCGAGAGGTGTATTTATATTCGTTTTTATGCCTGCCAACTCTATCGTTCCAATACAAACACACACCCCAGAGAGTTAACAGCGTGGCGAAATTGAAAATTATATGAATGATGAGACTTCCTTTTGTTTATTATAAATCATACACGCTCTAACTCGTACGTACTCCAACTATGCACAAGAGGAAAAATTCTGTGCAGTGGTCATTTTCAAAATCTGGCTGATTTATTAGTTAGAGCAGATGGAAGAAGGTTTCATCCGTTGGCCAGTATTTCTTGTTCTTATTTTCAGGCTTTTTTTAAAAAATTGGTTGCATTGTTCAGTCCAGATTTATCCCGGATTCATTTACGATGCGCATAAGTGCATATGTACGTGTTACATACGAGTGTTGTGTGCACATTTTTTTACTGTAAAAGTGTCGTGGTCGTAAATAAATGAATTGTGACATTGTTCAGGTTGAAAAATATCGATTAATTAATTTCCCCAAAATATTATTCAAATAGCGGTATTACATAAAAATAAGTGCCTTCCCATCAGAGTACATCCCTGAAAGTTAAGAAAGATTAGTTCATCGAAATGACAAGTACTGATACTTGCGATTAGGTGGGTTTCGAGCGCATGAGACAATATGTCGTCGATAACTTTATTAAAGGTGAGGATTTTTTTAATCGTCATTTTAATGGACTGCTGCTCATACACTCATCTCATGTAAATAGTTGTTCTGTACATTTGGCTTAGGCCTTTGATCAACTTGAACTTATGATCCTTAACTGAAGCTATTTTCAGCCTCGTCGTTATCACTTTTTTTAGCACCTAGTTCTTGGCTGCGACATCAGAGTGCGATAATTAAATGCACGAAACACTGAGCAATTTGGATTATCTTTATTTTATTAATTTCCCTAAAGCTCGGACGGACTTGATAATATCCGTACATTTTTCAAACTTTGCGTGGATACAGCTAACGAAAATGTGAGTCCACGCATGTACACATAATCTGCTGTGCTCACGGAAGAAAAACTCGTTAAAAGTAGGAAGTGTCTCTAATTATGGCTAATGCAGCCTTAACGACTTGGTTATGGAGAATAGAGACGAATTTCAGAGTTTATCCAATTACGTCTCCTCGCATATTTGTATCGCACTATCCGCATCGCGTATTATCACCCATTACACAATTCCGAGTTTTATGTAAAAGTTACATCAACCTTCGCATGAATTGTGCGATGAGGACGAACGAGCTAGGATTTTGTTACGTCGCATCTTGTTTATCAAACAAAATTATGTCGTCCTAATTGGAGCTCACTCTGTAATCTGATGAAAAAAATTATGAAAAAACTAATTGATTAAATGTTTTGTTTTTTTGCGATGTTTGTATGAATTTGCGAAATGTTTATAAAACATGGAATTCTAAAGCACGAAATGTTTTGTGTATTTTTTTCAGTATCGACACAAATTGAGGGAGTCGCAGTCCAACCGAGTGCATAACCAGAAGCAGACGCTGTCTCAAAAGCAGGACGAGGCGATGAGGGTTGACCGTCGGATAGCTGAGTTGCAAGAAAGACTTCACCGTAAGCGAATTCTTAACAGCCAACTCGCCGCATCGCTGAAACACCAGGTATTCGCAGTTTACTCTAAACTTCCAATGACCCCTTTGGCAGACTGTCGCCGATAATTTCGAGACTTCACTTAATGTGTTGAAATGATATGCATACAAATTTTAAAACAGTGCAGCTACAATCGGTATTTAGTTTAGCATCGAATCACATCACCGAGTCGCTCCGATTAATACTTTAGGTCTGACCATTATACGCCCGTAGATACCAATAAACTATCAAGTTCATCTCATTTACAATTGAGCCCACACAACAGCGTATGTGGAAAAGAGGTTCGGTCCTAGTGATGTAAATTGGTTGTGTTTTCTCAGGCATATTTTGAAAACAATAGACCCACGTTATGTAATAATGACAATTTGCATGCAACTCGACTCGAGTATCCTTTCTACTTGAGCAAATGACAAATGGAAAGAGAAACCTAGAAAATAACTCTGTCCATTCAGCTTTACTTTACACGGTCTCCTTTTTCACCATCCGATTTTCTACACGCCTCCTTTCGATATGTTGCGTAACACAAAAAAATGCACCTGGCAAGCATGAGCCTGACTTCTACAATGGCACCAATCTTGCCACTTGAGAAATTGGTCAGGAACAGGTCTGCACAGGCAAACCATGCAAGTGTAGCTGCTACACATCTCAACCTGCAGTTGCACATACATATTAGGCTCCTCGTCCATGTGTTGCATGAAGAAATGGGGAGAAAGGCGTTGAAAGATTAATGAGAAAAGTATAGTGACGTATTTTTTGTTATAAATGATGCAGGACAACGAAGAAGACTTCGTCTCGCTGACCAAGAATGACCCCAAGTACCAAACGTTGCCTTACAACGCCAAGCTCTTCACACCCTTCGCCACCAAGCACGAGCAAGACCAGTTTGAAAATAGTATGCAACAAATGCAAATCATCCAACAAGACCAAACCTCCTCCTCCCAACACCAAAGTCAATCCGCCGCCACGGCCCAGCTCCAGTTCCATGTCCAGCAATATCGGCAGCAGCAGCAGCAACAACAACTGCAACCAAATAATCAGCACTACAATCAGGTCAACCACGAGAGCAATAGCGCGAAGGATGACCCCTCTGCCCCCAACAACGCCAACAACGGTCCGTCCAATAATGAGCGAATCCAGTCATATAACAATAAGAACAATCTACACCTCACCCAACTGCAGAGCTTCCTAAGTCAGCAGCAAATAAGCAATCACAATGTCATGAAAATAAGTTCCACTGCTTCAAACACAACTTCCAACGTTGCCACATCCACAAACGGACCACAACAATCCGTGCAACAACAAGGGACTAACAGCAACAACGCTACGAATGGACAAGTGGGGATGAAGGGGCCGGTTGAGAATGGTGGTGGTGGTGTCCTTTTTCCTATCGTGCGACCCAGCAACTTTCTCCCCACGGGAGCTCCAGCTTCCAGCCCAAGTGGGTCGTCGTCAACCTCGAATTCAGGTTCTGCAGCTTCCTCCACTTTTGGGGGAAATGTTCAGCAAAATGGATTCAACGGGGGACAGGTAAATATTTGTACACACATCGTCTCTTTATTTCATATTCATTCATCTCGACTTTTTTTTCATTGCTGACTAAGCTCCATTAAGAAATGAAACAAGACCAAGAATGGTATAAAGATAGGGAGGCAAATAAAATTTTATGTTCTCGTAATACCTTTGGCTACATGTGTATGTACATACATACATTTGTGTACAACCACACACAGCAATAAGAGAGCCGAGCAGTAATAATGGTCCATTGCATGATTCCATGTTTCGTATTTCTGGAGGCGATAATAAATGAAAAAGTTTTCACGCATTTTCCCGTTGTTTGAGATTTACAGTGTTTTTCTGGAAAAATTCCGACATGGTTTTGTTGAGGTGTGTGTGTGTGTGGAGGAAGGGGAGCAAGCGAGAGCATTTCCGTAGATTTGAAAGCTGAAGGTTTGAAAGATTGATGAGAGTGTGGAAACAATAAATGACTCGGAGATTGTTTACCCTTTCCCTCTCAGCCAAGATTTATTTTGTTGAGCCAGTTTCCTCGCAATGGGATTCGAAAATTCGGACTTTCTCCTCCTCCACTTTCTCCAAATAGGTCAATTTTTCTTCCCTTTAGATTCGCTTCCGTTGCAAACATGTCTTTAATAATTTGGAGATTACCTTCATTTTTGGCGACATGTCTTTCTGGCCTACACCCGGATCATGTCGGTAGGACAGAGAGTTGACTGATTACCAGAATTATTGGCAGGGTCAAACCTGAGTTTCATCCATGTCCTCAAATAATATCCTCTTAACTGTCTCAAATCTCCAGTAACACACCAGCCAATGAAGCAGCACTTCTGTCTGATAGCTCTAAGGTCTTATTCCTCGTGGGTGGAGGAGGAGAGGAGATGAAAAGAAGTGAAAATGGACACTTTTTTATTATTTGGCAATGCCCCCAAGAAGTAATCTCTTTCACTTCACTCGACTTCTTGAGGCTTGAGATCAATAACTGATATGTCATACCAGATTTGAGATTGACTGTCCAGAAGAAGGAAGTTGACCATTTCATTCTTTCCTCGCTCATCCAAAACTCATAAAATACTCCCACCGACTGGCCACCAGTTAGAACATACACTCTACTTCTCTGTATTAGTCCTAAATGCAAGGCGGTCATCTCCTATGAATTTTACGAATTGCCAATATTGCTGCCTAAAGCTAAACTTCACCAATTTAGACTGGCAATAATATAATATCCCATAAAATCTAATAATATTTGATGATTTGCATCCTAGACTTCTGCTGGGACCAATACCGCCGTTCTCGGATATGATGACTTTGGTGAGCTTGCTCTGGACGGACATCACAAGCCAGCTTTGCCCCCGAAACCAGCAAAGCCAGCCCCACCACCTCGACAACAGGCAGCCGAGTTTAATTGCGGAGTTGGATCAAGGTAACAACCGAAATGACGCGTGGAAAAAGTGTCACAATCACTTTCTCACATTTTTCTGATTTCATCGCAATAATGAAAAACACTGGAGAAATTTCGTACTTCGTTAAAATAATTGTCTCGTATTAAGACGAGACTGGGAAATTAATGGTACCGTTTTTTCGTCAACAAATACACGCCGTGCTCGCGTTCCTCGTCGTAATGTGCAACAGCGTTTCGTGTTATGGGAGCATTAGTGAAGGAAATGAAAACATTTGCAGTCTGGGTTTTAGTTTCTTTCTCTCAGCATCCACTCCAGTTATAAACATTTGTAATGAAAGCATGTCTTTTCCATGAACTGCGAGCTCATGCACTTTGTGTTTTCCTTTCCAGGCTCCCGTCTTCTTCGGATGAAATAATGATGCCTGACAGAACTGAATTACCTATCAAATCCAAGCCATTATTTCCTAAGAACTCCCAGCAGCAGCCGAACGCGATAGCTTCCACCGGATCAAGTTCCAATGTTGTTTCTCCGTCTTCATCATCATCATCATCATCGTCGTCGTCGTCCACGTCGTCCTCTTCATCCACGACGACGGACAAGGAATTCCCCAATAATGCTGCCTCCTCTAATACCACCGTAAGAGAGAAAAATATTGCAGACTTATCAGTACCTTCTCCAACCACGCTGTCCTCTTTTTATATTTATCTTTTATATTTATCTATGTCTGTCAGTCAGTCAGTATGAATGATGAGACGTTAATTAGAACCAGCGTATTAAGTATTTCCTTAAATATTATTTTCTTGTATACGTGAGCTTTGAACTGGTGATTGTTTATTTTTACGATTTATTTTTTTATTTTTTGATATTAATGGACGAGGCCCAGGACACCGTAAATATGTATTCGAGCTATTTGAGGATATTATTTTCTGGTTTCTCACAGGTTCGGATGTCCATCAACCGAAGAATTGAGATGCCACCAGCCTTTCTTTTCCCAGAAAGTGATCCTCCTCCATTCGACCTCGTTCCAGAACATCCGTCATCCCAGGCATCCGCAAACACCACAACCACGAGCTCTACTACAACAATCTGTCCTGGAAAAGGCCCATTTCGCAATCAACCCCCAATCGTTTTCCTTAATGAACCTCAACAACAACGTCTTAATCAAAGTAACGGAGATAACGGGGACTCCACGGATGCCAATTCCTTGTCTCACAATAATAACCCATCTCAACTTTTAGCTGAAGAGTATACCCTTCCTGACCTATTCCCTAATCCACCACAAGTTAACAGCATTACCTCGTCGTCAAAAATGACAAACAACAACGAAGAGTCTCTTAAGCTAAACTTTCAAAATTATGCTCCTACGGTTAGCAATTTACAACTCGTATAATAAATTTTGTTTAGTTATTTTTTTATCCTGGCTTAAATTTTGAGTTTAAATTCTGGATTTTGCTTAATTAAGGCACACGACGAAACCAATGTCAATTCGTCAAACGCTCCCGATCAGGAGAATCAGAATCAAATCAGCATGATGAACAATTTCGTCGGTTCAAAGTGTCAAGAAACCGAAAAAGAGATCATGATGACGATGACGACAAATGACCATTCCCAGCTTGATAAATTCGGTACTTAATAAACTCTAATAAGCATAACGGTAATATTTCCCTTACTGACTGATAACGTGTACTTATTTTCAGAACCTGGGATGAAAGATGACTACGGTGGTGCTGGAGATGGGAGTGAGCAGAGTCCAGAACGGGAGGAAACTAGTTCGGAGGGATCGAATAACGTAAATGTCCATGGAGTTCTGCGGCGAGTGAAGAAGAGCAATTTCAAATCTGCTAAAAGGGTGAGTAGCTAAATTGGTCAATGTTTCGGCTATAAATGGCTTGAACTAATAAAAACTTTTTTTGAAATTATTCAGGATCACATTCCCCTGGGTCGAAGAGTCAGTTTTGACCCCTTGGCCCTACTGCTTGATGCCTCGTTGGAGGGGGAGTTGGATCTAGTGATGAAAACGGCAAGCGAGGTTGGCAACGTCTATGTAAGTCATGTCATAATTCATAATTAGATCACCAAATAACCCATTAAATATTGGTGGTAATATTGCATTATAAATGCACAGGCCGCAAATGATGAAGGGATTACGGCCTTGCACAACGCTATTTGTGCTGGACATGCAGACGTGGTCAGATTTTTAGTCGAGTTTGGCTGCGACGTGAATGCCCAGGATAGCGATGGATGGTAATTAGTCAAATTGATGAAATGACTAACAATTTTATTTTTGCAATACTCAATTATATTTTCTGGATATAAAATCCTCAGGACTCCACTCCATTGTGCAGCATCTTGTAATAATGTGGGAATGGTGAAATTCCTGGTGGAACACGGAGCATGCATTTTTGCCACCACGCTAAGCGATCAGGAAACGGCCGGTAAGTATTGTGTGTGTTATTATCTGTTGCAGTTATCGCCTTCCATCATTCTATCCGTTTTACCCATTCATTGATACATTGCTTCGTTTTAGCTGAAAAATGCGAAGAAGACGAAGATGGATTTGGCCCATGTTCCGAATATCTTTATAGTAAGCGAGATAAAACAGTCGTCTCATTGTTGAAAAATGTCCTATGCATCAGAGCTTCGACTAAACTTTTACATGCGCAGGTATCCAAGAAAAACTTGGGATTATGAATAACGGAGTTGTCTACACTGTTTTTGATTATGACGCTCAAAACCAAGACGAGCTGACTTTCCGTGATGGAGAAAGACTGGTCATTCTTCGGAAGGGGTGAGTGCATGGGATACTTTTAATTGACATCAAGTTTGTGGAAGAGGAATTCATAAATGAAAATATAATACCTCGTTTGTCGTAGGGATGAGTACGAGAGGGAGTGGTGGTGGGCCTCAGTGTCGGATAAGCATGGGTACATCCCACGAAATTTGCTTGGAGTAAGTCAAATCAGTGCATGGATATTTTCTAATAAATGTTTAGACGTGAAATTAATTAATGGTTTACAAAAAATCTGCTTTTGCAGCTCTACCCTCGAGTCGTGCCTCATAAACTGAATGGAGATAGCTGTTAAATTTCCACAAAGTGCCATTAATTATTTATACACATACCCATATATTTCCAATTAGTATGATGATTGATGCAACAGAGAACCATATATTTTTGTTCACACAGATTCCCTATATATTTAATTAAGTCAGACCAGAATACTGGACAAAACATGTAACATAAAATATAATATGCTCCTTGACAATGCAAGTACTTGGTAGGAGAACATATTTAGTTTCAAAATAATTCAACACACCACCCAACCCTATACGGTACATAAAAAGGCAATGATGCCGTAGGATTAATAAATAAAACATGTCGATTTCACCCTCCCTAAAAAAGAAGACTCACATTCAGTGCCTATCGAAGAATCAATCAATCAATCACAAACCTCGTATCGGATTTTGAGTCGGCGTCGCTTCTTAAAAAAACACTTATTTTTAATCCATCATCATCAGCCTTACACAAAAGGTACTAATCATCGATGTGGTAATGATATATATTTAAGAGTAATATAGCTGTAATACGTACGTAGATAATTTGGCAGAGAACATATGTATGTATTATCCATTCATCCGTCGCGTCGTCATAATAATAATCATCATCTTTATTGTAGGATGTAACTCAACTAGTTTATTTCATTTACTGAGCAACTTACAATTATTATTGTTATACATAAGTTTACTACATTAGAAATACATACACCGTTTTATGTTATCCATCGACTGCTACCAATACTTGTACTCGGTAGTAAAAATGCATCATTTTATGATTGAAATTTGATGAACCGTGCCCAGTCATGAGAACCCGTGGTACTTACTTGCAAATTGTCTGCAGTTACACAAGTAAATTAGTTGACGTTATTATTTTTCAATATTATTATAATGTTGTGATATTAGTTGAGAAGAATCCATAAAATTTCTTCGATATAGAAATGCAAAATAATCACGAATGTAGGTGTAAATTTTACACCTACAACAGACACACTATTTAGTTAACAATAGTACGGATTCTACATATAATCATTCATCATAACGACTGTGAAAGTATGAATATCAAAAAATCTTACTTATTATATCGTCGTCTAAAATGAAAAATTTACTTGTGCCACTTTTCTTTGTTGCATTATATAATTCCATAATATTTTACACACATATGGAAGGATATCAACTGAATAATACATATAAATATATGGAAATATGGGAGAATAGTGACCTCCCAGTTTGATAGGGTTTTTTGCATTTTAGACGATGATATCCTGTTTATAAAAAATTATCGACATAATGTCCACCCACTAAGATTATCCAATTTCAACTATATCCTTATCGTCAAAAATTGCAAGTAATAATAAATAACTACAAAGTACTTATAACCGTGATTGTGATTTTAATTTACATATAATCTTAGATTCATTTCATTCAAATTTATAAAATTATATAATAACTTGCAACAATTCTGCAATTAGTCAAATGTTGCTGGCTATTCAGCTATCTCATCTTTGATTTCGATGGACAGATCATGTCCTCCATCTCCTCTCGGGGACCCCTATAAATTCGACACCAAACATCAAAATCGGCGTTGCATATTAAAGATGACGAGTACATTTTTGAAATACATAAAATACAACTTACAGGTTCGTCTTTAATTGAAATCGGCCTTCCATTGCTCACCGATCCCACTGTAACAACTTCTTGATACTCATCATACCCTTGATATTCTGGTTTTACCATGCTACCGCCAAGGACAAGGTTCAACAACATTGGTGGCAAACAGGAACGCTGGATGAATACAAACATTTCGTTCGTAAGAGTGTGTTTTAGTTGGCAGAAGTACACAAGTAAATACCTGTTGATCTGAAAGAGACATCAAGTGTGCAGCAATGGGACTCATCAGGTCTGGTGCTTCAGTCAAGGCTTGTTGTAATTGGGGCGGAGGAAGAGTTAACAGGACGGGGATACTTTTTGGTATGGTCCGTTGACAGCATTTCACGAATCCTTCCCAGACCTTTGGCTGTGTCCAAACCTGAAACGAGTACAATTATGTAGGTCCATCTTTTAAATCCAATCCAGTAATTTAATGCATGGTAAATGAAATACCTGCTTATTAACCAGTCTGCTCAATGTATTCATCACAAATCCGGATAGTTTAGTATGAAGAGCTAGAGTCTGGATGACTGTTCTCATCAGAAGGGTGGGGAGTGGGGATTGTTCTAGTAACTGATTAATCACGATTGCCAGGACTTCAGCCGTGTACACTTCAGACTCATTAAAACACAATGAGGTAGCTACATTTAAAAGTTCACGTGTTTAGCAACCGAACAATATTTTACAAGAGTGTAGTTCAATTTACCTTTGATGACTGTCTTTACATCACATTTTGTGGGTTCTATATTGTGCAAAGTAACCATAAGGTCAACGGGAGTTATGGGACTTGCGTGTTGCGTTTTGGCATCCGTGTGAATCCCCAATAGTCTATTAAATACCTGGATAATACACAAGTAAAAGTTATGTATTACAGCCCCATGATGATGGATAATCCCAAGCCTGTAACGTTTACCTCTTTGACCACATTAGGGTTCAATTTGATAAGTTTCGGAAGAGCAGCAATGATTTCAGATTTACTAAGACCATTAAGAACTGGGATGAGGAATCTTACATCCGAGACACGTTTGGCATATAAGTTTCTAACTCTTGTAACCAACTCGGCACTTGGCAAAGCTATGCAAAATTGGAAATAGTCGAAACTCTTAAAATAATTTGTTATTTGGCTAACAGTTTAACATACTTTTATCTGTTAACAAATGTATTATCCTTGTAATTAGTGTTTCTGCTCCATTCGGAAAGGTGTCCAATAACTTCATCAATTCTGGAGCGTTCATTCCCATTTTACGTATAGGCTGCTCTATATAACGGAGAATACTACGTTTGACTTCGCTCGTTGTTTCAACATAAATTTTGGCAAGTCTGAAATAGAAGAGTTATTATTATGACTCTAGTTCTGCATGTAAGTTTATGCATGTAGAGTATATTTATAATCAAGAAATGTGTGACATACTCGTGAATCAATGAATTTTTTATGCTCAACAGCTGGAGATAGAGAGTAAGGCACGCTCTGACAAGATCATCACTCCAATCCTTTGAAACGTCTGACCTTCCAGAAACGTCAGAAAACAAAATTTCTGGAGGATTTTTAAACCGCAAAGAGTTCATATACGTTCCAACAGCTTGATCTTCTACCACTCCACGCATGCTTTCCATTGTGTTATAAAGATTCATAACGCAATTAACAGCTTCTGAACGAACCTATAAAAAACGCAAATTTAACAAAAATTCAACCCTACCAGACCTGAAATGGGAATACATTCTGCAAACCTCATCGGCTGAATGGGCACAAAACTCCAATAAGGTGCTCAAGTAGTACAGCTTGCGTGGACGTTTTAAGGCCAATTCCATGAGTAGATTCATTCCATTCGTAGCATGAAGCGACTGGGCGCATAATTGTTTAAGCAGGTCCAATCCTTTGTCTGGTATGGTTGGAGATTCGGTATACAGTTTTCTCGCAAACCTGATAATATCATTTCAGTTTAAGTCTCTAAACTCCCAATGATTGAATAAACATGGTCAGCTTCTTACAATGACTTTTCAGCGTCAGCTGCAGTATCCAAGATGGATCTCATTATGTTTACAAAAGTCCATTCATACCTATTACACATCGAGTTATAATGCTATCGTTAAAATATTTTGACTTGTGCATGAAAATGACAAAATGATAAACAAAATGTCTACCTGTCGAGTGAAGCTTCCGTCTTGTTGGCAATGCTTGTAGCTATGAACTCTTGACTCAAACAGTACTCTGAATATATCCAACTAATTCCCAAATTCAAATGACTTCGTATATCAGACTGAATGTATTTTAGTATAACTGGCAACAGGAAAATTCATATCAGAAAATTGACCAACATTGGATAATGATAATCATTAATAATTATTAATAATGCATAGATCAACTTACAAAATTTAACATCAAATGTGGAATTTACTGCAATAGAGCAAACTATTCGAGATTTGATCTCATCAAGTTTGTCAGGCGAATACAAAATTCTTTTAACAGCGGAAAGCATTTGCTTCTGATTTTCTTCTAATGTCAATGGCTTTGTTATTTCACTCAATTTCAATATTTTTGTAATTTTTCTTTTAACAATGGGAACAATCCCACGAGAGTCAAACAATGTCTTTTTATTTTCCTTGTTGTCTGCACCGGAAACAAGAGTAGGAATTTTGGTTGGTTCGTCGTACTCTTCCAACTAGTAATATAGTACATATATATTCTCTCTGACCAGGTATATGATATAAGTAATACCGTTGTTATATGTAGTTACATACCGTAAAACCTGCTTGAAGGGCTGCTTCTGGCCCCAATTGAAACGCAGTAATTTGTGCAGCTAAAAGCCTTGAAACGTGCCGAATCTGGCTCTCCGTGCCTGCCATTGCAATTGGGGTGAAGGACGCTGTAAAATGTGCCGGCATTGTATCTGGCAATCGATCCTAGTTTTCAAAACAATTGAAAACAACAGTAAGCAATTGAAGGCAGTGAATTTGGTTATTTTAAAGAAATTATTTTTTTACCATAGATGATAACACGAGTTCTGCTGCCATTTGAGGAGTTAACTTTTGGAAAACATTTTTTTCTATTTCACTGAGAGTATTTGACGTGGTATGTTCCTCCTCTGGTTTTTCCATATCTTCGTCATCGTCATAGTCCTCCATAATTACGTCAGGTACATCTTTCTCCTCCTCTTGCAGCTTTGCTCTTTTCCTACTGACTTGATCATCGATATCATTCATCAGTCGGTGTCTTTTTCGGCGCTCGGCTTTTATTTCATCCCAATTTGGGATCGATTTGTAGAGCTGCAATGTCACACAAAAATTATTCAAATTTATACATCGCTAACATCGCATCAAATTTAGGATTAAAAATGTAACTGAGCGGTGTTGTACCTCACTCGACGATGCACCCAGATCAGTAAGAAGAGTCGTTATGTTGTCATAATAGTCAATGGCTCTAGGATGTTTTAGTAAACCTATTAACTGAACCTTCATGTATTTCCTGACTGAGGTAACTTGGGACCTTTCCAGAGTGGGTGGAAGGATGGCTGTTGGAAAGCATGATAAACAATAAATATAAAAGCAAAATGATTATACTGTATATATACAAAGCCAATATTGTTACTGTACCATTAAGTTTTTCCATAGCTGTCACGACACGCCCCATAAAAACGGGTCTTAACTTGGCAATGATTATGATAGAGCCCATGCAGGTCATTAAATTTACACTGGTAGCATGACGAGAGCCGTGGAATTTGAGCAAATCTTCAAATAATATCCTTTAAAAAACAATTAATGACATACTAAATATACGATCGATAATATTAAGAGCTTAATTAATTCTCATTTTAAATAAAACTATTACTACCTACCTCGCATCTTCCTCCAATTTTCTTGGCCTTGCTACTTTAATGTTGATGGGGACATCGTCTAAGCAAAAAACCCCTTCTCGTTTAACGCTATCCGCCTCGGTAGCAGTTTGGAGAAGAACAACACCTTCAATAAATTTGACAGTATGTGTACGGATTCTGAAAATTTAGTACAATATGGAATTAGAAATATGCTTAATATATCTGGTTCTTAATTCTTGGTATATATACCCATCAAGATCGCTGTCTATCATCTTCAAAATATGTTTTTTCAGTTCGTTCACAGAGTTCCAAGCAACTTCCATCTCGTCAGTCACAGTTTTAGACTTTGAAAGCCACATCAACGTGTACTGGAACAATTTCCCAGATACTTGGATTGCTTTCTTTTGCACAGAGACACATTTGTCTTGAAGCATCATCATCATGTTGTGCATCACCTTTGGAATTGTTTCAGGGTCCGTTTTACTGCGTTTGTTTATGTAAATATTGATCGGTTAATATAAAACATTCAACACAAGTCTTATCTAAAATAATATGCAATTGCACACTACCAAGCATTTTCAATAAACTCCAAAATGTATTTCCGAACATCGGCATTATTATCACTCTGAAAGTCTAACATCTCGTTAAGGAAATTGTCCAAAAGGGCCGGCTGCTTCGTAATTATGATTTCATTCACTCGTCGTAGATTTTCCAGTTTCGTTTTTTCGCTAGAAGTAACAGTCGCCTTCGTCAATAAATCCGCAACCTGTAATATTTAAAGCATTATGACTTAGAACGTTAAGTGAAAGTAACATATAAACGCATGGCTTCAACTATAGTCAACCTCATTTTCATCCTGATAATCCGTGGCGTCGAAGCCACTGTCGATCCGAGAGGACGAATGTCGTGATGTCATGACGCCCAACCCTGAGCTGCTGCTGGTCCGTCGCCCTCCACTGCTGCTGCCGCCGCTGTAGTCTTCGTCCTCCTCCCCATATTCACCTTCCATGAAGAACTGCGACGCCGCGCTCCGACCCGCATGATGACTCATGTTCCGAAATACGCTATTTGCTGTCGCCCAAATCAAAATCGTCACGAGATTTATTTTCCCCTCAGCTTCAAGTCAGGGAATGAAAACGAAGTCAGTAAACGTCACTAAATATGAATCCTAAATCGGCAGAAGTCCATCCAGGCATACTTAGCATTCTTCAGTCGTTCATGAATATATGTTTCTGCAGTAAACTACTGGCTACTCTACTTTGTATTTGGTCGAGAACAGAACAAAAATGATTTACTTTCGAATTTTGAGAATTTAAACGAGAGCTGTAAATTTGATATTGTATATTTTTAATACGGTGATTTGCTACTCTCGCTTTCTCAGAATCCGCAATTCCCTGTGAATTCCAATGCATGGGGCATCATGCTCCCATCCATTCGTGTATGATTCGCCTTGATGAAAGAAAATTCACAGCATAAATTTTTCATGAGTGATATTTTGAATTTGAAACCTCAGATTTATTTTACAAATTGATCCATATAATATGACTAAAAATATTTTCTTTATAGCCAACGCTCCACTAAACTAATTCTAAACTAATAATTCTAATAGATTCTACAATGACTGGTTTTATGATGAGATTATATAATTAATATAAAATAACACATCAATTGGAATGAGAGGGCCCGACAACTCCAACCTGAGCACTATACCATCATATTGAATTTTTATCCGTCAACACCACGCGATTTAGAAGAGCAAATCTTCATCATGGTGCTCATCAAAAATGTTATTTGAAGCTGCTAGCTCCTCAAGTTTTCCTAGGCGTTTCTTTTCTGCAGCAATCTTCTCAGCTTTTGCGCGTATAACTTTTTTCTTATCTTGTATCTTCTTTAACCTGTAAAACTCTTCACGTTCCAACTCGTCCAGTTCTGACACAATGTAAGCCAACGTTCGTTCAATTCGAGGAATGATGACTGCAAGGATATATATAAAAATGATTTTAAGATATCCTCCGAAAAAGCAAACTATTTACAAATTCATACCATGTTCGATAGCGTTCACACGACGATTCGTAATTTTAATAGCTTCATCAAGAGTCACAAATGAAGTTTGAAGTGAGGCTAAATCGACTAGGACGCTGATTGCTTTCTGATAGTTCTTCTTTAACTTTGCAAGCTGCTGGCCACCTCGAGCCAGTCCTGTCAACTCGTAGGAATCTCCTCCTTCTTGGTATGACTCGAAAACTGGAAGACTCACTCCGGCTACATTATCTTTCTTGGTTCTGACCTATTAATTCCATAAGTATTAATCGAATTACTAGAGGCTGCTATTGATTTTTACTCGTACTTTGATTTATTACCTTAATTTGGGCACGATTTACATTCTGAAGGATTTGCTGATTAAAGTCTCCTGACGCAAACTTTGCTTCGGCTGTAAGTGAACACAAATTTAATAGGTAATTTATTTTATGTGCACTGGATTTATCTATCCCGTTATTTCGTTTCGTAACACTTGAAAAATTGTTTGTAAAATGTATATATATATGCCGACGTAAGAGAAACAATCTCCATATTATTTACACAAGTTATCCATAAGTGAACTTACCCAAAGAGAAAGACGCTTCCTTCATAACCTCGCCCATCAAAGTTTTGGTCTAGAATAAAATTAATGATATACTCGCTGTTTTTGTTTAGGCAACTGTGATTCATTAAATACTTGACGGAATACTTATTATACAAATCATCATCTAAACTTACCTCAATAATTTTTCCAAGAATCAATCTAAATCGCATCTGCAGAGCGTCTGCCTTCTTCTTCAGTAAACTATGACCAGTTTGCGCTCCCTTCAGACGTCCCTTCATCAACGTTTGCGCCCTGCGAAGATGATTATAAAAGTTTCAATGAGTATCATATTTAAATGATTTCCAAGCAAGTTAAACCAAATGAACCCTTAAGTCTCAATTATAAAGATAGACAAATTAAAAGCAAAACATTAAGTTAAATATTATTAACGAACCCTCTGGAAGGGAAAATTGGTATCCTGTCTTTCCCTGACATGTTTCAACTTTCGAAATAAACAGATCAAACTTTTCCTTCGTTTCTTGTCCGCGTCTGAAAGTTATCTGATTTTTTATCAGAACAGAATACAGAATAAGAACAATGAATAAACAGCTGAACGATGCAGGCAGATGCGGAGATGATGAAGGCGTTGTCCAAGTTAGATCAACGCAAAATGGGGCATCCTGACTTGCATAAAATCACAAAAAGTGCGCGACTTGTTGCTCGCACAGCTTTTCCAAAGTTGTTTTCCAAAAATCGAAAAATTTCTACATTTATAGAAAAGTAGCTTTTAAATGCTATAAAGTTTTCCGTTGTCACAGTTCACAGTCATCCTCGTGATAAGTGGACGACAAATAACAAATTATTTTCAATCTTGTCCTAAAACTACGTCTCGTTTTGTGTTTCGAAATCGTAAAGCATAACTTTTCTTAAAATCTCTAGAATTTGTTGCAGAGTTAAGGTATGGAAGCTTCAAAAGAACCAGTTGCTGAAGGTGGATCTGCGGAACTCCAGCAGGTATAGTTTTAGCTTAATTGTCTCCCTTTCATCAGTTTACTAACTACTAGAAACAAATACTGAGTTATTAGATAGTATATTACTTCAATCTCGTTTAAGTATCAACTTTTAATATACTTGTAGACCCCAAAGCCTGTTGTTCGTATGGATTTTTATCAAACTGACTCGGATGTTGTTGTAACAATCTTTCTAAAAAACCAAAAGCAAGATGAAGTCAGTGTCGATTACTCAACTGAGAGCGTAAGATTTGAAATTTTAATTACACTACTTGAATATATATATATATTGTATTTTTATTATGATAATAGTTTCGATTGGCCGCTAAATATCCAGACGGTTCAGATTACCTTCGTGAGGTCCATTTGGCAAAACGCATACGCCCGGATGACTGTTCTTTCAAAGTCCTTTCGACTAAGGTAATAATGAGTTGCTTTTACGGTGCACACTTATAATTTACCATACTATAAAACCTATGATTTTGATAATTTATTTTCTCTCTATAAGATTGAAATAAAACTGCACAAACAAGACGGTGGACCGTGGGCTACTTTGGAAGTGGACAAATCTAGTAATAAAGGTTAGCTACTTTAATTTGGTAATTAATTGCTAAAATTATCTACTTTAACTGAACATTGTAAGTATTTCAATTGTTACTTTAGAGTTTAAGCCGCTGTATCCTAGCTCTTCAAAGAAGAAGTTTGACTGGGACAAAGTTGAGAAAGATATTGCAAAACAAGAGAAGGATGATCCAGATGCAGATATCAACAGTCTATTTTCCAAAATTTTCGAGTCTGGGGATGAGAATACAAAGAAAGCTATGATGAAATCAATGGTAAAAGTTATTTTGTTTATATTTGAATTAGTCGACAACAAAAATCTAAACTAAGTAAATGCTTCTTGCAGCAAGAGTCTGGTGGAACAGTCTTAAGTACTAACTGGGAAGAGGTTGGGAAGAAACGAGTTGAAATTAGTCCCCCCGATGGCATGGAATTCAAAAAATATTGATGGGATGGAAAACTGATGTAAACTGAAATATGTTTCCAGGCTTTGAATTAATAAAAATATTATGATGAACTGTATGTATTTAAAAGTAATCAAGGAGTCTATTTGTTGTTAGTCCAATTTTCGTGGTTGAGCTGAAGATTTTGTCTTTTTCTCTGGGGGTTCATCACCTGCATCATCATCATCATCTTCATTCGCATCATGTTCCTTAGAGCCCTTGCCCTCTGGTTCTTCTTCTCTTTGATGTCGATCCTAGGAAAGAATACATGATTTAAATAACATCATTAAATAAATAAAGTGGAGCATATACTTTGTAATGTCGGACAGTGCTCTTGTAAAATGAAGAGGAAAAATTGCATTCTGGTGCAGGGCAGGTGTGCGGTTTTAGTCCCAAATGTGTACAGGCGTGTTCACTGTAACATAAGAACTATATTAGCATAATATAATTCCCATGACATACAAACTGAATTACCGAGAAGAAATCAACCCGTTGTTCACGTTTCCACACGTTTGTCCACTCTCTTGTCCCCAAATGCAGCTGTATTTGGTTTTTTTTGACCCTTCTTCCAGTGGGATAAGCTTCATAAGGGCATCGCATTTACCTGCGTCGTCCTCATTAATATCCGGGATCCCGAATGTATTCCTCTTTTGAGGTTCTGTTCCTGGGTGGTACTTGGCTCGATGAGATAGTCGACTTGGTGGTGTTGCAAAGGTACAGGGGCAAAGATCACAAGGTAATGCATTTGGTCCAGAGTAGTGACAGTTCTGTACATATTATATACAATACCAGTTAAATTGTTTTGCAAAGCAAGAAAAACAAGAAATACATACTTTCATATGGTTGAAGTGCTCATTCACGATCCCTGCTAAAACTACACCACATAACTCACAACTACGTCTCCCTTGTAATGGTGGGAGTGGCCGAGGGTTTTTTAGTTTATCTGGAGGAGGAGGAGGAGGGTTGTTGAAGTAATCCTCTCTAATTTGAGGAAGACGATGGAGAAATTGTAAATGATCATCAATCTTCTCCGCATGTTTGGCCAACACTACTTCTGCGGTGTATGGGGCCTTGGCACAAACCACTCCAAACTTCCTCCGAATCCGGTATCTGAGTTGGTCAGCGACCCACGCATCGTCTGAGTAGATGTGAAAAGAATAGGTCAAAGTTGGGTTGACTTTCCATCCATATTGTTCTTCGAGCTCTCTGTAAATTGTTCATTCTGGTAAATATGTCTTGATAATGTCTTGATAATGGTTGTTTGTACTATGAACCATTTATCACTTACTTTACTTTACAACCGTCGAGATCCAAAGCGTCGCTATTAAAATGACTGATTATCGATTCCGTTTTGACTATAAGACACACCTGCGCAGGTCCTAAATTTACGGTCATGTCCCTCATGTCCCCGTGTTGGTCAGTCAGAAGAGAAAAGTAAATTTGGGTAAGATTCTCTAAATAATAAAATTTACATTATCATTTGGTTCACAAATTAATTCAGAGTGAACTGTAAATAATTAAAATTACTTGTAACATCCTCCTCCATCATGACATGCATTTGGACGTCATCATTGACATCTCTCCAGGCAAACAGATCGACTCCCACTTTGGGTTCTTTTCGTAACAATTCACTGTCACTAATCATGGTGAACAACAATTAAATTGAACTAAACTAAAAAGAACACTAAAAAGAACTCAATTATAGTTTGCCGGTTTGGAGTTCAAAAAGTGGGACGCATAAACTAGGATCACTACCCTGCAGCTCTCCTTCTCTTTTTGCATCAATTGATAGATTTTATGATATACTTTATGCGTCTTACATTAAAAGAGGCATCTTTAAGTTACTCTCACAACCATTATATCTGTAAGTAAGTATTGAAACAGGAATTGAGAAGGTGAATACTTTATTATATTCTGAATAAAAATGGTTTTGTAAGTAACATTGACAGTATTTCTAGTGCTCCGCTCTTGAATTTCCTGGACATGAGCTTTCCAGATCGTCTTCGTTATCATAGCTTGTTCCACACCATATGCAATAAAGATAATGACTTCTGAGATAGGCTGTAACTGTAGACAGTATTTCTGAAGCCTAAAACCAAACGAATTTCCTTTTAGTTTTTCAGACTGGTCACAAATTTGAATAAATTTATAATATAAGGTACAATAACTAACCTCAGGTTGATCTGAATCTTCGTCAGACTCTTCATCCTCGAGTTCAACAACGGTTGTGGACATTTCACTTGTGTTGGACTCGGAGGTCGCCTTGTCCTCTATATTTTTGGGCCAGTACCATGGTTGAATAGGAGATTCTTTTCCCTATTGAAAAGTGAAATTAAAATTCACTATAATTTAATTGTATGTAAGTTTAAAAATTAATAAAATTATAAGTATTACTGAATTGAATGAGTACCTTTTGAATATCCAAATGTCTACAAGTTGATTGAGCCGTATGTACATCTCGATTTAAAGCTTTGATATTTGCAACAGCCAATGCCCGCTGTCGAAATTCTTCAGGATCTGCAAGTTTGCTTAGGTCTTCATTTCGTCTTTTATAGGTTTCTAATTTTTCACGGTCTCTTGTTTTTTGGCCTGCATAATATACACGATATTAGGTATTATATAATGCATTCTGTATTTAGATAGAGATGTTCAACTATTAGAATGTGTCGTTACCTAACCCTTTTCTATCAATTTTCACTTCAACAGGAATTGGTTCCTTGAGTCGGTCTTCTACATTTTTGTCATCATAGCACCGTTTTCCTAAAGAAGTTCCAGAGACGTATCCCATTCTTGACAAAAGCTGAAATCCTTTATTGTCTGAGCTAATTTGCTTCTGCAGTCCGGCTGCTCGTCCTTCCTCTTGTTGGACCCGCACTGATTTTTGTTTGCTACATTTATCAGCTTCTGCCTTTTTCTTGAGGAGTTGATGTGCCCTTTTATCCCGGGGATTAAACAACAGACTTGGGCGGACATTGGATGTGCTATCAAATCAATAGTACAGGAAAATTAGATTATAAAAAATTACAACTTGCAATTATTAAAAAAAAATCAATTCAATTTATATTTGACATTACCATTGAGCCAAAACTGCATCCGACATGTAATCATCCTCCTCGCCATCAAGTGACATAACGCAAGTTGCAAGTTATTCGAGAGACTGTTTCCACTAATAGATAATACTAGAATAAATTTTATTTTAAATTTAGCCTACGTCGTCGACTTTGTTATTTCACAAGTTTGTTGATTAACGTAGAATGTGTTTGACACGCGCGCACGTGCAAGAAAACTGAGAATCTAAACCCGAACAAAAAGTTCATAAAAAACTTTCCAAACTTTTGGGAAGCAATAAGTTATGATCTCAGTCTTAATAAATATTTATTACTTTATTTTTTCGTTGCGTTATATTGCTTTTTGGTGGCGAATAACACAGAGCTTTAAATAGGTGAAGATTAAAATATTGGAAATTATGCATCAACGAACTAATTGACTACTTGCTACGTCGATTTGATACTAACGCTGACATGCACACATAACAATAAAACAAACATACGATAATACTCCCTTTCTTGATAATTATTAAGATAATTGTGTAATAATAATAGTTAAGATTAATGATAAACCAAGAATAATAACTAATTTATTTAACAAGGAGCTCACTCAGCTCGATACTAGCACAACATGGAAAGAATAGAATTGGCGTAGGCCATGGGGCGAATGTCAGGATGTGGCTAGAATTACAGAACAAATTTAATAATAGTATATAAGTAATTAAGAATGAATGGAGATATGCACTTACCACTGCCTCGTATGTGGTAAATTTTGGGACCATTTGATCTCCTTTTAGCCTTATGAAAGCCCCTTTGTTCCCTATTGTATCACAGTAATTGGGTGCTGAGAAAACCGTGATGCACTTGCCATCATGGGCAATCTCATACCCTTCCGGTTTCACTTCGTGACTTCGGATAACATAATCTAATTTATTTTTTCGCAAAAAGGCATCGGTCACATCGGGACCAAATTGAATTCCTACGCCGCGTTTCGACGGTGAGTAACCGTTCTGAGGTTGTGGATCACTCCATAAAAGTTCGCACATTAGGCCTTCTTCAGGTGGTTGTCTATTACGATCAATGCATCGAAGATCGTCTAATGTGACGTCTTTTGTGCTGAATAGGCCGCCGTGCATCACCTATTACGTGAAAACAAGGATGTGATTAGTTAAATATTTAAAGTATATGTATGGTTTCAGAGGCATTATGCTCTGAATTTCATTATTCTCAGTTTGTTTAAAGGGTAATATCATATTGTGTCAGAAGCCTAGACACCGGATTGAGTATCATCATATTCAATTTAAATTCAGGAAACTATTGTTATTACTCATTAGTGGACAAGTTAATACTTACGAGAACTCTATTATTGAGACAATGACAGAGTGGAAGCCAATTATAGACTTCAGTAAAAAATTCTGCCATCTGGGCGTTGTACTTTGCTGGATGAAAAACAACAATTTTGAATTAATTTCAAGCAACATGTTTGCATTCAAAATAACGTGGCATAGAAGATTCACCTTTGACCTCTCCGTCGAACCCATACATTTGATTCATGTTGATCGTCTCGTGATTTCCTAAGCAAACCAAAAATTGGTCACCACAGGGTTAGACAATAATTCAGTGACGAGATTTGTCTCATCTACTTTGTTGTCTTACCTCTAGAGAGATAGAAGCTGTTTGGGTATAGCAACTTGAAGCTAAACAAAACCATTATGCACTCCACTGAGAAACTACCACGATCGACAAAATCCCCATTAAATAGCTGGAAAAGAAAACAAAGAAAAGGGGTTCATATCAAAGCAGAGATATGTCTTCATGTAATTATCTCCTTACATAAGGGTTGGATTCGGAAGGAAGTCCATTAATGGTGAAAATATTAATCAGATCGTAGAACCTGAAAGAAACAACGCGGGAAAAATTAGAACAGTCGTCGCTCTCATGTTTTACCATCTGAATATTTGTTTTTTCTCCACCATATTATAGTTAAAACTTAGTTATCTATGTGATTGTAAAACAATGGAGTACACGGACAAAGTAAAGGGATTAATTGAATTGATAGATAATTTAGACAATTACGAGTTATCACAAATAGTAGAAGTAGTAGGCAAAAAATTAACTACTCGATTGTCAAAGGGTTTCGATGTTGCTAAAAAACGTAAGCCGATAGAAATAGCCAGTAGTAGCGTTGACAGTACGGCGAAAAAAGTGAAACTCGGCGGTGAAAGTAAAGGAGAGATGACATCAAGTGAAAGTAGTGCATCAACCTTGCCGTCGTCTTTTTATGTTACATCGCCACTCCCATCTCCCAAAGTTAGACATGAAGAGCCGGGAAGTGAAAGTAGTGACTCAGATATTACGGAGAATTTCAAAACACGCCAAGGGAAAGGTCCGGTCATGGTCAGGAGGACAGTAAAATGCAGCGATACAAAACCTTGCAAATTATGTTTATACTGGAGACAGATTGAATAATGAGTAATATTTTTAGCCACTTCAGTTAATTAACATAATAATGATGATGATACGAATAACAAAATATGTATGTATTTATAGACTGTTTCCTGACAGACCGTTACTTTTTAAGGAAGGCTCATCCTTTACGTGCAGTAATATTGAGGAGGGGATTTACATTATGACTTGTGGGAACCCCGACTGTCCTAAATTTAACACGGTCATCTACATTGGGCAGAGTGGAGGAGGAAATAAAGCACATTTGAAGGTTAGAATGTTGGACCATGCCCACGCAGGCAACCCCACTGGAGTCGACTCTCACTATAGTGGTGCATGTTCTGGGTTGATGCGATTTCTGTATGTTAAAGAGATCAAGGATATGAAAAAAAGATTGAGTAAATAATTACACTTTTTAAGCCATAATGTTGCAACATATTAACTATTCATTAATGTAAATGTATGTATAGAAAAAGAGACTGCATACATGCACCGTTTCGGAACAGTGCTCCCTTCGATCGGATACAACATCGCCCAAAGTAGCCCATTCCCGAAGAAACAAATAATTGGATCAGGAAGTCTCCTTCCATACATATTCACTGGCTTTGGAGGAGGACGCCCAAAGTAAATGCAGGAATTAATACAATGTGAGGCAAATACTAATCAATCACTATTTGATCTTTAGAATAAGAGACCTGAACTGGCAAGTTCTAGCGGCCAAATGCATATTGGAACAACCCGACCGACAAGCCACTCCTGCTCAAATTGCTAACTACGTAGATGATAATTATCCAGGATATGCAACCAAGTTTAAAGACATGGGAAAACTATTCAGAAGTTATCTTCCTATAGCGTGTAAAGAACCAGAAGAAAAAGGGGCACTCCCACCCACCAGCTCCAATTATTCAAACTGGTTTACCAAAGACGTGTCAGGAGGTCTCTACCAATTAAAAGACCTCCCTGAGATAAACAAGGCATTGGATGACTTTAAAGATGTACTCGCTCGATATGAGAAGAAGGTCACGTCAGAGGTAATCCCCTCACCACAACCATTACCGTTCTCATCATCATCAAGGCTAACAAGGGGATCAAGAAAAGATTACTCAGAGTCCGATAGTTTTGCTGACGAGAGCGATTAGAGTTAAAAATGTAGGACCCGTATCTAATAATCCTCCTTGATTGACATTGTGTTCCCATTTGTTTAAAAATATTTACTTACTGTCCATGAATGTCACCACAAACAGTGAACTCTTTATCGTCTGGTATCGTGACTTCAATCAGACTGGGCTGCTTTTCTAAATATGTTTTGATCTCGAGGAGTATCTGTAAAACGGAAATCATCAGAATTAGTATTTAATTGTGCCAGCCAGACTAACCTAACCTAATCTAAGATTTACAAAATTATAATAACTCACTTTGTACGCATACTTTCGATGCAAGGTTTTTTGACTTTTGTACCATTCCATGAGGTCCTTAACAAATTGTAAGGTCACTATGTCACCATTCTCCAACCTTGGGCCACTATAATCCCTTTCTACCGCTGTTGGAATAAAACATCAAAGTATGAAATAGTTAATAAATGATATATGGAACTTTTGACTATTCTAATAAAAACGTGTATATATAATCAGTTTGTCACAAGGGTAATATCATTCTGTGTCAGAAGCCTAGACACCGGATTCAAAAGTTTCATCATATTCAATAGAATTCAATCCACAACAATGGAGGACGCAGTTTTGTTACATAGCATTTAAAACATGTGTTTCAAATTTCAACTTACCAATTGCCTCAATGTCGACCGACTCTGCGACACACTTTTTGTTTTCATCCACTGCGATGGCCTTTTCAAAGGCAATTTTCCTTACTATTTTACCACACTCGGAAAATTTATGCTGTGCATCCTTGTCATTTGGACGGGCGGTGACAACCTATAAAAATATATAAATAATAAGGCCTTGCAAATTTTGAATACGCTAATTTTGGAATATTATAAGAAAGAATTCTCACGGCTTCAAAATCCTTCAGAGCCTGCTTAAACTTTCCCAGAGACCTTCAAGGTAAAGGCACAAGTTATTAGTGTTTGTATTGCGGTGAACAAAATAGATAAACTTGTAGAGTGTCGTCGTTTGACGATATGCCATGTAATTGTTGTAACATACTTACATGTATGCCGCCGCTCGTCGATAATAGCCCTTGACATAATTTCTATCCAGTTCAATCGCTTTTGTGGCGTCGGTCAAGGCGTACCCAACACATTCCGTTCGTAGATAAGAGATGGACCGGTTCGCGTACAATACAGCGGTGGGAAAGGCGTCGATAGCTTTTGAATAAAGTTCGATGGCAGTGTAATAGTCACCCTTTTTGAAGGATTCGTTTGCCAAGTCTTTTGTTGTATTAGAGAGTTCTTGTCTGGATGTTTCATCCCCGGTCCCCTGTTCTTGCTGACCTTCTTCTGTTTCTGCCATCACGTCAAGGGTCAACCTTTCCAATTCCAACTAGTAGCAAACCACCATCAGACAAACACCGAAGACTCGTCAACCGAAACGTCCCGCCGCTACACACCCTCTCTAAAAAAAGCCCTGATTATTAATATGATTCATCAATATTAGCAGTATTAACTTTAACAAATAAATTAATATTAATATTATAAAAGCATTATAAACTTATTCTCAAGGTCAAAACCAAGTGAAGGGAGAAATTGAGAAACTGCGCCAACTTCCAGTTACAAGGACAATGATGTCGCAATTTTTCAAGAGGATGTAATATTACCATCATATATTTAAAGTTCAGTTTTACAGTGTGACGCTTCATCATTGTGATGTAACTTATCATGTTATCCATAAAATTGGGGAAAATATTGTTTCAAGGGCGATCAGTTTTTGTAAAGGAGGAGCTACATCAACAGACCAGACAAATTTGGGGATGGCTCAACTCGGTTTTTAATCGGTAATTAATTAGCCTATTAAACTCACCTCTTTCTTTCTGACCCCTTCCTCCCGGTCGTCGTCGTCAGCTTTTTGTAGGTTATTTTATCTGAGCTAATTTTTTTACCTGTGATTTGTTGATGGAGCCGAGTCAGTGTGCTTCTTGTGTCTTGAGCCGCATGGGCTTGAGTGTTGAGCTTGATTCATCATCTCGACGGTTCAAGACTGGCTCGCTCTCGTGAGGAGCAGAGTTTAGCTCTGTCATTGCGTATGAAAATGTTGCCGATCACAATTTTTTATAGCGTCATGTCAAACAGGAAGCTATTTAACGAATTGAATAGACTTTCCACCAACTATTAGCTAAATGTCTATGCTGCATTGCTATCAGGGTGGATGAGAGTCGAATCAAGGAGGTGGGGCCGGACCGTGCTTGCGCCGAGTGGTTGCTGCGATGTGGGGCAGGGGTCAAGTGGGACACAGGTTCGGACGAATTTCTTCGCGACTACAACTCCCTCCCCGTCGGCAACTACAGACTTTTGCACATTTTGGAAGTGGATGCTACGGACTCGGCCGTAATGCTCATTGGATTCCCACATTTCCGTAAGTCGCGACAACCGTATTTTTTTAGTATGGCGATTGCGATGAGTTCTTATCATGTCGCAGGTGGAGTGAATAAAGTAAGGAAAGCCATCTTTCACCGATGTGGATACATTGAAGATGATGCCGTGGCAGCATTGGGATATTTGAAAGATAGCCTTCGCGATTTGCAACTGTCCTCTTGTGGAAATGTTACCGATGCTGGAATTCTGACCCTCACTCAGATGAAGTATTCAAATCTCTAAATAACAAAGTCATAAATGATGAGTGACCATTGATCACAATTAATTTGTACCATCTTGTAGGAATTTGGAACGCTTGTATCTTTACGATTTCCTGGAAGTACGGAACAGGAAAAAATGCATTGCGGAATTGGAGAAAGCTCTGCCCAATTGTAAAATTATATTTCCCTTTGCCAGGGAGGAGGACAGGGATGAGAAATAATTAAAATAGCACAGCAACCCCAAACAATAAGCAGTTAGTTATAAACTTTACTTACTCATATGTTGTAAATATCATATTAGCTGGCGAGTTAAGTAAAGGCAAAAAGAATAACATTACGAAAACATTGTGTGTCGATAAATTAATTATTGAGCTGGGACAACTTGTCCTTCGTCACCTTTCGCTTCGACGACAACGTCGCCCACTGCTGCATCATTGTTAGCATTGTTCTGATTATTCCTTATATTATTCCTATTATGTCTATCATTTTGCTTCTTGGGTTCTGTGTATTTGATTGTGTAAAATTGACAGCAGTCCTTGAGTTTGGCTGCAAGGGCCGCCAGACGTGCCTTTTCCTCCTCGCTCATCTCTGGCACCGGGGGCGGAGGTGGTGCAATCTTTTTCTTTGAGTATTTGTTGAGCAGTGGATGTTTCAAGACTTTGAGCAGTGTTTTGTAGTACGATCCCGAAGCAAGTTCTTGATGTCGAACGAGTCGTTTCTCCATGATGTGCAACGAAAAAAGATGTTCCTTGTACATGCGATTGAAATCCTCCTCCTCTGATTGATTCATCTTGCCGGCTGAAAAAATAATAATTAAAATAACTTGCGAAAATGTATTTACATACTTTGAATTTTGAATGTTGTAATTCAACAATTATAATTACAACAATTATAATATAACTAATAAACTCACCATTTTTTTCAACCCATCGCATTTTTTCGGTAAGACGTAGAGTCTCCTACAACCCGTAAAGTTTCACTTATAAAAATGGAAAAAGAAAAAATACATAGGCAGAACGCACACTTACCCGTTCATACATCTCCCGTATGGCATGGGCCCTTCTGACCAGGCGAACTTTGGCGTTGAGCATGATTCTCTTTTTCATGAGCACTTCTTCCACCTTGTTCCTCGGGACGCCAAACTTTTCAAAGAATGGGGATGTAAAATCAACGTCCGTGAAATCTTCTTCGTCTTCGTCCTCATCGTCGGCCACTTTCTGTTCCTTCATCTTCATGTACTCCTCGTTCCTCTCCCCGGCAAAGGCGTCCGGCTCTATTTCATGAAGGAAATCCTCTTGCACTCGAGAGGCCACAGTCTCGAAGACTTCCTCCTCAGCCTGAGCTACAATTGCATCTTGGTTATTCCACCATTCACAGATACGCGCACATTATGTGAAATATCTAGAGTGTCAGAATTATCATAATTCTATTATGCATATGTACATACCTGCCAACACGCTAGCCACCCTTTGGTCTGCCTCCATTCTCTGGAGCAACTTGAACTTCCTGTAGACGTCCGTGGGTGGGGAGTGAGGGTCTGGCAAGTACTCGATGCAATCCTCAGGATGAAAATCTGCCGTGTCGGGATTGCTTCCTTTGGGTTTGAAGAATTCGAGGGAGTGACGCGTCAGATTTCCCTCGCCGTAATGAAATAGGATCCGGAGACGACCTTCGTCAATTAACATGTGCTTCTCAGCAACGTCATCACAAACTTCTTTGGTTTCATCCCGATGATATTTCTCTACGATTTTCTAAATGAAATAAATTAATAAATAAATTAAGCTCATCAAGTAAAAGCAGAACTAATTCTAAGTTCTATGTTTGCTATTTTTTGCAAAAGTTTGTAAAAATAATTACACTCATTTTCCTTCGCACTCTCTTCTTTGCTCCAGAATTGTTTCCTTTGAGCATTTCCAGGAATTCTCTTGCCTTTGATTTTGACCCTACTTCGTCTTCCTCCACAGACGACCTCTTTGCGGTGATGGAGTTACAGAGGATGCCTCCATAGCTTGTGAACCGATAATACAAGAGGTCATCTCGACCCTCAAATTTTTCTACCATCCCTTTCCGCAGAATTTGCCGGTGAGCCACGCCCTGAGTGTGAGCATTCGCATAATAGTAAAGGTCGCGGGGATAATTTGCTTTATTCTTGCCGGAAACATGGACATGTTCTTGTGACAAAAAAATCTGATTATACCACAGATACTAGTTTTATGACGTGTTTACTAATTTCGGAGACTGTAATAAGTAAATACCTTTGAGCGCGTCTTTCCTCCCACGGTGAAAGTACTCGTGCAGCAGGCGTCCCTCCCTGAACCACTTCCGCTTGGCCAGCTTGTCCTTCCTATTCTCAAACTTTTCCTCAATATATTCCAAGTCGCTCGGGTCACGCCCAGTCCCCTTGAACTTGAGCACCTTTCTCACCAATCCATCGTCCATGACGTACGGGGCAGCCAGTTCCACGATGGCGTTGTTGTAGTTGAATGTTTTCTTCCCACCCGGATACTTCCTCTCGTAGTCCTCCTGAGGAATGTCGGGGTCCGGCGTGAATGAAACGGGCATGTCCAACAACAACTCAGCCTTCTTGGAGACGTCGTCCTCTTCGTCCTGGAACAGTGACTTTTCTTCCTCTGGCAGCTTCTTTTTCTTCTCCACCTCCACCAGCAGTTTGGCCCATTTCGACGTGTCACTCAAGTCATAGCTGATTTCCTTTGTATACAATAAAGGCAGGATTATTAGTGATACAACAAAATGCCCAGTCAATAACTGCTCACCCCTGCATACAACTCCAGTGGATCTTCCAAACTGACCCAGAAATTTTTGTGATTGAAAATCGTTTCTACTCCGAAAAAGGTTTCATCGTCGAGGGACATTGCCGTGGCGGAGAAGGGTTCGATGAAGAAAGGGGCTGGGACGTCTCGCCTCCCAGCCTTGACGAGCACCCAGGAATGGGTTCGCGTCGCATAATACTTTTCAGGGCATGAGGGACGCTTTCTCTTCTGGAATTTGAATTCGGAGTGGATAACAAAATGTGACAATTGAGAAAATAACTAAAGTACTATTTTATTACCCTTCTTCCAAACATTGTCTCATTTTCCTCTCCTTCTTCCTCTTCCGACGTGTCGCCCACATTGGTCACTTTATTCGTCCCCCCGTCACCCGCAATGCCCAGCTGCGCATTGTCCTCCATCTCCATGTCGGAATATTCTTGCAATGATGACTCTTCCACCTCGGAGGACTGATCAGCTCCTCCCCCATCCAACTCGCCCACTTGGCTCGCCACTTCTACCGCCCTCTGCAAGTCAACCAGCATTTCTTTCAATTAATTGTCTTTTGCCGTTGATTAATTGTGATTGGTAACACGCTGTAGTCACCTTAAATCGGTATTTGGTAGGTGACACTGATTTCACGACCACTTCCTCTTCTTCATCCCGTCTTCCGAAAATTCCAGACAGAATATCCATCTTGCTCTCGCTTGGGTCAGGTTGTTTTGGCTTGGGGGCCATAAGCACTGAAACCCCCTTCTTCTCCTCTCCCCCAACTGCAAATAAGAACAAACAGCACTGATGGTTCAAGTGAGATTAATCCATATGTACATTATTCTCATCATTTTATTATACTGGGCACATCTGGAGGTTCGACATAGTCTTCAGTGGCGTCCATGGTGCACGCTGCTTTGCTGGCATACCCATCCACAACATAAGCGTCGTATCCAGCCCCGATGAGAAAGGTCGCCAATATCACGGCATACTCATAACAGTTGGCCTTCCGGTTCTTCAGCACGGTTACATGAGACCTGATTCGACTAGGCTGCACCATACATATAAATTATTTATTCACGTTTTCCCCACTTTCTCCCCAAAAAAAGATGTTTGTCTGTCCACTAACCACTCGAGTGGGATGTTCCATTAACTCTGGGGCGAAGAACTCCTTGAAGAACTCGGCGCAAGTGAGGGCGTCCAAGAATTCTGGGTAACCCAGGACACATGGGTTTATAAAGGTTGGGAAAAGCTTTTGGGTACCGCACTCGTTTTTTGGAGCTATGACCAGGGCTCGGCGGCGAGGGAACTGGGCTTGAAATTGGCGACGGAAATTTTCAGCATGCCAGAGCACCGTCTTCTCCTTGTCCGTATTCTGATAAAATGTGGATGGAAACTTGGCCCGTCTGATTAAAGGACAACGACGGCGATTCATATGCCATTCGTTCTCGTGTCATATTTACTCTGTTATTACACTTACTCTGGGTCGGTGGCGTATTCCGTGGCGTCGTATCCCGGGAGGTTTTCAGGCCAGGCAAGTCTCACTCTGGATAACATGTTAATTAATTTATCCACATTGGTCGAGTCCAACAACAACTTTTCGGGGCCTTTCTCCTCCTATTAAACAGTACGAGTTTCTTTATTATAAAGCTCAACTAGTTCAACTGTTAAAATATATAGTGAGACCTGCAACGCCTGCAAAAGTGCGACCTCTTCAGCCAGAAGAGCTTCATCTTCTTCCTCGTTCATAACTTGGTCAACTGCCTCCTGTTCCGAAGCGTCCAAATTTTCCAGCCCCTCGACCCCCCACTCCTCCCCGTCACCTTCTTCAAAGTCCTCCTTTTACATTTTACATTAAAGATTTGTATCAGTGCCTTGGACTTGTCGAGAAATGAGCAATTGTCTCAGCTAAACTGCTACCTCTTCTTCAAACAAGTTGTCAATCTCATCCTGCCTCACGGGCTTCTCGTCCAGCCAAAACTTGTCCATTTCTTCTTCGAATTCATCCCCAAAGGCGAAATGGGGGTCGTCCTCTTCAAACTCAGACTCCATTTTGTACAATATTTACCAGAACCTTGGCCTCCCGAAGTTAGGTCGATATCTCAGTCCTATTGACTAAAAAGTTGTAGCATGGATGGACATTCACAACGATTGCACGATTTTTAGTATCTTGGTAACATCGCCAAACGGCCTCTCAAATATAGTGACGTAGTGCCAAATGTTCTTGGTTTCACAGATTATAATGCCATAATGTGAAATTAAAAATTGGCAAAATATAGCGCCCCCGGGTGGGCTCGAACCACCAACCTTTCGGTTAACAGCCGAACGCGCTAGCCAATTGCGCCACGGAGGCATAAGCTAGTCAAATGTAAATCGCGCTTTAGCTAAGTTTTTCGGCCCAAAATCAGAATCAGCGTTTTAAATTTTACCACTTTGATTTTAACCATCACAGTGGTAAAGTGGTAAAAAGTGGTATAAACTGATAAGAAGTGGTAAAAACTCATGACTAGTTGATTTACTCATGATTTACTCTGGGGGAAAGTCAAGCTAAATGATATGTTTAGTAATATGTAATTACTAATAATAGTTAACATAATGTTTCTCATCCTCATCACACATCAACGTTTAATTGGATTACACGTAGTTTTAGTCGAAAAACCTACTTGATATAGCCCGAGTCAGGCCACGTTTGGTTATCACTCAATCCGACTTTTTTGCATGAAATGTGCATGAAACACTTACATAACACACTTATTGAATAATGCTTCTTGCATAAACACCGCTTAACATATCCTGACTTTTTACATAATTCAATTTCACATAAAACTGGAAATTTGACCATAATCATGCATACAAAACCTATCCGTACAGCTTTGCTTAGCCCGAACCAGGGATTGTAAACCCATATTTATCAGCAGTTTTCTATAAAATTAAGTGCCACTATTTTATACTAATTTTTGCATTAACTAGCATCAATCTTTCGTACTACTATAGGCTCCAAATTCTAAAAATACTTACTATCCATTGTCTTTGACTATTTCCCAATGGGAGTCGCCTCTATTGCCCCTCTGGTTAATTTTTTTCATATTTAACTTTATATTATTTCATGAGAAAGCCGTAAGGATCTCTGGTCCAAATTTCAGCTTTCTATGTTAATTTATAAAAATCGGTATGGGTCACCCCATAGGGTCGCTCTAGATAAAAATTTTACCAATTTCATGTCATATTCTTCCATTAAAACCCATAAGCAACCTCTCCACCAAATTTCAGCTCGATATGACGATTTTGAAAATCAGTATGGGTCACCCCCAGGGATGGGCAATCCCAACACTTTCGATGGATTACGGATTACAGATTAATTAATTTCAAAATTATCATGGGATTACTGGATTGGGATTACGTCATTTCTGAAATAATGTGGATTACTTGTTGGATTACTGGGATAAATTGATGATGTGGATTACGGATTACGGATTACAGTAATCAGATTACGGATTATTATGTGGATTACAAAAATCTACATTTATGTATTAAAAGGTGAAGCGAAGCGAAATCCCTTAATGGAAATGTTTTGTCCGCCGGTCTGTAATTAACCACGATAACTTTATAACGATTTCGAATTTCATCATGCGGTTTTCGCCAATGGGTTTCTAATTTTTTGAAGTACGGATGAGTTTGAAAATGGGAATTGTAGGTCATAAGGTCATGGCCCCAAGGTGATGATGCCACGAATCAAAGGTGTCGAATTTTTTGTTTTGGCCGTTTTAGATATAGTTTTGGACAGGGATTACAAAAATTTTCATAGTTTTGACGTGGCATTACCGCGTGACCGTGTCGACGACGCCAACGTCGAAAATGTCGTATTTATGTTTTAATAGTTTTATACGTAGTTCTGGGCGGGGATTTTAAAAATAAAATCTAGACATAGTTTTGGCATGCCATGACCGTGTGACCGTCTCGCTCCACCCCTTTGCTAAATTTCATTTGGAACAGTTCATTCTGAATAGAGTCACACTTATATTTCATGATGATGATTAGTGTAAAAAACGAACGTTGAATGATTCATCCGACAGTTGGTTTCTTAGAACAGACAAAATTATCTTATGGCAGAACTAACAAGACCTTGTGCAGGTGACGATGCTGACAGAGATGTGTTGAAGTAAATCAACCCCTACTCATTGTTCCAAAATTCTCTAAACTTTGCACTTTGCTGAAGAATCCAGACGGTAGTTTAAGCACTCAAGTTCAGCAAGTGACTCAAACTCTGGAGAAGTTGCAAGATGGAGCTGTCACCCCGTTTACAGGTGCAAAGTAATCCAACAAAGTAATCCGTAATCTGATTACATTTTCCAATCTCGAAAATTGGGGATTACGGATTACACATCATTTCCAGACCTAGTTAGGATTACGGACTACGGATTACTTTAAAATGTGAATTTTTCGTGGATTATTGGATTACGGATTACATTCAATGTAATCTGATTACTTAATCTGATTAAAGTAATCCTGGGATTGCCCATCCCTGGTCACCCCCTAGGGTCACTCAAGATGAAAATTTTTCCAACTTGAACTCATTTTTATCTATTACCAGCCATTAGCAACCTTTGTGCCAAATTTCAGCTTTCTACGACGATTTTGAAATTTTGGTGTATAAGACTCCACCCACTCCGATGACCATCACCGGTCAACCACTTGACCGATTTGGCCCATCTACAAACTCGTTTCCTAACTTTGTCCAATACGCATATGGTAAAAATTTCAAGCCAATCGGTCAACTCGTTCGAGAGTTATCGAAAGACAGACGGACAGACAGACAGACGGACATGACAATTACATAAGCCCTGGTTCGGGCTAAAAACCAATAGACCCTTGGATACGTGGTAGTATCCCACAGGAGTGTACTAAAACACTAAAGTTCTTTCATTCCATGGTCACATTTACGCCCGCTGCACCCACTCAAAGTGCTAAAAAACGAAAAAGTACCACTATAACTCCTAGATATTCAGTGTTAACTCAATGCGCAGGTTTCGCAGAGATATTTGCATAAAAAGAGGAGTAAACGCACCCCTAAGGCTGGCGAATTTGTCATTTTCCAAATTTGCTTCGCATTTTTTCCGCTTTGGATGCAAATATCTTCGCCAAACCTGCGCATTGGCAGATAGTTCCATTTGCAAATTTCATACTAATTATATTTGCGATAGATTGACGCTAGTTTGGTCCAAATCGGTGAGCATACGCTGGGAGAACTCCATTGTTAGTTGACATGGGTAGAGGAAAAACCCTGGTAGGTTAGGAAAACCCATGGAACGGAAAACCTTTAGGCGTCCGAGATCGCTATTCGGCCCCTTACCAAATTTCAGCTTTCTACGACAATTTCCGGCACGGACAAGCTGTCTGTCCGTCTGCCTGTCGGACGATAACTGTCGTAAAACTAATCCTATCGACATTAAATTTGGCACACATGTAGTATGGGTCAAAATTTGACCGTCAAATGAGGAATTCAATTCGAAGATGGGCGAAATCGATCCAGTGGTTGACCGGTGGGGGTCATATAGGTGGGTGGGGTATTATGCACCAAAAGTTTAAAATTGTCGCAGAGCTGAAATAATGATAAAATTTCTTGCAAAAAAAGTCGGATTGAGTGATGACCAAATGTGGCCTGACTCGGGCTATATCAACTTGGTTTTTGTATGCATGATTATGGTCAAATTTCCAGTTTTATGTGAAATTGAATTATGTAAAAAGTCAGGATATGTTAAGCGGTGTTTATGCAAGAAGCATTATTCAATAAGTGTGTTATGTAAGTGTTTCCTGCACATTTCATGCAAAAAAGTCGGATTGAGTGATAACCAAAAGTGGCCTGACTCGGGCTATATCAAGTAGGTTTTTCGACTAAAACTACGTGTAATCCAATTAAACGTTGATGTGTGATGAGGATGAGAAACATTATGTTAACTATTATTAGTAATTACATATTACTAAACATATCATTTAGCTTGACTTTCCCCCAGAGTAAATCATGAGTAAATCAACTAGTCATGAGTTTTTACCACTTCTTATCAGTTTATACCACTTTTTACCACTTTACCACTGTGATGGTTAAAATCAAAGTGGTAAAATTTAAAACGCTGATTCTGATTTTGGGCCGAAAAACTTAGCTAAAGCGCGATTTACATTTGACTAGCTTATGCCTCCGTGGCGCAATTGGCTAGCGCGTTCGGCTGTTAACCGAAAGGTTGGTGGTTCGAGCCCACCCGGGGGCGCTATATTTTGCCAATTTTTAATTTCACATTATGGCATTATAATCTGTGAAACCAAGAACATTTGGCACTACGTCACTATATTTGAGAGGCCGTTTGGCGATGTTACCAAGATACTAAAAATCGTGCAATCGTTGTGAATGTCCATCCATGCTACAACTTTTTAGTCAATAGGACTGAGATATCGACCTAACTTCGGGAGGCCAAGGTTCTGGTAAATATTGTACAAAATGGAGTCTGAGTTTGAAGAGGACGACCCCCATTTCGCCTTTGGGGATGAATTCGAAGAAGAAATGGACAAGTTTTGGCTGGACGAGAAGCCCGTGAGGCAGGATGAGATTGACAACTTGTTTGAAGAAGAGGTAGCAGTTTAGCTGAGACAATTGCTCATTTCTCGACAAGTCCAAGGCACTGATACAAATCTTTAATGTAAAATGTAAAAGGAGGACTTTGAAGAAGGTGACGGGGAGGAGTGGGGGGTCGAGGGGCTGGAAAATTTGGACGCTTCGGAACAGGAGGCAGTTGACCAAGTTATGAACGAGGAAGAAGATGAAGCTCTTCTGGCTGAAGAGGTCGCACTTTTGCAGGCGTTGCAGGTCTCACTATATATTTTAACAGTTGAACTAGTTGAGCTTTATAATAAAGAAACTCGTACTGTTTAATAGGAGGAGAAAGGCCCCGAAAAGTTGTTGTTGGACTCGACCAATGTGGATAAATTAATTAACATGTTATCCAGAGTGAGACTTGCCTGGCCTGAAAACCTCCCGGGATACGACGCCACGGAATACGCCACCGACCCAGAGTAAGTGTAATAACAGAGTAAATATGACACGAGAACGAATGGCATATGAATCGCCGTCGTTGTCCTTTAATCAGACGGGCCAAGTTTCCATCCACATTTTATCAGAATACGGACAAGGAGAAGACGGTGCTCTGGCATGCTGAAAATTTCCGTCGCCAATTTCAAGCCCAGTTCCCTCGCCGCCGAGCCCTGGTCATAGCTCCAAAAAACGAGTGCGGTACCCAAAAGCTTTTCCCAACCTTTATAAACCCATGTGTCCTGGGTTACCCAGAATTCTTGGACGCCCTCACTTGCGCCGAGTTCTTCAAGGAGTTCTTCGCCCCAGAGTTAATGGAACATCCCACTCGAGCCCATCCGGGGGCACGCTATTTTTGCATCTTTTTGAAACTATCTCTTAAATTAATCCGCGAAATATTGTCCAATAAGGTTGAAATTAAATTCTACGGAAGTTACAAGGAAAAAGAAACAAAAGTATTTAGCTTCCGATGCTGCACATTTATGTATATCTTTCTTATACAATTTTCAGAGACCATAACTTGATGAAAATCATGAGCTCCACCATGATATCAAAATATCTGCAATGCTATATTTACTATACATTCATATTTATTTGGCTTCAATCATGCAAAATTTCGGTGCTTTACAAGTTTTCCCCACAAATCAAAGCAATAATGATGATTTAAATGCTGCATGAATAATACAATTTTAAATCTCCCCAAGTTCAAGGTTACACAAGGCGTTGAGTATTAGCATTAAAAACATGATGATGAGGGGTAGTAAGTTACTTACGATTAGTGGTGCGGTATTGCATTGTGTTAGTCAAAAGCGATGTATAGTGGGGGCAAATCCACCATCTTTTAACGCTACCCACCCACCCACACTTTAGTGCAATGTAAGCATACATTCATGCACTAGGAATATTATTTTTTATACAACAGAATATTATTTTTTATACAACAGAATTGTAAAGCAAAAGACCAAGCAACCAACTATACATCACTAATGATGATCCGAATTCATGCTTATATTCATAACAGTTACATAGTTATATACAATATAATATGTACATCGCATAGCATATTTAACCAGCCTCCCTCTCATCCTCATCATCTCATCCCTGGCTGGACAGGACTCTCTCTGGTCGTCGTCATCATCATCATGTAGTTTTTTGTTGCCTTATTACTGCAAGCTATCGCAGGATGGGATTGTAACTCTGCTATCTGAATGCATATGTAGCTCTCTGGGAAAATGTGGATAATGATTATTCTTCTTCGTGCTTACATTATTATATTGGCAAAGTGGATGCTCCTAGTTTCGCCACCTCCTACTAACCGAGTTGCACAGTTTGCCTGGCAACAGGGTCCACCCACGAAAGATGCCCCCATGTCGCCAGACCCCTGTCGACGGACCCCCTCCGCTCCCCGACGCCTGTGTGGGTTCGGAGTGCACCCAAGGTCCCCATGGATGCACGCCCCTCCACAACAAGCATCCGTAGTATGCATGGCTATACCAATCCCGATGATTTGCTTGCTTACTGCTGCTGGCCTTAAACTTGAAATGGGAATGGAAGCTTCCAGGGCAGGAGCAGCAAGCGTTTGTATTATGGAAGGAAAACCATAAGTTGAAGCGAACTCCCCCGAACGTTGATGTTGTGAGAGGATGACATTTCGCTGTATGGACTCTCCTCTCTCCGGCGATACCATATTATATTTCTGCTCGCTCTTGCTGGTGGTGTTTCCTTTCCTCCGTATTTTGATGCATGAATGGACGGAAGGAAGAAGGCAAAGCTTAGCAGCAGCAGCAGAGAAGAAGACCGAGCGAAATCCGCCGATCCGAAACCCGGGTGTGGAGTGGAAGGAGGAGGAGGAGGAGGAAACTCGAGAGAAAGTTGAAGCACCACGAAGACGACGACGACGACGACGAGAGGAGGAGGTGGTGGTGGTCATAGTAGGAGTACCACCAGTGTTGTCAGTTGTCAGTGAAGCCGGTGAGTTAGGAGGAAGTGAAGAAAGCCAGAAGTAGAGGAGGACTCAGAAGTCGGATTGCTTCAGATACGCTCAGCGTCTCAACCAAGCAGCACCACTCTTCACGTCAGAACAGAAGAAGAGACAAGTCCATGAGTGGAAGAAGGGACCTACTCGCCACTAATTCATTTCAGTGAGTCAGCAAGTGAGAGTGAAAGTGGGCTAGATGCGGATGAACCACAAGGTGTAGAAGGGAATGCGATGATGGATCCTTGGAGTACTGCGGATCACTTGGTGAGAAAATCCTCTTTTCATTTTCACCGTAATTCGCATGCATAATCAGCAGCGTCTCACTCGCTCCGTCCTTGTCTCACTTTCCATTGTGAAAGTCTCATGTTTTCACCGTCGGTGCCATCAAGTCCACATATTCGGCAGCATTATAATTTCATGTGACATCAAATTTTCCAGAGAAAGGCTGCCACTCGTCCATCTCTCTCTCATATTTTATAGTGCTTTTAACTGCAACCATTGCAATTGTTGTTGTTGTCAGCCGAGTTTCGTCCATGGTCAGTGGTGGTGGATGGATAATATATATTGGAGGTTTTGTGATGATGATGACGGTGGTTTAGTTTAGTTCGGTGGTGGCACTGGTATGTATGTATATCTAATATATGGCAACAAGGCCTTGGCATTGATCTTGCACTACTACTCCATAATAACGCTGTTGCGAGTAAACACGGGACGCTCGGCGAAATTCGCAACCCGATTCCAAAATCCACCACCACCACCACTTGCCAATTTTTTTGCACAGATCACACATCGATCCAACCCAGTCCAGTATATAGTGTAGTAAGTAAGTAATGCATCAGAGAGAAAGGGAGAGGATTATGCAGTATGATAAAGGCATTCCGTGAGCTTTATTGTCGCCCCACTCATAATGTCATCAATTCATGCTTCATAATGTCGTTATGAATTGCATAATATTCCTTATGCACATACGTCTCATGGCATATCTTTGTAGGTGTTGATGTCTTCTGATGACCGGCACCATCACTCTCTGTCACCCCTCCTCATCAAGAAGGAGAGCAACAGTTCGGACTTTGCGTCTTCTTCCCCACAGCATCACGATGAAAGGCATGCAATGTCCCCAACAACCACCATTCACTCCGAGGTTGGCCTTTCTCTTGATTACCTTTTATTCCGCCTTTAGGAAACATAAAGTCCTTCACTGAAATACTCTTTGTGATATGTGTACGTAATAGCTCGACTTTAGTGCTGGTGGATCCACGGCTTTCGCGTCACTCTCTCCCAAGAGCGAGCATGCCACGTTGACCCTCAACAGTGGGGGTGGCTACGAGGGGCACCACCACAGCCACATCAGACGACCGAGTGGTTATGACGACTCTGGCTCCTCACCAGACTCGCCCGATCGCCATTTCTGCTCCTCCACCACAGCTGCAGATCTCAATAACCATTCGCGTTCAGAGGTACACATATGCAACCAAATTAATATAATATGGTACCAAATTCAGTGTAAAATAGTCGACACGTGATCCATATTTTCCTAGGAGACTGGGAGAGAGGATGGTAGCGACGGTCCGAAACGTCTTTGTCTCGTTTGTGGAGACACTGCGAGCGGATTTCATTACGGGGTCGCGTCGTGTGAAGCATGCAAAGCCTTTTTTAAGAGGACAATTCAAGGTGAGTTTAGTTCATAATTAACGCATTATTTTGAGGACACAAAATTTTCATAATAAATATGTCTTCGAAAGCAAGGGACAATATGATAATATGAATTCTTATCTTTCCAGGAAACATTGAGTATACTTGCCCCGCATCGAATGACTGCGAGATAAACAAGCGACGACGGTATTATATTACATACATTTACATCTTTTCAATTTCCAACAAATCATATCAATCTTTTTCCGGAAATCTCGAGTTTTTGCATATTCAGATACAAACGATGCACATGAACTTCAAAAGCGTGTAATTTGTTGTTTCAGGAAAGCATGTCAGGCTTGCCGTTTTCAGAAATGCTTGAGAATGGGGATGTTAAAAGAAGGAGTCCGACTTGACCGGGTGGTAAGTCTTCTTTTAGTATTTAGTCTTTATACCATTCATACAACTATAGTGAATTAATTCTTTTTCCGCTTTAAAGCGTGGAGGGAGGCAAAAGTATCGACGCAACTCAGATATGCCATATCCCGTTGTAACACCACCAAAGAAGCCGACGCTAGAAGGTTAGCGCTACACATAGATAATTATGCACTATTATGTATGCATTTTAAATTGACCGTTGTTCCGTGCGCAGATAACAAAGTGCTGATGGCTTTACTCGGCAGTGAGCCTGCAATCCCACTAGCTGGCGAATCTTCTTCAATTGAATCTGCCGAATTACGAGCCATCACTCTTCTCAGCAGTTTGTACGACAGGGAAATCATCTCCATTATTGGATGGGCTAAGCATGTTCCAGGTACGTACATAAAAAAAATGCATAAATGCATGCGCATATTTTAAAAAATGATAAATTGTGAAATAAATTAGTTTATTTTTGGGTGTAACTTTTAGGATTCACGGAGCTAACTTTGAACGACCAGATGCGTCTTCTGCAATCGACATGGGCCGAAGTTCTCACCCTCTCACTCGCCTTCCGCTCTGTTGGTCTCGATGGACGACTTGTATTTGCCTCTGACCTTTCTTTGGACGAAAAGGCGGCTCGTGATGCCGGTGTGGTAGACCTTTTCCTACCGGTGAGCATTGCATTGCATATTTTATTTATTTTTACAATTATTTACTAGAAGCTGACTATTTATTGATTCGAGTATTTCGAAAGTGTGAAATAAAATATTTTGTATTTCCAGTGCATGCAAGTTGTAGAACGCCTGGAACGTGTTGGAATCACACGAGAGGAATTTTGCATCATGAAAGCACTCGTCCTGGTCAATGCAGACACGCGGATTGAAGAGCACGTCTCCGTCAAGAAACTGAGGGACTCGATTCTCATGGCGTTAAGTGATTGCGTCTCCGTTTTAAGGTTGGTCTTAATTTCCATTAAATCATTCTTAGCATTAAATCATTGCAAGAATTATTTTCACTTTTTATTTTGCATGTGAATTTGCTTGCAGACCATCCAATCTCAGCCCAAACCAGATGCAAACTCTTCTCCTAACTCTTCCATCCCTCCGTCAATCTGATGCTGCCGTGAAAAAATTTTGGTTGGGAATCCGTCGAGAAGGGAAAGTGTCCATGAACAAACTCTTTGTTGAAATGTTGGAGGCACATTTTCGTTAAAAATTAACCATCGACAACTGTCCATTATTTAAATGGACGGCTTTAATTGCCTTTGATAGTCGAGCGAAGGAAAATTACACATTTTGCCCAAACAAAAGTGAAGAGAGAAAGAATGTACAAACTCCCTGCCGCTAGTTGTGTAGTTAGCAAAATTTTATGAAACGTAATGTAATATATATAACATATATACATATAAAGTAATAGGTCCCTCGTTAAATTATCTGCAAAAAGAACCAACCAAACTCTCCCACCCCCACAAACAAAGCAACGTCGGCACGTCACACATTCATTAATGTGTCGTCGTTTGTATTTTAAGAACGGCGAATCGTTTTTAGAAGACGCATATCAAAAAAAATTGTTGCGCGTTTAAATTGGATGATTCTATATATAATTTAAAAATTGGAACTATATGAAATGACTGACGACAAAGGAGATGACGAGCGCGTGTATATGATGTGATTTTGGATGCGGGTCTCATTTTTTATAGGCTAAACAAATTATACACAAACAAATAGTATAATTAAATAGGGATAAGAAAGAAAAGGATAACAAAATACAAGAACAAGAATTATTATGTAAACCTACCTGCTTACATCACAATTAACTAAGGACTACTACAAATCTGCACTGCAAAATCTCTGCTAAAAATGGGAATGACTGAAAAATCACTATGAATTAGGAACTGGAACAAGTGACCTGTAAGGTTTAATCATCTACATATGTATGAACTCAAGTTAGACAAAAAATGGATATGAAAAGGCCAATGATAAGTGCTTGGCAGCTGGACTGTGTGAGCATATTGCACAATATGCAGTAGTGATGATTATGATAGATAGTTGAACTAAAGGAAAAAAATACTTGAGGACATGTCGAATGTCCTGGGCGTGGCTGAAAGGAAAACAATTGAAAAGACTGCGAGTTAGAAAATATAAAACAATATTCCTAATTCGATTAATTATTTAGAAGAACAAAACCAAAAATATATATGTTTTCGATTTTGCCTTTGTCTTCAGTGTTTTGCACTTTTCGACCTCGAAGTCAAAGAGAGGAGGAGAACTACGTCTTATTATTGGTGCTTTAGTTATTGATATGATTACCGGATGATACTAAATAGAATGCTGTGACTGTGACTGACCTGCGTATGACCTACGTACATATATTACCGTTGACTAAAATGCCGTGGTGCTATTCATCATCACCTTGTTGTTATCTTTGCTATGCATTATTATTGTATTATTTATTTCTGCTTGGTCTTGGGTTTTTTTAGATGATCTACAGAGGAAAAGAAACACAAAAGATTTATCGTTTAAATATAACTTCACCACATATTGTTATACATTTATTTCGCTATAATATATTATTCTATAAATAGATCACCGTTTGTAAACTTACTATAATTTAAAAGCCAATACCAAAGGATTTGAGTATATAATTAGTTCAAGAAAAACATGTATTTAACCTTCATAAAACTATTTGTATTTGATGACAAACCACATTTAATTATTTTGTGACCGTGTGATCGTATCGGTCACACCATTCGTTGATTCATGAGTACCTGAATTACATAAACAAAAAGAAGAAAGAAGAAGAGGAGGAAAACTATTTTAGATGTAAAACTTATTAAATGTATAAAAAATGTTAATTAGCCTTGTTCTTGGAACAAGACGTCGTAACCGATTGGTGCTGCGCCCTTTTAAATATGGAAACCATTATTGTTGTTATAAATTGAAAAGATAAATAAAATAAAGAAATGATGCAGCTTAAAATATACGAGGAGGAGGAATATTGTGAAACCTGACTCGGAACATGACGAAATATCCTCTAGCTTGTGCCGGTTTCATTCAGTTCACACCATTTGGTTCGCACGGTCATGGCGAGTGCGAGGTACGGATTTTGCATATGAGCATGAATTTAAGTGGTGGAATAATAGATCCAGCGTGTACTCATCCATCCCCAGCGAGATAAAATATGTAAAACCTTACATAATGCCATGAGCCATTCACGACGATGGTTTTATAACAAGTTTAGTGGAGCATGTATTGCTTATTCTTCCTTCGTACTGCACGAGTCGAACTCATTGCGTATGTAATAAATGACCATGGAAAATTGCAGATTCACGAATCGCTTCGTCCATAACAATATAATAATTGCAGAAGGAGGATGATACTGGAAATCGTGGTGGTGGTCCATCCAAAGGGTGGAAACCGAGAGTGACGCTCGACTCGATCAGTCTATGCCCAGTCTTCGCCGGCGAATCAGTGCAGTGCTCTCTCGAAACTTTCTCCTTTCTTAAATACAAGAACCACTTTCCAGCCGAGGAAAATAAACCTTTTCTGAATATGGCTCAAAAAATTAAAGGTAAGTCGCAAGCCCTTTTGTCGCCCTTTTTAAAGCTGTGGACAAAGTGTAAATACTGCAACCTGTAAGAAATACAATAAAACTGGGTTCACTGAAGCCATTAGATGTACTTATTATTTTACGACAAGGTGAATCAGACGATTGAGTTATAAATATATTAGTCTGCTTCTCATTTCATTATTCCAGTCTGCTGCTGGCTGAGTTGACCTTGGCCTTGCATAATATATTATGTGTGTGACTCGAGTTCTGGAGTTCGAGTGGATTGACTCCATACTTTTACTTAACTTCATTCATATTAAATGATCTATTTGAATATATGATTTAAAAAAGCGGCAATGGGTTGAAAGGTCAAACATGTCACGTACGCATTTAAAATGATTTTTGATTGATTTAGCTGGAGTCGTCGTTGATATAAATGGTGACGAAATGACCAGAATAATATGGGATGACATCAAAGCTAAGCTCATCTTACCATTTCTCGACATCGATCTGAAGGTGTACGATTTAGGAGTGGAAAACCGTGACGCGACGAATGACCAGGTCACTATTGATTGCGCTAATGCGTGCAAGCAGTACAACGTCGGGATTAAGTGTGCCACAATCACCCCGGACGAAGCTCGCGTCAAGGAATTTAACCTGAAGCAGATGTGGCGGTCGCCAAATGGAACGATTCGAAATATTCTTGGAGGAACGGTATTTCGCGAAGCCATCATTTGCAAAAACGTCCCTCGTCTCGTCCCTGGATGGAAGAAAAGCATCATTATCGGGCGTCACGCTCATGGTGACCAGTATCGCGCCACCGACTTCCTCGTCCCCGGGGAGGGCAGGCTAGAGATGCGTTTCGTCCCCAAGGACGGTTCCCCTGAGATTGTGCATGTCGTTAATGAGTTCAATGGGTGAGTGACCATAATCCAGTATGTGATGTCGTATCGTTGGGTTTTACATATGTAAATTGAATTGATTGCCTTATTTATTTATCTGCTCGTCTAGGTCCGGTGTGGCAATGGGGATGTATAACTTGGATCAATCCATTCGTGATTTTGCCTACTCTTCTATGGAGTATGCATTAGATCGCAAACTCCCACTCTATCTTTCCACCAAGAACACCATCCTGAAGAAGTACGATGGCAGATTCAAAGATATTTTCCAAGAAATTTACGACACGGAGTATAAGTCAAAGTTTGAAAAGGCAGGATGCTGGTACGAACATCGTCTAATTGATGACATGGTCGCATACTGTATGAAATCTGAGGGCGGTTATGTCTGGGCGTGCAAAAACTATGATGGTAATTGATTGAACGATTACTCTATATGTATTCGAGCAACAACGCAATGATAACAACGACATGATCATGTATCTGCATATGTATCCATTAAACAAAATTTGTGTTCCATTAGGTGACGTACAATCTGATAGTATCGCCCAAGGTTTTGGGTCACTCGGGTTAATGACAAGTGTTCTAATTTCTCCAGATGGAAAGGCATGTCAATGTCAATAAATTGAATCACCTTGATGAGAAACACCCACTAATTGTTACATATATCTGCAGACTGTTGAGGCTGAAGCCGCCCATGGTACGGTCACTCGTCACTATAGGATGTTCCAACAGGGAAAAGAAACGTCAACGAATCCTGTCGCATCCATCTTCGCGTGGACACGTGGACTCCTCCACAGGGCGAAATTGGACAGCAATGAGCAACTCAAGAAGTTTGCCGAAACTCTGGAAGCTACTTGTGTTTCCACGATCGAGGCTGGATTCATGACCAAAGATCTTGCCATTTGTGTCAAGGGGACCATGAAGTAAGGATATATATACATACATACAAGCATCAATTAATTTCAACCTTTGAAAATTTATACTTATATTCCACGACAAATTATTTTTACAGTGTCGACCGAAAGGACTACATGGAAACTTTTGAATTTTTAAGCAAGTTGTCAGAGGATCTGAAGGTCAATCTGAAAGCGGCCGGACTAGCATGACTCGTTAAAAATGAGGGAACGGCCAAGTATTAAGAGAAATGTTTTAAATCATATCGTGAAATTTGCCTTGTCTATCTAATTTGAAACTCTACTATTCTTCTATTTTTGGATATTATGTATCATCGATCAAAAATACTATATTTTATATCCATGCCCCTGCTGTCAACCATTTTCCATTAGAGGTTGTGGTGGAGGGATGATGATTGATATTATATTTACACAAATTGTCAGTCCTTTAAAGTACGTATTGTATCATGTCATGCAATTCCAAACTCACCTTTATTCCCGATTGTGATGCTTCAACAACACTTCATGTCCCTTGCAATAATGGTCTCATTAATTATGATGATGATTGTTATATTTCATTCATTCATTATTTTTCAAGGTGCTAGGTTTTTGTGAACGTACTAGTTAATTGGTGCATTTTAATAGTTGTAGCGTACCATGTGGCTGGTTTAGTAACTGTGTGGCACGTCACAACTTATTGATCATCGTTATTGTCAATTTTATCATGTCCACTGTCATAATAGCTGCGCCCTATTCAGAGCCTATTATTCTATCCTGTTTTGTAACATTCTGGTTTTTACCTCTCGCATTTTCATTTTATGATGGAATAAAAAAAAGTAAAAGAAAATCTAACCAGTGTAATTAATTGGTTGATCACTGTCACTTTATTCCCGACAATCGTCAATTAATTGGTGCAACGCGAAAAACTAAACAATATACTTAATTCCAAAGCATAACAGCAATGCATTTCACCTACCAAAAGTGTATAATAACTTGCATTTGCATGTGCACTTGCTCATGGCGAGTTTACTCACACGCACCCAATGATATCTGCATCACCAGCGTATTCAACGCCATAAAAACTAGAGCAACCACTAATATTAGTGACCATTTAATATTTAACACGACAAAGGCATTTCTTAAATACTTAATTATTGATGAATGAGATGAAACGGAAGTGGATGAGGGTATGGATGATGATGAAAGATTATGAAATTATTTTCTCAGGAATTTGGCACTACTCCCAGGAACATGCATCAGGTCAAAGGTGGACATTGTTGTTAGATGTGAGAATCTCGCAGTGAGATGCATCGCGACGACACGTAATTGTCTGTAATTACAAAAGAGCACCCAAAGTGCACAAGGTGTGGGAGGGTGGATATGTCGTGTATGCATAATATTGTATTATGCGTAACCTCTGATGTGACTAATAATATGATTGCAATAATGATTCCTTTAAGGCTTTAGGCAATTACAAGAGTCCTTTTATGCATTCATCTGTTTGATTATTTCAAATTCTGTAAACCAAAGTTGTTGACTCGTTTGTGGAGAAAGCTGTCGCTTCTGCGAGATGCGTTCCCTCTCTGCATATGCACGTATGCATGTACATAAGTAGGTACAAATGCACATCTCGATGTGATTATGTATCGATGGCCAATCAACCCAGCCAAGTCACCACCACCACGATATTCGATGTCTTTATAAAAGCGGAAGGAAGTTGGTGATCAAGATCAGTCACATCAATTATTGCGAGGCAGAAGCAAGATGAAGGGCGCAATCTTAGTAAGTTAACAACTCTTTGGCAAATATATAGTTGACCAAGAAAAAGAAAGTCGAGTTTTTTTAATGCTCATTGCTACATATTGTACACCATCAAATTCGTATAACTAAATAGACACGCAATTACATCCATAGTTAACTATACATCCTTAAATCAGTGGTGTCTGGAATAAAAAATAATGGTTCGGGTGTTTCAGATATTAGGCGGAAGCCTGCTCTTACTGGGATGTGCCCATGCTGGTGGAGGTGGTGCTGGGGCTAGTGGCGGAAATGTCGGCAATGGAGGCGGTGAGTACACGACAAGTCCACTCTTCTCCTTCCAAGTTGGCGATGTCGGGGATGATGCATATGGATCCGGACCAAGCAAACCTAAAGGATTCTTAGCCTCATTGTTGTAAGTAACAAAAAAACATATGAAAGAAACTGTACTAGATCCTACTTCAAGCATCCCAATAAATTTGTGAGCAGCAGTGGACTCACGGGTGGTGGATTTAGAGGAAGAGGAGCAGGATTCGGTGGAGGACATTCCGGTGGCGTTGGATCGCCAGGGTCCTACTCAGCCGGTCCTTCTGGCTCGTCATCTTCCAGCAGCGGCGAAGGTGGCTCTGGCCGTCCAAGTGACAACCCTCTCGGACCTGGGGCTGACCCTGGACCCCTCAACTACCCCTCGATCATGTCGTCGTCGTCATCCAACAACAATGCCCAACAGCCACAACAACCCAACGCGCTCCTCCTCACATCTCAAGGCTCGTCGTCCGGTCTTTCAGTCCCTGGAGGGTTAAGGCCGTCGTCACCGAGTAATAATATTTTGGGCAGTAGTGTGAGTCAGTCTATTTCTTCCGGTGGTGCTGGTGGTCCACAATCCTCATTTAGCTCTGTGCCTGGACCCTCGTCGTCTTCCTCCTCTGCTGGACAGATGTCATCATTCGTGGGGACAGGACCCGGTGGTGATGCAACAATTAACGACATATTCGGTCCAAGCGAAGGCTACAAACCTGGCCCACCTCCTGGATTCGGCGGAGGACGGCCATTTCGACGAGGTCCACCACGGCCTAGATTCCCAGCCATGTTCTCCTGGGGTGACGCCAGCCCTCCACGTCGACCCCCTCCAGCAAAACAACTGCACCAGCCTCTCCATTCGTACAAGGGGGCTGCCTCTGAATCTATCCCAGTCCGAATTGGCAGTGCGATCATGGGTCTCTTTGGAGGCGGGCAGCAGCCACAGCAGCAACAACGACCCCAACAAGCCCAGGATGCAGCCTCGTTCTCCAACTATTACAGCGTCCCACCCCAGGCAAACGTTTCCCCTCAGGTGACCTCGTCGTTTTCATCGCCATCATCACCATCGAGTCCTGTGAGCAGTGGGATTCAGGGCCAGGCGTCTCAATTTCTCCCACAACAGAGTGCCCCCACCCTTGCCTCTCAACCTGGTCTCCCATTCCCCTCCCTCGTCCAAACATATCAAAGAGGGCCACCCCACAACCACTACCAGTCTCCACCCCCCAGGCATGCCTACTACTAAATAAAGAAATAAGCACATGAGGACAACAAATACGAAATAGCATCATCGTGGTCACAAGAATGACATGCTGTTGACTCTCTCAGATTAAAAAAATTGGGCTGTGCTATATTTTAATGAAATCGAGACTGATTAGTTAACCAACTCTCAACTCGCAGGCAGTCCAAATAGTCTTGTTAATATTATTTTGTTGGTTTTGTTTTTATGTAGGAAATGAAATAAATAAGTTGATCTTCGAGTCAATATGTAAGCTGGTCGTTGTTGTTTGTGAGCGAGAAGAGTGAAAGTGGATCTCTGAATCTGGTCTGACATTCCTTGTCGCACAAACTGTGTGACCAGTAGACTGACACATGTGTATATGCACGCTGACTCGTTTGTGCAGTCAGTCTCACTTTTTTAATGACGCATAATCAACGACAAAGCGCAATGATATATAATGAAGGTTTCGCGTAGGTCACTAAACTCAAACCCTCACCTGTCCATCATCTCGTCGTCAATTTAATATACGCTCAATAATAGATTCGACTCTGTCTGTTCTTGACGTATCGAATTAAAAAACCCCTCAGTATTTTATATAAAATTTTCATATTATGTACACATGTACCACAAAAAAATTCGAATTTTCCAATCAAATGTTGAATTAATTTGCATCAATTGCTTCATGTTTGGAACAATTACATAGGTATTTGGCACCAAATTCTCAAAGTCCTCACCAGTCTTTCCCCTTAACTGATAGGACAAGTGGGGTAATCGTCCTCCTAAAAATCTCCAAATTTCAAAGTCGTGTTCCCTCATTTCAGCCTTCCAACTACCTATAAGACTATTTCGAGTATTATGCACCAAACCCCCACCCACACCACTAATACCCCCACCGGTCCGAATCTATTTGGTCGAGCCCATTCTAACTCAGTCATTAAATTCCCCAGACACATGCTTTTTCCAAATCTGGTCAAAATCACGAGCCTTGGTTCGGGACAAAAACCGCACGGGAAATAGGTGCAGTTTGGTTCTATACTTTATTTGCAAAGTGATTGTCGCCATGTATGATCTATAATTAATGAGCATGCATGCTATGCATAATCTGAAGCTCCAACCGTGGTTGGACCAATGCCAGTGAAAAAGATGCGAAAATCAGAGAAGGGACTGCACTACAACATTCATTTCATGACATGTATTTGATGTGGCATATACGTAGCTGGCTCGCACCAAGGCTTATTGTTTGGTAAGCATTCGACGAGAATGTATGGGGCTAACGAGATGAAGCCAGTTATTTTGGATCTTTACACAAACACAATAATCCCCTGGCCCAGTTGTGCTTCAGCCTCGTTCCGGACCACAACCAACCACCAAAGCCGACGTTGAAAGAATGGCTTATTGTCTTGTTTTAATAAAGCCGAGCAAATAATGTAATTGTTGTTGATTGAACGTGCCGACTCTGTTTTGTTAGTTTCAGTGACAAACAAACACGCACAGCTCGTAAACACAATTTTATTCTCATTGTTGCTGACGCACGTGGTGGTGATCACTGATCAGACTGGTCAGTATAGCGACCAGCAGATATGCAGATATGGAGGAGATTATAACACAACTTGGCTTGTTTGCTGCGTCGTCTTGTTTATTAATTGAGTTCTTCGAGTAAGGTACATAAATGACAGTAAGAGATTTGCCATAAATAATAATACGAAAGGACGAAATACACAGATTGGAGTATGTGCTTATGTACGTAGCAGCAGAGTTATGCAACAAGTGGTCATTTCATATCCATGTACATAATAATCTACAAAACTCCAATAAATAATCTGTCCCCAGAGACATCATCCATCTCCATTAACTCTCAAATCCGCACTAATCCAATTCATGCAAGACCACCTTTTTTGCTACTACATACTCGTCCGTCTGAACCCTTTTGGATTAGATTAGTGAGCGATACAACAGTGATTTCAGGAGGAGGGGATGCCTACTATATTTTTACTACTTGATACAAGAGAGAGGGGAGTCAGTCAAGTTATTTTAGTTCAGTTTTTACTGTGAACAGTGGTGTTAGTCATCTCAGATCCAGCATTAAGCGAGGCTGATGTGCATAAGTGAAGTTATTATGTGGACGACGAGGGCGACGACAACGAACGCGACCATATTTTATTTCACTTGCAAGTAAGATGAGAACCACGGACTAATTGTGGGTCTAATGAGGTTCTGCAGTGTGTAGCACAGCAAATTGTGTACAGTTTGGTCTTACGAGTGTAAGCGGAGAGGAGGTTGTGATGCATAACTCTTCTGGACAAGATTTCCACTCGTAATATGATGGGCGACCAGAAGGAATCCAGTTAAACTCGAAGGACAACAAGTGATGGCAACTTTTGAACGAGTGGGGGCACACGCGGTGGTGGTCACCCTGCTACTTTTCCAAGTTTGTGCTAGTCTTTCTCCAGTCCAGACGGGCGTAGACGATACTGGGTCAACATTTCCATTAAATTCCAGCTTCATAAAAATTGGGTAAGGATTGACCTAATTATATGTACTGAATTGACATCCTTAAATCATCTCTGATCTGATTTTGTCCAGGAATGAGAGCAGCCACTTGCTCTTTGGCGTCGACCGTGACAAGATCCGCACACCTTTCGGCCGAAGATGTTTGGTGGACGAAAGTGAGACTGGGATAATCTGTGCTGACCTTTCCTCCCACCAAGACCCTTTTTATAAACCACTCCCCACAATCAGGTTTGCAGAGTTGGTCAACTGCTCTCTGAATTTGGCCAGGTTGAAGGCCATATTTCCCAAAGTTGTCACCCTTGTCCTTACGCATAGTCTTCAACTTAATAATGGAGGCGAAGATGTGGGGACCTGGCATGAAAGTAACGGTAGAATGTTTGACGGGTTAGTTTCTTAATTATAATTGAATAATTTACTCTTATGACGGTGAAAATAACTCGAATTTCTCATTTTCCCCACAAGAACCTGGTCGTCCGTTCGTTTCTTGAACATTTCCTGGAACTCATTGAGCTCTGCCCCCGTTTCGGACCTACTCCCACTTTTCCCATCGCTCGAGGTGGTCGATCTCTCGCACAATTTCGTCAACCAGGTGGAACTAGACCTTGGTCAATTCCAGGCTTTGAGATGGGTCGACATTTCAGGTGAGCGGTATAAATTATTCGTTGTGGAAAATCATGTTCATATTTGCAATTCGTTATGGCAGACATTGTGCACACATTTTACATCATCGCATCGCTCGTCCACCATCACTTTCCATCATCGCACGTACTGTTTGTCATTGCAGTTCCAATCCAATGTCATTCTCGGCAAACATTATTCCACCCAGCCGAAAAATACACATTATGCAGGATGATGTCGTATTCATAGCGTTCTTATTAGTTACATTATTATTAGGAGAGACCTTGGTTGGGGTTGGTCGTCGTCGTCTGTTTACTTCGTGTACATATAGGTCTGCACAGTAACATCATTATCATACTGCGGCACATCACCCACAGCAGAGGTTCCATATTTGGAGTTTACTGTACAAGCGTCACTTGTGTGTTTAGCCAACGACCACCGCTGCAGATTTCGCTTACATATCACTGAATAACAAAAAAAACTGTGGATTTTGTGCTGAGGTTTTTGAAATGCTTACATTATGATTACCGAACTTGGCCTGTTACATAAAGATCCACAATGACCTAATGCAAAATTTGTTAAATGCATGCACCATGTATGTATAATAATAATGGCAAAATAATGGAATAGATGGCTGGATGGATGAGTAAGGAGTAAGGAGACTATTAAATTAACGATGAGCACATTTTGTTGCATGGTCAAATCGCTAGTCGGCAAAGGTTCATTAAAAAATTCTACGACAGCGTTATTAGTTACAACCTTGGAGGATGGAGGATGGCTGATTATGCAATGTCACGATCTCAGCGTTACAGCGAACTTTATATAGCAGGCTGACCCTACTGATTTATTATTACTTTACATATCTATATTGAGCTATGTACACTACGCGACTTATTTAATGCTACTAAAAGTACTTATTTTTTTTTTAATTTTCAATGAAATTGCATGGTCTCCAAACCCTGCAAATATGCAAACTTATTTTTACACCACTTGTTCATCTTATATTGAACTACATATTTACAAATCTTGGAATGAATGTAGCGAATATCGTTTTGTACTTGTACTAGTATCTGGAAATGCAAGTTTTACGCAATTTAACTAATGTTTCGCCAAAGATGGTCAATATTTTTCATGACTATTCTTTTCTGGGCATGCCTGCAAATCATTAGTAACACTGCTCAAATTCGGAACGCTCTTTCGTGGTCACAGCTTCATAATATTTAGAAGCTGAATTCGTACGTAGGTCTCATTCCCCGCATTAAATAAAATAAGTTGCTTAAATATTAACGAACATAAGTTGCGTAGTGTAAACTAATCTAGCCCAAAGTACACATATAAATAGATCTATTTTTAGCCACAACAAATCTTTATCTAATTATACCCATACCATCTGCACTGCTGTCACTGCATGATTATCATATCATTATGAAGATGATGATCCTCTGGCATGAATGAATATGTAAATATGTAAGCAGATGCTGATGAGCGTCTCACATGATCGTATGAATTGACAGGCATGCCAATTCGACGACAGCAAATAATATGCAAAATATTTTTACAAGCCTGGAAAATAATTATCATGGTTATGTTAAATACTCCTTTGGTATGGCGCAGGTAACCCCTTGAACTGCTCGGCCCCAATGGAATGGTTGGACGCTGGTCGTATAACCCTTCTCCACGCCGAACGCACCCTCTGCGATTTACCACCTCATCAAAATAGGGCCAAACCTATTTGGAAGGTCAGGAAGCTCATCAAGGTATAGAAAAAGTCAAGACCACGTAAATATGTATTTTTGTAGATGACAAAAATTAAATGATGACATCTTCTTGTTTGACTTATCGAGAACAGAAGGTTCGTGACCAATGTCGAGGAAACTGCAGCTGTGATATAACGTACATTTGGGAACAGAATCACATAATTCACTCGAAAATAACGGTGAACTGTTCGGGGAGAGGCTTCATTGATTTTCCGGACCCGGCCACACTCCCAAATCCCACAGATACACTTGACCTATCAAATAATGAAGTTCGTATTTAATTAATTTACCATAATTGCTCAACAGTGTGCAACAAGGAAGCATTATGTATTACAACAATTTCCTGTCTGACAACAACAGATAACATCAATGCGACGCTTCGTGGAGGACGATCGATTTGAGGCGTTGGATGTGATGAACCTCCACATGGATTCGAATCATCTCAAATCTATCGCATTGTTGGAGACGTCCAATTGGTTTTACAACTTTCAAATCTTTACGTTTAGAAATAACTCGGTTTCAGAGGTGGGTTGACAAAAAATTGCATACATTTATGTACACCGTACATACAATAAATGCAAATTTTGAACATGTGCAATAGGTCCCCGTCTACGTGCTGGAAAACGTATTTTCTCACAACAAACGCATCCTACAAGTGGACCTCAGTCTGAATCCATTCCACTGTGACTGCACAACCCTTTCTACTCTCAAGGTAGGTGTTCTCATCATTCAAGTGATTAAAGAATTAGCGTTAATCCGCATGATCCGCCCGCAGATCTGGTTGCTCAAACATGCTGCTAACATCAAGCACATCGAAGACGTTCGCTGTCTCCAAGGAGGATCACAAATCCGTTACATGCGTCACGAAATGTGGTGCACGGTTGAAGAGGTTGGAGAGGCTGGGCTTGTGGACATATTCGACATGATCAGTTTCTTCCTGGTGCTTGCCATCTTTCTCGTCGTGGCTAAAGTTTACTATGACTATTGGAATTTGAAACATAATGGGAAACTTCCCTGGGTGGCCACTAAGATGTGAGTGAAACAATAATGTCTGGGATTTGTATAACGACGAGGTCACGAATCTGATGACCAACGATGCCCATGCAAGAGTCTAAGGAAGATAGAAGTGTCAACATAGTGACAACAGAAAGATGGCCACGATGACCAGTAGTGGGGACCAGTTCGCAGCAATGCAAACCAACATATAATGCTCAATTTCTTTTATGTATTTCTTTATTAAAAATATCTCACAAAATGTAAAAAGTAACAATAAGTATTCATTACATAAATAATAAGTACATGTCGACTTGGTTAAATAGCACCACCAAGTAATTTCTGACAAGAGAATAAATTATTATTGCTTGAAAATTATGTCACAACGTACAAAAATGTCAAGTACCATGTAGTTAAGGCGTAAATGCATACGTTTGTATTATCAGTTCATCAATTATTTATTAGTAATCCGTTAGATTGCAGTAAGGCTTTTCCTTAGTCGTAATTTACTATATATTGTTGCGACAAGTTAAATGACTGCTTAAAAAATTTCATCATATCACAGAGTAGAAGGGAACATCTGAAGATGCGGAAGCTACGTCCACCAAGGCTTTGTACACATTGTCAGGGTAATGATCAATCATCATTTTAGGTGTGACTCTGATCTCGCCAAAATCATTCCGATCAGCCCAGTGCCACTGATAGCGAGAGGATTCGTCCAACAGCTCAGGTCTGAACATCCATCAAAATAAAAATAACCAATTTCTATCAATTTAAGATCGTTAAAATCGTGTGCACTCACCTCGAGTCAAATATAGGCTTTTCTGTGATGTGCATAATCCGACCTGTTATGAGAAAACAATCCAAACTAATGATATTCTGGTATAGGAATGTTTGTACATAACGTTGTGGTCAAATGTAAGAAACTTAATCTGTTATTAATCATTATTCATTGACGCATGTATGAACAAAGAATAATGGAAGTTTGCCCTTAAACAAGAAATTAATATTCGATTCCTTTGTGTGAGCCATGTCCTTTGTATGTACATATAAACTTGCGTACTTTTACACGTTTAATATAACTAGAAAAAACCTTACCCGGTAGAAACATTGGACACCTAGTCACAGATTCACGTTGCAATTTTTGACTCACTTCTGCTAGTGATACCTGATAGCGGGCACACCCATCGCAACAAAAAAAGAGCCAAACAAACAAGAGTTAATATTCTACTTGTCCAAAGCCCATCAGCGTATAACTCTAATATGAAGTAAAGTCTCACATAAGTGTGATAGTTTGGCTGTTCCATGTCCCTTTGAAGAAGGACAGTATCAGATCGGACGTCTTGTTCGATCTCAGAAGTAGTGTTTGGCTTATCCTCAGTGGTGGAAGTAGAATGGGTCGTTGCCGTCCCAATGTTAGGAATTCCTCCCACGAGGAGATACCAGCACCCACCCACTACGATCCGATACTATAGCAAAACCAAGTTTAATAATTTAGTCCAGTATAAAGTAACTCGCAATAAGTAATTGTGTTATCATGATCGAACGAACCTTTGGAGCTTTGCAATCTCGTATCGCAATTATTAACGTTTCCTTAAATCTCTCAAAGGCTGGCACGCTAAGGCGAGAGACAATGTCATCTCCAATCACAATGGAAAGTGTGAAGGCTTCCGCAAATTCAGCAGCATCCAGAGAAAGCAGTCCACCTAGTCATAAATAATCGATAAAGACAACAAGATAGTTTAAGATAAAATTGAGTCTAATCTTTAGTGCGCCTCACCTGGAGGTGAGTAGGCGTAACATTTGAGATTCGGATACTGTGAGTATAAAAGAAAGCTAAGAACTGTTGCGGCACCAGCTCCCAAACTATGACCTGTAAGCACCAAATTATATTCCGGATACTCTCTCCTAGCTCTCTCGAGTATACGAAGAGCATTCAATTTCTGAAGTATGTTTCTTGCAGCCATCATCATCCCGTAATGAGCCTGACAAATTACAGGCAATTTAATTTTTGAAACCGACTGATTAACGGTTAGTCGTCTGTATTTCTTATTACCCGCAAGCCCTCTGGTATTCCAATTCCCTCAATCGGTTTGGCCTCCGCAGTAAGGTCCGTAATAGCATCGCGAAGTGACATTGTTCCTCTCACGGCAACCACGATAGACTTTGTCGAATGGTCAATCGCTACATAGAAGGGAGTTTGAAAGACAGAATTATGGAAGGATGCGTACCTGTAAAAAAGAAGCATTATATCTCCACTATTTATATGCTGTGATTTCAACCGGGTCCTATGATGTTAATAAATGAACCACAATATTTATGTACGCGTACCACAGGTCACAATTTTCAATGGATGTCGTCTGCTTTAGAGCCGAGGTATTACAGTAGCAGCAATTATCCCCTTCCACGGAACATGGGTGGGATCTAAAATAAGCAGAAATATTTAGATATACTTGAATTAATTAAAAGCGTGTCAACCAATCAAGCTTATTCCTAGTTCAACTTACACGCAACACCCACAACAAAGAATGTTCTCCCAGAGTCGAAAGAGTCCACTTTTTGGATTCGCTACTAAAAACCATGGCCAACCATACGAACCGAGAGCATATTTCATAAAGTGGGTCACGGTCATGGGTGAGTTCCAGTTAGACGTGATTTGTGCCACATCACTCGATCCACTGCTGTCTAAAAATGATTTAGAAGGGCCTCCTCCTCGACGCCCTTTGAGCTCGCTGGCTTCTGCTTGAGCCTTCAAATTTATTACGATCAACCCAGCAGCAATATCAGTTGGGACGAGGTCAATTTCTTGGTCGAATACATACGCCATGATTTTACCAACATCCTGCAATAATCCCCAAAAAATTTGCATACTCAAATATGAGCATGACTTAAACATACTTTGTATACCTTAAAGGCTGACCGGTGAACCTCATCTCCTCCAAAGCATGAACACATGATAAATCGACATCGCTTTTCCCAAACGCGATGACTCCGATGATCTCCATGAAGGACGCTGTCGCGGAATCGGTCATAGTCCATGTCCATGTCAAACGATTTATTACTTGTGGCTCCACTAGGATCAAACACTAGTCCAATAAAGACAACCAGGATGAAAATCACGACCCAATTTAGAATTACTAGGCCTGTTTGGATAAGAAATACAACACATTTTTACACAGGGACGTAATGCAATTCTGTTGAGCATATTGGAAATATCAGTTACATTTGATAAGAATCAAAGTCTCGGGTGCATCATTGCAAATAATTGTTCTCGTAAAAACCCAGATTGTGCCTAGAACGTTCCAACCAATTTCTGAAATCTCTAAAAGGCACCTGAACCCAAAAGAAGGTGTTTTGTTAGTGTTTGGTTACATTATATACATCGTCGTGATACCTGAGATACAAAAAAGGCCGGACTAGCCGTCGTGCTTGCGTGTCCAGCATATTTCCAGCCATGGAGGCCTGAACCAAGGCAATGTCGGAAAACAAGATGACCAGGAGGATGATGGTGTTTCCCCAGAGGTAATTTCTCATAAAATGACCCCCCGGACATCCAAGCTTATCTTCCTCCTTCCAGTACACCACACTTCCCCCAATCAACCTATGTACATAAAATCAAAGAATTTATAAGATCATAGAAATTTACTCATTTAATTCATATTTTATCACTTACCAGGATATCCTAAAAATTGCGTCGATAAATGCAGGGAAGACAAAATCGTCGCTTGCGACTTGCCACCTTCGCCCGAAAGCTACGAGCGCAGGCATGATAATGATAAGACTAATTAATCAATCAGGTCTCGCTCGAGTGAGAATCAACCCAAAAAATCTCAAATTGGTTTTGCCAGTGTCGTTGGTCAAAGACTATAAAATAACAATTCAGTTTCAATCCAAGCTCAATTATTTTATCAAGTTCATTGTTAGCTGCAGTAATTGTTCAATTTAATTGAATCAATTGACAGAACCGAATAACTGCAAAACGGTACTTTTTACGCCTTCACCATTTTCAGTATACTCTTGGTTGTTTATTTTAGTTTTGAAGTATATCATTAATTTAGTTGGGTTATTTATGATTACATTATTATGATTATTGTGCGACCAAATAAATTGATCAATAATAACGGTAAATTTTTACTATTTTAAGACTTGTATTTAAAGAAAAGGAAGCACGTTTGTTGGTATTTATGCAATCAAGAAGTGAGGGGATTCCAGATGATCATCACACCGAATATGCCTATGGAACATAATATGCATATATACTTTATGATGACATGTGATGTATGATTATATGACTAACTTCATTCTGATCAAGATTTAGCAGTTTACTTTTGTTGTATAAAAGGATAAATGCATGTCATGCAGAAACAGATATATCCACTTCAATCTGGAACAAATGAAAATGGGTACTGAACATGGGTTATTCAATGCATGGGGCAACATTTCTAGTCCCATTATTGCATGGGTCGCATTGTAATAATAACAAATCTATCTGTTTCACTTTGAAAACGGGAATTTATTTGAACGGGAAACGAATCATATCGACAGGAATTATAAAGAAGTTTTACATGTACCAAATTATACAAAATTATACGCGGGCATACGTACCATATTGATTAAGTACAATGTAATTTTAGTAATTACGCATCAAAATGCATCGCATCATTATTATCATTCTCATTCACATATATGTATCCAACCATAACCATAAGCTACTTTTCCGTAAATTATTACACATCGAAATAATCAACATGCTCCCCTTTCACAAATTGCTTATTTTCCAACACCGTAATCAGCTTGGTTACAGAGGTAAGTGGAGATAACACCTTTCCTGAAGTCAGTGTCTCGTTCATGATCTCGGTCACGCTCTATACAGACAGAAGTTGTCGGTAAAATATATTAACACAAAATGGTCCATCGCATTGTCTGAAATCCCGTCTCGTATAAAGAAAACTTGTCCTTACAGATTAGATTACAGTTTTCTTAATTGTATAATTATTTACTATTGGTTGGAAAAAGTTTTCTCTTTTACGACGTAACGCTTAGACGTGACCAGATGACACGATGGAACGCGGTTACATGTAATCAGTTAAGGTTAAGGCTTACTTGGTCACCAGTTTCGCGACAAGCTTCATGGAACATGTCGGTTTCTACTGGCCCAGGAGCCCAGGAAATCACCTATTATTGTAAATGAAATGAGTACTTATTTCCATGTGCAATGAGAAACAACAATTTAGAAACCTCACCTGAATTCTAGATTCTTCCATGGCTAATGTTTTCATTATCATATCACGACACGCTTTCCCGGCAGAGTAATACCCCCAACATTTAAACGGGTCAACTCCAGCAAGGGATGTAATTTGGACGACAGATCGCTGTAGTATACTGCAGAAGTCACATTAATTTACAAACATAAATATTATAATAGATTTAGATTCTGTAAATATCATCATCATACCTTGGATCCGTCTCGTTAAAAACCTTGAAAAACTCCGACGTGAGCATTATCATTGAAGTGATATTAACTGTCCAATAGTTTTGAATCTCGGTGAAATTATCCATCTCAATAACGCGACGTTTGGCATTCCCCAGATTTCCAGCATTATGGACAAGTAAAGCATGTTTGAAGGAGGTTGCAGTTTCTTGAACTCCTTCAAGGGCAGAAGATATCAGATTAGCGTATTCTTCTGCAGAAGGATGCAGAAGGTCCATAACGGCCGTGTGAACATTGATCCCTTTTCCCTCTGTGCCAGCAAGAATTGTTTCCTTTGTACCCTCTAGGCCTTCAACAGTTCGAGCGATAAGGACAAATAGTGATCCTAAAACAACGAATGCAATATGTCGTATTTGTTTATATACGTGTGATTTTTTGTAATATAGCAATCATGGCTCCAATGTATGGTATATTAAGATAAAGCAGTCAAACTCACCTGGAGCTACATGTTTCGAAAATTCAATCGCAATGGTCTTTCCAATGCCGCGACTCGCCCCTGTCACGAGGCAGAATGTTTTAAGTCCCCAGAAATTCATTCTTGTTGTTTTTGATTTGACGACGTGGACGTTGTTGTCACCTCGACCTCGTTTTCTTCTTCGTAGGTACTGATTGATGCAGCTGCCACGCCCACCTGCAAATGGTCCGCGTCCAAGAGGTGTACAAGTTCCTGGGTGGACAAAGCCTGCTTCTCGGGGGCTAGTTTTTGAAACAGAAGATTCGCCTTTTTCAGCTCTTCGTCTTGATCTAGATCTGTCTCAGGGCAAGGGGGTGAGGTGTCCAGAAGAAGGCTTCGTAGGGCCGCTTCCTTACTTTCTTGCAGAGAACGGAGGATGTTGGGCTGCTGTTGAATTTTTGAGAGGCGCTTTTCTGCAAGATTATTGGGTAACATTTTATATACTTTTAGATTTTTTTGTTCAGAAAGTTTAAAAAAACCAAATAGAGAGATATTCCATAGTTTATGCTTACCCAGGGATGCGAGATATTCCTCAGAGTCTGGAAGTTTGACGAATGCTGCTGGTCGGTCTGGACAATCCTCCTCCGGATCAAGTTGGGTTAGGTCTGATTTAATAATGAAATTGTCCTGGAATGTAGCAGTGCTGTTATCGTCACTACTACTAAGAAGACTGCCCTGTTTTTGTTGTCCAAGGTCGTCCACTTTTTCTGATGTCAATGGCCCAGATGAACACCAAGGGTCCATTAAGATAATTAACGATGGATAACTTGACAAACAACAGACCTTTTATCCGCCCACAATGATTTGGTAATTTAATTAGTTTTATTTATTAATACGGGTGGATTCTGTACACTGTGCAGGTGCAGCATTAACAATGTCAAAATATCAACTAGAAGTTCCAACAACAGAAAACTTATTTCCTTCCCCAAATGACAGAGACAGCAGAGGTGATTCAATACAAAGCGTACATGTAAATTTCATACAAAATCACATTCACAAGTAATAATTAATCTCGTACACATACATACATGCAGCATTTCTAATAGACATTTTCTATTTAGAAACAACAACATGCGTTACAAATTCTTCCCCAGCCTTAACACCACTGCGCAATTCGCCATCCCCGGAGACAGAGGCCCAGGTCATTTTCCTCGAATTGTGGGCATGGGCCAATACTCCACTTTTCGTTATCACGATGGCACCCCCATCTCCTCCCACTCTCTCCGTCATGCTATTCAAGGCAGTGAGACAAGCCGTTGAGGGGTCCATTCCTAAAGCAACACGATATTTTAGGGACATGATGAAGTTCTGGCCCAGAACTTCTGGGACGAGATGTAATATATAGTTTAATTACGTATAAAATATTTTCTCACCATTTGAGATAAAATTTGCAATTCTACTGGAAAGACAGACCCTCATTATACTTTCACCCAGTCCGGTTGCACTAATTCCGCAATTTTGGTCATCGCAGAAAGTTCCTCCGCCTGGGATTGGGGTGTCGCCTATGCGACCCGGCATCTTGGCGCAAATCCCACCCGTTGATGTCGCAGCTGCAATCTCGCCACGACAGTTGATCGCCACGGCACCAACTGTTCCGAGACTTTTTTCTTCCACACTGCTGGAATAGAACGGCCGGTGTTAGCATATAATTGATAGGCATATCGCATATAGAGATTTGAGATACGGACCTATCCATATTTTAATATGCATAAATTAGAATGATCACCTCTTGGTAATACAGCTCCCCGTTTCAGTAGATGGTGCGATATTTTTAGAAAGAACTCCTTCCAGCATAATTTTCGCCCTGGGTGAGACCAAGGATTCATTCGACACAATAGGAAATCCTTCTCGAACGGCAAACTCCAACGCACCTTGCCCAGCCAGCATGCAGTGCTTTGTCTTTTCCAAGACACGCCGAGCTACCGAGATGGGGTTCGAAATTTGGCAAAGTCCACCAACCCCACCTTAAAAGTTAATTAGCTTTTAATGTGATAATAATATTACACCGCTGTTGCTTGTCTGGCCCTTTGAGTGGTTTTGATCATCCCACATAGTATAATAAGTGGTAAGGTTAATTCGAAAAATACAATACATTTCATGCATTAACGCATCTTCTAATACATATGTATGTACATACCAGTCGATAAATCTTTGCCACGTATTATCATAGCGTCCATTTCCACGTCCCCCGCAGAATTGAGGACTGAACCGAAACCTTACACATCAAGAAAAAAATATTAACGTGCCACAACCAGGTTGTCTTAAATTTAGAACATTACAAAACATAATTAATTGTTCTTTTGCATACGTTTGGCATTAGAGCTTATCATTATATTATATATATACACCACAAGCATAGTCGCAAAAAACCCACACCGTTTGTGGCCAACAACCAAAAATATTCCTCGGTTTCTTATACAGTACATATTTCTTTTGATACATTTCATTTTGTTTATTGTATGCCAAACTTTGACCCGACTGACCTGCATTGCATTCGACATTGTCCTCCATAACTCTGACTGCAGCTTCCACCGCATCCAATACGTTATCCTGTCGAAGCAGAGTTTCCCATCCCACGACCGCTGCCGATCTGGTCACCTCCAGCTTTGATGCGTTTCTCTCATCAGGAAAATATCCGGCCCCAGAGTGAACTATTATTGAGGGCTGAATCATAGTTATCTTAGGCCTGAAATAATCAATAAGTGGTTTCGAAAACACCGACCCAACAACAGGTTTTGATACTATTTACTAGCAAAAATTTTCGTGTTTTGCAACTTTGTAAAGCTCATCGATTCAGGGCGAAGTGAACCAGACGTGAGTGTTGATAATTTAGTTATACTCGAACAATATGAAGACTTCCTCGTCTCTCACTTCCGGTTCGTCATCACCGACGCTGAGCAATGAAGAAATTGGACGGTATAGTCGCCAAATGATTCTTCCAGAGTTGGGACGCCAGGGTCAAGAGAAACTGAAAGGGAGTGGTGCACTCATCGTTGGCGTTGGTGGACTCGGTAGAACGACTTTCCATTGTATCTTTCGAGCATAATTATTAATATCTTAAATTACAATACGAACATAATAATTATAGGCTCCCCGGCTTCAATGTTTCTTGCAGCGGCTGGAGTGGGTAATCTACCCCCAATTATTATTAGATTGCTTAGCGGTTACGACACTCTGTAGTTTAGCTAATTGACATTCTGGGCCTTTCTTTTTTGCAGGTCGTATTGGCTTAGTCGATTACGACGTCGTGGAAAGGAGCAATCTTCATCGTCAAGTTGTCCACAGTGAGAAAACGGTTGGAATGTCAAAGGCCAAGTCAGCTCAAAATTTTCTCTCAAAGTAAGTTCCGTGAATACAACAGGTTATTTTTAGGTCACTAGTACCTAATTGGAACCCTATGTAATGTCTCGACAGCCTCAATTCTCACGTTATCATCGACATTTACGAGGAACCCTTCACGAATAGTAATGCAATCTCCATCGTGTCCAAATATGATGTTGTCCTTGACTGTACGGACAACGCAGCGACACGTTATTTGCTCAATGATGCTTGTGTCCTGGCTAAGAAAACGCTCGTTTCCGGAAGTGCATTGCGGTTTGAGGGCCAGCTAATCACGTATAATTATGCGGATGGACCCTGCTACAGGTATGAGAATTCACCAGCACAAGTTTTATTAATTTTTGATATTTTTATTATATACATATAACTCATTGAGTAAGAAAGAAAGCAACACTTCACCATTCGCAGGTGTTTATTCCCTATTCCACCACCACCCCAATTTGTCACCAATTGTTCCGACGGAGGAGTCCTAGGAGCTGTTCCAGGTAAGCCTTACTAATCCTAAGTAGTTTGTGTTAATAATTTTTAATAAGCATATACATGTAAATATAAATATAAATATAAATAATCAATAAATATTAATTAAGGAACGATTGGAACTCTTCAAGCACTGGAAGCTGTCAAGCTTTTGAGTGGTATGGGACCTTCGTATGTCGGGAAAATGCTCATGTTTGACGGAGTAACTGGATCATTTCGAGAAGTGAAATTAAGGTCGCGACAAAATGGATGTGCAGTTTGTGGAGACAATCCAAAAATTACGGAATTGTTGGAAGATTATCCAGCATTTTGTGGATCTGGTTATGATGACAAAGTGAGTTCATTTCGGAAATTTTTTGATGCAATGTAACTCGAACTCTCATATGTAAATGAGATTTCCTAAATGTATCAGGAAAAAAATGTTGACTTACTTTCGACAAGCGATAGAATAACCCCACAAGAATACGGTAACGTACCAAAACTACTAAACTAACATATGTATAACTGTGATGTGACTGTGATTGTGTGGATAAATTTATTAAATATTGAATAGACCGGATCCGTACATCCAACATTCCACATATTCTACTTGACGTTAGGGAACCTCAAGAACTTGGAATTTGCTCACTTCCTAATGTTTCTAAGAACGTTCCCTACTCTGGAATGGATTCAGAAATGACCATGATGGGGTTGGAAGACTTTTTTCTTCAGCATCAACAAGAACTCCAACAATCCAAAAATGGAACTTCCTCATCATCTCCACCTATTCCCGTGTTTGTTGTGTGTCGTCGCGGAAATGACTCGCAACGTGCTGTGAAACTTCTACAAGACAAGTTCTCCGGACTCTCCCTCTCCTTCAAGGACATTCAGGGTGGACTTCATGGTTGGGCAAAACATGTAGATACCAACTTTCCAATCTATTGATCTAGCTATCTACATATCCATTGATACAGTTTCTACTTTTGTATCCCATTTTTATTGTATTCATACTTTGGCAGTTTTGTAAAGTACTTAAACTAGTCGTCTTACCCTTCCTGGTGGGTACATGTTTTTAATTGGTGTTTTTGGTTAACTGCTGTTTGATATAAAAATAAAGTGGTTATTGTAAATTAACGTTATTTTTATTTTGAAATATAAAATGTTTGTTCCGAATATTATTTGTTATTCGTTTCTGTATTCTTCTTGAAGGAATAGTGAATATCTGGCAGACTTCGTAGCTTTTCTGCTGCTTGCTCAGGAGTCAGGTCACGCTGGGATTGGGCCAACATTTCGTATCTACAATGACACATTTGAAAAATCATTTACTATAAGGGGTGAGGTGTATGTGTAATACTGTGTACACTCCAATTTAGGTTTTTACCCACCCGACCATAAACTTTTTCACGGTGGAGGATCGGAGCAAAGGGGGAAAATACATGCCGTGAAATACCCAGTGGGAACAATCCTTCTGCAAGAACTCTCCAGTGGGAGCACCTGCATACAAATAATAAAACCTACAGACCTAATTTAACCCGTGTCAGGAATAGATTCCGCTTGTAAATTTGTATGACGTAACCAAACTAAACTATACTATTTATTACCACCCCAGGCAAAAAAAAGCATCACAATCGCAAACTGATTAACCCATATTATTATATAACAGCATGTATGGTTGTCCGAGTTGGTCTTACCGTGAAACCCCATCGAATAAGGACACGTTACCTCGAAGAGGTTATCATACTTAATCGTTAGCCTCTTAATCATATCTGCCAAAGTCACTCGCTCTTCCTTCGTACAATCTTGTAATCGTTGGATGTGGCGTTTTGGTAGGAGTAGTGTCTCATACGGCCTAAAATGCATATCTTTTTTACTAGTCTCAAATTAATTAATGTACAAAAGGTTCGATTTTGAGTACCACACTGCCCACCATGGCACCAATCCGACCCAATCTTCATTTTCGCACACAATACGCTCCTGAAGCAGGAAATATGTGTGTCCTCATGAATGATGTATGCAAATATGTCGAAATTCAATATACAAATTTTCACACCTTGCGTTTCAGTTCTCGTTTCACATAGTCCATCAGAAGTGGTGCCCCATGCTTCTGAAAATATTGGCGTTGAAAGTCATCTTTTCTCCGTGGTTCATTGGGAAGGAAGCCGGAAGCCCAAATTTGACAGTGAGGGTGTGGATTCGAACAACCCATGATGGCTCCCTTACCAAATAGCAATGACAATTGAATTATATCGTCAAAAATTAAAGTGAATTTGACCATTAGACGTAGTGACTTATTTCACCTTATTTTCAAATATTTGTACCCAGACATATTCTCTACCTAGGTCCAACATTTCTTCTACCCACCTATTAGACAACACCTGTATCGCATCGCATCGTCATACAATCAGCATTGCAAAACTATTTCTGTACCTATCCACCACGGCCAAGACCTCAAGATCCGTCATAACTGGCAATGTCACATTAGACTTTGGATGAAAGCACATCACTCGGCACGTCCCCTTAGCTGGGATTGCTTGGAAGAGTGTGTCCTCCTCAGTATTGGGGAGTGGACCTGGCACATTGTCCAATAGGGCAGGAAAATCATTGGCAAAGGTGAAAGTTGATGTGTAATTTGGATTCAGGGTCCCATTCGGTCTGACAACTCCAGGACAAAGGGGATTCTTGGGATCAAAGGGAGGGACGGACGCCGAAGATTGCGCAGGTTCCTCATGCCCGGCCCAGGGACCTTGGAGGATTTACAATTTACAAATATGTACTCAATTTTAATCATACGAATGAATAAGTCATACGTTGACACCGATGAGGCGAAATCAAGACCCAATCACCGGTCAAGGGATTGTACCGTTGGTGTTGATGTTCTAACAAAATACGACATTGATAAATGTAAGCAAAGTTGCCGCATTGTTTGCACTTAGTTAATTCTATTGCAAGTTATATGAATTTTGAATTACCAGTTGGGTTAAAATTGTCCATGACGTTGAAACGCTAATAATTTTGTGCAAGTGACAAATGAGAAGTTCTGATTAAAATGAGAACGTAACCTCTATTAATCAAATACTTATCATCATCAGCAGAGTGACGAATGTGACGATGACAGAACATCAACACATGACACGTGCAGTGCGCACAGCTGCAAAAATATCATCATAAAAATGCACAGCAGAGAGTTTCTTCCGAAACAATGTATTGCCATTGCATTGAAGTGATCATAAGTACAAGTTGTATGCATGCTGTACATATTATGTATACCCCAGTCTTTCCGGTTCGTGTTTGATGAAAAACGACACCATGTCGATCTTCAAATATAAACAGCAGTGAGTGACTCAGGTTGCTCAGTTTGTTTCGAATCACATTTCGTTAGAGAAGGCTCTTAAACGGAAATTGTGTTTGGGTGTGTTTAATAGTAAAATGTTGGACACCAAAACTTGTGAGTGTATAACAAAGCTTGTCGAAAAGTTGGCGACTTCTGGAAAACATCAAATTGATAAAATTGTATTTAGAGAATTTGTCAGTCATGCAGGGTAAGATAATTCCAGACTTTGTTTGGCATCCATTAAATCTGTATTGTTTAACTAGATAAGAAATAAAACTAAACTAATTTCTCCTTATTTATATTTCCAGGCAATCGGAAGATTACATCAAATTCACCCTTGAACGTATATTTCAACATTTGGAGCAGAAACATAGTGAAATACGACTTGGAGCATTTTTAATAATTGACGAACTGTTCAAGTACATTTCGACACAGATATTTAGCAAATCATTTTATAGAATATTAATTAATTTTTGTATGGTTCATTTTCTAGACGGTCGCATTACTTTCGAGAAATATTGCTAGATGATTTTCATACTTTTCTTGAACTCACCGTAGAGAGCAATCCTTCAAAGTTACTCCCACCTCCGCTGCCGACGGCAAAAATCTTGAAACAGAACGTATTACAAGCAATTCAAAAATGGTACTCGACTTTTGGAGTTGATCACAAACGATTAGCATTAAGTTACAATTTTCTCAAAAATAATTTAAAGGTACATTAAACTTAAACATTATAACTATAAATAATCACCAACGACCGACAATTTAATACTTTAAATCGCAGGTTGATTTCCAAGATGCCCTGAAACGAAATGCCAGTGAACTTGCTCAAGAAAGTCGTGAGCGACAACGACATGCCAAGGTTGTCGAAAAGAAAGTTCAAGGGGTGGAAGCCGAGTTAAACGACAACCAAGATGAAATTATGCAAGTCGTAACAGAGATGGATAATTGTTTCTGTCTCCTAATTCCCAAACCAAGCGATTTTGGAGAAAATCAAGTCGACGATGAAGAAGATTCGTCTTCTGAACAGCTCAATCTGCGAGAGCACGGATTTGCAACAACAGGAGTGTCAATCAATGTTCAAAGGTCGAGTTTAGGGAAAGTAGTAGTAACAGAAGATAACCTTCCCATAATTGAAAACTTGAAGGATTTAAATGCTCTGTTAAAGAATCGATTTATTCCTTTGATTAAGAAATGGGTAGCAATTACTTCAAAAGCAAGTACGTTTCTTCTATATCTTTATCACACGATTTTTACAAGTTTTCCAATAAAATTAATTTAACTAAAGTTATTATTACAATGTTTTAGCTAATCAAACGTTATTTAGGAAATTGATGGGACTAAAAGCAAGGTTGGAGAAACAAGTTGATCGATTCAATCAGATCAATGTGTCTCAAGATGATTCTTCAAAAAAAGTTGACTCATCAAGCTCATCAAACGAGGATGACTCTGATTTTGAAGACGTCCCTGAAAAAGAAGGATTCGAGTACGAAGTTGTTAGTCCACCTGTAGTGATGTCACCGCCCGACGCACAAAAACCAAGCACCAGCACCAGCTCGAAAACTTCAACTGGGTGGAGGTTATGGGATGTACAAAAGGACGATGTTAACGTAAGCGGCCGAAGCTGATGAAACTATCAATTTACTAAAGTTGAACTGTTTAACTATATTCAGGATCCTACATCGTTGGTTGCAACTCTAAAGTCTCTGGGACAAAAGACATCAGAGGAATCGGCGACGATTGCTAGCACGTCTCATGCAAGACGCCTCAATCATTCAAAGCAGACGCCAGCAGAAAGTGATACGGAAATACGAAAGCGGAAGTTAATGAAAATTGCTCCAAAGCTACCTTTTGACATTGATCTCTACCATTGGGAGGATAAAGATTTGAAAGCACCATCTGTAGAAATGTACGCATTATACAATATGGACAAATATTTAGTTTACTTATTACTTACTTTGTTGTGTGAATCTGTTGAAATGATGTTTGACACAGAGTTGAAACGGATGGGCACAAGTTTTGGACACCATCACAGGATAGAGGTGGTGAAGTTATTGATGATCCTAATGGCATCGCTTCGTTGCGTACTCGAGTTATCGAGTTCTCGGGTGAATTTGAGCCAGTGAAATGGAGTTGTCGTGCTCCACTGCCAAGTGGTTCCCTTTGTCCTCGAAAGGATCGCTTGAAGGTACGTGGTTAAATTTTCTAATAGTTACAAATCAGGGCATGTTTAAAGGTGTAAAGTCTTCTGAATTACGTGAACAAGGGGCTTTATTTTTGCCAAAAACATAGTGTCCACTTCACGGAAAAATTATTGCACGTGATGACATTGGGAATCCCACGAAACCTGAAGATATCCAAGCCTTAAATAAGGAAAAAGAGATGATGGAGAAGGACAAACCACCAGAGTGGCAGGATCCGCAATTTTTGAAAGAAATTGAGGTTGCTCTTAATAATAATAATAAATACTTAAGAATGTCAGAATTATACATTTGTATTAGACAATTTTTCTAACATAATCTTTGATTTAATAATTTCAAGATTTTTACACACTTTGGAGATTAATTTGATATTAATTTGTATAGGCAGCTACTGGAATGGACCTTATGATTCGTCCTCCCAAAAAAGGCAAACAGAAAAAGAAAACATTTGCCGAAATGTATCCCGGTTTGACAGACGTAGACAGGAAACGTAATACTCCGAGATCTCGACTGGAGAGAAAAATATTCAATAAGTACGTTCATATGTTCTATTTGACTGTAACTCGCTTTGTTCATTGATAATATATTTACCTGTGTGCACCACTTAATTTTGCAGAGCTTCAGTGAAACGGGTAGCGGAAACCTTAGACGAGCTCAGTGCGAAACGATTCAATGATAAGTTTGGAGATCAGTGGAATTACTCCATGGGCAATGAATGACAACTGAGGGGAATTATGTACAAGTTTTTACCTGTGACATGCTAATAATGTGTGACTATTTATCAACTAGTATTTATTAAAGTATTCACGAATAAAGAGCAAAATATCAGTACCAAATCAATCCTTCTCATGTTTTATAATGCATTTATTTAGTTGGATACAAGATTGACAGTGTACAGAAATATAATAAGACATGTATCTTTATCGATGATATAGCAAGAAATATGTATAAAACAGGAAAATTATAAATACTTGAAAACATCAGGTGGTATATGCACCATACATACTAAGCTTGAGGTAGCATAATTAAACCAGGACTTTTAGCTTTGTTAAATTCTTCTATCACTTTAAATATGCTTCCGATTTCTGTTGAATTAAATTCTTCTAATATTCTGCGCCGACCATCGCATAAGACATATACAAAGTCACGAAATTTATCCGCCAAATTCCTCTCTTTAATCAGGTTCAAAACCACGAATGTAACCTAATATAAACAAAATAAAAACTTAGCAAATTGCTTAAATTTCATGTTTACTTGCTCGGTGTTCGTACCTTTTTTATAGTAATGCGACGAACAGCGTTTATGTGCATATTTTCATCGTGGTCGGCAGGATTACAACAATCTCGGAGCCAACCACCATCAGGAAACATTAAGATTTTCATAAATGCCTCAATGGCTACTTTGCCATAAAATTCCAAAGCTTGCTGCCAATTTGTTTCCGTGATTTCAAGCTCTCTTTTCCTTTTTTCGTATAACGCCCGATCGGCCAGGCTATTCAGTACAATATCACCCATATTATGCAGTTGATCAGTAGGTCTTTGGGTTTTCGCTTGCTTCCACAGTGTTAGCGCGTCCTCGGCTTCCTATTAAAAAAAAACAATAAATAAACTACTATTTATAATCTTGAAAACAGATGGGCGGTGCTATTGCATAGACACAGAACTAGAATTGGCATACCAAGTACTCTCTGTAGCAAACGTATTCTCGTACAAGAGCTGGATATACTTTGTCTACAGCAGTTATGCATTCCTGAGTAATCTATATTTCCAATCAATTATACACAAACAATTTGCATTACTTATTTTAAATTGCAACGTATAACATTTATTTTAGAAACAAATAGTATACCTGCTTCGTGAGTCGTTTTACTTTGTCCAAATTTCCCAAAGTAAGATATTTTCGCGAAATCCACACAGTGTACCGCAGAAATTCTACCATTACTACTTCTTGATTTTCGAGAAGGTTGTAGCAAGAACTTATCCATTGGAGCATATCTACGTCAAAGTCTTCTACTTCGTCCCTAAACTTATCAACAATAGCTGTCGCAATTCCCAAGACGTCGAGCATATTATCTGCTGCGCCTTGTAAAAAGTCACGAATTTCGTCGCCCGAGTAGCGAATATCACAATTGATCTGACTGACCACTACAGATGTCTGCAATTCAGAGGATAATTTTTGAACATAAAATGGAATTCCGATGAACAGGCCATTCTTCACAAGGACCTACGCACCAAAACAAAAGGAATGCAATAAAGGAAGAACTACTTGAAAATAAATTAAAATTTCAATTATTCAATGCGACTCACGTTAACGTAGGCGTCGCACGATAAATTCGTTAATGGTTCATTGTAACTCAATTCCGCAATTGCAAATGCCAATAGCACATGTGTCAAAAATCTTATTAGATGATCCAAAATTATTGGATGATCCGCATCGCCACTGCAAGATCAACACGAACAAAATTAATCAAAGAGCACAACTTTTCAAGATTAGACACATCAATTACAATAAAATGAAAACTCACAATAAACTATCGATATTTTTCTGAACTTCCCTCAAGAATAATCCTAAATCATCTTTCATGGTGCATTTTTGAAGAAGTTGAAACATGTGATCAATTGTAAACTCGATTTTTTTCTCAGATGCATCCAATTCATTCAAAATATCTGTTACGTCCAACGCTTGAGAGAAATATTCGAGGGGCAGGTTGACTGATTTTGAGACCGTGTTGAGATTAATTAGCTTTTCCTCAATTTTTGTATTGACGGCCGCTTTCAAGTAAGCCCACAACTGAATACAAGAGGAGAAACACCAAATTTAGCATTATTCGAGATATTTTTGTGGATATATGTATACCTTATCCTCCCAAGTACTTGCAACATCTAGCATGGATTGTCGATGTCCACAACAAGCTCCAATCACAGATCGTTCCCATTTTGATGTCATATCTTGTTCACAGATTGACCATGCAATATTTTTCCAGAGTAGTCGGTGGGGATTTCCAGCTACAACATAGCTGTGCTTAGATCGTTTTGCATTGGGGGTTTCAAGCATATGATCTTGATGTACATGCGACAAGGTGGGAATCGTGCCATCTTCATCAGTGTCCTCATCACTGGCTATTTTTTGAGACATTATGGAACCCAAAATTGCTTTCGCTTTTGCAATATGGCCCGACTGATGTAAATAGCTCACAGCCTTGTCAATATTTCCAGTCCGCAAGTAATGAAATGCGCCTCGCTGTATTCGTAACTCCTCGTCCTATTATTACACCAAACACATTTCTCAAAATATACACAATAGGATAGGTTACAGATAAATATGCTTATGATTTTATTTTGGCGATCGTCTTTACCGCATCCAATGGATGAAGTTCTTTGTTTTCACGAAATGGAGCATCAGCATCAATCTCCGATACCATGAAACCACCCATTTTTTTCAGTTGTTTATCCCTCTGAAGTAAAAATTAAGTAAATGATGCACTGAACTGATAGCCAAACTTATTTTCAGCATGTTTACCTTCAGTGTATCCAACGTTTGTTCCCACGCGATAAGTTTGGGAGTCAGATCAGGGTCAGCTTGTCTGCTGTAATTTAGCTCCAACCAGCTAATGATCATTCCCATCTACCCAAGTAAAAGGAACACATTGTCACAACCATAAGACTTTTGTGCACTCGAGTTTTGCTATAAAAATCAAACTTACCTCTTGCAAGGTTTTATCGCCATGCATTATAGCGTTAGCATAGGTCATTTCGTCCAGTCTGAATCTGTCGTCAATCTCCTGATTGAATGGCACTCTGGGATGCTCTTCTTCTTTTTCACTCAGCCGATCAAAATACAACGTCTTGATCAAGTCCCACGTTTCATATTCCCTTTTCAGCATTCGGTGTAACTGCATTAAATAAAGTTATAAATAAAGTAAAGTACATCTCAGTACAGCATTGCATATGATTTGTAATCACTATAATTTATTTTCTACAAATTGCATATGCCGGGGCATATGTTTTACATATGCCCCTAAATACTTGGATTATTTATTTGGCACTAATTCTTGCATTAATTGTGTTAATTCTTCATCTTACTGGTATGTGACACCCAATTTTTTGAAGTACTCACTAATCCGTCCCCTTAATTTCCAGGACAGGGTCGCCCTTATAAAAACTTCATATTCTTTCATGAGAAGCCATTTGTGCAAAATTTCAGCTCTCCCTGATACCATTGTGTCGAATTTCAGCCTTTTAATTGTAAGATCTATTTCGAGTGTTATGCATCAAACCCCCCACCCACGCCACTAATATGTTCTCCACCGATACGGATCTTTTCTCGGTCGAGCCCATCTTTGAACTCAGTCGTAACATCTCAGATACATGTTTCTCGCAAACTTGGTCAAAATCGGTCAACACGTTCAAGAGTCGTCGAAAGACAGACAGGTGGACCGAAGGACATGAGCTACCTAAGGTCTGGTTCAGGCTAAAAATTGGATACACGACATGTGCATGCTTTCAACTCTTTCATTAGTCACAATTCAGTTTGATGATTCTGATGAACTGATTCGCCACGAAGTGATAATCTGCAATCTCTGATTACTGTGCAAGTGTCACTTGCACAGTAAAAATGCAAAATGACTTACCTTGTCATGAACGATATCCGGGATTTCTGGATCTAGATGCCGGTCAATATCTAACGCTCGTTCAATATGAATCATCCACTCGTCCATTACTTCAAATAATTGAAGTCTGGTCGGCATATTTGCAATGGCTGCGACAAATGCATTATGAAGATGATTCACGGCTGAAATTAAAACAAAACTAGGTTTAGTCTAACATTCATACACGTTCAAATCAGTCACGCCCTATAATTTTTTAACATTGATGAGTGTAGCATATTAATTTGTGATTACAAGTTAGTCCTTCCACACTCTGGTTAAATGAAATTCCTCCCCGCAGTTGATCAGTTTGGTTGTGCGGAAAGAAGCTGGATTCTTCAAAGGAATGGTCGCGAAAGCCTCCAGTGTTGTGAAGAAAGTGTTCGCCGTCCTCTTTCGACTCCAGGATGGATGATTCTGCAAAACTGACTTCGAAACCGTTGCCCCTCTCGCATACAGAAGACGAGGTCGTCATGTTGAAAATATGTCGCACGACCAGAGAGAGTACCGAAATTGAACCCTGTGAGTGTAGAGACCACCACTTTGACCACCACCGATTTTTATGTAAAGTTATTTTATTTTAATCTTAATTTTAAAAAATTGCAGAGATTGAAATTCAAAGTTTGATATGTGAGAGCCGGTGACTGTTGAGAACCAATAAACATGAACCAAACAAACGAAAAACGTGTTAGATCACCCGCTCGCGAGCGAAATTCATGCCGCCAATGAGCAGTGGAACAATGTGTTGAGTTGATCAGCTCATAAAATGATAAAGTTGAAGTAAGAGTTTGCTACAAAATTTCAATTTTTGAAGTTTTACTTTGTTGGACATGTCTTTGTCAGTGATTCAGCAATTGCGGTTGGAGAGCAACCTCGGCTCATCTGCGAGAATTGGCTGGGAGCGACTTTCTATCGGCTTTGACAAGGAGCAGGCTTATTTGGAACTCATGTTGAGAAACACTGTGGTCGGAGATGCAGAAACTGGCAAGAAGCGATCAACTTCCGTCATTGTGTATGGCATTCCAGGCTCAGGAAAAACGACGGTAAAACCATCTTAATCGTGGTTGTGGTTGTGTGTAAAAAAAAGAAAGCGGATACCGTAATTATTAATTGCGTGACTTATTTTTTTTGGAACTTGATTTAAGTTGGTGGAAAGCGCCCTCAAGAAATTGGAAAGCAATCACGAATCATTTTGGGAATCTAGACAAGTCGTACGACTGAATGGTCTGCTATGTGGGGATTTCAGAAGCGCAGTTGAAGAAATATGTTGGCAATTGAGTTTAAAGGGTCCATTTCAAGAAGAAACTGAGAACGGAGGGGCCGAGAATGATTTCTCTTGTTTGGAAGATTTTAACACTGCAACTAGTTTTGAAGGTATAATAAGTCGTGTAATATAACTCAACTGATTACAATGAATAAAATTGTTCTCTTCTTCTAATATTCCACACAGATCGATTGGAACAGGTTATGCAGTTTTTGAAGACAAATATGGAGAGCTTGAATAAGTCTATCATCTTTATTTTAGACAAATTAGACTTATTTGCAGAACATCCAAATCAGCATCTGCTGTACAATTTGTATGATTTAGCTGCCAACTCAAAGTCCACAATTCCAATATGCATTATCGGAATTACGGACAGGGTGGACGTCCTGGAGATGTTTGAGAAGAGAGTGAAATCCAGATTCTCCCACAGGAATATTAACGTTTGCCCAACTTATGACTTTGACAAATACAAGGAAATCGCTCAAAGGTTGATCAGTTTTAAAGAAATGCCAACATCCACCAACGACACTTCTACAAAGAAGAAGAAACGACATGCTCTTTCTCCTGAGAAATTGGATTGGAACAAGGACGTGGAAACTTTATTTACAAATATTGAAGTACAAAGAACGCTTAGAGCGGTGTTCGATATGGATCCTACCATTCTCAAGTTGTCGTCGTTTTTGGTAAAATATTAAAAAGTAGATTTTGTAAAACATGTCGCGTATGCATATAAATATTATTGGGTGTGCACAGTTTACAGTTTTAATAAGTGCTGAGGAAAGCTTAACTGTCAGGAAGTTTCAGGAAGCGTACGAAGACAACGTCTGCCAAAATGATCCTGTGAAAGTGGTATTGGATCTCCCAATAACGGAATTAGTAGTTGTAAGTGGTTAAACCATAATCTGTTCGAATATTCAGAAGGATTTCCAAGTAATTATATTCATTTTGTTGCAGCTTTTATCAGTATACAAACAAATTCAAGGCCAAATGCTTAAGGCCTGGCAACCTTCAAGTTTGTATAAAATCGTAGCGAAAATCATGTCATCCTTCGGTCTTGGGAAAGAGGACTACTTAAAAGCAATAACGAAACTTGAGGTATGCAAAACTCTTATCAGTGGAGACGCGTTTGTGGGCAAGGCTTTAGTTTTGTCTTTAACTATTAATAGATGCTTCAATTGATCGTACCTGTGAGCAATACTCAGCGAAATATTGGAGGCGTTAATAACGTTGGAGAAATTTTCTACAAATGTGAACTGACTTTTTCTGAATTCAAAGACGTATGGAAAAAGTACCCGAACCTTCCGAGTAGCTTTAAAGAGTTATTGTAACGAACTTATATATTATAATATATCAACATATGATATAATATAATGCATTTTGATACATATATATATACGTGATATTTTCATATTTTATATTCGTCTCAAGTTGTCTATTATTGTTCCTTGTACACGTGGTTTTAATTTTCGTACTGTTTTAAACTGTGAAAGAGTAAAAAGGTTGTGCTAGTATCAATTGTTTAAGCAAATGAGTTATTTTTTAAAAAGGACCAAACCCAATTACCTGTATATTTAGATGTTGATCAGTTAATTCGTAAATTCGTAATGCATGAACAAAGAGGTGCATTTTCATATGACGATTATGGTTGCAAGTAATGCAAGGAAAGGGTTGGATTGATTTTGCCCCACAATCTGTTTCTAAACCCAGCATATGGCAGGATATTTTATACGTATGGTGTAAGTATGTTTGTGAATCACGAGGTTGAACATTTTAGGATAGGAATACGAGAGGTTGATGTATACGCGTTTATAACATCAGAATATTATAATCTCTATTCTCTATTCTTTTGCTGCATAAAATAACTGTTGAGTTTGTGGGGCGTATGTACATTCATATATCATGGTTAATTAACAAGTCAATTTAATTTTGGGTGGTGGCTCACTCACTCGCTACCAAAATTTCAGTTGTTCAGTTAAATAGACAACTTTAACTTCATAGTTTCCTTTTTACTTAAGGGAACCTTATGTTTTCATAATTTCCATCAATTCTTTTCGCCGTACTAGGAACTAGGAACTGACATTGTAGGTAAGATGAAATATCCAAAATAAAGACCAGTGACCGCATAATGAAAGTAAACTTATTTTTGTCAAGATAAAGTTTTATAGTGCGATTCTTTTTGCAGTTGAAGCTGAATATTCAAAGATAATCAAATAGTAGCCCAGGAGGCTTAACAAAGGCAAAATGTCCTTGTTCCAGAGTGAAGAGATGACCCTGTGCCAACTGTTCTTGCAATCGGAAGCAGCATACCACTGTGTTAGCGAACTTGGTGAATTGGGCCTTGCTCAGTTTAGAGATGTAATAACGAGTTCATATATTAATTACCCACGCACTTTGATAAGTCTGATGAAGGAATGATAAATTGTGTACCTTTGCAATAACATTTTTCAGCTCAACCCCGATGTGAATGCATTTCAAAGAAAGGTATGACAAATTTATTGGATTGCTTCTTTTACTATATCACCTATCTTCGTCAGGGTTAACAGCTTTATTGTTTACCAACAGTTTGTCAATGAAGTCCGACGATGCGATGAAATGGAGAGAAAGTTGCGGTATTTGGAGAAAGAAATTAAAAAGGACGGCATTCCGATGCTTGACTTGGGAGAAAATCCAGATGCACCACTTCCTAGGGAAATGATTGACCTCGAGGTAACATTTAAAAAAATTATTTGTAGATGTTTTATACAATTGAATGCCAACCACTCTGGTTTATTTAGGCCACGTTTGAGAAATTGGAAAATGAATTACGAGAAGTTAATCAAAATGCCGAGGCTTTGAAGAAAAATTATCTAGACTTGACAGAATTGCGACACATTCTTCGCAAGACGCAAGTGTTCTTTGATGAGGTACGTGGTTGAACTTTAATGCGATTGGGGATGCTTTATTTTGGATTTTATTAAATTTTGTGCCAAGTTATTACTTTTAATTTGATTTCGAAATATCAACAGCTTTTTTGAGGATGATAAAATTATTGAGTTGCACTTACTTGAGTTTTGGCCAACGCCGTTTTTATTTAAATGCCATACTATATATATTAAGTTTTTGCATTTTTGCGTTGTGTTGCTTGCAGCATGGGGAAATTTTATGTAGTAATTGTGTTTACTGCTTATTTATGTTTTTTGTCCCAACTGATTTGTGTGCTTTTCAATCAAACGTCGTGACTTGTTATTAAAATTAATATTTTTAACTTAGCATAAATGTTAGTTTGACAAATTATTAGCCTTAAAGTAATGTTCTAAAAACAATGTCCTCACATGGAGAATATTTGGTTGGATGCATGCTTGTGTAGATGGGCGCAGGAGGAACGGGGTCTCCGGCTCATCTCGGCCATTCAGAAGGATCTCCTGACCATGACGAACATACTGGTTTGCTCTCTGAAGAAGGTCAAGGTCGCACTGGCTACCAAACCTCAAAATTAGGGTAAAGACTCAACAATAGTTAATTTCACTAGGATAACATTGAGCAGTACATAGAATGTGTAGTTTAACTACTTTGAGTTTGAATAGTTGATTATTAACCATACTTACCCCTTTAATCATAACAATTGTCTTCGTGTCCTCTGATAATTCTCTCTGCTTTTACTCACCTTTTCTACCTACATATTTATTATTTTTATTATGGTGGCGGTTACAGCGATTGCAAGTAGATTGAACATTTATTAAACATATTTTTGTCTCTCTCTGTGTGTATTGTCCTGTGATGTGTCAATTTTATGTCCAATCGAACGAATGACAAATCCAAGATTGGTTACAAAAGTGGCGAGAGGAACAAAATCGCACAAGGTGTCAGGTTAGCTAGTAGGCAGAGCTGCCAATTAATTAGTCAATCAGCGCGTGCATAGTTTATCGGCTTAATCGAGCGGTAAAGGCGTGGCTACATATTTATTTATCAACGGAGTGCGAGTTCAAGCAGCTCCAATTAAAGTGATAGATCAACGACTGAAAAGTATACTTGCAACTTGGACAAAGTGATCCCATTTTGAACTTACATGTTCTTTTGCATTGTAAATAAAGCGTGAGGGAGATGATGGCCAGAGCCAAGCACCTGCAGAAATTAGAACGATTCAGGAAGCCACTTTTTCAGCTCCCATTGCGCCGGGGATGAATGCCCCTCCACAGCTTGGGTGAGTTCTTCTGATGAAGATCAGTATTTTTTAAATTTGGACAACCCTGTAACCACCACCATTAACATTTTTATTATCACTTATTATTACTATACGATACAATCCAAGTAATATTATATTCTGAATGAGTGCATGGGAATATTGATGTAAATGATTGTGTGAGTATGTAGATTGTGAGTGATGAATTTGTGCAATACGTCACGACGGACATAAAAATAACTGCGCTAATTATCAAGCTGTTTTTCTTAGATTTGTTGCTGGTGTTATCTTGAGAGAACGTCTTCCTGCATTTGAGCGCTTACTTTGGAGGACATGTCGAGGACTTGTATACCTGCGACAAGCAGAAATTGAGACACCATTAGAAGATCCGTCTTCCGTGAGTTCCGATTATATGTTACTTACCTCGGGTACTCCTGATAAATGACCAGAGTAAAAATATAATGGCTTGATGTAATTGACGTTGCAGGGGGACCAAGTGTACAAGTCAGTCTTTGTCATCTTCTTTCAAGGAGACCAGTTGAAAACCAGGGTGAAGAAAATTTGCGAGGGCTTCCGTGCAACTTTATATCCTTGTCCTGAAACGCCGGCAGAAAGGAGAGAAATGAGCATTGGAGTCATGACCAGAATTGAAGATTTGAACACTGTAAAATATATACGTCTCACGATCATTGTTAAACACATAAGAATGTATGAATTAATTTGTGGTGTTTTTTGGATTAAGGTTCTAAGTCAAACGCAAGATCATCGTCATCGGGTTTTGGTTTCTGCTGCGAAGCAAATCAAAAATTGGTTCATTAAGGCACGCAAAATCAAGGCCATTTATCATACGCTGAACCTTTTCAACTTGGATGTGACCGAGAAATGTTTGATTTCCGAGTGCTGGATCCCAGTGGCTGATATTGAAAACATTCAGATGGCTATGCGACGAGGAACTGTAAAATATTTGTCTCTCTCTTTCTTGTTTCTCATTCACACACCACATTTGATGTGTTTTATGTCCTTAGGAAAGGACCGGGTCTACAGTTCCCCCCATTCTTAACCGCATGCAGACTACTCAAGATCCACCCACGTATCATAGGCTAAACAAATTTACTCGTGGTTTCCAAAATCTCGTAGATGCTTATGGAATAGCATCGTATAGGTGAGAAGAATTTCAACTATATAATTTTAGTGTAGAGCTATGTTGCTTAAAATTTGCCTGTCTATAATTTTGCAGAGAAGTCAATCCAGCCCCGTACACAATCATCACTTTTCCATTCTTGTTTGGTTAGTCCTTATTTGTTTATTTATAATTCGGTGGATATGAGAATGGCAAGGCCTTTACTCGAGAAGAGGTGGAAGGATTCATTTTAGTTATACCTAAGTATTCCTGATAATTCAGGAATACCTATTTTTATTGAATTTAAATATATAATCAGTCTGTTAGTAGGCCAGTCTGTGAATAAGCAGGAATATTTGTAAATATTGTTCATCATAATCCGAGAGCCCTGTTTTTAAAATGTAATGTATTAAAAACGACTGATTGTTTTACCCCACAGCCATCATGTTTGGGGACGCTGGTCATGCTCTTTTGATGCTTCTGTTTGGTGCATGGATGGTTATTAAGGAAAGCAGTTTGTTGAAGATGAAGAGCAAAAATGAGGTAAAGATGGGAACATTTAGTGGAATTCAACAGCTTTAAAATTAATAAAACTTTATACTTGATTTTCTATTTTCTGTTGTTTGTTAGATTTGGAACATTTTCTTTGGCGGACGATACATTATTTTGCTTATGGGAATATTTTCCTTCTACACGGGACTTATTTACAACGACGTGTTTTCGAAATCCATCAACATATTCGGATCGTACTGGTATGTAAATCGAACCCAGGCATATCTTCAAGAACCTGATGTTAAGGAAGTTATGTTGGATCCGAAAACCTCATTTTACGATTATCCTTATCCCGTTGGGTTGGATCCAGTATGGCAGGTAACATCCACTCTAATAAAGCGTTAGTGTTAAGTCGCTGACTGAGTGAGTGATCGAATGCAAGTTGCCCCGTAGAGTAGACAAAGAATGAAGCGGAGCAACCACTGCATGCATGCACTGCACTGCATGAATGAATGCATGCATGAACATCCCACATACATACATCACTCATCAATAGTGGTTATCATGATAAGCGATCGTGATAAACACTATTAATTAATTATTTTAGTTTGAGAAACTCCACCCACAGCGAGTGGCATATCAATTCGAATGTATTTTTGACGCTGAATCCAACGTCAATGGTTTTGACCTCCGAGGCCCGCGTGACCTTCCCGTGACCGTGGGGGGTAAATATGGCTTATTCGTGATGTCGCATATCAATTCGAATGTATTTTTGAGGCTGAATCCGAATCCGTCAATATCTTGACGTTAATTGTAGAAGTTAATGGGGTTTATGGAACTTAACGGGAGCGTGAAGCGTGGGAATTTAAATAGTTAGCTATGCAGTTACTCCCACGCGACGGGAATTTAAGTAATTAGCTATTTAACTACTCCCACAAGGGGAAATCAAATTGTACTGTGACCAGATTAATTAAAATGCAGCATGACTTGGGCAAACCCTCACTCTGATGTATGTATGTGATATGACAACGTCTCCACTGGGAATTATTTAAAGTATAGTACGACGGAATTTTCGCTTTGGGCACACCCCCCACTGGAACCCTAGAACCCGGCCTTGGCCGGGCTATACGCTAGTTTGATATATTGTGCTATCAGATATCTATGTAGCATGTACAACATATTGTCGTAAAGATAATGTTGGCGAGCAATTATCTCGTATATTTAAGTAGCCTTTCCTTCTCTGTTATACATAGGTGGCAACAAATAAAATTGCGTACTTGAACGGATACAAGATGAAGATCAGTATCATTCACGGAGTGGTACACATGATATTTGGAGTCGTCCTTTCTTTGTGGAACCATGTCTATTTCCGAAGACCCATTAATATTTTTTGCGAGTTCATCCCTCAACTCATTTTCATGCTCTTTCTCTTCCTCTATCTCTGCATTTTGGTCTTCCACAAGTGGATTTATTATGGAGCCAGAATGGGTATGTATAAGCGGTTTATACATGGGGATTAATAGTTGTGTTGGTTTAATTTACTTTGAACAATGCGTAAAAACTACGGACTTAAGTCTTATGTCGAAAATTCATACAATTCGAACGAATACAAATGGTGCAAACACGGTCATTGTGATTGACTCGGTGTGCCCGCATGTCGACAACACCTTCGTCCATCTTCGTCAACCTGTCGAATTTTGGAAGATCCGGAGCTTTGGTGAAATGCACACAAATTGGATAAGAGATTCTGACTAACTTCTGATTATTAATCACGTGATGGTCCCTGTCACCTGATCCAGCGTCAATCGCCATGACCGTGTTTGTGCCATGTAGTTTTGAAACTTTTTATCGCCTATTCTACGACTGCGATTGAAACAATTTAAGTGATGCATTTCGAATAATTTGTTGTTTTTTGACACAGTGGAAGGTCGATATAATGAACATTGTGCGCCATCAATCCTGATCACCTTCATCAATATGGTACTCTTTAAGGGGGCCGACAAGACGGAACCTCCCTGCAACAACTACATGTTTACGGGTCAAGAAATCCTACAGAAATTTCTAGTGTTGGCTGCTCTGCTCTGCGTACCATGGATGCTTTTTATCAAGCCTTTCATTCTTCGGTCGCAGCACAACAAAAAAATGTTGCTGGAAGGGAAAGTGCATCAGACAGGTGGGGATGACCTCGAGTCTGGAGAGACCAATGGAATTGCGACTGAAGATACAAATGCCTCCACAGCACCAGTTCCAGCTACAAACGGAGGACAAACTGCGGCTCCTTCGTCGGCTGGTGGTGGTGCACATGGTGGTGGACATGGGCATGGAGAAGAAGAATTCGAATTCTCAGAAATTTTTATCCACCAAGCAATCCACACTATTGAATATGTGCTGGGATCTGTCAGTCATACTGCAAGTTACTTGCGTTTGTGGGCCCTGAGTTTAGCTCATGCTCGTAAGCGTACATTGCTATATTATTATATCTTTGAATTTATTACTCCCAGTTTGTTAATTAACACTTGTGTATTTCTTTGTGTTTGGTTTTAGAACTCTCTGAAGTCCTGTGGTCCATGGTCCTTCGAATTGGATTGGCACAAAAGGCGTGGTGGGGCGGAATTCTTCTGTGGGCCATATTTGGAGCCTGGGCAGTTTTGACTGTAAGCATTTTGGTACTTATGGAAGGACTTTCTGCATTTCTACATACTCTTCGTCTTCATTGGTTAGTCTAAACACTTGTTAACTATTCGGTTAGCCGAATACGGAAGAAAAGTAACTGATGACAAATTATTATTTTTATAGGGTTGAATTTCAAAGCAAATTCTATACTGGACAAGGATACCAATTTACTCCATTCTCCTTCAAAGACATGCTCGCTGCAGCGGACGGATTGGACGCTGCAGATTAAATTGATCAAGTCTACCAAATCATGTAGTGATGAAGGACACCTGTCCCAATTTCAACTATCCGATTTTTGTAATTGTGTAGTGTTCTGAGTTGTAGTTAACCTTCCAATGGGCGAGCGGTGTCTCATTCCACGTCTTAGCATCTCAGCTCATTTAGTTTAGTTAATTAAATAGTCATTATAGTACTTGTTCTTCTGAGAAACATATATTCCATAGCGTGTCGTTTGTTCTTTGTTGTTAGATACGATTTACCAGTCCAATTGTGTCATGGCGCTGTCTTCTTTAAAGCCTATTGGCGATTTAACATTCCGTAATATGCATACTTATTATTATACAATCAATCTGACGACATATCTTGTACCTGCTCCTCCATTTGAAAGACTTCATATTGAACTTGAGCCTAAAAATATTTATCTAAAACTGAATCTACGAGTTGAACACTACTTATCCAAATCGCAAAACCTTTCTCATTCGAAATCTCTAATCTCCTACAATATTATCGTGTGCTTATCCTGGTGATAATAATCATTACTCCATACAGTTCTATTAAATGTTACATTCATTCCTTTATTATACCGTTCTAAAGTTACAACGATTATTGTTCGCCTTTTGCAAATCAAGGATTGTGATCAGTCGACCAAAGTGCACTGAATTCAACATTGTATAACTTTACACTCGTGCGACACAACATTAGTTTTTTCGGTAGCCTAAATATTAGTGAATAAAAGCAACACATAAATATTCAGCTTAATTAGTTTGGGCTTAATTTATTTAACCATGTAACATGTAAATATGCATTGCAGATATAATTCATACTGATCCTCATTTTCTTGAGGCATCGCGTTGAGTCGTCTTGTGATAAATGTATGAACATACATATCAAACCCTGTTGGTGGTAATCCATCCAATGTAATTTGGTATATTTGTATAAACACCGGGTATTGTGTTGACTGAAAAATATACATAGATGAAGTATAAAGTACGCATGATTACGTTAATGTTTTAGATTTTATACCTCCACACCCAATGCCCCAACTGACAAGACCAGCCAAGAACCACTGCGTTCCTACTTGACAGACTAGAGGAGAACCTCCATCTCCCTAATTTCGTTACATCGTCATTGTAACATGAAACCGTTTCAAATCGTAATGAGTTAAAAAAAATTGGTGTTACCGTGCATGAATCCTGTAATCCAAGAATAGACATGCAAAAATTTGTTAAATGTTAGTATTTTATTTTCTACCAAGTATTTAAAACTAAATATTTTCGTTCTAACCTTCCCAGGCTCTCCTCCAGCGCATAGAAATGCTTGTTGATTAAGAATGAACCCAGCCCCAAGACGCGTCGTCTGCATTCTGGTCTGACATGTTGGTCCATCCAAAACTGGAAGGTCAACCTCCCGCATGACCGTTGAGTACACCCCATTCACCTTCAAATTAAAGTGGAATTAAATAAATAAACATGTTGTGTACTTAAAAAATCCATATGATTTTTTAAGATTTTGTATGATTTTTAAAAAAATCACTATGATTTTACTCACAAAGGAACTAGCTCCAAATCCAGACACCCAACACCTGCAATTTATTCGTCCACCAATGCACAACATGTATATGTATTTAAATAGCTTCAAGAGTGTAATAATACAAAAATTAACCTTTGTCCTGCAAATGAGGCTCCTAAAGCAGGAAGACAAATTGGGCGAATGTGAGGATTTGCGTTGAAATCAACGGAACTCGCTAATTTCAAAACAGCAATGTCATTTTGCAGATTAGCAACCTGGTATTGTTCATGAATTCGGATAGTAGTAACGGCAATCTCTACGGCGGGGTTTGGCTCATTCACAGCGTTCAGGATGTATTCGCCGAGACGTACTTTTAGTCCAACCCTAGAACATTATAGTCACTAGAGATGCATGTCATCTTGTACCACCAATAATAATTAGAGAATGATTAAGTCTATCATCATACGTCAAAGGAGTGACCTTATGAGCAACTGTGAGCACGGTATTCCCATCGATCAAAACTCCTATGAATTAAGGGATTTTACAATATAATCATGATGATAATGCAGCAGTGATAAATGGCTAGTTAAGACGGCTTATCGGAGGCCGTGTTATAAAAACTGACATATTTATTTAAGCGCCATATGTACATACCTCCCCCGATGTAGCTGTTGTCGGTGCCAAGAACTACCACCATCCAAGGATATTCAGAATAAGATGCCTGTTGTGGACAGAATTTGTACAAATATGTAATGTGACTAGTTTGTGTAGTGGATAAATTTCACAGGCCAACCTGTCCAGCGCCCACGGTATATGCCGGGAAAGGGATCAAGGGCTGCGTTCCACAAGTTGGAGGGGTGACCACTATTGGGGGCGTCGTGCTGATCAGATTACAGCAGAATCGGTTGGGGGGAGTGCACACGGGAAAAGCGGGCTGAAATGCATCACAAACAGGAAGAAATATGATCAATTTATTAAATCACTGCTGAGATCTGTCCATTTCTCATGAAAAATTATGTACGTTGTTGAGTACTCGTGGGTCCACGGCCGAACCCCCATCGGCACAATTTGTCGCCGGCGTGCATTGGCATTGGCCTGGAGTCACAATTGCCGGCACAGGGGTCACGATGATGAGTCCTAAATAAAGTAAGAAAACCCAAACCCTTAGTGTTTTTAAAATCTGAATTAATCCACCAACTCTCGTCAACTTTGGATGTAACCTGCCTTGCCCAACAATTCGACACACTTGATTCCCAAGGAAGAGGAAAAGTACAAATAATCTCTTTGAGTGGCAACCTGTCATAATTCCTCAGATGTACATAAAGTGTACAATTCAAATATTTAACTTGATCTGGAAGATTGCAAAGTAAGAATGACGTGAAAGAAATCGTGCTCGTAGATTTTAACAAGTAGTGGGTGACATTGGACCTAAATAATGACGTGGCACATAACTGCTTTAAAACGCTCTCTGGAAAAAAGGTTGTCAGTATTAGATAAGTGATAACTTTTAAGCCGATTGTTGTTCATGTAAGGACATTGTTATTTCCACTAAAAGTTTATTGTGAGAAATCGCATCGTCAGCATTTTTTCGGGTCTGGGTCATCCTCATCAACGCTAATACATTTGTCATTATTTTACATTACAGTATAAATTTAAATGACTGTGAAACAACCGGATGTTCTATAATCCTTGCAGTATGTAAGTAGCAAGCAATCAGCTTTTTGAGACAAAATTACCCAAATTAACCGCAATTAAGTCTTATTTTGTGAATGATAATGCTCATACAGAACAACTTGCAACATGCCAACTGAATCAGTTTAGATGATTAGCATCTTCCGGTAAAGTTTGATGTTTGGTGACAAATCGACACTTCGCTCATCTGCTTATGCATGCATGTAGAGTTGCAATCTAAAATTATAAAATTCATTTTTGTATCAAAACATTTGGTACAATTGGTACATTTGGTCTATTATATATCTGACATAAACAATAATTACGTTGGTAAGAAATTACTCACAAGTTTGCTATGATGAACAAATAACCGCAAATAAAGCCACACGTGCGGGATTCCCTAATTTCCTGCTTGTGAGTAATTAATATAAACAGATTTGTACATGTTTAATAAATTTCATTTCATGAGATATTCACAATTTGCACATATAGAAATTTTTGCTCTGTATTTACATGAGAAATTAAATGGCCTTGAATAATCAACTTGTCAATGCAGTTATCATCGGTGACTGCGACCGATTGCGAACCTTGCTGAGCGAATTCAAATCCTTCAGATTAAGTAATTCATACTTAAACGTGTCAAATGTATGTGTCCAATTTGAATCCAAATATAGTTTCGTATTCATTTTCAGGTGATGTTGAGAACGACAAAAGTGTGCAGCAAAGTCGTCTGGATTTACGTTTAGAAGAGGTACACATAAAAAATGCTTGTTAACTGGTCACTTTTTTTACAACGCAGAGCAGGATATTCCTTGTATAATATGTTACGCTCAATAATGCTCAGTACTACCGAACTTTTGTAATTTGTTATGACCAGTTTGATCTGTGATCATTAAATGTGATTCATTCGCTATAATGACCAATCATAAATTTATGTCAAGGTGAAAGACCAATCTGGAAATACACTTTTACATCTCGCCGTCCTTCGATGTCTGCGTCATCGCCTCGGAGATAATCAGACGAGACAAACTATTGCAACCAATTGTAAATTTTTTGAAATTTTGCTGTCAAATTCAGAGTGGAAGACGTCGTTACTCTCCTCCAGAAACAATGATGGGCAAACGCCTTTGCATTTATTCCATGTCCAACCAATAAAAACATATTCAAGTCCGTTCATGAAGTCCACAATCGCTCTGATCTACGGAACCGAGAAGCCTTCGAAACGAATAAATCCAGTCGAGCATAAAAGTTATGTGGATTCATTCTTCCAATTTGCATTTCCACCAGAGCTTGACCACCATAATTTCGGTGAACAAGGTAGCATTGGTAGCAATAACTCAGCAGTAATTAGGAATGAGTTGTTAGATCTCGTCGACGGTGACAACTTTACTGCGTTACATTTGGCCGTGAAAAGTAAATGTTCGCACTGCATACAACAATTACTGAAACGTGGGGCAAGTTTCAATATCAAGTTCGTTTGTTGCATTTCAATTTGTAAATGTTTCAGAAAATGAGATAATGTTTGCGCTAAATTTTGTGTAAATTTTCAGCTCTAACCATACAAGTTTTCCTTTCGTGACACCCTGCATTTTCCATCAAGATCCATGGGCATCAAATGCTTTAGAACAGCAACTTAATGCAAATATAAATTTTGACGACTTTTATGAGGAATCTGGAATTGGAGTCGACGAGGAAGATGAATTACAGGATAATGAGAATATTAATCCCAATAGAACGAGATTTGGAATTTCCTTTGATTTTTGGTATATCTACATTATTCTGCTTCATTAAAGTAGATATTATATGTGGTGTCCAATTGTTCATGGTATTGGTACCTATGTTTGTCCATTTGTGGTACTTTCACTTTCAGTGGTATCGTCCCAAAGCGTGCAGTCAATTCAAGCAAGCCTGAAAGAGAAATGGAATTTATTGAAACATTTTTAAACGATGATAGCCCAATCAAAAAACAAATTTTGGGACATTCTCTGGTCGCAAGTTTTGTTTTCCTTAAATGGGAACGAGTTCGGTGGATGTTCGTATGGTCCTTTCTTTTTCATGTAAATAATGTGCATTTTTGTTTTTGAGACAGCATATTTTACCGTTTTTGAAATATCTCATTTTCTCCATGTTATTGTTAGATTGGCTTCGCAATACTCTATACGGTTTATACCATGTCAGTTTATTTGTGGTCATGCCCGTACCAGGCAGATAATTCTACCAAACGAACTCCTAACATAACGTTAAATCGTAATAATTTTGCAAACTTTGGTTCTCTAGTAGTATATTTAAATATGATATAATAACTCTTGGCGTTATTATGACCTCGTGCAGCTCTCGAATCACGTCTTCACCGTCAGTGTGACAAAGGACTGGGGGCATTCGAATTCTCCGTGACATTGTTGGTAGGAGCCTTCATTTTGGGATTGTTGGAATTGGCAAAAATTATTCAAAACTTCCCAGAATATCGACGTCAGTGGCAAAATCTGTTTCAAATTTGTATGATAATTTCCATGTGCTTGTCCGTATGGCCAGTAAGATGGACCGATTGCCAATGTCTTGTAGGATGGCAATATTCGGCTGCGGCGGTAAGGGTTTGGAATTTTAGCATTATTACATGCAAAGGTGCCAATATAATTTATTGGCTTTATGGTCACTGATATTTTTATGTGAAAAGTGCCTTTTGATGTTAAATAAATATGCAGTATGGAACTTTTCACGTCTGGTCCACACTGTTAATTAATATGGGACGATTTCCAAAATTGGGAATTTATGTAGAAATGTTTGGAAAGGTAAGATATAAGATGAGAACCAGAGAATAAGTGTTAATATCCATATTTATTTAAACCGTGGTGTTATGTCATATTGTTAAAATAAAGGTTCTGGAAAACTTTGGATATTTCATGGCTGCCTACGTCTTCCTATTGATTGCATTCTCAATCTCATTTTGCGTTGTCTTCCCTGACGTAATAATGCATTTCTACCCTGTCACCTGTAGAATTTTACTCTTACCATAATTTGCTCATTTCAAACTTTTTCTTACGATACTTACACATGAGCAGTATCCCCCATTCGAAACAATACCTCGAGCAGTGCTTAAAGTGATTACCATGATGTCTGGAGAGGTTAGTGAAATTAATTCATATTTTTACACAACATATTTTTGCTTTATCGTCTAGCTATAAGATTAAGAATTAACCTTTAGGATCCCATTTCAAAATTGTTGTCACGAAAAATCGTATCACTAAGTCCCTAATTAATCTTCAATTAAATGCCCTTTAAGGCCCAAATAATTGTCAGCTATCTGTCCTCACGCACCCAAGCTGCTGAATCTTTTTCGACCACACTGACCCGAATTTTATTTTCAAGAAAAAACCAACGGAATATATTTGTATTATTACATGCAATGATAATCCACAAAAACTACTTCCCATATACATATACTATTACCGTGGTGAAAAACCTATTAGTACAGCTTCGCATAGCCCGAACCAGAAATTTTTATCCCAGTGAGGCCTTATGTATTTGCCATGTCTGTCTTTCGGTCCACCGATACCATACACCCAAAACGGTTTGCCTTCAAATTTTGCAGGTGCCAAAAATAATCGAGTTCGCAAGTGAGCCAAATCTGTCGAGTGAGGTCATATAGATAGGTGGGTGGAATCGACACCAAACTTGAAAATATCGCTAGAAAGCTGAAATTCAGCACATTGAGTGCTAATGGCGTGTAATGAAAGACTCGGAGGGGAAATCTAAAAATATTTAACCAGAGGGACAATATGGGGTGGAGGAGGGAGATGACCCATACCGATTTTCAAAAATAGCCACAAACCTACATTGTCTGCAATTATACAATGTCCTTAGTCAAGGACGGACCGCTCCTAAATTTTTGTCCGAATTGACCGGACTGCGATTACCACACCCCGTGTTGGGAATGGTCGAATGTGTGCAGAATATTTGTTATTTTGTGGAGTATTTACAAATCCTTCCTTGACTACCAGGACCACTGTGACTTGCTTCTTTCAAATCTTCCAAAGTTTTATTTGCTATTCAGAAGTCATTTTTAGCCCCTATCCCAAATTCCAGCTGAAAATAGCAACTTTTAAAACCAGTATGGGTCACCCTCTAGAGTCACTAAGGTTACACATTGACCACTTTGAACTTCATATACTTTCATGAGAACCCATTCAGTATCCTATGCCGATTTTTATATTTTTACGACAATGTCTTAAAACCGGCATGGGTCACCCATAGGGTCCCCTCGGTAAGATTTTGCAATTTTACTTCATATTCTTTCAATAGAAGCCATTAGCAAGCTCTATACCAAATTTCAGCTTTCTATGACAATTTTGAAATTTTAGTGTATAGTACCCCATCCACTCAGACGACCCCCACCGGTCAACCACTTGACCAATTTCCCCATCTGCGAACTCGTTTCTAACTTTGTCCAATTTGCATATACTAAAAATTTCATGTGAATCGGGTCAGTCGTTTTGGCTCTAGCCTGTTCACGGACAGACAGACAGACGGACAACCATCACGATTCCATAAGCCCTAACTCGGGCGCCATATCAAAACCCTTCAATTTCATGCAATGTTTCCACGGTCGCCAAATTTGTAATTTTTTGAAAATACACGTATTTGTGTATACGGGATTCAACGCATTTTGTCGCGTATCCATGATATTCATGTATCTGGGACACAGGGTCAAATTTCAAAATTCCATGACATTCGTGGACTTGGGATTTGTGGGATGTTTTACAAATTCCATGACACTTGTGTACATGGGATTTAAGTGAAAATTTAATAAATTCCATGACATTCGTGGACTGGGATCCTAAAGGTTAACCAATTTCCGAATAACAGGTCGACTATGGCGATTTTTTCTACGGAGACCACAAAGGGCAGGAAGCACAGAGTTTCATTTTCAAGAAAGACTCTGGCGACCTAATTCATCCCATCACGAGCCACGTATTGTATGGGGCGTTTGTCATTCTAGTCACAATTGTGCTCACAAATCTCCTCATCGGCCTAGCTGTTGATGACATCAAGGTACAAATTATCTATCCGATAAGACACAATGTGCTAACTAAATGTCTTGACATGCAGGGATTGACACAAAACGCAGAGTTTACAAAGACCACTCGAGAAATTGCTAACATTGCGTATGTCGAGTCCATTATTTTTTGGAGCGCATTGCCCAATATTGGTCTGGTCCGAAAACTGAGGAAATCCATCGTCATTGCCAGATTTCCTAAGGATGCCTGTAGTAGTGAGAAGATTGAAAGTCCCAAGAGTGTTGGGTATATAGACGAATATTATTCATAAAAATTAATATCAATTTGGACAATTTTGAACATTTTGATTTCGAAAGATCTGTATTTCAGAAAATTGAGAAATATCAAGAGGTATTTTAGAGAGACGTTAATGTCCCTATTTTTCTGCGAACGAAAAGCGAACATTATAGACGCAGAACGAAGACGGTTATCTTGCAGGTGATTCCTACCATTTTCCTTATGTCACATAAAGAGTACTCATTCTCTTCACGTGCATACATACATAGGACTTCACAATTGCCAAAGTATGGATTCTGCATAAGTCTTGATGACTGCAAATCTCCCCGTGACTTTCCCGAGGACATTTACTTCAAAGCAGTGGAGATCATTAAACGACGGAACAATAGTATTAATTCCAACAATAAGAACAACTCAACAACATCTACTAATCGAAATCGGCATTGTCTCACTTGTCAATGCCACACCAGCGCTTCGTCCATGATTTAGCTTGGTTAGATGCAGCAAAAAGCTGAGCACAATCCGTCTCACAGAAATTGAGACGGGGCAAATCAAGATTTTGAGACGAAATCGTAGTATTTATCATGAAATTGTTCTGCGTGGATATGGATATATTAACGTGAATGAACCTGCATGAATAAAAACTAATTTAAATCAATACTGGAATTGACAATAATTATATCCATTCATTATCTCAAGTTAACGACGACAATAATTCTCATTTGTTTATTCATGAGACGAGCAGTATCGTAGCAAGTGGTCACGGGGGGGGGGGGGGGAGGGCCAGGCGGGGGTGGAGGAGGACCAGGACGATTGAGCAAATAGGCGACATAGTTTTGAAACCGATTATACCAATCACTCCAATCTTCAACCAGACGGTTAGCGCTATATCCCCCAATATCTTCATCAATGAACCATAGGAGCCCCTGTGTGTCGAACGTTTCAAAAATTTTGCAAATTAATATTATATTATAATTTATCAATATATGAAATAGGATGATATTTCGGATGAGAAAAAGCAACAAATAGCAGAGGAAATGAACCAGAGTGAAACTGCATTTATTGCTTTTGGGTGGACTAAAGGCAACAAATTGACCGCTGTTGAGGGTACTGCGCAAAGAACGCTCCGATGGTTCACACCGACAAATGAAGTCCCACTTTGTGGACATGCCACGGTAGCCTCGGCCAAAGTAATTGCAAACGTGCAGCTCCAAGAAGGGGGAGAAAAAAGTATAAGTTTTGACTCAAAGTTTAGAGGGGGGCTAAATTACAACGGATTCCCGTAGGTTTAAAAAAATCATATATAAGTTCTGACTGCCTGCAACTGTGGGAGGTTTCTCACGATACCTCTTAGGTCGGCAACTTCATTATCGTCCAAATATTGATTGGGTGGGCAAAGAGTAGAGGCGTTCTTCACGTGCCTTCGTACCCACCACTGGAAAAAGCGAAAAAAAGGTTTACTTTAATTGTCAATATTCCGAATGCAATCTTCCATTCACAATCAAGACGTGTAAAAAAATGAAAAATTTGTCACAAAGATGTTTGGAAAAATTAGTTGTTAGTTTTGGAGATTCAGAAATATTGTAATGCTTGTGGCAAAGGAAGCTGAGGTCAATTGACCTCAGCTCATGTCATGGCACGATCAATGGTGGAGTCCACCCTCACAAAAACGGCATATTTGGCAATGTTCTACACCACCGAGGTCTCTTCTGTACTTGTGTAACGCAACTGCTCCAGTTGTTGTTTGCATTATAAAAGTTACTTAATTCTCGCCCTAAAAAAAGAAGTTGAGCAGAAGAGGCAGAGAGAGGAATCAGCGAGGAGGAAGATATTCGCACTAGCTCGTGACACTTTTTTGCGAAATAAGTGTGCGAAATAAGTTTGCGAAATAAGTCCTTTAATTCCAATTAAAGGAACCCAATTTTACGATATTACAGAAATTTTTTTTAATCCTTAGGCAAACCCGCATCCTGGGCAAGCCCGATGTGTCCTCGGGGGTTCCCTGCTCAGTTTAAAATATTATCAAATATAAAAGTCAATTTGTCTCACTTTCCGGTATCTTGCTTCGACTTGCGATGCGCAAGTGTATATTAGAAATGGTCTTGTTCCCTCGTAAATAAACCCCAGCGGACGTAAGACGTTGACGTCAGAGCATTCTCCTTGTAGTCTGACCAACGCAGCAACGTGAATGGGAAGATGGGAATATCCTGTAAATATGACAAATATGCAAATCAAGTATATAAAATTGCATCAGTTTCTTCAAGTACTATGGTGAATTGTGCCATTTGTACTATGCCCAAATGGATGCCGAATATTTTTTTGTTTTTTGACACGAGTATAGATGATTACTTATCTGTATATATTACTCCAAACCCAAAACGAGCTGCCAAGTTCTTGGACAAATTACAAGCTGGGGTTTCAAGACTCAACTGTAAATTTAATGCTAACAAGATGTCGACAAATATTTATCCAACAATTCATTGGCCAATTTCTTGACCTGTGGTCACATGATGAGGGATTTTAGTGCATATGCGGGACAAGATATGGCATCAAGCATATCGTTCATTCCTTGGAATGTTACCAGGCCAGAAAAGTAAGTCCATGAATCTACATACATGTGAACAACGTCATTAATATATATGTATGTATATACATATGTATTTTAGCCATCGTGTCACTTTCAAGTGTTAAAGTCATGGTGTGACTTTTATTTGTAATAACTATATAAACAATTATAGTAATTACGTAATTTCAGCTCTTTCGTGGCTAGAATGAAGGTGATGCTACCGTCTCGTCTCCACCATTTCATCTTGGACCCCTGCATAAATTTTCCAAGTCGGATAGTTTTAAATATTTTGGAAGCTGGATTAGAATTTGCAGTTAGATTTTATGCAATTTGTAGAGTTATCTATCCCAATCTTAGTGCTCTGAAATATCCCAAACGAGCAAAGCAGAGTATATCTGCAATCATTGTGTGCGCTGGGGGGAGTATCAAGGTGAAATTTCAAAACTTCTAATCGTTAAAAAATATCATCACTCAGCTACCATTGTATTAATATTCGAACATTGTAAAATTTAGAATCATTCTACGCACGTTTGAAACGACGTACACCTAATGAATATCCACACCTGGACGTGAAGAATTTTGTCCATGCATTAATTCATATCATGGTTTGTCTGAGACAGGAAGACATCAACTAATAAAATCCCAATCGCATAATCAGAAAGATGATGCCATTTTGACAATGCCATTGCACCAACATGAGATTCTCTACGTTATTTATCATGTATTTACTTTCAAATTTAATCAACATTCTTCAGTATTTGGCGAGGAAGTTTTGCCCAGACTAAACAATTCCAGAGATGTTTAATAAATCAAGAATTGCGCAATTTCTTGGATAAGGTTCTTGATAATCGCATGCCGTTTCATTTTAAGAACATTAAAGTGTAGCTACTTATTTTAAGGAGTTTATACTTTTGTGATATTAGTTATTTCAATTTACGTATATAAAAAATTTCGTTCGTAAAATCAAGTACAATAAATTGGTTATAAAATGAAGATGTAGATGGTTCAAACGTAGTTACAAATCGTTCTTACCCACGAACACCCCTACAACAAGTCCAGATGGGTCACGCCACAGAACTCCGTAAACGTAGTACGGCATTTCTTTTATTTCTATTATAAATTTAAGTCTTTAAAAACTGGAAAAGCCTCAAGCTTGGTTTACTTTATTTGGGAATAAAGCTGCGGACGTTTTACTCTGCCTCGCCACCACCACTTTGTTCGCAGTAGAGATTGTTAAGACCTGTTATGCTTTCTCTCAAGTTCAGATGGATGCAGGATCCACGAAGTTGGTCATTTCTCCCTTCCTTCCAATTTTTGCAACAAAGTACTTCCCCTTTGACATTGGGCTTCGGTCCCCCTTTTGCCTTTTGCAAATTACACCCTTTCATCAGAGTCGTCAAGTGCTCTCTCGATCATAACCTTCGACTAGTTCTCCAACCCAGTAAAACATGGACATTTTATGCAAGTTGCCTAAACCTAAACAACCATTCTCTGTTCCTAAGTAATTAAACTCAACCATAGTTTTCCACAACCACACCGCCGTCCGGCAAGTGTTCTCAGTTTCTCTCAAACTGTACGAGAACAAAGGTGTAGACACTCTGTGTTCTGATCTCGGCATTCTTCTTCTTGGAAAATTCTGAGGTGACCTTTCAATTAATGATGGGGACATTTTAGACTCACCTGCAGTTCATAAGAAACTACGAGAAATTATCCAAATTTCCAAAGTGAAAATTAAACAAGTTGTGTTTGAAATTTTAGACAAGAAAAAGTGATTTCAAGAGAGAAACCGTCATGGAGAAGGGTTATTAGTGGTATTCAGAGTGAAATCTAGCTGAAAACATTGTACAAGCAAAGTGTAAAATTTTTGAAAAATTGGAGTGCACCCATTTGTTCGTGGGCTTGAAGTATCTCTACACACATAATATACATAGTTACAGTTAAAACTGTCAAGGGGACATATTTGTCCAACAAATCCACCGCGGCGTGGCTACCCGTCGACATTGGCGACATTGCAGAATCGCCAAGTTCCCAGCTATTCTTGAAAGGCGAGGATGTTGCGTTTCTCAAAAAGTGGGAGCAACACAAGGCCAACCCTTTGCCGATTGTTAACCTCCTGTTAACAACAACCCCACCAAAACAACAAAAATGTGGGGATTAACATTCGAACCAAATCCTCATGACATGATGATCCAACAAGCACAACTTTTAGCCAATTTAAATCCCCAAGGGCTTCAATCTTGGCTTACCAAGACGAGAAGCACGGGGAAATTTCTTCCTCTTCCATCTATAGATGACGAGACATGTGACATAAGATCCACAAATACATTCATCGACAAATCCCTCCCGTGCGATAAATGTGGCCGGTTATTTAGGAAAGGTAGACCAACTAAAAGTCACAAATGTATATCAGGTAATTATAAAAGTTATACGAGTTAAACATGCATGCAAACAAAAAAAAATCATCGGCAGGGTTCTTCTCATTTCCATAAAACAGATCTTCATAGTTTACTTCCCCCACCAGCATGGTGGATTTATTTTGGTCAAAATTCGAACCATGAAAAATTGATAAATTCTGCTAGGTAGATTGAGTTGTATTGAGTTGTATCAATAATATTTAGTATGCTTCTTATTTAAATTATAGGAGTAGAAAAGTTATCTGATGATAAAGAAAATGGTGATGAGACAGCGGAAGACCGTGATATTCACGAGCTTGGTGAAGCTAGTCATTCAACTGACGAGAAATTCCTTCGTAATAAAAACATCAGAAAAGAATCCAAGGTCACTCATAAGACGGGTCGCCCATTTTGCTGCAGTATTTGCGGTCTTACCTTCAAGAGAGCTCATCACTTGAATTCCCACGAAGGAACTCATCGCGACGACGTCGCACGCCCATTTGTTTGCGCACTACCCAATTGTGGCAAGGCTTTCAAGCTCAAAAAATATTTGATCAGGTAATGGTATTTCTTGGCTAATTGTATCAATCTTATTCAATAAGTGACACCGGTTTCTGTCGTCCACAGGCATGAACCTATCCATACTGGTGCGCACAATTTCAATTTCCCTATAATTATAATTCCCTACAACATTCCTTATATTATAATCCTTAAATAGAGCATCAGTGTGAAATCTGTGGTAAAGTGTTTGAAGGAAAATACATCACGCAGCATATGAATATAGTCCATGGAAAAGAAACCTTTTCGGTAAATAATTCACAATGCAATAGTTTACAAACATGTCATTTGGTTGAAATGCATATCTAAATTGTTTTAGAATTTGATACGAGTTCCTGCCGAAGTCCAAATCGCACCTGGACAGCAGGTTCAAACGCCAACTCTGGTACCAGTCACTGCCATCACGGACGATGGCAACAACACAACGACAATTACAACTCCCTTCTAAACTGTTTCAAGCCATACCAGCCACTCACTTTACTTACACTCATCTGTATTACGTCCTTATGTGCAAAATGCCCATAGATTTTTTGTTTGTGAGAAATGATAGATGAAACGGAATGCAGATGTATGTATACACGATATTTAATACCATATTTTCAATGATCAACAATCGGTAAGTACAAAAATATATATTGACGTTTCTTATAAATATATCCTAGACATATTTGATACCATGCGAAACACATTTTATTTCTTACCTGACCATAACAATTCTAAAATACATTTATATTAAATTTATAGATGCGATGTTTTGAGTTGCACGTATGTTCTTGCTTCAAACGAGTTCATGGTTGCATGAAACGTGGCAAAATCCAAAGACGATCCAAATCTGGCTCCGTCGTACTACATCAATGTTCACCATTATTTTAAATAGATTGATGAACAAAGAATATTTTTTTGATTGCCACAGCCCAGATTTAAGCATCAGATTGTCGTACTAAAACAAATTTCACCATTGAGCAATAATTCCAATTTGCAATATTTCCTCAATTTTGGACCACGCACAAAATCAGCCCCACTGTCCACGGGGAGTGACCACCACTGGCGAGCTTGGCAGCCAGGAAATCAAATTTGTGAGTATGAATAACAGTCTAGGCCTTGGGCCGTAGCACTCGTCCACTGACAACGTTCCTATGCAATAATTTTGAACAGTGAGAACACTTATGAAATTGAACTAAGGTGATTGTTTTGTTTTATTGTCCATAGATTAATGAACAATTGATAAGATGGCGAACGTCGAAGAGGAACTCTTTTCCAGCTGTGCAAATTGTTTTAAAAACTTTGAAAGTGATGGGGACCGAATAGTGCGGATTTCGTATTTCAATGATAACCAGAATCATAACAAGTCAGGAAATCAAGATAATGACATTAAGGAAGCCCAAGTGGAGGACGAAAATGGCGATGAACAAAAACGGGAATCACAAGTGGAACACTTAATTAATGAACATGTGGACACGTCATCGAGTTATCACCATGATTTGGGGGAAGGACAAGAAACATTGGAATTGTCAGTTGTCACTTTGGAAGGCGTGGGAGTTGGTGTGGGGGGGCACCACTTTCAGGTGAGTTTGATGATATTACATGTCAAAAGTACTATACAGAAATTGTTATTATTTTACTCGGTGCTTAAACTCTAATAAGGTTGACGTCGAGGAGGCACAACATTTGATTGACTCCGGCGTAGAAGTAGAAACTGTGAGCATATTGGTAAATAAGAAACCATTCTTGGATGCACTTAATGCTCAAGGAATGGATTCTATAAACCCCTCTGAGCAGCAGAATCCACAAGCTCCCCACACGCTTGAAGATCAAGAAAAGAACGAGTATGACAGGGTCGTTGTCGTTGAAGAAGGTATTTTACATCTTTATATATGTGCCTTTCCAAATTCACCGCATACATGTTCCAAATAGAATGTTGGATGTACAGGTGTGACTGTTGTTGAAGCACTCTCAGTTATATTTGGCATCCCTCTTGAATCTGGAACCACAGCTGCTGGCGACTTTGCTTGGAAAAAAGACGATCCTTGTGCTCTCTGTCAGAGGTTAATTTCTTGAAGCATTAAATGACACGATCTCTAATAATCGGGTTGAAGTGCTAAACATTCCCATTTCTCACAGATGTGCCCAAGTGGTCACCATCTTATACTCGGCTTTCCAAGAGTTTAACTCCTTATCCGTGGAATCTTCATACGTATCGAAAGGGATAAAACAGTTTCTTCACAGGATAAACTCATTGAATCGAATGAGCCTTCAACAAAATGAAGGGCATGGATTTCAAGCTGTAGGGACAAACGAACCACAACAGTTGGTCACTCCTGACAAGACTTACACTACGACGCATATAAAACATCCAACAACTTCAAGGAAAAAGGCGGCGTCATCTGGAAGAAGAAATTCAAGCATAAAACGAATGAAACTTATTCACGAGGACGAGATGATTTCTGCGGACATTATGTCAGACGTGTCTTCTGATTCCAATTCTCTATCGGATTTGGAGAATGAGATAATCGCAGGTAATAATTATATCATAGACTGACTGAATAATCCAAGTGGCAGTATAGACCAAACAATTGCTTATATACACATGTGTAACAATATTATATAAACTACTTATTACCACGAATAATAATGTCATACATCATTGATTTAAGATGTCAACGAGGTTGTTCGAAAAACAAGAACATCGAGTCGACCTCGTATTGTTAAAAAACAATCTTCGGATTATGAAGAACTCGAATCTAGCGAAGAAGAACCAGAGGAGCCATATGAAGATGACGAAGATGATGATCCCAACTTTGATGCTGCGGAGGAGAGTAAGTTGTTCTGTACAGAGTTATTCACAACCTGCAAAATTTGTAATCTTGTGCCATATTACAAAGGTACATAGGTAGCTAAGGTACTTATGCATATACTAATTTTCTTTACAGTTCAGGGCATAAAAATTTCCCAAGAACAACTCACGCTGAGAAGGTTGTCTGACATATGTGCCGGAGTGTTAGAGCACAAAGAAGAGGATTTGCAGATGGATAGTGAAGGGAAATTTATATGCCCGGATCCAGAATGTCATAAGGCTTTCAAAGGAGTAAGGACATTGAATAAACATGTCGTTATTCACAAACTAAGAGAAACCCCAGTTTGTCCAAAGTGTAGCTTGGGTAAGATTATATATCCAATTAGCTAACGATGCGATTAGTATTTTCATAAACCTACATATTTAATTGCAATATATTTTTGCAGAATTTGACACCTTAGAAGAACTTCACCGCCATATGACGTCCGTCCATAACCCATCCAAACTCAAACGACAGTCGCGTACCCCACTCCGGACAAAAAAGAGGAAAATAAGACACGATCTTGGAAGAGGATCCGGTAAAACACAAACCTACACATGTGTAACTTGTGGTGAAAAATTTGGAAACACGTTGTTGCTTATGCAACATGAGAAAGAACATGGTCCAGTCAACTGTCCAACCTGCGGCAAGGAGTTTTCATCCCCTAATTTGCTGATGCGTCACCAAAAGGATGTTCACGTGAAGAAAGAGATTGACTTTTTCTGCCCAGAATGTGGAGAAATCTTTAATAACTTGGAATCGTTGTCCGCTCATTTTGTTGAGAGCCACAACCAACAGCTCAATTTTTGCACTCATTGTGGAAAATCTTTTCTCCGATCACGATTCTTGCTCCAGCACCTTAAAGAAACTCATTTGATACCAACGGAAGATATTAAAGTGGAAAAGTTATCTGATGACGAAGAGAATGGGGATGAGACAACGGAAGACAATAACCCACTTCACGAGCCTGGCGAGAGGCCGAAAAAGTCGGATCCAACTCCATTCAAGTGCCCACATTGCGATAAAGAATATAAACGCAAAAAACAGTTGGACATTCACATCTTATTCCACAATGGGGAAGAACCACAACATTTTTGTAATTTTTGTTCAAAACGATTCTTCCAATTGAAAAGCTTGAAACGACATCTGCTTCTTCACACCACCGACAATCCTCATGTTTGCGAACAATGCGATCGGGTTTTCCCAAGGTGAATTTGACATATTATGACTTTTGTGCTTATGTATAACCTTAATTACAATTCAATAAGTTCTCGTTCTCAATTTAAATCGTTTCTAGAGCCGATCATCTGAAACGTCACATTGAAACTAGCCATTCAAGTGATGAGAAATGCTTTCGCAATAAAAAGATAAAGAAAGAATCCAAGGATCCCGTTCAGTATAAGTGCAATGACTGCGATAAAACGTTTACTCGCAAGGAGTACCTTAGGCTGCATCATAGAATTCATAGCGGCGAGAGACGTGGGTGAAGTATATTAAGTATAATTACTTATTTACTAGCTGTGAAATTTTTGTACGCATTACTTATTAATATTTTTACAGCATTTATGTGTTCTGACTGCGGAAAAACTTTTCGAGGTAAGGTTTTTTTACTGTTCACTTTTGCCTCTGCTGAACAACAAATTGTTTGAATGTAATAAAACCACTCATCTTTACAGACCCTAGAAATTTGGCACAACATCTGGTCACGCATAAGACGGACCGCCCATTTTGCTGCAGTATTTGCGGTCTTACCTTCAAGAGAGCTCATCACTTGAATGACCACGAAGGAACTCATCGCGACGACGTCGCACGCCCATTTGTCTGCGCACTACCCAATTGTGGCAAGGCTTTCAAGCTCAAAAAACATTTGATCAGGTAATGGTCATTTCCTGGCTAATTATATCATCGTAACTTGTTTAATAATCTACTCCGGTTTCTCTTGTCCACAGTCATGAACTTGTCCATAGTGGAACCAAAGGTATTTGATCAATTTCAATTTCCCTATAATTATAATTTCCTATAAAAATATTCCCTATATTAATCCTAAAATAGATCATCAGTGTGAAGTCTGTGGTAAAGCGTTTAACAGAAAAGACAATCTCAGGCAGCATGTGAACAAAGTCCACGGAAAAGAATCCTTTTCGGTAAATAATGGACAATGCTTTACAAACACATCAGGTAAAATGCATACCTTTTTATGCTTATCTACATTATCTTAGGATTTGATACGAGTTCCTGCCGAAGTCCAAATCGCACCTGGGCAGCAGGTTCAAATCCAGGTTCAAACGCCAACTCTGGTACCAGTCACTGCCATCACGGACGATGGCAACAACACGACGACAATTACAACCATACAACTCCCTTCTCAAGTGTTTCAGGCCATACCAGCCACGCACTTTACTTACACTCATCTGTAATACGTCCTTATGTGCAAAATTACGAGAGATTTTTTGTTTGTGAGAAAGGATAGATGAAACGGAATGCAGATGTATGTATACACAATATTTAATACCATATTTTCGATGATCAACAATCTTTAAGTACAAAAAATATATACTATTTAACGTGTCCCATAAATATATCCTAGACATTGTCAATCGACATATTTGATACATACTATGCGGAATACATTTTAAATCTTACCCGACCATAAAAATTTTAAAATAAAATATATTATATTTATAGATGTTTTGAATTGCACTTATCTTCTTGTTTCAAACAATTGTCAAAATACTTTAAAGCTCACCAAACATTGCATTCATGCATAAAAATGTAACATTTTAACAAAGCAAGTTTTAATGATCAGAGTATATGTCACATTTATTTTATTACCTAAATTATCATAATTCATGGCGTGCCTTCAATCATGTCAATCGAGGACGTAGAAGTGGAATGATAACTCGCGTCATCACTGCTCATAATTTCGGTTTCTTGCATGGAAATCACTTGCGTTGGAAGATCGTGAATTGATGGAATCTCAATACAATCAGCTTCGTCTAAAGAATAAGACGAAGAATCCAAGTTATCTTGTTCATGGGTCGAGTAAGAGCACGATGACAGATTCACGGATAAAATGTTAGTCGTCTTGGGTTTGGCTAAACAAAGACTAGTACAAACTTGGGTCAACTGGGCGTGGTTGTCTATGCATTCGTGGATGTCGATAGTATTGTCGTCTAAATGATGTGATGAATCTGGGATGACGTTGTTAATTCTGTCTTGAATGAATTGCACGAGCTTGTTTTGCATTCCGTGAAAATTGTTGTGTATTTCCAGAGCATCTTTCACCCAACCCGATAGTTTTTCCTTATTGAATGATATTCTCGAGTCGAGCAAGATAATAGCTCCCCAGTCACCTTTGTGCCTAATGCACCGTCCAAACGCTTGATTCATTGCTCGGAATGCTTGAACATTGTACCATTCTCGGCCCGTAAGGAGATCAACAGGCTTGGCATTGAACTCATTGTTATGTAAAAGAGTGGTGGCCAACTTAGCCTGCCTCTTGCGCCCATCATTATACTCCATCTTACAGGCTACCGTATGTGCGCCCAAATTGGCAAAAGGAATCCCAATAGTGATGACCGCCCGGGCCTGGTTATCAGTGAAATTAATACCCTCGCTAACTTTTCCTCGGAATATTGCAAACAAAATGCATCCTCGCTGACTAGAGGTCTGGATGGGGTGATCAATAAGATGTTTGTATCTCTGCATATCTGCTTCGAAAATGTCCTTGTCCGCTCGCTCCTCGTAGAAAATGTGCTTGAAGTACTCTAACTGCTTCATGGTGGGACTATTCACCGGATAGGTCGACCACCGTTCCTTGAGCGTGTCCATAAAAGTGTAGGATGGGAGGAACACAAGAACTCCATATGGGACAGTCTTAACAATTTGAAGAATAGTGTCGCCGAGATCATCTTGGGTTGTTTCGTCCGATTGGCCTTTTTTATTTAGTGCGAACTGCTTATTCACACCAAAGTTGACAGAGGAGCAAAATGTCTGATACTGCTGAACAACATGGTGCGCCACCAATTGTTGATTAAATGGAGTCTTGAGCTCGACAGAGAAAGATTCCAATGGTGATAATGTCCCAGAGGTAACTATGATAGAATGACATTGGTCTCGAATGGCCTTAAAAACGATAGCAGGACTCAAACACAATATTTCCATTGAAATGTTATATTGGCGAGTGCGTTGTCCATCACCTTTTGATTCATTTGCTCCATTGTTCACGAGCACGATGTTATAATGTTGGTAATTGTCATCCTCGTACAAAAAATGTAATGTTGATAGAAGTTTGACAATGAATCTTGTTACAGCAGACTTAATTTCAAACTTGACAACTTGAGTATTTTCTTGGGACAGCGACGAACTACTCTTTAGGCTATCCTCTTGATCATCGTCGTCTTCATCCGTCAAAACATGTGCATGATAGTAGTGCTCTTCCATTTGTTCTCTCCCGAATCCAATTTCCTCCAAACATTTCAACATTCTATCATCTTTAAACGCTACAAATTCTGGTAACGGAGTTGTGTTTGAATAAATATTCCTTGGTGGTATTTTTGGTGCAGCATTTCGCATCCAAGTACTCAGTCGAGTCAACAGTAAAGAAAAGTGTTCAGCCGATACTTTCTTTGGGCATTCAACAACTTGTTGAAGAGCAGTGTCAATTTGTAAGCGAATGGTCCCGTCCAATCTGTTTAAAGTTACGAGGCTCAAGGACGCTTCAGCCCTACAAATGTCTTCCAAGTTGTGGGCTTCGTCGAAAACTACAATATTTCCAGTGAGATCAATGTCTAATGCCCTTCTAATATCAGGGCTAATGACATAATTGTATGGGCAGAAAACAATCTCGGCACATTCGTAGAGTGCTTGGCTTGCATAATATGGACATCCTGTGCATTCGTGTCGTCCAGCTACCTTCAAATCTTCAATATCCCAGGCGCCTGAGTAGAACAATTCTCCAAATCTATATTTCAATTCATCCTTTTGGCGAAACAAATTGCAAACTGGTTTACGCTCTTTTTCACTCAAAGGCTCGCCCTTCTCCTTCTCCATTTTCAAGTTATAAAAGTAGTTTTTCCTTAACGCTCTGCAGCTTTCGTCCATCAAATGCCGAGGGTCATTTTCAAGTACTTCACTGCTACTACTTTGACTATTTCTTCCTTCGCAGCAGCTTGTAGAATCACATGAGACCTTGGGAGTGGGATTATTAGTCGATGGACGAGTTTTATTATGTTTAAAAAACGACTCCATGTACTTGGTTTGTTCAATTACTTCGGCGTTGAGGCATCCAATTTTCCTACTTGCAAGTATGGTCATTTTGGTATTTCGATAAGACGTAGCCTTTAGCTGCTCCACAACCTGTTGAACTTGCGAATGTGTCCTCGTTGTATAAAATATTTTAGGAACATGGGGCTTTGCAAAGTTTGACATGATACAGTGTCGACAGAGCAGATCTTTATCTCGTTTTCTTATTTCCAGTTGCGATGAATCCATTTTAACAATTTTTGACGGACTGCTGCCATCATTTGTGTTATTAACAACTTGTGAATGTGTATCAAAATCATCATCAAGGTTTGAGAATTTGGCAACCAGTTGGAATTTTGTCTTGCCTTGTGACTTGAATGATTTAATCGTTGGTTTACTCATCAACTTGTTGGGGTCAGGAATGAATCCGCAAATACATTTATCAGCGGTTATAGCCGCCAAAGGGGCAAACTTATTCATATTAGTAAAATTGTTTTCTTTGCAATGCATTTGCCATCCAAGTAACGCACACAGTAAAGCAGCCGTTTTTCCTGTTAATGAAATGAAGGACATTAATATGTATCATTTATGTTATTTAAACATTTTATTTAACTTGTTCGAGTTTAGTCCTCTCTGTAAAAAACGGATGTTTGATATACTGACCTGTTCCAGTGGGCGACTCTAACAAACAGTTTTGGCCCTTGTGTGCACCTTCGATGACCTTTGTCATCAGTTGCTTTTGACTCTTGTACGGTTTGTAGGGAAAGTTGACTTTGACCCTGCAAATGGTATCTGAATATACCTCCCTCTGGGGAAGCACCACCGCAGCGTCATGATTCAAATGAGCGTAAACTTTGTCCCAGTCATCATCATCGTCGTCATCGAAAGAGTTAAATCCCATTGTCGTAGTTGTGACTCCGTCTCCTCCTCCTTCTTTACGAGGCGACGTCATAACGTCAAACTGGGTCGAATTGTTAAGTCTCAAAACAATCAGCTACATCATTTCTGCGTGTATAAGAAAATTGTGTATCAATCAGCACGAGTGCTTACGAATGTCTGTTTAATGCACTCAAATTTTGAACTACCTTTAGTTCACTTCGATGCGTAATTTTCACGTACCATTAATACGTAAGTATTACCCAAGTAATTGTATGATGTGTCTCGGAAGAGATTTTTTCCTTCCTATCCTAGTGTTTACAACAGCAAAGATTCGATGCAGCAGAAAAATGTTCGACAATAATCCGCTCAAAGAGACAGCAGAACTTTATTTGCTCTTCACCCCAACGGAACCGACGCTGCTGTCTCCTAACTTGCTTTCTCCAAATGGAGAAAGGCAACAAAAGTAAAGCGAGGCGACAGCGAATATGCAAATAAGTATAATCATTACACAACATGTTAGTACCTTAGTAATAATAAAATTTATCCTGAGGTTATTGTGGGTGGTATATTTGCTGCCTGTTAGCCTGTTGGGTCAACCAGACTAGTGCCTGAAAATGTTCCTCATATCAATGCATATGAAGCCTTTTAGCGGTGTGTTTACCGCTCGGTGGGTTATTTATTAAACAATGGCATGAGTATGAATAATAATTCTGCGTCCAAATCAAAATCCACAGCTTTTTTATGTATATTTGAGCAATTAGATACAAGTACATGCGTCATACATATTATTGTGGCATCTTTCCAAGACTTATTTTTCAATTTGTACTTGTTTTAATGCTTCTTTTTGATCCACTTTTGACTGACTACATATCTATATGCATCATTCATTGTATGATGTCTGTAAAGTTTGTGATAAGCCGACACATTTATATAATGGAGCAAACTTATGTTGAATATTGATATCTGTTTGGATAACGGAAAGAATAATAACAACATTTCAACAATAAAAATATTTTGTTGAAAGCAAATTTGGAATGGAACACGTTTCCATTTTTTACACGTACACGACATATCTGTATCAATTTATTATGGCAGACGGTGCCTGCATGCATGGTTATATGCAGGTTCATAATGCTAAATATTATGCATTGTCTGAATTAGTGTGAAATTTATATAATCATCACCACTTCATATTCTGGATAAGACTGGTGACAGGATTTTGTTCTAATTTGTCGGGTTGTTCCAGTTAAATCCGTTTTCTATGCATTGTTAAACTTTGGTAGCATTGATTTCCTTGTACTTAAAACCACTTAACTGATTACATTTGTGTTTACTTTTCTGTTATTATATTGTCATTGCAGTTAATATACGAACCTGAACTGGCCTTTTAAATGCAGAGTTCGATAATCCAATTATAATCAGGAGCTCGCTTATCGGCCTTATTTTTATTTGTTGTGTAACCCTTTGTTCGTGTATGCATGTTTACCGAGATTAGACATCAGTACATCACGAGTGCTTCCAATTTAAACAGACGTTATACAAGTGTTATAAAGTTGAATGGCAAAAGTGCATAACACAACGACACAATATATGCAAAAAGGTGCCACGAGTGATTTTACATCTTTGTACTTTACCTATTTCAGTACCGTTGCATTATAATACGCAATTTTTTATGAAGTCGTCGAGTAAAGTTTCTTCATTGGAGTCCCCCTTCGAGGTGGTCCTGGTTTTGTGACACATGACAATGTCTTTGCCTTTTTCTAGTAAAAATGAAGCTATCAGTGGAATCAGTGAGAATACTTCAATTAGTGCACACGGGAAGAATTCGCTTGTTGGTATAAATAACAGTGTAGCAATTAACATTGATCTTGATGAGCCCATCATCTCAAAGAATTCTAACTCGGTGAAAAAAGTGCGACTAATAGACACTCGACCACGAGTTCGAAGTCAGAGTGCCACCTACCCCGACACCCTCGCCCACGACATCTCCCCTCCCTTCATGTTCCCGTCGTCCTCTGGTCAACAGAGCCAATTTGATCAGTTTCCTACCAAGCATTATTCCAATGAGGAGGCCCTGAGAATGAGTGAAGAAAGACTTTTGGCCGAATTAATGGATCCACATGGATCGGAGCATTCATTAGGCTACGATTTTGGGGGACAGAGAAGCTCCTCAAACTTGTCTACGAAACATAAGCTCGAGCGGTGGAATAATGTGGATTCTCAAGATGATGAGTTCCAAGAAGAAGAGGGTGCGGATGTGTTCAATGGCGAATCTTTTTTAGGGGGTGGAGCAGGGCAGACGACTTTTCCGGCACGACAAAGCCCTTCTCCTCTCCCAGGCAGACCAACCCAACTAAAGTTTGCGAAACCCCCCTTCGGGCGGGCTGGGAGTTTCACGAGCAGCAACGTGTGGATGTCAATGTCCACTCATGATGATGACTACATGCGACATGAATGTGTAGAAAAGTGCTCGTCGTCATTGCATTTGGCTGTAAAGACTGGGAATGTGGACGAAATTGAGATTTTACTGGAAACTGGGTCTGACACCAACTCCAAGGTATTGAGTACTATATTTTTATGCCAAGCTTATTGAAATATTTTCAGCGTATTATTATATTGTTGCATTGACTAAGGACTGCACTGGGAAGACCCCTTTGCATTGGGCCGTTTGTGCAGGTATTTAGATGGAATGATTTACATAACATATGCATTTTGCTTTCACTGTCGACATGCAATTTATTTACAGGATGCAACTGTGACGCTTGCACTGCACTTGCTGCAAAATGCACTCAACTCTTGGTAGATTCCCCCAAGACAAATATTGATCTCCAAGATAACAATGGCGACACTGCATTGCATCTCGCCGCAGAGTATCAAGCCACAAAATGCGCATCCATTTTATTATACAGTGGAGCTGACCACTCGATAAAGTAATAATGCAAAAATGCATACACTTGGAACACTTGAGTATTTCAAGCTTGCATTTAAATAGTAAATTTTAACATAGATCCAAGTCTGGAGTGAAAGCGTTAGCTTTAATGGTGGAGAAAATTCCAGAAGCGATGGACAGTTTATTGTCCAGAGCAGTATCTGTCGAGAAGTATGATCCAACCAACGTCAAATGTGAACTCAAGCTGGATTTTGGGTACACACGCCTACACACGATTAGTCAAATGATTACAAGAGAAAGTAATTAGTCTGTCATGTTTCTATGCGTATGTATCCCGAATTCAGAGCAATTGTGGGATATTCGGAAGCCCGAGGTCTCTCCCAACGGAGCGGAGGGGTGAAAGGTCAGCCTTCCTCGGACTCGAGTGGGAATTGGAACCCGAAAGCTAGGAAGGAAATGCAGCTCTTGACCCTCATTTTGGACTGCAGTAGTTCGGCACGAAAAAAGATCTTGACCCATCCACTCATCGGAATCTTCCTCCATCTCAAGTGGATGAGAATCAAGACCATGTTCTGGCTAACCATCCTCCTCCATGTACGCACTTTTACTTGATCATTTGAGAAAGCTCAAGACCAATTATTGGTGTATCAATCAACTGATGTTCTATTTAGGTTGTTCTCCTTCTTCTCTACACAATGTACATTTTGGACGTGTACTTGATAAGCTGTCCCTACCGCCCAAAGATTACCGAGCCAGTGAATAAAATTATTATTTTATACCTATTAATTATTTATTAATAAATATGATTTTAATTATATATTAAAAGGCCGCAGTGAAAGCTGCCAAAGCGGAGGGCAACTATTTGCAAAGTGACAACTCAACCTACCGAGCAGAATTTATCAAGTTCTCATGGTTGGAATTTTCACCACAATTGCAAGAGCTTGGAATAAAATCCAACCTTTATGGTATATTTGGCACAATTGTAACTATTTATTTCTGGCTTCAGCCTGATTGGCTTTATTGTGTTCTGTATGTGGGAAGAGGGTTGTCCACTCGAAATTGGTCCAACGGTCAAGTCAGTCCTTCTCCTCGCCCTAACGATCCTGATGGTGACCAACGAAGTCTTTAAGGTACGTATGTAGATGGCATGATTTACATAACATATGAATTTGCTTCCATTGCCGACATGCAATTTATTTACGTTCGCATCTTAATAAATAAGATGCTCCCTGCCCCCCGCTCGTACTGGAAAAGGACTCCAAATAGACTCCAGTGGGCACTGTTCTTCTTCATTTTTATCACCTCGTGGCCGGTCTTCATGTCGCATCCCAACATCAATTTTTGGCAATATCAAGCTGCAGCTGTAAGTGCTGCGTACTTGTCGAATACTTTAACTATGTAGGACTTGAGAAAATGAAATATTATTGCTAACCCCCTCGACCATTTGCAGTTTGGCTTATTTTTGGCCTGGGGGTTGATGCTAACTCAAATTGGCAAGTTTCCAATTTTAGGATTGTACGTCGAGATCTTAACAAAGGTTTGGTTGCATGTATAATTGTAGTTGAGTATCGTTTAAAATAATCAGCTCAATTTGGATTTTTAAGGTGTTGAAGAACTTTGGATTCTTCATGATAACGTACGCATCTCTTCTTATTGCGTTTGCCTTGGCCTTCTGTGTCCTATTTCCTGGCGTAAGTGTTTGTACGAAGTAGAAAAATAACAAGTTATATGAATTCAGAACTCTCTCAACTGACTTCTAATTATGACTTTTGAACGCTTTCAGAACGCTCCTTACAGCTCCATCCCTTTAGCCATACTTAAAGTCTTGATGATGATGGTGGGGGAAGTAAACTATGAAGATCTGTTTTATGGAAATGAGGAGAACCCTGTCGATGATTTGTAAGACTTGGTTGCATGGAATATGTATGTATGTATGTTTAACTCGAATAACTTGCATAACTTTGGTATAATTTTGAAGGCTTTATCCAATAACGGGACACATACTGTACGGAGCTTTCGTGATTATGGTCACCATTGTACTCATGAATTTGTGCGTACTCACAATTAATGATTAATTATCTTAATTAATTAATTAATTAATTAATTAATTAATAATTTGTAGGCTTGTAGGTCTCACTGTGAGCGACATTCAGGTAGACTACATCCTCCATTGATTCATATAATAAATATAATGATATAATGTCCCTTAATTAATATATAATTTCTCCCGGTCAAGTTTTTATACATAACTTTTCCATGTTATTTAAAACAGAGACGCCAATTTTGTATACAGGGTTTACAAAAAGATGCTGAACTTACTCGCCTCTCTCGTCAAATTGGCGAAATTGCTCAATTGGAGTCTTTCGTTTTTTCGAAAAGGGTTCAATCATTTTTGCCAGGATCCGTTGCAGCCTTCCTTCGCGATTCAATTCTAGTCGTCCCCGCACAGAAATTTTTGGATAATCCTCAAAATTCAAAATTTTCCAGAGAAGAAACGTAATGATAAGATCTCACTCAACTACTAATATTTAGTTTCATGCAATATTAGTACACATTTACCAATTTTTGTTCCGATTCAGTTGGTATTTCTACTGCCTTCCTAACGATCCCAATGACAAATCAATCCCAGAAGACTTGAAACTTGCCATCATAAAACTCGCAGCATCTCAACATCGGAATAGGAGAACAAACAAATGTTCCAAGATACTGAACCGTGGTGGAGCTGCCGTCCTCACTCCAACCACTCCCCTCTTGCAAGAATACCAAAAATATGCTGCAAAAATTTCTGCGGAAGGTTATCCGTCCACCATCCCACCAGGGACAACCACTGGCGATGAGAATTCGCCCGAGGGTGGTGGCGGTTTCATGTGGACGGCGACAGATCAACATCAGCATCCTTCTAAGTTGATGAGTGGATATGAAAATTCTGAAGGGGATGGAGTTGTTGGGACATCGTCGGCATACCCTCTAAATTTTAGACATGGAGCGGTCTCGTCCACTGGGACTGCAGTACCTCCTCCTCCTTTGAATATGAATATTAGAGATGCCACTGAACTGATGAAAAAACTGGAAGAGAAGATAATGGACCGGATGAAAATACAAATCGATGCATTGTATCAAAAAATAGAGGACAAGATGATGCAGTAATTTTAAACCGTAATAAACTTTACTTTAGAAAATGCATTATATTCGATTTTGCCGTTCGATGCCATTTGTCGGCGTTTATTTATTCGTCACACCCGGCTCAGATCAGCCAAAATGCTACAAAGAGCCGGAGATATGTTTCAAACCCTTCAAGTATAACGTGTCGTGTAGGGAGATCAGAGGAGTCGGGGGTCAAGAGTGGTCACATCTGGAGAAACTATGCAACCAGCCACATATTTCCATTCTAGAAGCCAATTTTTCGAGTATATTTATATAATAAGTGTTTGTCCAGCATATTTGGAAATGCAGGGTTTCTGTTCAGTTAAGCAAAAAAATGCATTCGTTGAGTAGATAATCTAGAATTAGATTACGATAACAGTTTTATTCAAACTAACTTAAATAAAATAAAATACAATAGAAGTGACTATATATTCGATTCTGGTGTCGTTTTATTAAAAAAAAACATTGCGTTTTGTTATGTGTTATAACGCAAAGGATCAGGTCAAATATATTTATATAAATAACTGAGGTCTCTCAAAGATGTGTGCTTCATGATATAATCCCCGTAAGCATAACTAAAATATTGCTTATATAACTAAAAAAATATAAGTAAATCAGGAGAACCATTCAATGACTTCATCACAATAATATGTTAAATACAAATGAAAACAGTTGAAAGAAAAAACGACTATCTAGCATCATCTCCCAGCATACGCCACAGGAGATAAAATTCGTCCATATATTTTGCAACAATATTCTTATGAGTAGACACCAGTACATTCTCTTGATTCCAGCTCATTCCCTAAAAAATACACATTTTTGTATTTACCATTATTGCGATCAAATTACTTTACAAACGTACTTGTTTTGTCCAATTCAAAGAACCTGTGAGTATTGCTTCTTCGTCAATGATGACAAATTTATGATGCATTAGAAATCCGGTGCATTTCATTCGTACTTCAATTCCTACCCAAGAAATTAAAAAAAGTTGTACTAACAAATTGTGTAACGAATAACGATATCGACGATAATTCCAAAAGTTGCGACACTTTCTTATTGCTTACCGCAGCGTTTCCACGACTTTGGACCAAAGTTGTTGTGTGCAGTGTACGTGTCATAATCTGTGACCACTTGGACCATTAATCCCTGATTATACTTTTCCCGAATAATGTTGACGAACTGGGGGCTGGACGTAAGGTACATACAGATCTGAATGGACGTTTGGGCTGCACGGAGATAGCTGAGGAGTGCATCTCTAGACGTCCTTGGTCCATCTTTTGAAGATGGATCAGGGAAAAATATGACCGTGTTCCACAGATCACTGGGTTTACGAAGCTCTAATTGACGTTCGGCTGCTTCTGCTTCTTCATCTTCGCCTGCGACATCTCCTTCCGTTCGTTTTCGACATTCGGCTCTCCCCCGCTTCCGACTCTCACTAATTTCTGCACCGGATTTACTTGTACTGTTGCTAGTATGATTACTTTGGGCGAAAAACCAACGATTCCTCGTCGTTTTTTTGGCAAATAGTTTCCTGTACACAAAATAGATAACGTTGGAAGCCACCATGACGGTTGTTCCGCTAACGAAAAATGTCAACCATGGCCGTTCAAAGGACATTGTAGAACAGAAATGAGCGACAAGCCTCAGGGCTGAAACGTACATTCAATATTATTTAATAATAATTTGAATTTAATTTATATACACATTTACATAACACAAAATTCCATGCACGTCATGTACGTCATATTTGTAATTATATGTGTTCATAAGACTGTTTACATATTATTCAAATAAACTTACGATTTGAAAGACAGTCACTTTACTCGTAATAACGTCTGGGACTGGAAATGCGTCTAGCTTATCCACATTTTCCTCAAATATGTTTGAAATTACAGCAAATTATAGCAAATATCTCGTCCCACATGGGCGAAAATAATAAATTAATCTTCGAGAAATATAAAAATAAATGAAAATAAGATATTTTATACTACAACATTGTATACGAATAGAATATTTGACTTCGTGCCTCCGTGCCCCCGAGAGGAAGGTGGGCGAGATAGGAAAGCATTTCATGATGAAATATGACATTGATGTAATGACCAATTAATCCGAAGGGACATTTTTCATCTTCAACGCCGGTAACGATCCTTCTTTTTTGGTATGAGATACAAAATTATACAGTAATTCGCCTGATGATGATGGCAGTGGTTCATTAAAAACTTTTGTATTTTAAATAAAAACCCCACAGAGCTGTACACATATAAAATCCCACAATATTGCAGAGATGGATGTGAGATTATAAAAGTACACATTTGTACGTATCTTAATTTTTAAATAACTAGGCAGAAATGAATTATAATAATTTTCAGTCTACATAATCGTATTATATTCAACGATCAAACGTGGATTCATCCTCAGTTAGATATGTTGGATATCGTTAGCTAAGAGATTCGAGGCGCAGTAATTTAATCTCCAATAAAAGTAAATCACGGAAAGGTTTTTCAACTGTTTATTTATTATCCGGCTTTGAAATGACGCGAATTATCGTCTAAACCACGGCTAAACCGGCCATTAAAAGTCATGGACGGTAGCCACGCTCCGTTTATTTGGGGTGTATGATCTCACTTGTCGATGAAACACGTCCATCCATTCCTGCTGGATTTGGCCGATATTGAGAAAAATAATCTCATTGCCATAATTAAATTTGCTCTCGAAGCTGTGGGAAGGATAATCTCAAGAAGACAGACCTCCTCTCGTATATGTCGTCTCACTACGTGAACTTATTGCATAGTCACACCGTGAAATGGATGGTTACAAATATGCAAAATGTTATTATTATGGACACAAGCACGACAAGTTGAGCATCTCACTAAATACAAGTTATCATCGACATGGACGAAGAAAATATTCCCTTGATTAGCAGCAAGAATGGGACGCTGCCCGAGGAGCCCACGGGGGAGTCGCAGCTCTCGGTGTCGAAGGTGCCCCTCCTTTTCAGATTCAAAGGCACGGTAATTATTTCTACCTGGTGGCAAATCCTCCTCATCGTCATCTACTCCTGCATCGTCGTCTACGTTCATGAACGCGTCGAAAACATCAGGCTTAATTTCTCACAAGCTTTGATCGACATCTTAGGAATTGTTACCGGTCTGCTATTGGCTTTCAGGACAAACACGGCGTATGAAAGGTATATAAGTTCATTTATTCTCCGAAGAGTGAGTAAAGTTTTATTATCTTGATAGTTTTTATTATTTTATTTTGCAGATATTCTGAAGGTCGCAACATACCGATTAAAATTCTTAATGCTATACTTTTCTTTTAACCCAAGAATGATATCCATCACAGGTCGCGCACTCTGGTCTCAGATGACGCTTAATATACGAAACCTGACCCGGTACATCTGGATGGGAGTGGACGAGGACCCCAATGCTCAGGCGAAATCTCTCATTGAGAAAAAGTCAGCCGTAAACTTGCTGATTGCTTTTGCCGTCGCGACAAAGCATTATTTGAGGGAGGAGTATTCCTATGAATTTGGAGACTTGAAGAACCTCATCTCCCACATTCACGTTTTCAACACCCCCTCGTCAAATGTGGGGATGGCGTATCAGGAGGGACAAGGTTACGCCGGAGTTGACTTTAGCTTTGTGAAACCGAAAACGAGAAAGATTTCGACGGTGAAGGACCCTCTCAAGGCGAGAGACGTGGTCACTCCTACCAACATTCCCCTGGAGTTGTCATACTACATTGCCTCCTACATCAACCACTGTAGAAAACGGGGACAATGTGACGATGTCACATTTAACCTCATGGAGGAATGTGCGTTCCTATTATTTATGTATTACTGCAAAGGCTAAGATTTGATGGTGATGTTTTTGTTCACACAGCGTTATCCAGTTTAGTGGAGTGTTTGACCTCGTTCGAACGAATTTTGAGGACACCCATCCCGTTGGCATATTCGGTCGATAAAAGCAAAGCATTGAGTATTTCTAAATAACGGTGTCGATAATCGATGATGATTTTTAGGTTCATTTGCACCATATGACCTGGCTTTACTTGGTCGCCTTGCCTTATCAGATTATGGAGGAGCTGGGGTGGTGGACTGTGGCAGTTGTGGCTATTGCAACCTTCTCCTTCATAGGTACAAGTTCTATTGTGTGAATGAATTAAACTACATTAACCATGCATACTAATTAGGTATACTGGAGATTGGTTGGGAAATTGAAAATCCGTTTGGATACGACGCCAACGATTTGGTGAGTACATACGCACATACACACATCGTACCTAGGTAGACCTCTAGAATGTGATGTAGTAATTCTTGGTGCTGTTTGAGTTTAGCCACTGGATGACTTTTGTAAAGTGATAAAACGCGAAATTGACAGAGTTCTACTTCAAAAACCAGTGAGAACGGATGAGTGGATATTTTCCGAGTCAAATCGGCCCTTTGCTCCCGAGTGCATGATGAGCGCCAAGGAATTGTTAAATCGACCCTTGGAATACATTGCATTCATTTGTGCACAAAATTTGCAATCAAGTCAGCCCGATAATAATGGGCTGCTAAAAGTGCCCATGCCAAATTGAGACGAACTAAATAAATACGCATGTAAGATCTGCCAGGCTTTCACTTCTCGTCTCATTTTCGTCTCATCTCATTCGTCGTCTCATTTCTCAACCCTTTCCTAAAACTTGCACTTTGTACTTTCATTACCACAGCTGCGAAACATTTCCCATCTACTCCACATATTTATTATATCATTCAAGGTAGCGTTTGTTGTTTGTTGACACTTATTTCAGGTTTGTTTACATCTAAAAAAAAACATTATTAATACAGGTTCAAATTGTTAATTTAAAATAAATCGTAATCCATACATAAACACATATTTAAGACGTCGTTGCTGTTTCACACTTTACTTCAACATCAAAGCATAATGGCGAACCAGATGAGGGCAACTGTTTTTCGCCATCCAGAAATTGGTTCATTCTTTCAAGCACAACCAAAGCTAGAAAATCCTTTTATCGCAGATGGATTTCTACGAAGGACGCTCATTCGGATGCTGCCGGCAGAGGTAATTAATTGTTCTTTTTGTAAACCATCAGCCAAGTATTTGATTTATAATTATTTTTTACAAGTACGATGACAGTTTGTGAATTTGTAGATTTACGAAGTCGTGTCAAAAGACTTGACACGATTCGGAGAACGGGTTCGCAATGAGTTGGAACCATTAGCTGACCAGTGTGAGAAAAATCCACCATATCTCACGCAATTTTCCCCCTGGGGAAAGAGGGTCGACGACATTGGTGAGATATTACATTCCAGCACTGTTGTTTATGTTGCCCTAATTCTAATAATGCCATATATTGCACACAGTTACCTGCGATGCGTGGAAAACAATGAAAAAGGTCGCAGCGGAAGAAGGGATTGTAGCGATCGGCTATGATAAGCAATATGGGGAGTACAAGAGGTGATTTTTATTCATTTACGATATCGGTTAAATCAAAAAGTACATTTATTTAGGTGATTGAAGGAAACTTCTTTCATTAAAATTTAGAACTTCGTGTTTAATTTGGTTTTTCATTAACATAACATATGCAATTTTGGCTGACAGGCTCTATCAATTCGCCAAATCTCTTTTGTTCACCCCATCCTCGGGGTTATATAGCTGTCCGATTGCTATGACCGACGGAGCTGCCAAAACAATTCAGACACTTGGAATAAAAAAACTCGACTTTGCTTTTAAACGCCTAACCTCTCGGGACCCATCAGAATTCTGGACATCTGGGCAGTGGATGACTGAGGTTAGATGACTTGGTTAGTTTTATGACTAGTTTTATGCTGAAGCTGAAAAACATGCCATTGTTGCTTACAGCGTGGGGGTGGCTCGGACGTGGGGACGGGGACAGAGACGGTTGCCATCCCAAAGTCGGATGGAAAGTACACGCTGCACGGGTACAAGTGGTTCTCCTCAGCCACAGATTCCGATATGGCTATCACGCTCGCGAGGGTGGCAAATTCCGATGGAACAGTCAATCCGGTACTGAAAGTCGATTTAACTTACATAAATAGCTGACTCTGCGTCAAAATTAAAATAGCCAATTTTTCAACAGTGTTTATATGTATATAGGGTTCCAGCGGCGTATCCATGTTTTTTCTCAAGACTCGAAATGATGATAAAAATGGCTCCTTAAACAACATTCAAGTGATGAAATTGAAAAATAAATTGGGAACACGGCAATTGCCCACTGGCGAACTTCTTCTGGACGGAACTGAGGCTGAACTGATATCAGATTTTGGCCGTGGAATCCCTTCAATCACCCCCATGCTGACCTCAACTCGAATTCAAAATGCAACTGCCAGTGTTTCTGGAATGCGAAGGTACATAAGTATACAACAAAATATTTATTTAATTTATGGGTTCTAAACTTATAGCTGCATAATTAAATTAATGTCCAGGATACTTAATTTGGCGAGAGACTACAGTAAACGAAGGGTATGTTTTGGACTACCCATTGCTAAATACCCTTTGCATATCAATACCATGGCTCAACTAGAACTAGAAACACGAGGAGGAACAAGTTTGCTTATGGAGACGGTGAGGTAAATTGTACAACAAATTAGTTTGCGGTTTTTAGCCGATTCAAGCACGGTTCATTTTTTTCAGAATGTTGGGACGATCCGAAGAAGGAACTAATGAACCAGACGAGGAACATATTCTTCGTCTCCTTACGCCTGTTCTAAAACTGTACACAGCAAAGAAGGGAATGTCCGTGATGTCGGAAGGGTTGGAACACATAATTTCTATTTGTTAATGAAATTAATATTAGCTCCTAATGGCTTGCAAGTAATTCAATGCTGGTGGTTCATTTGTTTTATTGAATATAAAACATTGCAGGCTCGAACTTTTTGGAGGACAAGGTTATATTGAAGATACAGGAATTCCAAAACATTTTCGCGACGCACAGGTTTGATATCAACTGTCCTTCTGATTAATAAATGCATGTACTTGTCAAGAATATTTAACTTTGATTTAAGGTACTGCCAATCTGGGAGGGGACAACAAATATTCTATCGCTGGACGTTTTACGAGCTATAGGCAAATCCAAAGGCGAAACCCTAAATGCCTTTGAACGCAATTTAAAGAAGAGACTGAAACAAAGTGAGACAGCTCGTCCCGAACTTTCTTCCTCAGTGTCGTCCGTGGGCAATCAACTTGACAAATTAATTCGCACTCTTAGGGAACATTTGGTACAAAAAAACTAATTACATAGCCCACTAAGAGAGATAATAAAATACTTATACCGTTTGCAGGTGCAAGAGTCTGCTGCTCGTTTGTATGCCTTTGCCATAGGAGACGTTGCGATCGGTATAGTATAAACATGGCTTTTAATTTATGATATATATTTTTAATTAATAAGAAGAATGGATTTTCAGGAACGTTTCTCCTTGAGCATGCAGCATCCAAAGCTGCTGATAAGACAGACCTAACCGCTGCCATACGATGGGCGCAACATATTCCAAAATTTGAGGAACTTTTGGCAAGACATGAAACACAACCAGATACTGATTCCAACGAGCTTGTCTTTGACTGTTATGAGAACACAGATTAATATAGATAATATCCGCATATATAGAAAATAGACTATAAGTACAATGCTACTTGTGACCTGGCTCTCTTGATGTTATTTTTATCAAGATTCACATTTCAACTTATTTAACTAAATAAAATATTTCATGATGGTGGTGCATTTACTTTATTGAAGATAAAACATTTGAGGTTCAGATGTTTAATTAATTAGAAGGATATCTTTTAACCATAATGCATTTACTTATTACATAATCAATTTTTGTGGGCGGGGACACGTATACTCGTAAAAGTTCTACTGTGATTCATTATACTTTATGGAAAATGACAATGTGCTGAGTAATTTTTTCAATGTTGCACGAGGTACATGTCTAAGAAGATGGAAACTTACAGCCTGTAAATCTGTAAATATTTAGTTAAAATTAGTCATAAACTGCGTACCCGTATCTTTCCCAGCTTTCGAGTTGATTCATGACATGTTTCTAGTTTCATGCGCTACGTTTGGTTGCATGCACTGCATCGAAACAATTTCGCTGTCGCTGTCGCATGACGAATTGATCTACATATTCGACTGGACACTTATTTAATAAATATGAGGTCAAAAATATGATTCCTTATCGAGTTATTGCTTAGATGCGAACGTGACGAGTATGATTTACGTATGAGCTAAGATTTCACACTTGGTTCAGTATTTGTGTCATTAATCCATTCTATCCGGTTATGGCAATAACACTACGGATCTTGCAATTCCATACAATCCAATCAATCAGCCTGTATCCGGACAGGTTGCTCCATGGAAAGTTTAGGAAGACAGGCTGGATTCACGTTGTCTGGGCCAAGGTCTGATATCTGATCTCTTCTGGAGTCGTGTCTGTGTGTCTGATATCCAGTCCAACAACAAGTCGTCGTTCTTATACGACAACTATGTTGTAAAAAGCTGAGAATTCAGCTCATCATCATGGGACCACCACTTATCCAATAACGAAGTATTAAAACTTCTTTACATGAGTAGATTGCTGCAATTGACATAATGCTTATGCGAGAAGCGATGTGTTATTTATTAGCTCCAAAATGAATATTATCAGGTATGATGATAATAATTCGGCTCCCGTGCAAAATAATGGATATTTCGCAAGCAATGTGTCACGAGCAATTTCAACGCCCACATGTATTACATCAGCTCAACGTCTATAAAAGAAGGAAAGACGATTTATTTATGCTGTCAATTACAATTGGGAATCTGTCAAACTCTGTCACATCAAACCTCATAAAATTTTCAACTCTTTATTACAGTCACATAATACATATTTTGACATGGCATTGAGACCCATAGTTCAAAACTCATCGTCGCTTCAAGATCGAGTCAAGTTCACAGAGCTCAACAACTTATCGAATGGTGCAAAAATCTTGTTTGCTTCCGACGACTTTTTTGCAAATGCAGAAAATCTGTTAAAGGTTGGTTTCTACTTGTTCTGTAGATAACATTGATTGGTCATAAGTAATGTAATGTCAATCAATTTCGTGTGAAGCGAGAGTCTCACTCACTTGAGTCGCTTAGCTCTGTGAGAGTGAGATTGAGAGTGAGACTTCTTCTTGTGAATTGATCTTTTTGATTGAGTGCCTACATATTATTGTATTGGGTGTAGGAACACAATGCGGAATGGAAGGAAGGTGTATTTGATCCCCAGGGGAAGTGGATGGATGGGTGGGAGACGCGTAGGAAACGAATTCCTGGTCATGACTTTTGCATCATCAAACTGTCGCACCCCTCGGTAAGTCATCAAAAGGTGAAAAGATTATTATTAATCTCATTTTTTGTAAAAGGTCATCCATGGCTTTCATGCCGACACCTCCTTCTTCACTGGCAATTTCACCCCCAGAATCTCAATCCAGGCTGGAAAACTCACCCTGAAAGGTGCGTGCGATTTTTCTATGATTTTCCCTAAAAAGCCAAAATTTCTTAAATTCTTAAATTCTCCTCAAATTAATGTGACCTTTGCGTTAATTAACAGAAGAAAGTAGTATTGTGAAACGAACTGGGGAATCAAATAAGGCTGCAACTGAAACTGAGCTGAAGCAAGTGGCTACTCTTGGAACTGATGTAAGTGTAGCTTAGCTTGGGGTTCTAGATAATTTGATCTGATTGATAAAAGGTTCAACTTTTTGATGTCACCATTCCACTAAGCTAAATATTATTGATTTCACTGGCAGAAGTGGACCGTGCTGGTTCCAAGGTCAGATTTGGGTGCTGGGTATATGGACACTTGTGACACATTTTTCCCCGTGGATAATCGTGAGACATGGACACATCTGCGGCTCAATTACTTTCCTGACGGTGGTGTCGCCAGGCTCAGAATTTATGGGCAGGTGAAGAGAACGTATGAAGACATTATTGCGAATGGCATCTGCACAAAGGATGGCAACGTAAGAAGAAGTTTTTTGCTATGATTTTTAGCTTGAGAATGAGTTGAAGCAGATGAGTGTTATGAACGGATACTTAAACTACTGGAATCTGCAGATGCTTCAATTTTCACATGCAAAGTGTCCAGAAGAATAATTCCGAAGACATTTCTCATGGGTATTTACATGCATAACTATTTCATGTTTCTGACTTGCATGAATCCACCAGAGCACATTGGTTGATCTCGCATCATCCGAACACGGGGGCATCAGCATTGGATTCTCCAATGCCCATTATGGTCATCCTCGAAACATGTTATTGACCCGTCCAATCCCAAATATCGGGGATGGCTGGGAGACAGCTCGGCGAATGGATAGGCCGGATGTCATAACAGGTAGCGAAATTACACGGAAAAATTGTTAATCTAATTTGTGACAAATTAAGAAAATCATGAGGACGATTTTTACTGCTTATTATTAGTATTGCATTACATATTTTAAATACGTCATTTTCGGTCTGAGCAGAAACTGGAGCTGGATTCATGGAATCTCCAGGTCAAGAATGGGCTGCTTTCCGGTTGGGTAAGAGAGTGAAGGAATGTCGAAAACCTTACGTTACAAACCTTGTCTCACGTTACAAAGGCTAACATACCATTATGTATTTTAGGAGTGGTAGGGAAAGTTGTCAAAGTCCAGGTCGACACCACTTGTTTCAAGGTGAAGCGTCCTTTTATTTTTCAATTACTTGGGGGCATTCCCTTCCTCTTTTAATATCTTTTTTTCATTTTAATGTATTTGAATTTTCTGAAAACGTAGGGAAATTTTCCTGACAGCTGCAGGTAATGTATCTTATTTAAACAAATACTTCTTACAGCCGAAGAAGCATATTACACATAAGCACCGTCAAATAATGTATGTCAACAGAGTGGAAGGTTGTTATCTCTCCAACACTGAGGATGAACAGCAACTGGTTTCACCTGAGGACGCTCCGGGGTTGGGGATTTGGAAAATCCTGGTTCCTCTCAGCAAGGTAATTACTCTAAGTAATGCAATCTACGTAACGATATTTTATACAGAATTATGTTCCTCTGCATGTACACATGTCCTACATTTATTATTTCAGATGGGGCCGGAGAAGACTCATATTTTCCTTGTGGATGACAAAATTGGAAATAAGATTAGCCACGTGCGGATAACGATTGCTCCTGATGGTGGTGTGGCACGGCTCCGTGTCTGGGGCATCCCGTCGCCTTAAAAAATCTAAAACTAATTCGAAAATGCTAACAATGCCTGCGTGCATGAGAAACAAAAAATATATAACACTTGAAACATGAGTCATTTCAGTTGTGCATTTTTATTACTCATTTCTCCCTCATACATAGTTAAATAAACAATTGGCCCTTTAGTCCAATTCTGGCTTGACCAGTGATTTTAACGCGATCACCAAGTAAGGTGCATTCGAGGTCACCTCCCCGAGTAGAGTGCTGTCTTGCCTTGAGGGGGCCAACCTTTCCGAGCTCCTTTGTCCAGAATGGGGTCAGGACAGTGTGAGCCCTATTTAAATTTTTAAAAAGTAGAGAAATTAATTCATCGAAAAAAATTACAAAGAAAAATAGCACTAACAATCCAGTTACGGGGTCTTCGTTAATTCCGTCCCAGGGTGCGAAGAAGCGGGAGAAAAAATCAGGGCTGTCAGTGCTTCCTCCCTTCACAGTTACGATGATATCTCGGAGAAAGTTACCCGTGTCAATGTCCAGAAGGGCCTGAAAATTTGGTCTCACGGAGCGAAGACCCTCTGCCGTTAATTCGTCCTTCAGCCGGATTAAGAGGATTTTGGTGCCTGGCGAGTAATGGACACCGTCCACCAAATCTTTTGATCCGACACAATGTTGAATGACGGAAGGGAGCCATGGATTTTCGTCTTGGTTCAACACGTGGGTGGGGTTGGAAGGGAAGTTGAGGGAAACAGATCCATCGGACTGAAGGTCAGCTCCCAACTTTCCTCTAAATTTGGAGTCAAAACTGATGCTTTTTTCTCCCCCTTCTTGGAGCTGCACGTTTGCAATTACTTTGGCCGAGGCTACCGTGGCATGTCCACAAAGCGGGACTTCATTCGTCGGTGTGAACCATCGGAGCGTTCTTTGCGCAGTACCCTCAACTGCGGCCAATTTGTTGCCTTTAGTCCACCCAAAAGAAACAAATGCAGTTTCACTCAGGTTCATTTCCTCCGCTATTTGTTGCTTCTTCTCGTCCGAAATATCATCCTATTTCATATATTGATAGATTAAAATATTTAATTAGACTTACAACGATTAAATAATAATATCAGACGGAATATTTCGAAGAAAAATTGTTAGATGGATATTTTATTTCAATTGTCTTACATCAAATTCCAGGAGAACCACTCCAGCTGCATTTCCTGTGAATGCTTTACCTTCTACGATGAAGGCATCCACAACAAAAATTGGCAAAGTCATTTTACAAGTGTCAGAATTTGTTGGTAATTTGTTTATTAATTTTGACCCGTAGTGTTCCACATGCAAATCTCGACTAAGATTGGTGGACCTTGGTTAGCTAAACTTAAAGGAAAGACGGGAGTTTTATCAGGTTTTTGGATCATCTTCAACCGGCACAAACTAACTATAGTTTTCATATAAGCATATAGATAAACAATATTATCTGGCTATTTGGGACAGTCAGGCGGTCACGCCCTTTTTGCGATTGGTGAATTATAATTCACTGGATAAAATGCGCCCATTACTTTTACTCGACACACGTCGAGTCAACAACCACATGCAATATGTCATAATTTTGCATAATTCTAACATGACGGTGACTTTATTTTTACCGAATTGATGTACTTATGCAATAAAGTAATATATGCATGATCTTCACATACATACAGTTGGCTCTATTATACTGGAAAGTCCTTGACTGGATTGAATTATAGTAAAGTTATAATTTTGTTTATCATCTCCAACTGCATTTAGCATCAACCCGTTAGATCTTTTCGCTGGTGATGGTTGCATAATCTTATGTAATGTTAATTCTTAGGATTAGTAGTATATATGAGTAAAATGCTGATGAAATTCAGGTTTACAAGAAAAATCATGATATAGTTTATTTGGGATTAAACTAAATTGCTCATACTATTAGAGATGTAATATACTATGGTTTAGTATGGTTGGTTTTATTGGAACACTTTTATTGTAAATATGTACTAATCAAAGTATTATCAGCTGCATATAAAATTAGGGTATCTCATCAGTCTTTATTTATGGATAAGCATATTTTTTAATTTTTGTTAAATAAAGTCGGTTCCGAGAAGTGGCCTCCTCTAACTGCAAATTCATTGGAACATTGTATACTCTTGATTGAATTATAAATTACGCTTGATTATATAATCTCACTCTCACATTCATTTTCGTTCTCCTCGTCAACAAATGGAAAATTAAATATGTCCCCAATCATCCTAAGCGTAGTGATAATTTTTACGACTTTTCAGTACTACTCGACATACTGGTTTTGGGAGCCGTCGCCGTCTCGTCTTTTGTGAACAACGTTTGGATGACATAATCCTTCTGAGGACCTTTAACATCGTAGGCGAGGGTGAAGTGGTTACAATCCTGGAACACGTACTTGGACCGATAGAAATCCTTGTCACAAAGATGTTCCCCTTCTCCCTCCATCCTCTCCAGGTCCAACTTTAAATCATAAAAGTGCCGACCATCCACAAATTCCTTTGTGATTTTATCCTTCTCCTCGTCGTACAGATAGACATATTCTTGATAAGCTGTCCCCCCAACCCCTTGTCCCTGTCGTAGTCCAGACTCGGAGGTGTATGCCAAAGTCATGTCCTCACGGTAGCGAAGGACCAATGGATCATGGGTTGTGGGGGACTCTGACGTCACGGTGAATTTGGCCGAACCCTCCCCGTGACCGTAGCTCCCCAACACGCGTCGAATCGTCCAAGATCCCACTAAATTTTTGAACACTTGTTTCGTAGAGGTCATGATGCTGAGCTATACCGACCATCCACAAACAAAGATGGTTGGGGTCACCAAAATACTGTGTATTTCAAATGATGGTTTATTAGAGCACCGTCAAATTAACCACTTTATTAATATTTTTATTATTATGGAGTAAGCGAACACGTGTAAAAGACAGACCAGATGATTGTACCGTACACTCTGTATGTCTCAAGAGTCAAGATAAAAGTGAATCATTTTCCCCGAATCTGCTGTATACTATGTCTACACGCACATTAATTAGTGCTCTTATTTATACTTTCAAATAAACCAGGATTTTTTTGGAAATTTTATTTTATTGTGCAATTAAATTGTTTAAATGTGATCAATCATGTATTTTCAAACTGTTTCAATACTTGTTGCACAAAGTCCATTTGATTCAGCGTCTGTTTAGGACTATGAACAAAGTTGTAATGGCTTGGCGTCACTGGTTCGCTCATGAACCTCCGAGCAATTTCCGCTTTTTGATGTTCCATCATGATGAGGGCCCCCGAGGGTCTGGTTTGTCCAAACGCAGCAGCCAAGGACTCCTTGGGGGACAGGAGTTTGTCCAAATTGGGAAAACTGTGCCCCAGACTGGCCATCTTGTCAACAAACGAGACATACTCAGGGTGTGGAAATTGAGGTCGGGGGAATGTTTGGTTTCGAATTTCCTCCTCTTTACGCAGTCCTTCTTCTGTAACTTCTTTCGAGGGAAGCATTATAATTTTAGCCAAAACACGACAAGCGAAGCGTGCCTGTTGTTCCATCATGGCGAAATATGGTCCTTTGTACATGCCCACGAAGAAAAGGCCGGCAAGATCGGGATGAAAGCATTCTTGGAAGAGGATGAGAGGCTGAAGTCCATCCTGTGGATTGTATTTCAATTTATCTAGTACTGCCTTAGGGAAGAATGAATTGTCCATTTGAAATCCCGTCCCAAAAATGAGTATGTCAACGTCTAATAAGGTCTGACCATGCTGAAATTGTACTGTTCTGCCCTGGATTTCTTTGATTGCTCCCAAGATTGGAACTAAGGATCCGTTTTCTACCTGAGGTAAATAGTTGTCGGATATCACAGAGTTTATTGAAATTTTAAAGTCTTCCTTAGGAATTTTGAGTTGTTCGAACTTTTGCTGTTCCTGGCAAAAGGAGAGCAGATTTGTATTTTTCTTAAAGATAATGTTTTCCTCAGTTTCCTCGTCATTATTAGTTGTACTTTTTTGTGAATAGAATTTCCTATTGTAGAATAATAAATCGATGGGGATTAGTGATCCGTTTCTCTCCTGATAGTCGGGAAGATATCTTCTTAAAACCCAAAATCGTCGCCTGAATGTGTGATAAGATTGTCTCGAGTGGGTGGACACGTCGGCAGCAATCTCAGCTCCACTAAAGCTTCCCCCAATTATGAGGACATTCTTTCCCTCAAATTCTTGGCCAGTTTTATACTCGTTGGAATGAAGAATTTTTCCTGGGAAGGTGGAAAGGCCGGGCAAATTAGGAATGTTGGCTTTGACGAATATCCCAGTCGCCACGATTACTCCCTGGAAAGTTTGTGACTCAAGAAGGACGCCAGTTGATGCAGCGTTGGTTTTCCATGTTACGTGCCAACCTGATGCTCCATATTCTAAGAAATAAGATCATGTAATTTTGTATTTTAATCAAATATAGATGGCCATATATCGTCGTTGTTCGTTCAAAACTTGTCGATTTAGAATCCAGTCAGAAACAGAAGTTGTCAGATGCAAGTACCTACGGGGAAAACGTGACACCAACGGATCCATTTTAATGAAGTCGCATATCTCCAAAAAATGCTGGTTTCTAAACCGATAACTTTTGTACGAACAGCGACGATACATATGTAGCCATTTATATTGGATTGAAATGCATAATTTGTTTTATATACATATTAAACCGATATGTACCATTTCCCACGGGTTCCACGCTTACTACTTCTGACTGCAATTTGATATGGTCTCTTAGTTTGAATTCATCTGCATAGTCATTAAGATAGCAGAAAACAGAGGATGATGATGGGAACATTTCCGTGTCATTTGGGTACTGCCTGTCCCCATAAACGGTCGTGAATTTTGAAATATTCGTTCGCATAGTGTCCCAAACGGCTCCAGTTTGAGGGTTCCATACTCCTCCTAACTCGGCCTGTTTTTCGAAAATGGTAGGAACGAGACCGTTGGCAAGAGCTTCTTTTGCGGCAACAAGACCGGAGGGACCTGTGCATATGGATTTTACTTTTAATTATGTGCATTTAAACATAACTCCATTTTTAACCAGTCTTGTAGTTACCAGCCCCCAGAATGGCCACAGTGTTTGACATTTGACCAATTACTTATTGTTAGAGACGGAGACAGATAAGAGACGGAATATAGATTATCTGTGCAGAATTTTAATACAATTGTGCTTGTATTTAGGCCTTTGAGTTACAAGTATAGCTAAATTATAAACACGCCAAAACTATATAGTTTTATCTTTTACAGATATGAAATACGAATAATGAGGGCGTATTTGTATTAAACTCGGACAATCAAATGCTTCGTTATTAATTTAAAAAAAACTTGGCCACATGTTTCTTGAGTGTTGTTTTATATTACATTGGTTGTGTATTATGTAGTGAAGTCATATTATTTTGCCTGATTATAACATCACACCATCAGTATTTAAACAAGGATCTTTATGACGTATGTATGAGATGAATGGATGAATGGATTGAGTTGACAGAAACCGTCAGCATTGCAGGATGCATGTCTATTTGATGTATAATTATATTATTGTCTTATAATTGCATAATTCATGCACATGATAAAAGAGTGATACAATTGTATCATTGAAGAATATTAAGTATATCAATCCGTTTGTACTTTAGCAGTCACGTCGAGCTTTAAGAGTGCCTTTTATCTTTTCATCTCTTATAGTAGTCAGATCAGCAATGCGCATATACATACCCGGGTGTTATTAAAGAAACCCCGAAAAAAGTCCGGCAGTTTGCTTTTATATTTTCAGAGACACCGGTTTACAAAAAACATTTGGAGCACTGTATGTATTTGAACTAAATTAACCTATCTAATCTACATATCTCCGTACATCTGTCCAATTTTCAATACTATTGTAGTAGGTGACTGATAGTTGCTTTTTATCATTTCCAATTTGGAAATTGAATTACTTTATGGAAATATTAATTCTTCCATGTCTCGTTTAGCCATACTCTGAATACATACATACATATATACATGCATGCGTCCTATGCATGCGTCCTCAGATTTACACGCAATAAGACTAAAATCCAACAAAGATAAAAGAATTTAATATAAATAGCAATTTTATTCTATTTGTCCGTTTATTCAGCCATATACGTCCAGCGTAATTTGGCGTAGTTTTTAAACGGTCAGAATGGACACACTGGGTACGTGGGATTATGTCGTCTTTGGGATTTTTCTTTTGGTCTCCATTGCCATTGGAATTTTCTACCGGTTTTCTGGGGGTCGACAGCAAACAGTGCAAGTAAGTGCCTGCATAGGCTTGCCATGGGTGAATAATGTTTTACAACAAACCACCAATAATGCTATTGTTATCTTCTTGGTGTGTACAGGAATATATGTTGGCCGATAGAAAAATGTCTGCTATTCCAGTGAGGTAGGAAAAAAGTTTGATTCATACAATTGATGATTCGGAAAAATTGATCTGTCCAATTGACTATTTGTTAAATTGTCTTTAGCATGTCCCTCATGACCAGTTTCATCTCAGCCGTGACAATACTCGGAACCACGTCGGAAAATTATTTGTACGGCACCCAATACCTTCTTCTCAACTTCAGTTATGTCATCGGGACTCCTATAGTAAATTTTGTCTTCCTCCCAGTCTTCTTCAACAGTGGGGACAAGATTAGCGTGTATCAGGTAAAGCTATATATACGTACATACATAATTCCAATTTGTGCTTGTTCCAATTGCTAGTTGATTGTTCCTGACGCTTTTTCTGCAGTATCTTGACAGTAGGTTTGGTCCTTATGCCAGGCTGGCGGCAGCGCTGGCATTTTCCCTGCAAATGACGCTTTATATGGGGGTGGTTCTCTACGCCCCTTCCCTGGCCATCTCTGCAGTCACCGGAATGGACAAGGTGGTCGCCATTCTAAGTATGTTTTGCATGAACACAATAATTGTCTTCTTTAGACACATCTGCCGAATGGGATATTTTTAGCATCAGCAATATTCTAAGTACTTATGTGTATTCTAGGTATTGGTACAGCTTGTACCATTTACTCCACGATTGGAGGTATCAAAACATAAAATTATTTTTGAAAATATTTATTTACTAACATGACGGTCACCAGCTCGGGCGAAACATATGCACTACACATGTATCAACTTTATTTTTCCAGGCATAAAAGCCGTCTTGATAACCGATTTGATCCAGGCAAGCCAATAGCAATACGTACATATACGCACATATGCACATATCGTGAACGAATTTTAGGGTTAAAATAACGTGTCTTCTTAATTGTAATCAAAGGGGACCTTGATGTTCTTGGCCATATTTGCTGTGATCATTAAGGGGCTAGTGGACATTGGCTCTGTCGGACACATCCTGTCGGTTGTGGAAGAAAGTGGACACATAGAATTTTTTAAGTTAGTGAATACCATGAATTGGTTCATTTTTAAAAACAAGGTCGAAATATATTTAAAATAATTATATTTCTGACTAGTTTTGATCTCGATCCAACAACAAGACACACTGTCTGGGGGACTTTAATCGGTGGCCTCTTCACGTTCTTAAGTTTGCACGCAGTGAATCAAGCACAGATACAGAGAATGCGGACATTAGAGTATGTAAAGCACATCAGCGAATAGCGTTTATATGTAGAAAAGATATTTAATTAATTAATTGATTATTAATTAAATTAGTAAATTAATAATCATATCATGGCACTTTGTGGTTTTTAGAAACATTTCTTCGGCCCGATGGAGTCTCTTTGCCAGTTCTATCTTCGTAGTAATCTTGAGCTTCTCTCTTGGCTTCATGGGGTTGTTAATGTATGTCAACTATCAAAAATGTGACCCGTTAATTTCAAAGCGTATCTGTAAATCCGACCAGGTATGACTAGAATAACTCAAAAATACTCGTAATAAACTTGGTGGTTTTAAGAAATATAATTATCCATCACTTCTTACATCAAGTTGGTGCCCTTCTTTGTCCTGGAGTCGTTCAAAAATTTCCCAGGTAAGAAATTTTGCGCATGTGTGCACTAAATGCTTCAAATAACCATGTGTCATGTCATAAGGTACTTGTAGAATTATATTAAGTGACTTAAGGTCACTTCTTAAATAAGTTAACTACATTAGAAAATTCATTTAATTGAATCTGACAAATCTAATGCTAATTATTTTAGGACTTACGGGTTTCTTCATTGCTGGCCTGATGAGCGGTTCCTTATCGACGATATCGACAGCCATCAACTCACTGTCGGCAGTATGTTGGGAGGATTTTGTGAAGGTATTTGAATTAAAGTTGTATCATTTGATTTTGCATGAATTTGAATTCTGAGTGACCTACGAATTGCCCTATAACCTAGCCTGCACTGGACATCAAGGGAGTGCATGTCAAATCCTCCACTATTCCATTTGTCACAAAAATGATAGCCTTTACGTTTGGTTTATCAAGTATCGGTGTGGCCTTTATTGCAGAACAATTTACGTCGGTTTTAACGGCAAGTATGACCATTTTTGGAATTATTGGTGGGCCAATTTTAGGAATGTTCACCTTAGGTGAGTTTATCAGGTGGTTAATTAAATAAAGTATTTATACGCGTGCACATTCATTAATGCATTTCCTGCTATAACGTGTTTAAGGAATGATGATGCCCTTCGTGAGTCAAAGGGCTGCTGTGTCTTCGTTTCTAGTAGCTCTTGGGTTTGGCCTTTGGATTGGCTTCGGAGGTCCAAGACCTTCCCCAGTGAGAATCCCTCCGTCGCCAGACCAGTGCCCAATATGGTCAAATTCATCATGCCCCATGACTTCCGGTGGTCCACCGTAAGCTGCGTGTGTTCATGAAAGAAGTTGAAACCTCTGAAATGACAATATTTTTGTATTATATTCAGGCGTGACGACTACTTCTATCTGTACAAGGTATCCTATTTGTGGTACTCTCTGATTACCTTCACAATCACAATTATTCTTGGAGCCATCATTAGTCTGTGGTATCCTCAAGAGACAAAAGTGAGTGAAGCTTTACTGAGCCCTGCCCTACGTCGGATTATCAATGCTTCAGAGGCAAGAGCCGTCGTTAAAGAAGAAAATACAAAAAGTAATGGAAAAGGTGAAGTTGAGATGACATATGTCGTGCAATCTGAAAATGCAGATTCATCAAATGACAACGCTTCTGGAGACAGCTTGTGACAACTATTACATACACACTTATTACATAGCTGACTACTTTTAATATTTACTACATAATATGCAAGTATATATATACTTATTATATAGTTTATTACAGTTGAAGCCATAGCCAAAATAAAAGTCTCAAATTAAATACCAATTTTATTTGAAGGAGAAGCCCACATTTAAATACATTAATTGTGCATGTTTGCCGAGTCCGGATATTTTATATGAGTTTGGTTTTTGAATTTTTTCATCCATAATTCATGCGCCGCTCTGGTTTCGTCGTCATCTTCATCTTCACTGACTTCTATCACGATGCTGTTGTTTTTCCTACATCGATAAGCCAAGAAGTACGCGATGAAAACTATTCCAAGCGACCCGAGCAAGGCGAGGATTCGCAGAATTGGTAGAAGTCTCAACAACAAGGACAAGAGACGAACTGCCATGAAAGTGATGCCCGTCAATGATGACACCTATCAATCATAATAAGTCAGACTTTCTTACAAATACTCAAAAATATTTAATCGAAAACGCACAATTTCTACCCAAACGAATGGTATGATGGCTCGTTGTGCTTTGCTGAAGCTTGGCATTGATTCCCATGGGATGAGTTCGATTGAGAACTGCATTTTGATATTGGTGCTCACAAGAGTACCTGTCAACTGAATACATAGACATATGTTAAGCAATTAAGGATTGCTTATAAATTGTTGGAAATATTGGAGAATTACTGGGTACACGTCAAGATTGGATTCATGCACGAAGGTATTTGGACGAATTCCGTTCACCAGATTGCGAATTGAGCCATGCACGTTAAGAAAGTGAGGTTTAGAGTACAGAAGAGGAATTCCTAACATATTCATAAAACTCATCAAGCAGTAATAATCGTAATGAAGAGATGAAAACCAAACCATGAGACACGTCAAATTAAGTATCTATCTCATACCATCAAAACATTGCTCCAAATTAGCGATACCATGAATGTCGCATGCTGACACATTGGTTTTGGGGCAGAAACACCAAACTTGAGGATCTTCTGCGAACGTTTTTATCTGCGGAAATCGATGCCTTGCCACCGGAATGCCACCTTCAACCTGTGTCATTTTGACAAACTCCCATCGAACAGATCTGCACAACTCTGGGAGGAAAATATACAAGTCCTTCTCTCCAGGTTCAATGAAGGGAGGATAAATCCAGCCGTCCGTTCCGTTGATGGCGTTGCAAGAACTGTCCTTGTAAAGATTCAATCTGCTTTGTCCATTGTAGCTGACTAGCTTCCCAATATCAGCATAATTTCTATTTCCCGAGTGACACTCCCAACGGCCGTCCTTGGTTCCATTTTTCTATCAAATCGCCATCATTATTAAATCTGATAATTATTTAGCAAGGGGTTTAGATGAAAAAGTAGACCATGTATCATCTGACCCCTTTGAAAATTGCAAAAAGACCATCCTTGAAGTGCTCAGGGAGATGTATGTTCTCTGATTCTTGGTCAACCAAGAGGTCATTCATGAGGTCAACGTATGCCTGAACTGATATCCCGTCAAACAAAAAATTCTTGACTGTGTCGGTTCTAATCAGCTTTTCTCCTTTCTCTGTGAGTATCCGGTCCACCATTTCGGGAATATTATTGTTCTCACTGTTTGCTGCATCATTCGCGATGTGCGACATTGCCTAAAAATATAAATGACAATTGGTTGATTGATACTGAATCAATTGAAAAATTCTAAATATTTAATAGACTATTAGTAGTAGCACCAAGTGCATCCATTCTCAATTAATACCATAAGAATTTGTGCTTACCACATAAGGTACGTTGATAAAGGTTATCAAGTCGCTTTCTTTTCCAGAGGACTTGTCCGCTTGAAAGTAATATGTCCTTGTAGGTGAATAGAGAATCGTGTCAATCTTCTTGTTCTTGTCCATGTTTAACTTGTCAAATTCTACCCTGAAAATATCATTCGAGTCATATAATTAAATTTGACGTCTTCAGTAATAATATGCATAACTAAATATACAACGTAGTTTTTTTTAAATCGTAAATTCAATAAACATAATAATCATTTAGTTGGTACAAGTAAACGAAGGGTCCGATCTCGTTCAATTCAACTTTCTTGGTAGCCACCTCCTCAGGATTCGTGATGTTGAAGAGATAGAACTTGATGTGCGCATCACCATTTTTCCAATTTTCCCAAAGCGTTGAGCCAGGGGAAAGTTTCGTCGTCTGTAATAATATGCAATATGCAGCATGTAAGTGTTTAGACGAACCTGTCTGAAACTACCAGTAAAAGCACTGGGAAACCAAGTATTTTTGCTTTGGCAATTAGTGCAGTTTAATAATATGACCTTTCTAATGACTAAGGTTATGCCCAATTCGAGTCCACCCCATCCAAGCGCAATGGATCCAAGAGTACACACTGCTCCAAAAATGACAATAAGTTTTAAAAATTCTTCAGACTGGAGCAAATCTCTCATTTGCATTTTTTAGCCGTTATTTTTGTTTTTTCTGTAACCAATTGATGGGTGAAATAAAGCCAAAAATAAGGAAAATAAGGAACGTTAGAAAAATAACTGGGGACGGACTATGTCAAATATTCAATAAAATGGATTAAATCTTATCAAGGATATTGTTCTTTTTTAAAGATAATTAGTTTTGGCAAGTCGTACTGTACTGAATAATTCAAGAATCAGTGAATTAAGCATGAAGTCAACCATGTCACAACTTTTTCTTGGATCAATACAATCTTAATCGGCGAAGGTATGGTTGAATAATTCGTATTTTACTCAGACTAAATAAATATATGAATTTCTAAACAAAATGTTGAACCAACCAAAATGGATTGCGGTATGAGTATGTAACATGACGGCGAGTTTCAATAGTTTAGCTGCTTCATATGGTACTGTATTATATCAATTTATTTATTTCGCTTATTCACCATATATGTAATAATATGATGATCTACCAAAAGTAGAGAAATTAAGACACAAGAATTAATTCTAATTTTACAAATTGTACCAAAAGTACATATGTATTTCTAGACCAAAGGCACTTATTATGACTGTATATCTCACGTATTATAATAATTGGTTGACTTTTGTCGTTACATGTTTGTGTAGTCAGTTCTACATACATTCATATGTAAACAAAAAACGAACATAACCAGAGTACAAAATTGAAAAGTTTGCAAATATTTCCATAATAGAATATATTATGATAGCATAAATTGATTTGACATTGTGTTGACGATCGTACAATATGCATGTGCACATTGTATTTCAGTAGTGTCATGATGACCTCTTGCATTATAGTGTTAATGTGGTCAACATAGTTATGTATTTAGGTGAGTCGTCTGGTCTATACGTATTTTATTAGTGGTTTAACATAATATTCATATCAATTGGAAAGTGTTACCCAAATCAAATGCGCCGAGATTTGTTTAACAAACTTAAGAGCAAGGGAATGAACACAGTCCCAAAAAAACGATTTAGTCATAATTTCGGGCTCAAGTTACTACCTACCTACCATACCTATACAACTACCAAAATTAAATAAACTCTATACGGATTAGACGGGATACACCGAACACGATATATGCATAGGTAATAAATCAAAGACAGTACAATATCATTCTGATTTTGTTAAAAATAAAGGACATTTTTCTGCAGTGTCCCTTGAAAAAAAGATTAAACTGACTAGTATATTATTGGGTAAGTAAAAGCGAACTACTTACATCGTTTTTAAGGTACGCATAAATGATTAAACTAAAATAAACGCATCCTCCTCACACACCTTATTAAACTCATGGAGGACATGCTGTTGTAACTCAGCAAACTTTGTTATAGCACGTCAGACTCGATACATTTTTCTGATTATTCAGGTTCAGAAAATTATAATATTAGTCATAATATTGTATAAGAACTAAACAGAATTTTCGTGTCCAGCAAGGGTGTAGAGGTTCACTCCATCATCTGTTGGAGGCGTTGGGGCTTGTGGATTTGGTTTGCTTTCTATGGTTATGACCTTGTCGTCTCTGCAAATATAAAATACAACTAGATAACCTATTTATACAAGAAATATAATTAAAGCAATTAAGACAATAAATCATGTTATTAGTTTAATGTCAGCCAATCCCAAAAGTAAGTGCATACAACTATATATTACATAATAATAAATATGTAGAGGAAGCATGCATACAAATATCAAGCAGTAAATAAAGAAATAAACTCAATCTAGACGATTAATTACAAACATATAGGTTAACTGAGGTGAGAATTAATAACAGAAAAAGAGAAAGGATTGTAGAATAGATTGAAATGGCACATACAAAGATAGAGTGAAGATAGAGCGTAGTTGACCCAGACCAACCAGACCTCTCCACCCACATTACAATACAGATTTACAATTGAGCGTTTTTGATAATTATAAAGAAGAAGACAGATATGAAAGAGGAGCTGTTGTTGAGTTCAGAAAACAGAATTTTCATGTCCAGCAAGAATGTAGAGATTGAAGCCAGCTTCGCTCGAAGCAACAACTCTAATCGGGTCCGATGGCCTACTCGATAGGCACACCACCCTGAAGATCACAATCACCAACCACCACCATAAGCAATTACTTTTTGCATAACATGTACTTTTAGAATAATATTACAAACAAATTCGTCAATATTCATATAGCAAGGTCATATACGAAATAGTCAATATTAATTTTTGTATATGCTTACCGATCAGAACCTAAAAGCCTGAAGATTCTACTGTGATCAGTTATTTCTTGTGTAATTTCACCGTTTCTGAAACTTCGTCCCTGCATACCTGAAAAAACGTCATATGATTTTCAGACGTGAGACTACACTCATAAACTGATTCAAAAATCCCAATACCGTGCTTATGAAAAGCTAACACACTATCTGTGAGGCACACTGGAAAAAATACATACAGCAAATCCATTAATTTAAAAAATACATGAGCAATTTCTATGAATATGATCCAGGTCTTATAAACAATCTCACCAACTGAGGCAATCTGGAAGTCAAATTTTATTTCGGCAGCATACTTTTTACTTGATTTGATTTTTCCTTGAAGGTTAACATACTTTGCTACGTCTGAAATAACAAGACCAATAAACATAAAATGTTACATGCAATGCAAAATTGAATCACACTCACCATCATGGCAAATCATTAGTGTGTCCTTTTCAAGTTGCGTCACACTGGCGACGTTCAGGTAGCCCTTCCGATGTATCACAGTTGCTATAAACGGAATAAACATATTAGAATCCATCTAAAGACTTCAATTAAGTATTACGGGTAATGATAAGTTACCTGATCTGTCTACGGGGTCATCTAACTCATCACTATGAAACCAATTCTTTGCAGAATTGAGATTCAGCTTCAAATGCAAATAGGAATAGATCATGTTAAACATTAAACTCAGAAATGCATCAAGTACTGATAGATTCACTTACTAGATCTAATTTTAAATTGTTCGAGTCACCATCCTTTCTCACATCAACGCAAACCATTGGGTACTCAGCATCAGGTGTTATGATCTGAAATAATATAATAAACACGTTAGTTAACCCTTTTTCCACCACTGTATATTCAAGTCTTTATTTATTAACTACGAATATGTTTATCTGCTTACCATTTCAAAGGTCTTCAGTGGTAACTTCATTGGGTACTCGAAATGCTAAAAGGGCAACAATTCTTACTTGTAACACTAAAACTTAACAATTATGCTCGTATAAATTGTGTATGCACCTTGAGAAGCATAAACTTGTTGAGTGGATCATACCACTGCATTAAGAATACACCGTTGGGAAGAGCTCCGCACAAATACCGATAACCATTGTATGGATTTCTCTTTACACAACATTTCCAACACCCTTTCGTTTCCCCCACTTTTGTCGTTAAAGCAAATTTGCGTGGAACTAATTTTTCAGGGATTTTGTTACTCATTCGAAGGGAAAACCGCAAGGAGTGCTTGTTATTAATGCTGCCATGCAATCCCACGAGATCATGTCGATAGAGATTGACCGTCTTTCCAGAAAGTGACATCAACATATCCTTCACTACATACATCCATGTTGTTCTGCGAGAATAAATCTGATCCATCGCTGTTTCATGAAGCTGTTAAATTTTGTGATTCCAGAAATATTAATATGTCACTTGATTTTACCTTTTATTTAATCATTCGAATCCCTTACCTCATTTAAGTTAAGAGTGTAAATTCCTTCCTCAGCCTAGAGAAATGTAACAAATTTAAGTATTTGTGGAAATCAAATCTATATTATCTACATTCACTTACACCCAGAAGGATATGTTGATCTCTAGTATCAGGATTCACCCAACTCACAACACAATCTGTAACAACGAAAATATGATTTTTAATTTTGTTTTTATTAAATTTTCAAGTAATTTTTATACTCACGAATTCGAAGAGGACAACCATTGAAGACCTATAAAAATGTGCAATACTGTTATATACAATGAATTTATCATTACACTAGCAGTATTTGCGGTCAGATACCTTCATGAAACAAGCGCCCATGTGTACTTTGGGCGTTGGAGGAAGGCCGTTGCTCGTCTGTCTTGGAGGGCTATTGTTGTCTTCAGGTTTGTTTTTTCTCTCCACTCTCATTCGTGGTGGTGGAATTGGAGGAAGTCCTGCTGTCTGGAGCAAATCTGGTCTCCCATTGCGTTGTTCTGGAGATTGGCCCTCAGAGGAAGATCCGCCTCCGGTTAGTAGAGCAGCACTATCACTTAATGTCCTATTTGTCTGGTGTCGACGCGGGGATGCGTGAGAAGTCACTCTCAATTCGACAGCGTCCACGTTAGATCTGGTTAGCGTAGCATCAAGGCGAGCCGTCAGTTCTTCCGTTTCGCCAGAAAATGAGTTATGACGTCGTCGATCTAAAACTATCCGGAATAGTTAATTTCATGTTGTCTTAATAATAAGTAGAAACAATTGCTTATAGAATAATCACGCACCAGATTTCCTAGCAGAGCCATTGTGATTCCTACTCTCCACAAGTTCGTGACTAGAAATAGACATTGGGTCACCCATCGGTAGAGTTGCTCTACAAAAGAAGATAAGCAAACCAATATGTTAAATAATTCGTAATATTATCATCAGAATCGAATATTGTTTTAGTCGTTGAGATTCAAAATGAATGTGACGAATTAAAGCACAAGCGATGTGAGTGAATATGGGAGAATCACTTGGACCAGTAAAGGCTCAAGTGTTTTCCGGTACTTAACGTACTGTTGTGAGTAGCCTTCACCCGACAGAAGACGTTCCCCATGACCTCTGAAATCACACAAATGAGCAAGTCCCAGTGTCAGTCTACAACCAGTGGGTGAATGAATTATATTGTCAAATTGCGTGCACGCCAAATTAAAGAAAAATATTATGATTGTTTGTTGTGCAAAGTTGTATTACACGACGACAGCTTTAATTATGATCAAAGTTTTTGTTCACAGCACACTCAATCCACACAGCACAGTCACACGTTTCACAACAAAACAAGCAGGAAAGGGAGATTCAGTAATAACATGTACATAATAATCTACAAATCATGCAACCAAGCGAAAGCAAAGCCAGTGACATCACAACACAAAAATGCACTACTGTTGTAATCGATTACCTGTTCTTTAGCTCCTCATCGATATCAATAAGCAGTGTCCTAATTGATCAACGGATTAGCATTTAATAAGTTCATGTTAATTTGTAACGTTATGTAATGCTGGGTATACAAAAGGCATATTACACTGCAAGCATAATCAATTAGACTAAATGATGTGAACTATCTTTTTGTAAAAAACGAGCATTTTGTTAAAAAAGGAAAATTCTTCTTTCAAAATTACTATATGCGTTAATTATTAAACGAAATGAAAGGTGGTAAATGGTAAGTCGATTTTGGAATTTAGCATTTCTCATTCAACCCAAAAATTCGCGATTATCAACAACTATTTATATGCATATTTGTCACCATTATACATATGCATTTATGTGTGTAATGTGTATAAGATGTACATACTTGCGATCGTTTTCCCTCGGAACCCCTTCCTCCCAATCAAACGATGATTGCCTACGCTCATTCTGATAATCCTGAAAGACAGAAATGGCTCTCAATTATCTTCAAGTTGTTTATGAATACAAACTTCCCTTTAGTGTGAACGTAAAGTAGATACTTGTAATTGGTATACATCCAATGCACACTAACCTCTGATGATTGACTATGTCGTCTTCTTTGTCCCAAATCAGGAGTAACATCTTTTATAATAACAGGCAACAAAGACATAGTTTTTATCCCATGGCTAATACAAAATGATGAACATATTTTGCAAACTTTACTTACTATTTCTAATTTCCGCTACACCACGCTGTTCTGCACGAACACTAATTCTTGATGTGATTCTGTGAGGGACATTCTGCACCGTCTGCATATATTAAAACCAGTCAAAGTGTGAGTATGGGTTATTCACAAGTTTTTTTATTTATTTTTATGTATTGTGCTGCTGCAAATTCTATTACTCCGTCATCATCCGGCTCCGTGTCATAAAAGGAGTGATTAGGGTTTGTGACTTTATGCAGTAACTCTAACGCCTGACGCTTGGTCAAGTCTCCAGTGAGGAAAGGGTGCTGCAAAACCAACATAAATTTTGCTTTCAGTTTAGCCATTTTCCAGTCAGGTTTTTTGCAGGGTGCATAAACATTTTCGTTGTCCGTGGTTTCTCCTAAGGGGGTGGTGCAAGGATGAATTTTTTTCCCAAAAACATCGAAAACTCAAAAGTTGGGGAATTGCATGCAATTTTCCTATGAATTTGGTTGTCAACCAAATATTGGAAATGAAATAAATGCGTCTTATCCTTGTCTTCATCTCTGAAGATGAGGAATAAAGGTAGAAGATTCATAAAATCGGTCAAGTGGTTGACCAGTGGGGGTCATATGAGTCGGATGAGGTCGTTGGGACAGAATACTATAATTTCTAATATTTGGTTGACAACCAAATTCATGGGAAAATTGCATGCAATTCCCCAACTTTTGAGTTTTCGATGTTTTTGGGAAAAAAATTCATCCTTGCACCACCCCCAGGAGAAACCACGGACAACGAAAATGTTTATGCACCCTGGGTTTTTTGTCAAATACTCGATTTTCTTTTCTTCTTCTAAATAAGTGCCCTACTACAGATTAGAGACACGTACCATCAATAGACGCTCCGCCGTAGGCCTCTTCTTTGGATTTTTAGTCAAAGCAACTTTAATAAAACTGTGGAAATTGACCGACCTAAAAATTGCAAAAATTAAGTATAGACGAATATAAACGTGTAATAAAATTTCAGTGGGTTTTTACCATTTTTCCTTATCCTTCAACGTGGGTGGCTTGAAACTAGTTTTCGCCATCAAAATTAATGCCCGCATCGGATGCAAGTCAAACATTGGAGGTTGTAACTCTGCCATCTCGATCGCTAGTTCAAAGGAAAGAGAAAATGATAGGATAAAGTTAAAAACACGACATTACAAAATTACAGAAACTAAATAAGCCATCATCGTCTAAATCGCCACTTCATTTATCGAAAAGAATTCGTGGGGGATTTGCATGTTGCAATATTTTTTCGTAAATGTATATTTAGGACCAATGCGACTTATGCATCAGTCATTTAGTAAGAAATTCCCTTGTTCACCTGTAATTCCTAACGCCCACACATCGCAGAGTTCATTATATCCTCCCTTTCTCTCTACGGCTGCAACTTCTGGACTCATCCAATCTACATTTCATAGTTCACATTAAATATTAACAAAAAGATATGCATAGATCAAATATTGTTCACTAAGTTTATTACATGGGGTCCCAATAAATGACCTCCTTTTCCCCAAGGTAGCCGTAAGCTGTGCTGCCACTCCAAAGTCAGCCAACTTCACTTCGCCACCATCCGTCAAGAGAATATTTGCCCCCTTTACGTCTCGATGCATTTTTCCTAGCGCGTGAAGGTAGGCCAGTCCTCGAAGCGTTTCTTTACTCAGGTATGCAATCTGGTTCTCACTAAATGGTCCAGTCACGTGATAAATATCTTGAAGAGATCTACAATATCAATATAGTTTTCCATTTTTCGCATCGTATCAGAAGAAGAAAATACAGTAACCCTTGCTCTCTGGTTATGATTTTTTGCAATGTTTATGACTTACCCCCCACCACAATACTCCATGCAAATCCAGAGTCTATCTCGTCTCAGGTAAGAGCCAAAATAAGCCACAATATTAGGATGTCCTAGAAAAATAAATAATTGAAAATAATATGAGTGCTAGAAGATCAAACATCACAATCTAGTCATGATTTGATTGTTTAAGTGAGATAAAAAGTCAGAACAGACTTACGACAATCTTTCATCATCAATATTTCCTGTTGGATAACAGAAAAGTCATCACCGGGTTCCCTAAACAAACACAATTTTAAATTGACGTACTTCAGTCCTCATTCAGAATAACCTTGGCTTGTTATCGAATGAATGTAATTTTGATTGTCCATAAAAAAGTTCATATGCTTACAATTTGATGACTTTAATGGCAGCAAATTCTCCATTTGCGAGTCGTTTTGCCTTGTACACATCTCCGTACGTTCCAGATCCGATACGTTGAATTAGCTCGTACTCATCTTGAGGATTTCTTCGGCTGATATCCGCAGACAGGGCTTGTTGTGCTTGAGCCATGATGACAATTCTCCTGCAGTGGTGGTTTGTCAGCTAATGGATAAGTGAACGTCGTCGTCAAGATCTCGACGACCCCACTGGAAGACGTGGCAGTAAAACTATTTTGTAATTGCACGAGCTAGTGTTAAGCTGGTGATATTTGTCGTCGTCGTCTTTATGAGAAGAAGGCGACTTTGGTGACCAACTTGCTGTCTCTTTTGAATTTACTAATAGCTACATTATTATTACCACATGCTCACATTTCACACCAATTATTGATTTTTAATCAATACTAATTTTCCAATTGCACACACTGGTGACTGGAGTGGAGTAGCAGGAAATAATGTTTTTATACTATTTATGAATGTTCATTATTTTACTTACTCCATAATTTTAACAAAATGACTTAGGGTGGTTAGTTGCAAACAAATAATACTTTAAGAATGAATGATCATGGTGCAAATTGGAATTTGGTAAAATACACACACAGAGAAAGTAGACTCAGCTGGTAGCACGATAATTCACTTATGTAGTACAACTACTTACGACAGATAGTCCTGCATTTGCTCTGTGCACTTTACTCGATTGCGTAACAAAACAAAAATGGGTTATTAAGATTTGTTTTGTATATTTTGTTGTTGTGCACTGTCAACTGCAAACTGTGCACTATTGATTGAGCGAGTTTGCCTAATGCACCTCACACGCAGCATAGCAGAGGTTGTTGCAAGTAGCAGTTTTGTTTAATGCCAATTTCACCACGACTCTTTTGTGAGGAAGTCCTTGTCTGGTGTGTGGAAAGTGTATTGAACGGGCAGCAGTGTGTGTATTTATTCAAAATAAAGAGTTCAACCACCACCACCACCGAGACCGTGTAACCACTACTCAAAAACTATTACATGTCTCGTAAGAAAAGAAGAAACGAGCGAGAGAAAGCCCACCACCATCACCAGCTCATTCACTTTCTCCACACAACCATTATTACGAGCGTACGTACGGCACCGCCTTCCCTACTCTCACTCACTCCGCTTGCTTCTGGGGAGATGATGATGACAGGGAGAAAGTCAAAGGCTCTCTGCCCAGATGCCCCTCCAGATTATTATTACGCCACCACGAGAATGACTCCGTGGTGGAGAGTCTGATGTGTGATGGGCCAGGATGAATCGGAAAATGTGATGATGGTGGTGAGATAAATGGAAATGTGAATGAGATTACGTAAATTAGAAATGTGTTGGGTATGAAATATTATAAGATATGTATCTCAAGGAGAAAGGGGTGTCTCATTTTGGTTCATTTAAGGTCATGTAAAGTCTAGGAGAAAGTATGGCTTAATTCCAGGATTTAGTTTGCTAGAGTGCATTTATTTTATAATTTCTTTGCTTTTATTTGGAAAACTGCTAAAAATAATGGAGACTTATATTTATTTAATACTAATTATGACGAAGCAGTACTACTTTTGTTTGATTTATCAAATAAACTTGGGGCATTCTGATGCCCCAAATATTTAACAACCAGTTTCCGATGATCATCATCCTCATTATCGAGAAGCATGATCTTAAATGAGTTACAAGAGGCTTCCTCTTGTAACTTTGCTAACTGAGATTGGTTGGGACCTGTCGCCGTGTTGTGGATGGAGAATCGCATCCCCTCCGCCAAGTAAAAGAGGAGTAATCCTAAGAATTAAATATAGTATTCAAGAAGCTTTTCATAATATCTCAAGTGATGCATGTAAATCCAATTTATTAAGGCACCTCTTTCTGAAGTCATTCCAGGGAGCAAAATCTCCACAACTTGTAACATTTCTTTGACCAAGCGGAGAAATTCCTCCAATAAATATTTTACCATGTCCTCGTCCTTGAGGGTCTGGAGGAACGAGAAACTTTTGGCGTCATGTACGGACAGTGCAAGCAAGGAATGGATTGTAGCGATTAGCGCAGTTTTCAGGGGGAGGAGGGCATAATGATTTCTGTGTACGGTCCCCGTCTCAAGTTTTTTGAGTACAGTTAGCATTTTGAGTACATGATCCAGCTTGGTAGCTGTGGTGAGCTCCAAATTTCCGGTGACGGGAATCTCGGGATTGCCCACCTCGTACAATTCGTACTCGGAGTAGAGCCCCTCATTCTCATCCGTCCCGGCTTCTTGGCTAATTTCTCCCAAGGCTGGAACCTACGCGTATACATATGTGTAACACATGCACATACATACGGGTACGTATAATGTAGTCCAAATCCCAAGCAATAATTATTTATTTATTTCATTACCACACAACGGGCGAATGTGGAAGAATTGTTGCAACTATCGCACTTCCACTTGGAGGCTGGAGAAATATCCAGTGGGTTTTTAGGAAGCAGATGGCCCCCACACTTCTTTGCATGACATTTGACCCCAGAAAAATATGTTCCCAGCTCGGACGGATCTTTACACCTGGTACAGCTACAGGAAAAGTAATAAATGTTTTGGAGCAATTCCTGCCTTGGGTGAGTCCCTTTGAATATGCGACCGTAAAGTTGGGTTAGCGGTTGACCTGCCTTGATGGCAACCGTCGCCACTATCTCGATCCCATTCGAGTCCAGAATAGTTCTCGTGTTAGGGATGCAGGCGTGAGAAAGTTTGGCTGATTTGCTGTACAATTTCACTCCGAATCTAATTGCATAAAATTGTCGAATCACCAGTCCAATTTTATCATTTTTGTGACCAAGTAGTATATATTTATATAACAGGTCGACGCCGCCGAACGCACGTCGCCGCAACATTGATCGACGTCGACCTCTGATTTATGTTTTATCATAACTTACGTTGAAAGATCTCCATATCCATTTACAATTACAATTCCGTAGACACGATCGATCAGCCTTGGGTCAGTTTGGGTCATCTTACACTTGTCCCTTACGAAATGGATGGCAAGTTGGCTTTGTTCCACGCAAGCCGGTCGAGAATTACGAAGTTCGATATGAGACTCGAGTTTGAGCAAATCATCCCATCGAGAAGGATCCAAGGTTTGGAGGAGGATGCATCGGAGGAACGTGACGCCCAAGTACTCCGCCTGAGTAGCTGCTGGACTAACATTCTTATCAGCAAATATTGGACACTCGAACTTTGCATGTCTCATGTTCTACATAAGCAAGCAAAAAAAACTCTGAATATTGAATGTCTTTAACCATATTCAAACCGGATGATCGACCTGTTCACAGTTGGCATCGCAAACTGGCCATCCACACTTTGAGCACGAGTAGGTAGATCCTTCCTTGATTTTGTCACAACATCCGAGACATATTTGGTGAAAGTGAGAAAAATTGCTCCTGGGTCCCACAATTAAAGGCTCCTCCTTGAAGATTTTTTCTCCTGCGTTGATTTCCCTCGTAGCTTGCAAATGATTTCCTAGGACTGGGTGCGTAGTAATTGATGCGGGATAACATTCCTGTTTATGACGTTTCCTGTCCTGCTTCTGGTGCTCTTTCCCACAGTAAACCACCTTCTTGCAGTTGGAGCAATACGATGAACTAAGTTTTGAACATATCTGACAATTGCTTGACATTATGCCTACTTTTTGGTTTTGGAGAAAAATAATTTGCCACCAAAACGTGGAATATGACGACGACGAGGATTATTTTACTCGATCTTTTTGAAGTTTGTTTCTTTAAGAAGGCAGCAATAGAGTTCCTTGTACTTTGAAGATTGCAGTAGCAGAAATGCAAGAGAATTGTGAATGGAAATGTGATTCTGTTAATGGCTAAAAATAGCACAAATGATCATGTATGCATCTGTCTCCTACATTGACAATAGAGTACATATGTACAAACCATGCGTTAATTAAGTTGACTGCACATTAAATACAGAACAAAATTTTAATGGCCCAATTTTGTTCCATAAAATTAATACAGAATTGAACATAAAGTAGAGGGATAAAAATGAGACAATAAATATGCATATATAACAAGCGTGTATAAAAGCTACTATGTTTATGAGAGGACAACAACTCCTTTGTCTCCATTGTAATCTGCACTTCTCTTTGAAAACCAGCTTGCAAACTTTTCTCCTGCATTCTCAGCTAATGTTTGAACATTTCTCGCCATCCGGCTCGTCTGCGTCCACACCCCACCCTTCTCCTCCTCCTTCTTCTCCTCTGGGGAGTAGTTCTGGGAGTTCCCTTCCACGGCTGAACGTTTGATCAGAGCGAGATCATCACTTTTCTCTTGAGAAATTGACCTTTTCTTGAATCCTAGAAAATGTGTGAAATCCGTCCACACTTTATGACCACATTTCGTCACAGACTTGGCCGCTTTTTTTATTGATCGTCCCACAGAGCTGAAACTATCAACCCAAGTTTCCCCTTTCTTGAAACCTTTCACCATTTTCTTAGTGCCTTTATAAATATCTGGAATTGTAAAACATTTTATCTCCTCTGTGTCATCACTATTCTCATTTTCAGCGGATTCGTCACTGTCTTTCTTTCCAGGTGTCGTCTGCACCGCCAGTGCTTTCTCTGTAGTCATTATTGGTGAATTGTTACTAGTTGTCGGTGAGGGTGCGGACCAGTCACCACCCTCATGATTTTCAGAAAACATAGTATTTTTCGGATCAAATATTTCTAGTCTTTCAAACTCTGGTAAATCCTTGATGAATGGAGGTGCGTTGAGGGTGTCAAAAGAGGAATGAGTAGGTGAGGACATTAACGACTTGAAGAGTCGGATTTCAATCGGGGGACCATTGCCCCTATCTGGAGCATCTTGAATCAACTCTGGGACTTCTAACTTTCCATCTCCTCCTCCCCCCACCCCACTCATCTCGATCGGAGGGAACAAGGTCGTTTGGATGGATGGGAATGGAAACATTGGTGGTAGCCCATCGTCTGTTGCTTCCGGCAGTGTCGGCTCCTTCCTTGTTTGTAAGGGGGCTAAGGGTTCACGGTCTCCGAACGGACCTTTTTGAAATAGGAATGGGAATGGTATTGGAGGCGGATGATTAGGAACGTATGAGGTGGAAGACACGGTCGTCGTTGTGGGACGCTCCTCATCATAATACTCTTCCTCCTCCTCTTGTTTTTTCAGAGAAGGCGGCAATGGGTCCAGTTGTGGGAGTGGAAATGAAGGGATGAATGTGATTTTTGGAGATTCCGTCTCTGAGGTAGGAAGAGGCAACGTTTCTAAGATGACGGGTGGGTGCATTGCATGCCGATGTTGAGATGGATGGTGAAATCGCTTCGTTTGCTCATGATCTGGATCATTTGAAACAATTTGTTCCAACTGTTTATCGTCGGCCTTAAGCGATGCTACAAAAAATAAGTAAAACAAATGCCACCAAAATTAATGCTTCGGTTGAGTGATATCTGCGTACATAGATAGGTACATATATACTGAACGAGTAGCATATATTTACTACCACTAAATATTCGAATCCATCGAAATAAGTACCTTTAATACTTTCTTCGAGGGATGCTTTGGACACCAGAAATACCACAATTATCGCTATGATCGATTTCATAGTCGATTGTTCTGAAGAGGGTAGCTATCCGTTAATTTAGGTGTTATTTTGCAACAAGTAGTGGAGAGAATTTGAGATGTAGGTGGTGTAACAACCAATGGATAACAAGTTTGAATAATTAAAATTGATTGAATGAATGAAATTGTGTATTGATATTGAACTCGCATATATCAACATGTACGACTTTCATTCTAAAATTAACTAGGTCATACCAGAAGACAAGGGTAAAAACAATATGAGACAAAAACAATCATGCATGTACAAATATAAATACGTATATAGCTCTGTGATGTATATATATATGGCATAAATAGGTACACTGTGATTATGACTGTGGGGAGCTATAAAAACGCAATCTAGTTCATGGATTTAATTCCTTCAACAAAATACCAAATTTATTAGATATTAGTTGCAATTTTCAATTTTTGTTTAATTAGTAGAATCAGATACGAAAAGCAGACATTTAATAATACGACAAAAGTAATTATATCTTAACCTCACCCAATTTTCACAATTTTTCATTAAATAGTAAAATTTTCAATAGGCGAGTCTAACTAACCCATTTTCAACTATAACTATATTATCTCATCATGCTCCCATACAAAGTAGTTCTTATACCAAAGGTAGATACAATTGTAAGAAATAGTAAAGTCAGGTTGAAATTTTGAGTTCAATTTCGATCAGAGGCTGGGATTGCCAAAATATTTAATTCTGTAAAACGATAAATTATGAGTCTCTTTTAATTGTAAATCGTATGAATATATTTATCAGTTTTAGTGATAAACTAAATGTTGATTTGTATTATTACCCGATCAGTGGCTCGTAGTTTTTCTTCAACGGCATCCATAGCTGCTTCCGAAGCATCCGTAGCCTGTTACATAATTAAATAATGCATACTTAGTTTTTGTTGGTTAACTTGATTTTATATTTCTTGAACACGACCTACCTGGATATACTTTTGTACACCGACTAAAGACTTCTTAAGTGCATCAAAACTGGAAGAGTACAACATCTTCTTCTTAACTTTAGCCGTATCAGGACACCATAACATAAGGAACAGCTTTTGTTTTTTGGAAGCCTGAAAATATACAGTCGCATTCCGTTCATGAAAATAATATGAAACCGAATACCACTCGCAATACTTTTTTGCATAATTAATGCAAAGTCACGTATATACGTGGAACAATTGATCAAATTCATATATCATATATTAGTCATATTTTGTGCTAACGCCAAGTACAAAGATTTTTCGAAGTAATTTGGAATATTGAACAACGAACCAAGACAAGAATCAATTATTATGTAATTAATTAGAGGCCCCTCACCTCAGAGGTTCCTTGACACTGGTGCGTGTACTCAAAGTCGAACAGTCCATATCGGCACTCGCCACCACCTTCCTTCTGAAGATCTTCCAAGAATTGGTCGTATGCCGCATCCCGGTTACCTGAAGAAAATAACACATTTTTTATAATTCGCACTTGATTCGATTAAACAAGGCTGTTGGCATGTAAAAAGTAGTAGTAGACTCCTTCACTGACCTATGGTTTCTACATCAATTTGCTTTTCATCTTTGATGAAGAAGACGACATAACGATGCTTTTTATCCTTCTTTATCTCCTCATAAGTGGTTTTGCAAATGTCCGAAACAGTGACTCCGGAGGCCTATGGTAATAATGTGCAAACGAATTTACAATAAACAACATACATGCTGCATAAAAATACTTTTCGTTTCAGCATAAAATTATAATAAATCATGTCAATCATTTGTTTGGATGGTCGATCAAATGTATTCACAAAACGTAGCAATGAATCTGTTTGTAACAGAGCCGCACAACAGTCAGATGAATGGGTAATATCATATAATAACACATCAATGTAGGTAAAGATACGCTCATCATTTGAACTGGCTCTGGATGACGGTACTCGACAAATGCAAATTTGATGTAAAACTGAAACCTACTCACCATGATGAGAAGAGGGGGTCTCTTATTGTCTTGAACTTGGGTTGAACCGGTTAAAAATAGATCGTGGAGGAACGCGTACCGACCGACGATGAGCAGTTTAGTCCAACTCCAAGACTCCAATATGCACACACGAGCGACCTATGATGATGTCGATGAAAGCTTTTTTAGAATATGTAGCAATAAGTGCAACCTCTTCTGCACAGACTACATACATACAGACAATTTGTAGTTATTTGGTTAGTCAGGCACATAAAGAATGGATTCATAAAGTCAGAGGTACGCCCCTCAGCCGCTCACAATATCATAATTCGGTAAGTGTCTGCTGCCCTGTCTGTATTATCATTGCATTACGCCGGTCTTATCCTTCAATGTTTAAACCGGATGCCGCTCACTTAACATAATCTACTAGACACCTTCAACCTGATGTACCGCGGCATGAATAGGCATCGACCCGACGACAGCGGAGAGGTGGAGAGAAATCTCAATCTTGTCTTAATTATTCTACAAACTATTAAATGATGATTGACGAACAACTTGTAAGATTTTTTTTACACAACAGGTTCAATTCCAACATTAAACCTGGGCCTAGACAATATAAAAGGTCAATAAAGGTCTAGAATAGGGCAGGAATATTAGCAATTGGATTTGATTCTAAAATTAAATGAATACATTTGGTAATAAAGCAATGCGAATTACGAAATATTCGCTGATCGGCAACTTTGTATTATCATTATCATAAGAATTGAATCAATGAACAGGAAAGGAAAAATGCATGATATCATTTTCAGACACTCCTCAGCCCACTCGTTAAAAAATGACGACAAATTACGGACCAACTCACTTTTTGGAGGTACAGTTACGATTTGCCGACAGCCATGCACTTTTTGACTCTCCTCCTCGTCCTCTTCTTGAATAAATGATAATATGTAATATAACTAAACGACTTGCACCCACTAACAAAACAGTTAACCAACTAACACTGACTGTAAGAAAAGTGTTTTCAAACAATTACAAATTGTCTGCGCTCTACAAATAAATGATAAAACTTCAGCAATGAGATAATTGTTGTGCACGCGTCACCAAAACTTTTGGTGAACTGAATGAGAGAATGTCCAAACTTGGTTTGCCTCACTCGCTGAGTGAGGCTGGCTGAGAGAAAAGCTCTTCTCAAATAGTGATGCATCCACGATGCTTTCCCCCCACACCGTTCCTCACAATCTCTTGGATAAGACCACAAGTTGAGGTCGGGATGCGAGAGTGGACGGAAAAACAGGCATGATGATCATCAGCTCATCTCTTTGAAGGGTGGGTGGTGACGTGCTATTTGGACACATCCCCCCGTTTAAAAGGTATGGAAATGACTCATGAGACCGAGTTCAAAGAGACAACACACGGAGCGCTCCCGTCATCCTCTTGTCGAACGTCGTCTGTGTCCACGGTCTGAATTCATTCAGAAAAAGGTCACAGAAAAACAGTTTGCTTAGAAAAATACTCCTGCTGTACAGGAACACGGACCCATCCAGCCTTTGAACATTATGGTTTATAATTTGTTTTAGGTGACAACATTTTTGGAGAAACATGTACTTGGGTAATAAGCATAACTTCATGATGATATGTTTATTCGTGTATGCATATCATGTTTGCGTAAACGACGCAAATAATTTTGATATAAACATGAAATCTTGAAGCGTGGACCATTATTTGTTCGTCTAGATAGATAAGCACGGATATTTGGTCGATGCAATAATGAAAAATCCCCTGTTGTTAAAAAAAATGAATGAAGCAAACTCGATATATACGGAAAATTTGTTTGTTTTTACTCTGAAAAGCATTTCACAGTAGTGAGGAGCATGTATGTGCATATGCCCTCGCAAAATATACACACAAATGATTTAAAAGTTGTAATAATAACCAGATTAAGACATTAGAGAATGGATAAAATAAATTAAAACTTGTGTATCTAACTAAGTACGCGATTCCGATTGGGGACGAAGAGCAAACAATACTACACTGCGGGCTGTACAGGCATCTTAATAACTAAGAAGATTAAATGATACATGTGAAGTTTCTCAATTTCTAAAGCACATTATGCAGAGGGAACAGAGAGAAAAAATGGTATTTCAAAATTATATAAGACCCTTTTTCCTCTTGTACTCTTCAAGATTCAATGACCGACGAGGAGCTGTGTCTTTGATGGCTGTGATAGAGGGTCTAGCGACGATGGGAAGATTAGCTAATAAAAATGCAATACCTTTTTTAAGTCAGTCATTTATAAAAGTCGTAAGATTTGATTAGACAACTTACGAGGCAACTTGGCATCTAAATCCAACTTAATGTCGAAATCATGAGCTGAAAACAAGTCGCCAACTTGGGCATCTTTTCCATCCAAGTCATCGACAATTGAATTGTGCATGGATGAGTCAATATCATCAATAGTTAGATTTGCAAGTTTCTGTAATGAATAACAACACCGACGCTGCCCATTAATACTAGGACGATACAATGGGTCATATATATATATTAGCTGCACCAACCGTTTTATCCAGAGGCGTTTCACTTCCATCTTCAGTCTTGATAAATATGTCAACTCCATTTAACCCGTTCGCTATGGCCGTAGGCTTTGACACTATTCTGGGTTTGGTTGTTCTTCTAGTGAATGGATCTTCAACTTTTTTTCCTTTGTTGACTTTCAGTTCTTCCTGCAAATTCATAGTGATAACTTGAATACAATAACAATCATATTATTGTAACTAATTTTAAGTAAAGTAGCGAACCAAAATTGCTTTTTCTGCTTCCTCAACGTTCCTTTGCCGATTCCTTTGGTTAATGTAACTGATGCTCGAGATGGTAGAAGTGCGAACCTTATCTAGTACAGTTGCTCTCTCATCCAACACAGCAATTTGCCCAGACAATTCACTGGCTTTCTCATCCTCGCCACTATAAAATCAGATTACGCAGCCAAACTCAAGTCATATGCAAGTACGTCATATTAAACCACCACAAAATTTATGTAGTAACAACATACGCTTGAGCAGCTTGATCCCTTTCTTTCATTAACTGAGCCTTTCGAGCAGCAAAATTTACTGGGCCACTTTTAAACTTTGCTTTCTCGTTAATTATCTGCAAGAAAAGTTTAATATTTTTAATTGAGTTTATCTCAAACATTGTACGTACATAATAATAAATCCATCAAGAAAAATAAATTCTAAGTACCGCTTCAATATCTTCCTCTTCTAATTGATATTCCATCGCTTCCTTGATTTCCTTCTCCTTATTTTTAATATCGGTCAAAGTTGGAAGAGAAACTTGATTTTGCTCCATTCGTTGCTTCCAGTGACTAAATTCAGCTTCTGTGCAAGGAAAATTGCTTACAAATTCGAATCTAAATTTCCGACCCTTTTCTTCACCAGGCAACTTTAGTAACAACACTTTGTTGGTCTTTGTAGCTCCAATTTCGTAAGCTTTCGGTTGTGTGTCCAACCCGTCAATTTCATAAACCTATAAATGAAGTAGTGATTTTGTACACATGATTATGATTACAATCTGGTCAATATGCATAGTCCATAAAATGTATAAAAAATATGTTATTTACGCATTCTTACCTTGTACGCTGATCCTGCTACTGCAACGCGAACATAGCATCCCTTAATCACGCGAAGAAAAAATGGGAGGTAAAGACACCTGTTTGATTTCAATAAAAACAATCGATAAAGACATATAAGCTTAATCAGTATGCCAAATTAGTATACGCAAAGAATGGAATATAATTTAAGAGCACTAACCTTTCTAGCTTAAATCTTGATAATCGTATCTTATTTAGATCGTCTACGGTATCGAGGTATTGTGGCTTCTTATTCCTTAGAGAAACCAAACAAATATCAGTTAAACAATAAACAATTAAAAAATAATGACACGATTAAAATAAATTAATAATTAATAATTATTAATTATAGATCATAATATTACGAAAAGGGTAAGAAAACAATACCTTTCGTCATCTTCAGAGTCTGAGCTGCGAGAATCACTATCACTTGCTGATTTTTCTTTATCCTTACTTCGTTTATCATCTTCATATTCAGATCCGCTATCATCGGAATATACATCCGACGCCTTCAACTTTTTCATCCTTTTATCTCCAACGGACGATGCTGCATCACTATCTTTCTTCAAGTCTAGATCATCGTCATCCCCATCATCTCGCTTCTTATCTCTCTCTTGTCTAATCTTTGCCTTTTCTTGCTGCCGTTGTATTTTAGCATCTCGTGAAGCTTTTAAAGCATCCATGGCTTGAGACTTTTTGTCAACTTTCCCTTCAACAGTTTTCTTCCTCTCTTGACTTCGAACCTTGGCATCCATCTGGAGTGGATCATCCTCGTCTGCCAACATTGCATCATCCGACTTTTTTACAGACCCCCTTTAATTACAAGCAGTACAAACATTGAAATGCCATTCAAATCACATGATCAAGATTTAAGTTAGAAAAAAACAATACTTTTTAGCTAATTTTGCTTCAATTTTCTTTTTCATTCTCAACTTCTTTTCAGCCTCAAATCTATTCTTTAATAGGTCTCGTTTCTCGATACGTCTAAAGATTTCCTGCTCTCTTTCCTTTTCGGTCATAGCACTCAGTGTTCTTTGATCTTCGGCATCTCCCATCATGTTCTCGTCGTATCCGTCAAAAAATTCTTCTTGGTCCCAATCATCGTCAGACACCTCCCCTGAAACTCGTGAGAAGAGTAAAATTGAAAAAGGACTGAAAGCGTACTTAAAACGAACTCAATAATTCAATATCCAAATATTATTTTAATGCTATTAATGACATTTATAATGAAATTGAACTTTATAGAATATACAGTGTAAATTCCAACCTTCTTCCAAGTCCGACGCCGTCTTGCTCTTTGTATCATTGACTGAAGAAGACACAACCGAGGACGACGTAGGTGGAATAACACGAGACCTGCTCGGACTAACCGATGAACGATCTTCGTCTTCCTCCCCACTATTATCAGACTGAGACGGTTTATCCCAATCGTCATTAGATCCCGAAGAGTACGTCGTTCCACTTGCAGAGCGTCGAGCCCTTTTTGCTGGCTTTCTTTTCTTCGTTTTCTTTGACGATTCACCCCCACTGCGCCATTCAGAGTCAGATTCAGAACTTGAAAATGCTTCAACTTTCTTGTGATCAGGCCCTTTTGCACCACCGCCAGGTCCTTTTTTCTTTGCCAACGATAGCATTTGCTACAAAAATAGTTACGATAATCATCAATTAGTTCTAATTTGTTCCATCAATGTTATATTTAAGTTGTACCACTTAACTCTTAACATAAGCTGGAATATCGAGCTTTATTACCTTATCAATATCTGACCCTGACCCAGAGTCTGAATCTGATGACCTCGAGTCGTCACTATCAATCAGCGCGTTACTTTTCCTTTTACCCATTTTATTTGAGGAATGTTGTTGTTTCACGAAAGGTCAATATAATATAGGCGTTAAGTCGCAAATAAAATGTTCGTCAAACGACTGAAATTTAAGAACAGCACTCTTTCAGTCATGTGATTATACATCACTATCAAAGCATTCAAGTTTGCTTTTAAATGCCAATAATGAACATCACACAAGATCAATAAACAACTTACCTTTTACGATCGAGCTAAGCTAGTGAAACAAAGGATCAGACGCGGCACTCAAGTCTTACGGTCACGGCAGAAAAGTCGGCTACTGCGGGTTCATGCTGGTTTAATTTTTTTTACAGATCTTGCTCATCTTTGAAAAAGTATGACAGCAAACAAATACAAAGACAATTTTTAAAACGTTAAGTCCGTCAAGTTGCAAGTCAGTCAGGTGAACTAAATGTGAGGTGATTGCAACAGTAAATATTAGAAGAGGAAGAATTTTTCAAGTTTCCTTCCCCACCGCTGCTCTCCTCTGGCCGTGGTGAGATGGAGTTCGCAGGGGTTCACAGGTCTCAACTCATCTCTCCTCGCCCCCTCCACGATAAAGTGAGACGAAGTTTCTCACCTTAGCTCATGGCAAAAGTTTAGTCATACGGCATATTTATGGCATATGAGATGTGGGTACCCACTCCGAATCTCTTTCTGCCTACCTCATCTACTAGTCTGTGCGGAGCGGAATCTCAAGTTCCCCACAACTTTCACCACAGCTCATCAAATCTGCTGATTCCTTCCATTCCATGCACAGACTCGAAAGTGAAAGTCATCCGAATTAGGAGTCCCACTGAAACTATGCACATGATAAGAAGAGGCGGAGAGATTTCCATTTCATCTGAACAGACATCATCATGGCCTCCACGAGAGCACTTTGTGTACGTATAAAGAACCAAGTTGAGGGCTTTAACATTCATTTTAAGTTTGCGAATGAAGAAGTGTATGCCCATTCGAACATCTGCACAGTTTAAAGTTTGCATGATTTGACTGTGCAGCTGGCCAGGCTGTTAGTCTTATGAGACTGACTGTACGTATACATGTATGAGCGAGAGAGGAGGAGGAGATGATGATGCCGGGTGTTTCTTTTGCGGGCGAATTGCTGGCTCCCGGGAGGACAGGCGCAAGTATAAGCAGAAGAACGAAAATACAGATGAGACAATAATCGTTGGGGCTTTTGCCTCTCTCTCTTATTTTCCTCGCTGTGTTGGCTGGTTGGCTGGATATATAAGTGGATCGGAGCCTCGGAATTCCTCTCGACATTTCCTTGGGATGAGTGTGAGTCTCACATTTTTCGGCAGTGCGGATTTAGACTCCGCTTCTCTCGGGCTCTCGCAGTCCACATTTACAAATAGTGAATTTCAGTGAAACCTCGTGAAAGCAAAAACTGGTTGCTTCGGTTCTAACTTTCCCCGGTTTCTCAATCACCACGGCTTTCTTCACTGATTGCATGAGAAAATACAAGTGGGTATAAAAGTGAAATTATTACGCTCAAGTGACAACATAGTGGTTTTGGTCAAGAGTTATCAAGTATTGGCGAAGAATTCAAGACTTGTTGCCTTCTGGTTGGATAGTGTACATACATTTACTCTTCTTATTTTACATATATTATGCACTGCATGCTTGTGTTGACCTATCACGAAACTAAAATAATAATAAAAAATACCTATCCAACTAATATCGTACAGTACATTGATTTGCTCAATAAGAGGTATTCATCATGAGTATCTGAATAACTGTTACCTAATATATTTACAAGTAGGAGTTACGTATTTGCAGACACAGCAAGCGTCATTGAATTTATAGTTTGCACATACATTGTGTCTTTTTAAGCTTGATTTAATTCAACTCTTTTCTCAAAAGAAAAGGCTTGGAAAATTGACCGGTGTGCTCGTCGTTGAGTATTCACTCATGAGCTCAAAGTCGGCGTGTGCTTAACTAAATTAGCGTGAGCAGTCAATATGGGGCAATATTTCGAGATCAATAAATATGTATATATATAATTAAGAATGCAAGAGGGACATTTTCAATTTCGCCTTTCTCCCTCCTTCCCTCCCTCCGGCCATGCATTGCTTGAATGTTAATTTGGTTGTACCGTTTCGGCGACACTATCTCCCTCACAGCATGACTAAATAACTTACATTCATACGTTGATCAATAATTTTCGGTGGAAGGCACACGCGTTTGTGTCAAAATAATTCGATTTCTGTGTTACTTAAAACTCGACCTAAAAAGTTTTTGTGCCGTGGTGAGCTTTACATGAAGCATGTGCTCGAATGAGTTTCAATTTATAAAACGAAACACAATGTTTTATTGATGGAGTTACACGTATGAAAATATGAGAGGTGTGGGTGCTGAATTTTGACTGGTTATTTAGGTGTCGGCCTGATGTCACCGTGACGCGTTGGTGAGATAAGAAGGAGACTTTCATTGCAGCGCGATGGGGGACGAAGGAAGTTCTGAGAGTGATGATGTATCCTTCCTTCGCACGGTATGGGCTCATTTTTACTTTGTAGATAACAACCCACCAGGACAATAGCGAGCACGCGAAATGGAAATGCTCCTGAATTTCACTTTCTAACCCATCCCGTGACTTTCACTTGTTTTAAACTTACTTTGAATTAATCATGAATTCCTAAAGTGGCCGTAAGAGTAGTATTTATTTAGTAACATGTTCCTGAGAAAAGTGTAGATTGACGCTACAAAATTGCAGTATTCCTTGTTAGTCATTTCATTGGAAGACGGAATTAATCAGAGCATGGCATACAAGCGTTTTTGATTGTTAAGCGTGTATCGACTAAAAGATACAATTTGTGCAGGCATCAATAAACCCAAAATGCAATCACTCTGTTTTGTCCGTATCGGACACGACTCTGATTTCGGTTCAACAAAATCCAAACTCTCGTCGTCTACACTTTTCTCGTGTGCTATGCGAAACCTATCGAGAGGGAAGATTTCGTTCCTTGCTATGAAAAAAACTACGACAGAATGGAGTTGTTGCACGACGTTCGTGTTTCCCTTGTCTGTCTGTTCGTTAGCTCTTCTATACGACTAGAGAGCAGCTTTGGCTCTGGTTGTGATTCCCATTCAAATCTATCTTTGCTAAAATTAGCAAACGGACTGAACCGTCAGTAGAAAAAAAATCAAGCTGCTTGCTGAACGTGTTTGTGGATGAATGCTGTAAATTGTTGCATAATGCTGTATGCATACTGTCTGCTTTGTCTTTGCTTTGGTGTTTCATGAAATTTTTACTTGAATGATGATGAATGGTTGCATACGCGCATAGACAATAGTAGAGACCCAAATTAAATATTAGTAAAACTCAATCAACTACGATATCAATTAATGATCCTGATGAAATGATGAATGTGTGCTAATTATTTTCAGGAAGACAATGTTTGTCTTTCGTGCACAGCAACGGGGGAGAGGGTGTGCCTCGCCGCAGAAGGATTTGGAAACCGGCATTGCTTTCTGGAAAACATAGCAGACAAAGTATTTACACTTATTTACATTTTTTCACAGGAAGTCTGAAGACATCATTGACGTTTATTTTGTGTTGATATAGAACAATCCGCCAGATCTAAGTCAGTGCGTCTTTGTGATTGAACAAGCGTTGTCGGTCAGAGCGTTGCAGGAGCTGGTCACTGCTGCGGGCTCGGATTCCGTGAGTGACCATTCAGTTGAATTGAATTAACATTACGCAAATGAATAGGACGATAAAACGAGAGAAAGCACTTATTAGGCATCGAAACAGGCATTACGATAATTAATATGGCAAATGGCATAATCAAACTTGTCAGTCAGTAGTATTGCCAACTATGGAGTATGTACATATGTATATTCGTACATACATGCCTCCACGTGTGTGACCCCGTATCGTCTAATTAAAATTTTGGTTTGCAGGAGAAAGACGTAGTAAGTTGTGTCAAGTCACTTTCCGCGTGATAATGTGTAAAAGCAGTTAAACGGTTTGTACGTAAATTATTACAGACCGACCAAAGGTATTAAATTGTTGTTAAAACGCTGAACCCGTATGCAGTTGCTTTCACAGCAATCCTTTCCCCACAAAAATATTTCATTCCAACTTCGCAAAGTTTGAACTAATTATTTTAGTATTGACGCTAAAGTTGACAGTGTACAATATTTTGCAGTTCTTTATACTTGCTCATTTTTTGACATATTTTAAGTAACTTATAGTGTGTGCAATTAGCTTGAAAAGTACATCTTTAAAAAAACTACCTCCTTGTTCGAGTGGCCACGTATCATTTATAAGTATTTATTAAATATTGTTTTTTATTACTGCGAAAAGCTTTCACTCTTTGCAGTTCAGTTACTGCCGAAATCAGCTCACATGTAGTTACATGCACATATTTACCTCTCAAGGTCAACACCACAGGTATATCGTTATGTAGCTTCAACTAAATTACCTTGAAAATGCAACTGTACATAATTGCCCCAATTATACATTTTGACACAAGAATATATCTACACATACCCCCAACAGATCTTTAATCGTTAATAAATTCCTAAATTCTAATTATGAAAAACACACAAACTCACTATAATTATTCCATGTCTATCATTGCCAACCTTATAAATGTACTCGCAGCTTCCGTATATATGTATAATGATACTTAATTATGTATGTATAATATCGCAGATTTACTTGTATATTAAATGGTAATATTTGTAGCGCTATATGTAATAAAGTCGATAACATGTTATGTAATAAAACGAAAAACAAAGTTGAGTAGGAGTGAATATATTTAAACGTGTACAATGTATTTCGTAAACGCTTATCATAGTAAATAACACTACATTTGTGGTCTCAGAGGATGCAAGGTGACCACTTTAGTTAAGACATTCTCGTTGTTTTTTAAGGGCAAGGGAACAGGGTCGGGTCATCGGACTCTGCTCTACGGAAATGCCATCCTTCTTCGACACATGAACAGCAACATGGTTGGTGATCATCACTTGCTTTCTTTGCTCTTCAACTGTCCAATTCATGAAAGATTATTTTCAGTACCTCGCGTGCCTTTCAACCACGTCAGGAAATGACAAGCTGGCTTTTGATGTCGGCTTACAAGAGCATTCTCAAGGTATTTGAACATAAATAAGCAGTAAATAAATACGTAAAAATGCACTTTGACCATTAAAGCATGCTTTTCTGTCATTAAAATTAGGCGAGTCGTGTTGGTGGACACTCCACCCGGCATCCAAACAGAGGTCCGAGGGTGAGAAAGTCCGAGTTGGTGACGACCTAATTTTAGTGTCAGTGGGTAAGTCGACATCATGTAGAATTTATTTGTATATAATTACTTATGCAAATTATATTTTATACTCGCTTGATCATTTTACATCAATATTTTTTATCCGTTTCAGCCACTGAGAGATATCTCGTAAATATCACGATAAAATATTTGTGCACAACGATGCCGAATATTTTATAAGCTTCTCACGTCCTGCCGTTCTTACTTTTGCAGCAATCTGTTCGTGAAGGGGACAACACAATTGTCAACGCATCGTTTCACGTGACACATTGGTCAGTCCAACCCTTTGGAACGGGGCTTAGTCGGATGAAATATGTGGGTAAGCGGAGTCCGGAGAGATCGTAAAGTCGTGATGAATATCTTTCACCCGACTTTCTCGACTTTCCCCAACACTTCATTTGTCTTATGTAGTGTCAAAGCAGGCATCAGAATTTCTGATGTCTGACGTCGCAATCTGCTTAGCCTACATTCATACATGTACATATATTTACATGAAAGTGTTACGTAAATATGATGATATGTATGTATTTATGTATTTTTAGATATGTATACATTTATATCCATCCATGCATCAACAACTGTTTGCTTACTCGGTGTGGGTGGGTGGATATAGAAAACAGCGGGGGGATTACGTCGACATGTAGTTGTAGCCCTTTCTATTATTATTTGCAAACTTTGAAATTGCAGTTGCAACTTGTGAGCTTTCTTTACGGTGAAAGTCGTTGAAGGATCGATCCTCCTTTCCTCTCTTCTGCTGGCTCCTTCACTCACACCCACCACCGAGTTTCTCTCTCCTATACGAATAAAATCTGCCATCGATAAATTGCTTTCTCACGTTGATTGCAGGTTACGTGTTTGGTGGCGAAGTACTCCGTTTCTTCCACGGTGGAGACGAATGCCTCACCATCCCGGCTTCCTGGGGCGAGCAACCAGATCAAAAGTAAGTCGCGACGTGATTTTTCGCAAACTTTTCTGCAAAAGTGAGTAGATAGCGTCATTATATGCAACATGAGAAAGTGGGGAGTGAGGAAAGGGAATGATGGGAGGTTTGGGAATTGCTGCGTGGAACGATTCGCTCACTTTAATGGAGAGTCTGGTGGAGAGATGCAAATTTTTCTCGGCTTAATTTCGTGAAAGTAAATTGTATGATGATGATGGCCAATTTATGAGATTTGATCTTATATTATTTCTATGTGGTAGTGGGTATAGTTTCACGAGTTGCATTTCAAATGCTTTCTCCTCCTATGTGTACATTTATCTACTAAACATAAACATAATTTTACATGATATTTCTGGAACTTTTTTTACCTAGCATGGTGGTGTACGAGGGAGGCGACGTGGTAAGCTTTCATGATGCTCAGTAATTTAAAAAAGACACCAATTCAATAAGAAACAACCATGAATATGTATGCGTATTAAAATATAGGTTAACCAAGCACGTTCACTGTGGCGTCTCGAGGTTGGTATTTTTACTCTTAAGTTAGTATGTATGCATTAATACCTGCTAACAAATTATTATTAATTCTGCAGTTAGCAAGAACAAAATGGGCAGGAGGCTTTATAAATTGGATGCACCCATTGCGAATTAAGCATATCACAACTGGAAGGTACTTGGGAATTAACGAGAACAACGAAGTAATTCTGGTTTACAGGTGGGTGGCATAAGGTTTACTTAAATACGGATGTTGCATGTTATTTTGTTATGTATGTTATATAATAATTTATGACAAGAACAGACAAGATGCAACTTTGGCATCCACATGTTTTTATCTCCGAGAGGAGAAAGACGATGCAAAAGGTAAGTAAAAAATGACAACTAAATTTCAGTTGCACTGCATTTATTGAAAATATGGTCAACGTAATGTATTGTTATCAAAAAATACTTGAAAAGACTATTGTATCTTGCCCTTGTTTTTTTTATTGGGAAAATCTCACAAACTTGCATAGTCAATTCTTATGAGTCCATCAGTGGATAGGAGGGGAAGCTTTATCTCTGCGCACCTAAAGAATTAAAAGCTAGAATCTAACATTGGGGCACAAATCATTAAAATAATGTCTTTTTGCTCAGCTCAACTTGAAGATAAAGATTTAGAAGTGATTGGCAGCGCAGTCATCAAGGTTAGCATACTACATTATTATTGAAGTAAATTATTTAATGGATCTTTTATTAGTCATTTGTGTGTTTTTAACGCGTGTAGTACGGGGACAGCACCGTTATCGTTCAGCACATGGAGACTGGGTTATGGTTGTCTTACAAGGTATGGAAGATGACTCCTAAATAAGGAGTCCTTATCCTATAAGATCTTAATATGTAGACACTCATCGTAAATGAGTATCTATTTTTACTGTCGGAATTACATAAATTCATCTGCCTACAGGCTTATGAAACAAAGAAGAAAGGCGTGGGGAAAGTCGAAGAGAAGCAAGTTATACTTCACGAAGAAGGGAAAATGGACGATGGGATTGAGTTTAGCAGAAGTCAGGAAGAAGAATCCAGAACTGGTACAATATTACAATCCAGTTACTTGTAGCTTGCATTCCCTTGCCCATAAAGTTAAACTTTTGATTAAACTTTCACAGCAAGAGTAATTCGGAAATGTTCATCACTTTTTTCAAAGTTTATCAAGTGAGTAGTTCATCGTTAATCGCACTTATTAGTCTCCGAATGCGGGGTTTAACTAATTCATCTCGTCTCACAGAGGATTAGAAGTACTCCAAGTGAATCGCAGACGCTCCTTATTTTTCAAGTCTATCGATTTGGGAGAGATGGTCATGAGTCTTGAGGACTTGATCAATTATTTTGCTCAACCAGAGGAAGAAATTGGTACGTACATGTGTCCCTACATATACACGTGCATATATGCATGTTTGTACTTATGCACCAGCCAATTACATGAGTGCCTGAAAACATGTAGCTATAGATTACTTAAAATCGGGTTACTTTTGCCTTGCAGAGCACGAGGAGAGACAAAACAGGCTCAAAGCTCTTCGGAATCGTCAAGATCTTTTTCAGGAAGAAGGAATCCTGAACCTCATTCTGGATGCAATTGACAATATTAATACCATTAGCTCGCAAGGTTTTCTGGTTGCGTTGGCTGGAGAGGATTCTGGACAAAACTTTGATGTCATTACTGCGTACTTGTACCAGTTGCTGGGTGAGTTGTGAGACCAGACAAAATGGATAACTACGCAAATGCATTTTATCCTCTTTTTCGCATTAAGTACTTGTGAATTTTCTCTCGCGAATACAACTTGTGTTTTTAATAACTTTTCCAATCTCTTTTCTTCCAAAACTACGTAGCTGCAATTATCAAAGGAAATCATACCAACTGTGCTCAATTCGCAAATATCAATAGGCTCAATTGGCTCTTCAGCCGACTTGGTTCTCAAGCGTCTGGCGAAGGAAGTGGAATGCTGTGAGTAAACACGACAAAATAATAAGCGATCTAAAATTGAGATTTTAGGTACAACTGCGCTGCTTGAGACAATGTACAAACTAGTGTATTTGTCCCCAAATCAAGCATCCCAAAATAGCGCATTGGTACTGATACTAACGTGTTTTTTTTATTGCAGGGACGTACTTCATTGTGTACTTATTGATTCCCCAGAGGCTCTGAACATGATGCGGGTAAGGTAGCTCAGGAAAACGAGGAATAGTGCATCCCTGCAGAATGTTCTTATTTAGGGATGTACTTTAGGGATGTATGCAAGTCATTAATTGTGTAACTTTGTGTTACATATTTGTCATTTTTATTCCGTAGGAGGAGCATATCAAAGTTATCATATCCCTGTTGGAAAAACACGGTCGAGATCCAAAGGTAGCCACAAACCTGTTTTGGCTATCTAGATTTTAGAAAGGCCTACACCTTGTCGTTTTGTAGGTTTTAGATGTGCTTTGTTCTCTCTGTGTCGGCAATGGAGTTGCGGTCCGTTCTTCGCAGAACAATATTTGCGACTACCTGCTCCCTGGGAAGAATCTCTTGTTGCACACTCAGCTCGTGGATCATGTCGGAAGGTACGTAAGAAAACAATGTGCTTCTCATCGTAATATTTTTAATGCATGTATCCTCGTAACACTATTATGTATTACGTATGCACGTATGTATATGCACCATTTACACCTTTCTCCTCTCAAGGACGATAGCAAGTACTGCATGTGTGATAGCACCAATTCTGTAGGAAGAAACCTCTGAATTATTTCGGCTCATCATTGTGTTTTGAGATTCAGGTCATGCTTATCCCATCGTGGAAGGAGAAGAAACTTTCACGATCTCGTCGACTTTTATGTCTCTCTCTCTGTATTGTAAAGTACTGTTCTGCTCTTGCAGTGTGAGGCCGAACGTGTTCGTAGGTATGGTGGAGGGATCGGCGATGTATCACAAATGGTACTTTGAAGTAACTCTCGACCACATCGAGCAAGCTACGCACATGATGCCACATTTGAGAATTGGATGGGCAAATTCCGCCGGGTATGCCGCTCTGAATGAAATTAAACGGGTAAAAGTTTAATCAAATTGAGCCGTTTCATTTTTTCAGGTATATTCCGTACCCTGGTGGTGGTGAAAAGTGGGGAGGAAATGGAGTGGGTGATGACTTGTATTCATACGGATTTGATGGAGCCTATTTATGGACTGGTACTTTCTTACTTGTTTTCGTTCTTACTGGGCTGAGCTTTGTACAATTGCGTACAATTCAAAAGATTTTCCAAGAGATGTTTCATGCAAGGGACATTTTTAGGCGGATGCAGCACTTGTGTCGTGCCAGGCTCCTCTGAGCCGTTTATTCGAAAGGGAGATGTGATTGGTGTCGCCGTGGATCTCTCAATCCCGATGATGACATTTTACTTCAACGGGGTCAAGATTAGGGGAGCGTTCAAGAACTTTAACCTCGAGGGAATGTTTTTCCCTGTTGTGAGCATGTCGTCGAAAGTGAGGTGAGAGAAAGCTGATTTACAGCACTTATTTATACATATGTATGTACGTAACCTTTTCTATGCATTCCAGTTGCCGCTTTCTATTTGGTGGTGATCAAGGACGTGAGTTTTTTCATGATTATTTTTGCAATTGTACTTCATCTATATTTCGTACAGGATTTTATACAGTCACAGTGTGCTGATATACTTATGCCAGTAGTAATGCCTCGTTTATTTTAAAGGTCTCAAGTTTCCCCCACCAGAAAATCATTCTCCTCTCGTGGAATGCCTTCTACCAACGCAGATATTGCAGGTTTGTATATGTAGACCATAGGTAATTAATTAATATGTGAAGAGAAAGAAACATTTTTATCTTAACTCTGGATAACAATAGATTGATCCGTGCTTCTACTTTGGCGATTTGCAAAAAACCGTATTAGCTGGCCCAATTGTGGTGGAGGATGGTACGCACATTTATTAATAGATAATTGCTAATGATCATTTATTGAATTTCTTCATTTGAATTCCGAATCGTCAGATTCTGCTTTCGTTCCGACCCCAGTCGATACTCAAACAGTAAGAATGAAGAATTATTTAGTTCTCTGCAGTACGTTACGATGAAGCAATCATGTTTTCCGTGTCATTTAAGGTCATTCTGCCTGGGTTTGTTGAAACAGTTCGGGACAAACTAGCCGAAAATATTCATGAAATGTACGAACAGATTACAATTGATGGATTTCAGCACAAACAATGTCTCCCAACACTTATCTTTTGTAATGTACGAAAGGTGGGCTATGAACAAAATCGAGGCTGGTTGGCTCTACGGAGAATATCGAGACGACTTTGACAAAATCCATCCGTGTCTGGCTCCCTTTGACAGACTTCCAGATGCCGAACGACATTACGACATCCAACTAGCTGGAAATACTCTAAGGTACTACACAGGATTTCAGATTTTTTGAAGAATTTCCAATCCTGCAACAACTCTATTTTTCAGAACCGTGGTAGCGCTGGGATATCATATTTCCCTGGATAAGCCTCCAGCAAGAATTCGTAGCATTCGTCTTCCAAACGTATGAGAAAAACAAATACTTTAAATTTGTGCATATAAATACGAAAATCAACATATTTTTCATATTTACTGCAATAACAAAATTCAGAAAGCAAAATTATTTAGAAAGCAAAAGTACTTTCTCCATTTCGCATCAAAATGACGCCGAGTCTCGCTAACCAATTTAACCCCAGAACTTTCAGGGCATAAACTATTTTAATTACCTCAATTTTTTTTCTTTCTAACACCTTCATGTTAATTACTGTAAAATTATAGTATGTGGTACTAGTAGTTTATATAATGATACAAAAAGGACATGATGAAGGACATGATGAAGGAACATACCTTCCCAATCACTAATCTAAAGGGTCATAACCTAATTTCGTGTTGCAGAATCCATTTATGCAGCCAAATGGATACAAGCCAGCACCACTAGATTTGAGTGCCATTACACTAACCCCAAAACTGGAGGAACTGGTGGATGCCTTGGCAGAAAATACGCATAACATGTACGTTTTTAATAAATTTTTGACCAAAACAACGGATGCCTAATGTTGTTTTGGACAAAAATCTATGTAGTTGGGCCAAAGAACGTATTTCAGAAGGATGGACGTACGGTCTTAACGAAGATCCAGACCTCCGCAGAAGCCCTCACTTGGTGCCCTACAGTAAAGTGGACGATGCCATAAAACAGGCAAACACGTTAGTTAGCAGTTTTGATTTCACTTTATTCCTATTAATTATTATGATTGTATTACGTAACCGCTAAATTCGTTCGTACCCATTTCTGTAATTGGTTGGTGTCACTAGTATTTATTTATTTGCTTATGTAGGGACACCGCAAGTGAAACTGTAAGAACGCTTTTAGTTTATGGCTACGTCTTGGAAGCTCCGCCAGGAGAACAACATGATGGTAAAGTGAATAAGTGATATCTGCATAATCAATTCTGCGCATATTTGGCTAAAAGAGCTTGATCTTTAACTTATAGTTCATCATGAATTAACTGGATCCAAATACCAGGCGGATTATCGCACATACAGGGCGGAGAAGAATTATTCCGTATCTGAGGGGAAATGGTAATATAAAGAAAATATAAATAAATGGCACGAAACACAAATAATAATATAACTAATTTCAAACACATTTGCATACGACTGCATAGAATTCAAGAATCTCATGGTCAATATTTATGTGGTGTGTAGATATATGTGAGACAATATTTTGGACTAATTTTCAGGTATTACGAGTTCGAAGTGCTGACAGCAGGACCGATGAAAGTTGGTTGGGCTCGGGTTGACTGCAAGCCGGGATGTCAAATTGGTAGTGATGAGTACTCCTGGGCCTTTGATGGCTACAATGTAAGAAACTAATCTTAAAGGAATGTTAAATAACATTTACAGACTGATGACGCAAAATGCATCTACATAAATATGTATCTACTATTGAAAGTTCCAAAGGATCTCACATATTTTTATCCACAATTAATTATTAGAGTGAGAAAATTCATCAAGATAATGCAGAGTCGTATGGAAAGACTCCACAAGTGGGGGATATCGTTGGTTGTCTAATTGACGTGGAAAACAAATCCATGAGTGAGCTCCACTTTGTTGTTGAGGGATTATAGTGACAGTACTTTCTCTTTTTCCCTTTCACTAAATCACCTAATTTGTCGTGAAATAACACTAAATATGAAATAGCACTCGCTTTCACCACAATTTCATACCCTGCCATCCACACTTTGGCATGGTCTCATGCATGCCAACCAAATATCTTGATGTTTTCCCTGTTTTTGAAATTTAAACCTCTGAGACACACATACACAATGGTTTTGCGATTTTTGACCTTGTGCAAATCGCTCCCCGCTATGAATTTCTAAATACTCGGCTCAAAACCTACCTGCAGCGGACCTTATAGTTTTCCTTTTTATGTGAAACCCTCAAAGGAAGAAAAATTGTACGGAGGAGGTTCGGAGAACTTTGGAAAGCAGTTCAGAGAATCTGATGTGATTGGAGTGTTCCTTGACCTAATTGACAAAACGATTAGTAAGTTTCCTCCTCCTGCATGTGTGTGGCTTTTTTTAGCTCTTTGCGACCTTGCCTCTTAAGTGCATATTAATACGCAACGTGTAATTCCTGCATGTCTCAATTTGCCTCGTCGTGAGAGTTATTTAATTGAGAATATTTTTCAGGCTTTTCACTCAATGGGGAACTATTGATGGGTGAGTTACAATTTTCACATTATTTCCACTGATTGTAACTATTATTCAGTTCAAAATGTGATGTTACCCAGATTCCTTGGGTGGGGAGGTGGCCTTTACCGATGTACAAGGCGACGGTTTCGTACCAGCGTGCACTTTGGGGGTGGGACAAAAAGCGAAACTGGTCTTTGGTAAGAAAATGGTTAACACATCTTGTTTGATAAAGCTTTCTCTCCTTAGTTTTTATGATAATTTAAAGTGGCATTACTATAAAATGTGGTTAGGTCATGATGTCAATGCCCTTAAATTCTTCACGCTGTGCGGTCTTCAAGAAGGATACGAACCGTTCTGTGTGTTAGTGCAACATAACGATAATAAATACTAAATACGAACTGGCACTACATGTACATATGTATTTGCATAATTACTTATTGTGCACAGGAACATGAATCGTGCAATGACGTTTTGGTACACGAAAGATCAGCCAATTTTTGAGAATGTAGACGACAATGAGGAATCCAACATAGAAGTGGTGCGAGTTCCTGCAGGAGGGGACACGCCTCCCTCCCTCCGGCTTAGCCACAAGACTTTTGAGACAATGGAGAAAGCCAACTGGGAATTTCTGCGCCTTTCACTCCCTGTAATTTGCCAAGATGAGTTTATAGAGTAAGTTTTTAGCATAAATACTCTGCATAACTTTTTATTTATGAATTATTTGATGACATTTTTATATTGATGTTTCAGTGAAAATGAAAAAACTCGCCGTTGGCAAGATATTCGACTTCGTCAACACAGATTAAAAGCCACTGCACAAACTACAAGGACCAATAATTTCGAGCAGTCCATGGCCAAAGCTGGGTTTTCAATTAGTGACATTAAAGGTACATCTTAGACTTTTGCTAAATTCTATGTAACTTTGTAAAATTAAAATGTATCTGCTTTCCTACAATCAGGATTGCAACGAGAATATTCTGAGGATGAGGTGGAAGCAGATCACTCTGGACAATCGGGACCTATGAGAAAAGGTCGCAAAACGATCAAATCTCCACCAAATAAGCCACCACGTGGAGGAATGTCGGAGGCTGAGTATATTGACACGCCTGGGATGCTGAATGGAGATACTGGCGTCCAGGCTGACCGTTCTGACAGGAGCGGAAACCACTTGAGCCCAGAACCGGATGGGAAGAAGAAGGAACGCGGCAAGTCGCCCTTCAGGTAAGCGCAAGTTCTTAACGATATTCTCAAAAATAAGTATTGCACCTGCAAATAGTAAATACTTGTAGGATGCGCTACTAATTATTATTAATATTAATTTGCATTAGATAATTATAACGCTATGTGATTGATGTGTTTCTTGTGTCGCACTTGACTAACTGTAATAAGTGGTATACATATTTCTATACCTGTGTGAACATGCAGCTTAACTAGCATGTATTCGATTGAGGAAATCACTGAAGTTGGACGAGAATATGCTACTCGGTGAGTGTTACTAATACTGAAGAGTGCGTGATGCCTTATTTATTATTGATGTTTGTATCAGTATCATTATTGTTTTTTTATATTCTAATTTTACCACAGACAGTTTTTTTAACTGATTTGATGTGGTTCTGAAGGTTTTTCTCTCGAAGCAAACGAGACGAAAGCAAAGACAGGAGCAAGATTTCTCGAACGCCCGAGGTGGACGAAGGTGGAAATTCTCTTGGGGTTCCCAATAGAAATGCTGCTGTGAGACTCTCACAGGTATGAAGAGAAAGTGTAGTATATCTAATTCCATGAAAAGAAGCAATACTGTGAAAGAAAACATATCTTATGTTGGAATTGTTATATTATTTTAGAGTAATCTCAAAGTTGTCCCACCAGAAGTTCCTGAACGGCACGGTCATGGCAAAGGTTCTCCAGCTCCGCCACAAATGAGTGTGGACGAACCAGTACACGAAGAAGAGCTATTCGACGCAGAATGTCTCAATTTGATCAACGAATACTTTTATGGGCTCAGGATTTTCCCTGGCCAGGTAATCTATTAATTAAACGAATAGTTAATTCAGTAAATACAGTTTGAAAACAAAAATTGGATTAATGTCCTTGAATTTACGGAAGGTAAATTCAAGCAGGTGGAAAAAGATGTGCAGTCGGCATGTTTTGTCGCATCTTTGAGGAAAATATAAATGTTGACATAATTTTCATACAGGATCCCAGCCATGTTTTCGTCGGCTGGGTCACAACCCAATATCACTCGTTCAGTACAAGCTTCTCAAATGACCAAGTCAGAACAGTGACGATTGCTGCAATTGATGAGTTTGATTGCGAGCTGTTCAGGTGAGAAATTAAAGAAGATTAAGTTTTATTTGCAAATTGATCTTGCCTTAATCATCAGTAAATGACATTCAACTTTTTTTCGCCTAGTGTGGATCGTAATTCATGTTACATGGTCCGAGCTGATGAAATATTTAACCAAGTTTCCCAGGACTCTTCAGGGAAAGGAGCTTCTCAAGGCATGTTCATCGGGTGTTCGGTGGACACATGTGCGTAAGAATTCGATGATGACTCAACTTTTATTGATGCATTATTTATTGTACACACCCCGTTTAAACAATGAATAAAAAATGTTTTATATTCAGCCACGGGTTATATGACTTTCACTTGTGACGGAAAGCAAACAAGTTATGTGTACAAGGTAGTAAAATATTAATAATTGTGTTGCATTTATTTTTGGAACGAATTATTAAATCGAATATTTTAGATGGAACCTGGCACAAAGTTATTTCCGGCCGTGTTTGTTGAAGCCACCAGCAAGGACATGTTACAGTTTGAACTGGGAAGGACGCCAACTACGTTACCATTGTCATCTGCAGTATTGCTCAATTCTGGAAAGCACTTGACACCACAGGTACATAAATATATGTATTTGTTCACCCATGACATATGTACGTACAAATTTTCGGAAAGATTAATTTTCGTAACTCGGACTTTATAGTTTCCTCCAAGATTGAAAACTCAGTTTCTGAAACCTCATCAGTGGGCTCGTGTTCCAAATGCATTCTTGAAAATCCATGCCCTCAAATTGTCAGAACTTCGTGGGTGGTCCACGCTGTGTGAGGACCCAGTTTCGATGCTCGCTCTCCATATTCCTGAAGAAGACAGGTGTATTGATATCCTTGAACTCATTGAACAGGAGAAACTCTTGAGGTATTTAGCTTTTCTTGTAATGCATTTCATATTTCGTCTCGTGCAGGATAATCTCTTACTTATTTGCCATTTTCCATGAAATTTATTATTTTCCAGTTTTCATTTTCACACATTGACACTCTACGCAGCCTTGTGTTATCAGTCGAACCATAGGGCAGCACATAGCCTATGTGCGTATGTGGACCAGAAGCAACTTCTTTACTCAATTCAGGAGGAATACTTGTCCGGTCCGTTGAGAAGAGGATTTTACGACTTGCTAATTGCACTTCATTTGGAATCATTCGCCACAACGATGTAAGACATATGTAAATAGGATTAGTGAAAACTGGAATGAGTTCAGCAGTTAAATTGACAACATATACCCACGCTTGCTTTCTTTGTTCGTGATTTCAGGGAGGGGTGCAAGAATGAGTTCATTATCCCATTGACTCCAGAATTGAAGGAGCTCTACGAGGACGAAGCAATGCGCCATAGTATCCGTTCAATCACTACACTTTCTGTGCGACCTGAAATGAAGATGACAGACATCGAGTACATTATGACAACATTTATTCAAAGATTTAAGTGTGGTATCAAATGACTAAAATTTGACTTACTTTTGTATTGTTCTTGAAGGGAGCGGGTTGAAGATATCAAACTTCTGAACAGCCCCTACTTTCCACTGGAAGTGGTCAGAGACTTTGCAATGAAAGCGTTAGAGGATGCGGTGAGTACAAGAAAATAAGTGGTCAAAAGTTCAAATTAGTCGACATATGCAAGCCAAGCGATTTCATTCATAACCTTTTTTACGAGTGTGTAAGGAGACATTAATGTATAATTTTATTACAGGTGAGACTTGAACAAGTCCATAACAGAGATCCGATCGGAGGAAGCAATGAAAATTTGTTTGTGTATGTGCGGATTTTCTTATTTTTGCAATATGAAGGTTTTCTCATTGATATACATTTCTCTTTCTCAGTCCTCTCCTGAAACTTATTGATAAGTTGCTGTTGGTGGGCGTAATCGAAGACACAGATTTGGACAAATTGTTGGTAATGAGGTATGTTCGTGCATATAATACTGACTTTTTGAACTCTAAATAAGGTGCAACTTTTATACAACAGTATACTTGTGATTAAATATTTTTAAAACACTATGCAGTGATCCACACACGTGGGATCCTGAAAATAATCATGGTACTCTTAATCTCATATTCATACACGTCAACTTATGCAATACAAATGAGTAATTTGAATTTAATATTAATGTAGCCATCATCTTCAAATTTGAACGCTTCCCATCCGAAGTACCAGTTGAAGAAGATCACAGAAAGGGACTTTTGTTCATGGATCTCGCAGAAGGAGTAAAATTGCAAATGTGCTACTTGCTGCATCATATGAACGATATTCAGGTACATGCGTTGAGCTAATCAAGTGATAGCTTTGCAATATATAATTTGTCGATTATCCAGCTAAGACATCGAGTAGAATCCATCGTCGCTTTTAGCCATGATTACATTGGGGAAGTGCAGTCGGTAAATAAAATAATCTCTAATAAATTTTTCGTAAATATTGCTAGAAATCTGTAAAAATACGCATATTTACTTATACACGTGTCACTATTTAGGATCAACTTAAACGCTACCAGGAAATCAAGCAGTCCGATCTCCCATCGGCCGTTGCTGCAAAGAAAACTCGGGAGTTCAGATGCCCCCCGGTCGAACAAATGAAAAGTATTCTAGGTAAATAGAGGGGAAAATGTGAGCCGGCAATTATGTGGGTCAAGCCAAACTATACACCTGTTTGTACATAGGTTTCAAAAACTTGGAGATGGACGACGAAGATAATCGACCTTGTGGTGAAACTCTCATCACACAACTTACTGAAATGCATCAGTCCTTGATGGAGAAGGTCTCTTTGGAAGGATTGCAAGGAGGAGAGGGTGGCGATGAGGTTAATTACATATTTATAATGCCAATATTTTGTGTCGGTTAAATACCGGTTTAATGTAATTCAAGTTGAATTATTCAACGTAATAATGGAGAATATTTTAATTTCAGGAAGAAGCCGCTGGTGGAGGGAAACTGGACCTCATAACCAAGGTCATCAACATGCTCAACATTGTAAAGAAATTAGAACCACCAGAACCTCCTAAAGAAGAAGAGCCTCCACGAGAGTTACTTCCGGAAGGTGCATACACATACATACGTTTTGCATAATATGCCGTGCCATTACTATTTAACTAAGGAACCCATGTTTTGTGATTCAGAAATATTTAGAAAAGTGCTGACCAAGACTATTGTCCGCTGGGCGGAGGAGACACATTTCGAGTCGCCTCTCTTGGTGAGGGAAATGTTCGGGTACGTTTGCTACAGTAAAGTGATTTACGTAATTTGGGGTTGCTGAATTGGTTATACGTTTGATGACCATTGTATTCCTTTATCATTATCAGACTACTGCTGAGACAATACGACGTGGTTGGGGAGCTGATTAGATCTTTAGAGAAGACCTATGTGTTCAGCAGTAATACAATTCCACACATACAGAAAATGTGGACCGGCTTGAGTCGGATCAGAGGTTTACTTCCTGTCCAAATGTCACAAGAGGAAGAAGGCCTGATGAGATTCCTTCTTTGGTACTTATTTGCCACTAGGATTAACCACATGCTTTCCCAGGGACTGCATTAATTAATTATACGTAAATAATTCGTATTGAAATTGACAGGGAATTGGTGAATAAATCCTACATCTTCTTCCAACATCCCGACTTGATAAGGATCCTACGATTGCATGAAAATGTCATGTGAGTACGACAATCTTTAGTTCATTTAGTGGTGGATTTGGTCCGTTTCATACATAATCTTAAAAAATGAATTTGGATGAATAGTCATTTGATGTATGTTTGTATGGTTAGGGCTTTGATGATGAACACGCTGGGCCGGCAGCAGGCTCAGTCAGAGGCACAAGGTGCAGGAAGTGAGTTAAAAGTTTTACCATACAACTTGTGTTCTTTATTATTAATTACTAGCTAAATTAATGACTATGCTCGAGTAAAGGTCCCGGAGAAGCGGAGCAACCTGCCAAAGAGAAAGACACGTCTCATGAAATGGTTGTGGGGTGCTGTCGATTCCTCTGCTACTTTTGTCGGACATCACGACAGAATCAGAAGGGTAACAATGAGCACATATATTTTTCTGTATACGAATAATAAAATAAAATAAAACATGTCTTTAGCCATGTTTTATCATCTCGGGTTCCTCTTGGAGAACAGCAACATCCTTCTGAGTCGACCGTCTCTCCGGGGCTCTACCCCTCTCGACGTTGCATACTCCTCCCTCATGGAAAACACAGAGCTGGCGTTGGCCTTGAGAGAACATTTGTTGGAAAAGATTGCAGTCTAGTAATCAAAATTTTATTCGCCAATTTCTGCCAATTTCCTGTTTAATCCATACATGTCTTAATTGTTGTTTTGTTTAATTATAGCTTGGCTCGTTGTGGACTTCAGTCTAATACTGAACTGGTGGAGAAGGGTTACCCTGACTTGGGTAATTATTAATAAGTTTTTAGTATGGTGATTTTGGTTTTTAATTCAATGTGCACTTGATAGGATGGGATCCCGTTGAGGGCGAACGATACTTGGACTTTCTCCGTTTCTGTGTCTGGGTTGGTGGTGAAAGTGTTGAAGAAAATGCGAATCTTGTCATCAGGTCTTTTCTCATACCCTTCCCATTTATTAAAACGTTATTTGCATGGGCAGAAAGAGTAACATGGATTGACATCCAATTCATCCGTAGATTGCTGATTCGAAGACCAGAATGTCTTGGGCCTGCATTGCGTGGGGAAGGGGATGGCTTGTTGAGAGCTATAATTGATGGAAATAAGGTAGAAAATTCTACATTGTTGATTGACTAACATATGTATGCATCATAGCAATTAGTTTATCATGCTTTTATTATTTCTTCGTGGGCAGATGTCAGATAAGATTAATGCGAGGAACGCTGGTGAAGTAGTCAGCGATTTGGAACACCCACTCCCAGAGTCGGACGACGATGAAGATTATATCGATACGGGGGCCGCAATTCTGTCATTTTATTGCACTTTAGTTGATCTCCTTGGTCGTTGTGCACCTGATTCGTGAGCAAATCAATAGAAATTTAAATATGTTTTTATTATAATCAAACTTAATTAAATTAAATCAATTTAAATAAATATCGTTTACTATAATTTCAGGTCTGTCATTGCTCAAGGCAAAAACGAATCTCTGCGAGCCAGAGCAATTTTGCGATCCCTTGTCCCATTAGAAGATCTACAAGGAGCCCTCAGTTTGCGGTTTAGCTTTCAAAGTTTAGGCATCCCAGGTTAACATTAACTATATTTTTAATTAAGAATCTGTTTTAGCCCGAGTCAGGGCTTATGAGGTCGTCATGCCTGTCTATCTGTCCGTCTGTGACACGCTAACGAACGAACTACTGAACCGATTTTGACCAACTTGGTCTTAATGCTTATCTCAACTAGGCCTTGATGAATTCGAAGACAGGCATCGGCCCAGTGGTTGAATTTCTAGAAATTTTGTAGCAGGGAGTAGAATGGGGTGAGGATGACCCATATTTTTTAAAGGATGGAAATAACTAAATGCTCGATAAATGTGACAATTGATGACGATTAAGAATATTATGTACGATGTATGACAACTTGTGCAGAGAAAAGTAAAAGATAGATATTTGATGAAACTAATTGGCCACTAATAAAAGCATGTACTTTTATCCAGGTAAATTCAGTTGCACGGATGAAAGCTTTTATCCAGGTAAAATTAATTGCACGGATAAAAGCTTTCATCCGTGCAAATGAATTTACCTGGATAAAAGTACATGCTTTTATTAGTGGCCAATTAGTTTCATCAGATATTGAAACGCGTTGTTGAATTTTACGCTATTAGGTAATAGTAGTTTGGTCATCTAACAAAAATTTAAAATGTCATTCTGACTCGGGCTAAATGAAGTCTGCTTTATATACGTATTTGCAGTTTTGTATTCGTTTTCGAAAATGCTTTTTCATATGAAATCCAAGAACGGAGCAAAAATGTGTAATGATACTTTTGCACCAGGTGTACCACCAAAGCGGGACATGCCCCCTGGGCTCGTGCCAAATCACAAGCAGAGCATCGTGCTGTTCTTGGAAAGAGTGTATGGCATTGAAGAACGTGACTTATTCTTCAAACTATTAGAAGATGCCTTCCTGCCCGATCTTCGAGCGGCAACCATGTTAGATCACCGAGTGAGTTTAGGAGATTATAAAATTGTCCTGGTTTATAGAAATCACGGGAAATGTAAATAATAATAATTTTCCTAGCTGGATGGGGGTGACTCTGAAATGGGTCTCGCTCTCAATCGTTACATCGGGAACTCGATCCTCCCACTGCTCATATCCCACTCCAAGTTTTATGCTGAAGCTGAAAACTATGCGAGCTTGTTGGACGCCACTCTTCACACTGTTTATCGTCTCTCCAAGAACAAAATGTTGACCAAAGGTCAACGAGAAGCAGGTATAATTTTTTTTATATTCGAATGATTATAAAATTTTATTTGTCGACACAGTTAAGTTATAATTCATAAAAACGTGTTTAAATTGTCACTACATATTAAGTTGCTCAACAATCTTGACTAAATCTAAGAACAATTTTTTTGCCTTTTCAACCATGACCTTATCTCCTTCGAGCTGAACACGGTTACATTTCTGTTTGGATTTCGGGATTGTAATCTTGACGTCGCAGTTATCTGAGATTTTTTGTATCACATTCTTTCCTACTTCAACAATAGAATCAAGTATTTCAAATGAGACCATGACACGAATTTCTACGGGTTCACTTTTGTCTTCCTTTTCAACTATAGTACCCATTGTCATGTTTTCTTGAGACTCGGGAATCTTGCGTCGAATGTTTGCATACACGGCAACATTGTTAGGATAGGTGCCAATTCTTCTGGTGGATGTGAGAGGAAAATTTGACATGAAAATGTCGCCTAAACGATGTTGAGCCAATATTTTTTCTGGATCTGGATGTGGAAATTGATTAACATATTCTTCATGTACAACTGATTTTCGAATCCATTTCTCTCGGTCGTCAACGTACTCGTATTTCTGAAGAAGCCAGTCTGATATTTGATTATTTAGTGTTGTGGGGGCCAAATTTCCTTTCCCGACTCTGTTGTAAACTTTCTGTTCACTTATTTCCATCATGACCGACCGTGCAGGTACTGTTTCAGAAATATTCTCTTCTTCCGTCACTGGAATGGAATGATTTAAATTAATTGGTGCTATAATGAAAATATAAATCAGGATAATAATTAGAGTACATTACACATTGAGTATTTTGTGACTAATTCACGGAACATTTTTCGCCTCAATAATTGGGACATTGGTTTCCCCTTCAGACGGCGAGTTGCTTCAGGCATTAAATTAGCCAGTTCCGGTACAGTTGATAAATGTTCCAACAATTGATCGGCATGAGGGAGAATGAGCTTCACACATTCACTAGGCATGATGACCCCAAATGCGTCAAACAAGTCCTTTAGGGCAAACTTCACCCAACACGCTTCCTGAAAGGACGACGTATAAATATAGAGATGAAAAGGTCTCATTGTCCAGAGTTGTAAAAACAAGTCACTAAAACAAACAAACGAGATTGAAATTTATTATATTAAACAATTATTTGCTATAATTTTTAAACTATGAGTATGTACCGAAGACTACATCCGTTGCAAAGTTCCCTTGAATCGGGGGACGATTCTTTTGTCGATTTGGTTTGGACACCTGAGGCTGCTTTGAAAACGTCTTGTGCTTTGAAAACGTGAAGTGAATGCAATTGACCTATCGTCAGTGAGGATTTTATTGGGGTCGGTCCACTCCATGCCATATTGACAATAATCTGAAGTAAATAATCATAATTTTACATATTGTCTAACATGCACAAATTTTGAAATGTCGAACTGACCTTTTGAAACTATTGAATCCTTAAGTCCAAACCATATTCCTCCTTCTATTTTTTCAAAACGGAAAAAACTGCTAGCAGGGGGTGGGGTCCCTTCAAAATACATTTTTCTAACGGCAGATTATCTTTTTGTATAAAAAGTGTCAGAAGTGTTGCAAGAGGAATGATTATTTTAGTGTGCGCGGGTGTAAACATGTCTCATTTTTCTATTTCCAGTGTCGGACTTCTTGGTCGCACTCACGAGGGAAATGCAGCCCAACATGTTGCTTAAATTGTTGCGAAAGTTAACCGTGGACGTATCCAAACTAACCGAGTACACAACGGTTGCCCTTCGGCTGCTCACCCTTCATTACGAGAGGTGTGGTAAATACTATGGGGCCACAGGCGGTCAAGGGATTTATGGGACAGCCAGTGAAGAGGAAAAACGTTTGACCATGATGCTGTTTAGAAGGTACGTTTATTAGGATGGCCCAAAAACAAATTTGGGACAGCGAACACCGTTATGAATGACGAGTTTCACGCAATTATTCATTCCATAGGTTACTCGAGTCTTTATCAAAAATGGTAAAAATTTGCCTTGTTTAAACGTGCATTAATTAATACCTCGGCTAAACGATAATACAACACTCAATAATCAGTGATGTCTATATGTAAATTTCTAACACTAGGAATACGACCCTGACTTATTTGGCAAAGCACTTCCGTGCCTTAGTGCCATTGGCTGTGCACTTCCTCCAGACTATAGCTTGCCGGCTGCACTGGACGAAAATTTGTTGAAAAATTCTACTTCTGAAGGAACTGATGGCCCATATCAACCGGTTCCAATTGAAACTACACAGTAACAACTATTATTCATATCAATTAGCATTTTTATAACTTCGAAGGTTTGAAATTCTCGTGCGTATTGTGTTTGCACAGGGTTCAAATCACATCGGAACTTAATAACTTGATTGCCAAGTTTTCAGAACACGTGAGTCTTTACATTACGCATGCACATTTGTATATTGTGTATTGTTGGAGTTGTTCGTAACGAATGATTTGATTAGTACCACGATGCATGGGCACGGCGGAAATTGGATAATGGGTGGAAATTTGGTGATCAATATTCATGGAATGACAAAATTCATCCAAGGCTCAAGCCGTACAGCAAGCTGTCGGAATATGTACGTGTACCCATTTTCTTATCCAGTCGGACTTTGAAAATTTCTACAGGCTTTTATTTTATCACCCTCAAAGGAAAAGGAACGGTACAAAGAACCCATCCGAGACTCTCTCAAAACGTTGCTTGCTCTAAATTGGACGATTGAGCATGGGGACGCTGACATGTCTTCCGTTCGACCAAATGTACGAAGATCGTCCAAGGGAAGCATGGGAGGGTCTGACTCTTCCACTCCCTTCAACTATACGCCACACCCAGTGGACATGGCCAAGTAAGTAGATGGGTCGATGGTCGAATATAACGTAACGTGCCATAGTATAATATTTAAACTATGAAATGCTAAATGCATTTTTATTTATTTGCAGTTTGACCCTCAGCAGAGAAATGCAAAATACTGCCGAACGGTAAGAAGTGAGACATATGTATGATCAATGTACCAATAATGACGGCAATGATTTATTTTTTCCAAGACTTGCCGAAAATGCACACGATATATGGGCCAAGAAGAAAAAAGAAGAAATTGAGTCGACAGGTAAAAATCAGTAAAAATTAATTTATCATGAAACATTTGATTTAATAACAAACAAGTCCGAATTTATTTTTTAGGTGGATGTCCACACCCTCAACTAGTGCCTTTTGATCTTCTTACTGACAAGGAGAAGAAAAAGGATCGCGAGAGAAACACTGAACTTTTGAAATATATCCAAGTGAGTACTTGTAAAATTCCAGGTTTAGTCAAAAAGTATGAATGGCATGACGAGACGATGTGTTCTTATGTACGAGTTTTTTTTTATTTGCTGTTTTTAATAATTAGTTTCAAGGATACAAGTTGCAAAAGCTCAAAGTTGGTCCTGTCGAGGACGAGACGAGTGGAGCAGCTACCTCCTCACTCGACAGACGATTCGCATACAATTTTCTCGAAAAATTGTTGCACTACTTGGATATTTCTTCAATCAATATGAAATCCTTTGTTCCATCTGCAAATTTTAGTCGACGAAGCAGCTTCAAGGAAACGACCAGAGATGTTAAATTCTTCTCAAAGGTACACCCATGCATACGTATTTCCACTAGTTTTCACATTTCCAGTGTTGCTTATGAACATGAAATGTAACTTTATGTAACAGGTGGTGTTGCCATTGATGGAGAAATATTTCAATAGTAAGTTCCGTAAATGCACAGCAAATTAAGAGAGTGCTGCCGTAATAACATGCGATGCATACTTTCAGCTCATCGGCATTACTTCATCGCTATTGCGTCTCCTGGAAGCACGAGTGGGGCTGCCTCGCTCAAGGAGAAAGAAATGGTGGCAACGTAATGTTGACAATAGCTTATGTACTCCTTTTGATAAAACGGTGTACTTAAAAGAAGTACTCTGTTGTCTTCTTAGCTTGTTTTGTCGTCTGTCATCTCTCCTTCGATACAAATTTAACGCCTTTGGAAGCGATGTCAAGATGACTGTAAGATGCCTTCAAGTGGTGAGTAAAAGGGTCAACGTTATCCAAGGCATTTGTCATCATTAAAATGTATGGAATGAATTTAATGCGACATAATTATGTTTTGTAGTTGGTGAAAGCCTTCGATGCAAAGTATGTAACTACCCAGAAATAAGATTCCCATCCATTCATATGCATTGTGAAAATGACTCCAACCGCTGGAATTGTAATTTGCAGATCCATTACCAAAAGTTGTCCCGAATTCATTCGCACATCTATGCTCACATATTTCAATAACGTGGCAGAAGACTTGGGTCGAGTCATTACCAATTTACAGGACAAAAAATACTCCTACCTCCGAGGATCTCATTTGAAAACATGCACTTCTTTAAATTATGTAAATTCAGTGGTCCTCCCAGTTTTGACCGCAATGTTTGACCATCTTGCTGCGTATGACTATGGCGCAGATTTACTTAGTAAGCCTTTGTTGCCCATTTGCACCCTATAACTAAAAATTTTAAGGCATACTTTGTTCTAGTAATTCGAGCGAATCGAGTATTTAGCATATTTGGGGGGATATTACTCATTTAACACTTTTTTATTCGCAGTTGATGATCTTCAAGTGGCATGTTATAAAATGTTGAACAGCTTGTGTAAGTCCATAACCTATGGAGTATGGCAAACTCTGCAGGGTGTGCAATTTATGACAAGAATTTGCATTTACAGACACGTTGGGAACTGACATGACTCTGGCAAAGAACAGAAAGTACATGAAAATTGAAATTGAACGATATCGACCAACAATTGGATCTTGTCTTGGAGCGTTCGCCTCTACTTTTCCTATCGCCTTCTTAGAACCTTCCCTTAACAAAAATAATCCGCATTCATTGGTCAACAAAATGCAGGATCAATCGTTGCAAGCACAAGGTGATAAAATTGGTCTAGATAAAATTGGTTTTATTTAATTATTAAGTACCCTCGCTAATGAATGACATGACTTGTTTTTAGACGTGATGGCTCGTCTTGGTGGGAGTGTACCAACTTTGGACAAAATGATTCAAGAAGTCGAACATTTTGTAGATTCTGAAAAAACGTATAACGATGTGCCTCATATATTGGATATTACTCTGCCCCTTTTATGTGCATACTTGCCATTCTTTTGGTCTCAAGGTCCAGATAATAACACCACTGCTGCTCCAGAGTTAGTGTTTCATAAGTTTATTTTAAAATTTTACTTGGACTTTGCTGAATAATACATCACAAATGATTTTGCATTTTCACTGAAATAGTTGTCAAATGACCAACGTCACCGTTGAGCATATGAATAAGTTGCTTCGCAGTGTTCTAAAGTTGATTATGACCAACATTGGGAATGAAAATGCTTTATGGATGACCAGAATTGCTGGATTTACCCAACAAATCATCATAAACTCTTCGGAGGCACTGCTTCGAGATCCAATTCTTCCCTTGGCAGAGAAACTGCACAGGAAGACGGAAGCAATGTTCCACAAGGAAGAGTCTGTTCGAGGTTTTCTTAAATCTGGAACCGATGACACATCGCAGGTAATATATCCAATCTTCTGTGCAAAATTCTATGTTGACGCTGCCAAAAGTAATCCCGTTGTTATTTTTTTAGCTTGAAGGTAAAGTGAATAAACTTAATATAAACTTGCATAGGCAGTTAGCAAACCTACGTTTTTAAAATGTCCATACTTCTCCCTGTCTCTTGAGTTGAGTCAACATTTCCGGAGGCAGTATGAAAAATATTCAGAGGACACACAAGAGATTTCAAGATCAGGAAATTTTGACTCAACTCAAGAGAAGGAAGAGTAACGGGCATTTTGAAAACGTAGCTTTTCTAAATGCCTAACATGTATACAAAATAAACTGATAAACATACGCACATATATTTATATACGTATAGGTCTTATCCAAGAAGAATGGCAACTGCTTGTCAGAGATATTTATGCTTTTTACCCGTTGCTTATCAAATATGTTGACTACCAAAGAAATAATTGGCTCAAGAACAACACAATCGAAGCCGAACATTTGTACAACCATGTTGCCGAAATTTTTAATCTGTGGTCAAAATCTCAGTACTTCCGAAGGTATGAAAATGTGTTTAAAATAAACAAATTATTATTATTGAGCGTCTACTAAAATATTTGCATGAAAACATTCACAACTCAATTACAGAGAGGAAACCAACTTTATTTCTGCAAACGATATTGATAACATGACTCTCATCATGCCATCCTCCACTCGACGAAACGTAGTTACCGATATGTCCAACGTACAAACTGGTGGTAAGATCAAGAAGAAAAAGAAGCAACGGGACAAAAAGAAGGACAAGGACAAAGAACTTGCCTCTTCCCTGATGGTTGCTTGTCTAAAGAGACTACTGCCTGTGGGGTTGAATCTATTTGCTGGTCGAGAACAAGAGCTTGTTCAGCACTGTAAAGATAGATTCCTAAAGGTATGCGCAAATAATTCATAAATAGGTGCCAACATTTTATGAAGAGTCGATTAGTCAAATGTTTATGTGTATTTGTGAAAAAATCTGGGTTGATTTACTGACCAATATATTTACGCATATTTTAAAATAGAAACTCTTGGAACCCGAAATCTTGGATTTTGCAAGGACCCAACTGACCCTACCTGACGCCCTCGACCCCTCTGACGCAATGTCTTGGCAGCACCATTTGTATTCTAAACTAGGAACGAAAAAACTACCCACGGATGAAAACGATCTGAGCAACAAGGGAGCTCAAATTAAAGACAAGCAACAACAGTTGGACGAATTGGTAGATCGCATCGTTGCAATGGCAAAAGTCCTGTTCGGACTGCACATGGTATTTTATGATATATTTTATCGGACTTATTTCACCTAGTATTAGCGTCATTATCAATTTACACATAACATCGTTATACGTAGATCTTCTAATTTTGATAGATAGAGACTCGTGGCTTTGTTACCAAATATTTTATGTCAACCTCTTGTTTCTTGTTACAACCCTATTTTAATTTGTCAACCTCCTCATTAGATTGACCACCCCCAGCAGTCCTTGAAGGATGTTTATCGATCCGTAGTCACGGTCGGTCGGAAAAAGGCTGTTATTGCCTGTTTCCGTCAAACTGCAATACATTTCCTACCCAGGTATTTTATTATCACACGCATTTTCAGTTGATCACACTACACTATTTACTACTTTATTATTGTTTTGTGGTGTCTAAATAACCTGTAACCTTACCATCTATTATTTTTGTTTGGTTAGACACTCACAAATATAGTAGCACAGCTTCAGCTTAGGATTAGCTCTATGAAAATGGGATGAAATACATCCGTATGGGCTTGTGTGAATAACTTTGTGTTTGTCGTGCTTAAATGATAACATGTAGGCTTCGTTACCTCCAAAACCTCGGAGTGGATGGAGCAGAGTATTGTCGGCGGCTCGGAAGAAGGCTGCCCTCGCCTGCCTTCTCAGCGTCCCATTATTCACCCTGAAAAGGTATTGATTGATTCAAGTTCCGAATTTATTACGAAAGCGAAGAATGTGGAAAGCATACGAGGAAGCTATTATAAACATTTAGTACCTATTAATTACTGGGTGAAAGTAAAATAATATTAACGATCTGAACATTTTTTTAACCAGGCTGTATATTTAATAATAATGATTTTCTGATTGGAAATGACGTTTATGCACTTATTAATCATAATTATACTTTCAGACATCGTGCTATCAATCTATTTCTGCGAACGGTAAGTAAATTTAAAAGCTTTATATATTCGGTTAAAGTCACATATTCATATTTTCCTTAGATTTAATTATGTAGCTAAAAAATATAATTCGGTGGCTACTTTATGCAAACATTCTGTCCGTCTCTTTGTTAGCTCGTTTTCACTTTTGACTAAAGTTCTGTGTGCCGAGCATCAAGGTCAGCATATATTTAATGGCAATGGCGTTTTAATTTTTTAGTACCGAGAAATGTGGCTGTCGGATGAAAATGCTGGGCAGGAGATAATGATAGAACACCTTACTGTAAGTTATACATAAACTCAACGGTTTTCCTTGCATTGCATGCATACACCTTCATTGATAAAATGCATTTAGATCTGTGCTAAGTTTTCTTTGATCGTTAGCAAACATTCGAAGAGGCCGAGTTAAAAAAGACTGAGGGCGAAGAAGAGGAAGGAAAACCTAACCCCCTTACGCAACTTGTAACGACTTTTACGAGAGGTAAGCCAACGACAACCATGATTATGACAAAAAATTGACGAAAAACTCTAACGTCAGTCTTAAACTTATACTAGAACTAATTTTTAATCTCCTATTATTCTTATTTCTTAGGGGCCATGAGCGAAAGGAGTGGAGCTTTGGAGGACGATGGTAAGTCATATTAATAGCAGAAGTATCTACATTATAAGCTGGAAATGTCTGTTGGCAACGGAAGTGAAAGTAAATGTTCTGTAACGGAAGTGAAAGTAAAGAAAGTCAAGTTTCAAATGGCGCGAAAATTCAAAATAAATTAAGCTTAAAACAATAAATGTCAGAACGTATAGTACTCTTTGTGGGCTTATTTATGTAGGGGTGGTGGTTATCGAAGGGTAGGTGGTTATCTGGGGGTGGTGGTTATCTGAAGGTGGGTGGTTATCTGGGGGTGGGTGGTTATCTAGGGATGGTGGTTATCTAGGGATAGTGGTTATCTGAGGGGGGTGGTTATCCGAGGGGGGTGGTTATCTGAGGGGGGTGGTTATCTGATGGTGTTAGGGCCAAGGTGTCAAATTCCACTATCATTGGTGGTACAAGACTTCAGGTGGCCAGGCGGGCCGCCCGGGCCGGGCCGAGCCACCGGGATCAAATCCCATAACGTCTGAGCATTGGTGGTCTGGGTGGGCGGGTCGCCCTCAGCCGCGACGAGCCACGGGACTAAACCCCATTACGGATGTGCATTGGAGGTCTTGGTGGGCGAGTCGCCCTCAGCCACGACGAGCCACGGGACTAAACCCCATTACGGATGTGCATTGGAGGTCTTGGTGGGCGAGTCGCCCTCAGCCGCGACGAGCCACGGGACTAAACCCCATTACGGATGTGCATTGGAGGTCTTGGTGGGCGAGTCGCCCTCAGCCACGACGAGCCACGGGACTAAACCCCATTACGGATGTGCATTGGTGGTCTTGGTGGGCGAGTCGCCCTCAGCCGCGACGAGCCACGGGACGAAACCCCATGACGTCTGAGCATTGGTGGTATAAGATTTCAGGTGGCCAGGCATAATAATATGTATTACTGGTATAATCTTATAAGGCTCATTGCCAATAGAGTTAATACAATTTTTCTATTCTCATGTGTTGGCTGGAATCAATTAAATTTTGTATTAAATTTGTAAAGTTTGAAATTGTTCGCCATGAATTTGTACTCTTCTCAATAAATACAGTTAACGCTACAATATGGTGTTTTGATTTGAGGTAAATAATTATCGTTGGGTTATGCGATACGATTATGCATGGTAATTTACATCCGCCACGAAGCTCTATATTAATTAGGGTTGTTATCTTTATTTACTTTTTTTGCCGTTGCCGACAATAATTCACGCTGATAGTGTAGCTTTTATGGCCCGGCGAAGACGGGCTTATTTGCTAGTGCATTATGTGTGTAGATTTGTTATTTTGACTAATTGTATCCAGATCTCTACATGTCTTATGCGGAGGTCATGGCAAAATCTTGTGGGGAGGAGGAGGAGGAGGGTGAAGAAGAGGAAGGTGGTGATGGCGAAGAGAGTGGTCCTTCGATCCATGTAAGAAAACATCAAAATCTGAAATTTTGACACTAACAAAGCAAAAATGTACTAACTGGTGTGACTAATCTAACTACGTGAGTAAATTATCTACATTTTAACGCAAGCATCGTGAAGGGACAATGGAAAAACTAATGGTATACAATTTTATGATAATAACTATCTAGTATGTTTGCGTGTGTGCACAATAAAATGTGGTTTGATTTGATCCACTCTTATAAATACTTTGTCGTCTAATTCTGATTGAGTTCCAGGGGTATTGCGTAACAATTCAGCTAATGTTTCTGAATGATTTTTCAGGAGCAAGAAATGGAGAAGCAAAAGTTGTTGTTCCATCAAGCACGACTGGCAAGTCGAGGCGTCGCAGAAATGGTCTTGCTTGTAAGTTCATAACCGGTCTCGGTCTCAAGATATACGCCAACTTAATGTGAAAGAAAATATCTAGGTCAAGCAGTATCGTTAATAAACATGCGACACGAAAATTAGTCTCATCACTTGGTTTTGAATTACTACTAATGTATTTTTTCAGCATATTTCCGCATGCAAAGGCGTTCAATCCGACATGGTTATGAAGACGTTGGAGCTGGGCATATCCATTCTCAGGGGCGGAAATGTAGATGTTCAAATGGTGCGCTGTTCATGTCAAGATTCATGATTTTTTGTAGCTAATAGTCGAACGCTGTTAATTGACGGGTCAATAAAATTATTTGATTGTATAGCAAATGCTCAACCATTTGAAAGAGAAGAAGGAAGTCGGATTCTTCACTTCCATCGCTGGACTTATGAACTCTTGCAGCGTTCTCGATCTGGATGCTTTTGAACGGTAATTTATTACGTAGAAAAAAATAGACGAATTAATTTTCCTTCAATAAAATACAATTAAAAAGTATTCAAATATAACTACCATGTTTGATAGAAATACAAAAGCGGAAGGCCTTGGGGTTGGGTCTGAAGGGGCGGCAGGGGAAAAGAACATGCATGATGCGGTGAGAAACTTATCTAATTCGTTAATCACACGACAAAATTATTAGTGTAACGGTAAATTAATATTAACAATATTACGATTATTATTATTAGGAGTTCACTTGTGCATTATTCCGATTTATCCAACTTACTTGTGAAGGCCACAATCTCGGTAATTAAAGCACAAACTTGTTAATATTAAATGACTCCGGAATAGGAGTCATTCTAGATTCTAGATTCCTCAGGGTTAAAGTAGAATGTAGTACAAAAAGTTATAGTATCAACGACACTACTTAATAAGGTCAATAATTTTAATTGCTATTTAGACTGGCAAAATTACCTCCGCACACAGGCAGGGAATACTACCACGGTGAGGCTTGATAATTTTACTACATTTTACTTAATTAAATACAGGCCATAATATTGATTCATGCTATTGGAGTTTCTATAAGGGGGCATTGATTTACGTACGCATGTATTTTATTTACAGGTCAACGTTGTTATTTGCACTGTCGACTATTTGCTCAGGCTGCAAGAGTCAATCATGGACTTTTACTGGCATTATTCCAGCAAAGAGATAATTGACCCAGCGGGGAAGGTCAACTTCTTCAAAGCCATTGGTGTCGCTTCTCAAGTTTTTAACACGCTCACTGAAGTGATTCAAGGCCCATGGTAAATCTATCTCTTTTTCTAACATTTAGACCGTTTCACAACCAGTGATCGGCATATTATCGACCATCAACCATGCCCATTTTTTCAATCAATTAGTCGCAAAATCGACCGATTGTCGGGCGACCGTGCCGATCACTTTAAAATACGTCTTCTGTTGCATGTATTTTCAGTACTCAGAATCAACAGGCTCTAGCACATTCCCGACTGTGGGTAAGTAATTTAATTGTGATTTACACATCATTTAGAGTACTTGAAAAAATCAAGAATCAGAGTTTGAACAATTCTAATTCATTATTTATATTTAAGATCATAAATAATAATATTTTTGCCTGTTAACATATGTAGGACGCCATCGGAGGTTTCCTTTTCCTTTTTGCAAATATGCAAGCCAAACTTTCTAAAAATGCCAGGTGAGCTTAAACAAAAGGCAACCAGAAATTAATGAATGCTATAAAAAATTTCGTGTATGATTTTCACAGTCAAGTTGATCTCCTCAAAGAACTGCTGAATCTCCAAAAGGACATGGTGATCATGATGCTATCCATGCTCGAAGGTATGAGTTTCAGATTATCTTATGAGATTCAGATCTTACTTGCGTACAAATTACATGCGTACTATGGAACTAAAATACATTTTTTAATAACAGGAAATGTCGTAAATGGTACTATCGGGAAACAAATGGTGGACACGCTTGTAGAGTCTGCATCAAATGTTGAGGTGAGATATTTTTGTTTAATCAGCATTATGTACTCATAATAAGATAATGACTTTTAGAATAAGTGATACTTGTCATAATCTCGATCAATCGGTTTTGGACAATTAATAATTTTGCACAATATATTCTCCAATTTTTCTGACAGATTATTCTTAGGTATTTTAACACATTTCTAAAACTACAAAACTTGACGTCATCTTTCACTTTCTCGGTTAGTTAAGAGGATTCATAATGTTGTGAATGACTATCGTGCCTTGAATGTCGCAATCAAAGTACAACGTTGTTATTCTCAAGCCGATTAGTTTTCACGTTGAAAAATAAATTCATCTTTGCTTCAAGTTTATTTAAATTTTACTTTTACGCTTAAATTTGCTTGTGCTTTTTAACTTATTTATTTCATATTTTTTTTTAGATAATTCTTCGTTATTTCGATATGTTCTTAAAGTTAAAGGACCTCACTTCCTCTGCATCCTTCCAGGTATAAAGCTTGTGTGCATATTCATAGGTTTTATTTTTTGCTTGTGTAGTTGTGTGGATTTTGGTGTGCTATTACTGCTATTGCAAGTGAAGTGAAAATTAACTTGTTCGTCAACACCACTTTTAAGTGGTGTTGACGAAAATTAATGTCTGATAACATGCATACTTCCATAGGAAATGGATATCAACAAGGATGGATGGATTACCCCACGAGAATTCAGAGAAAAAATGGAACAGGGCAAAAATTACACGACGTATGTTATAGTATACAATATTAGCTTTCCATTTTTTTAAACACGTATTGCAAGAAATAATCTTGTGCTTGTTCACACTTTCAGAGAGGAAATCAACTTTCTGCTCATGTGTTGTGATACGAATCATGATGGAAAAATTGACTACATCGAATTCACAGAACGATTCCACAATCCAGCCAAAGAAATTGGTTTCAACTTGGCCGTCCTTCTCACCAATCTGTCTGAGCATATGCCTAATGAGCCGAGGTTATTGTTCTTGGCAGTTATTTTTTCATGACAAGCTTTTACTTGTGATGAAACTATATTTGAACTATTTTTCCACAGATTGGCTCGATTCCTGGAGACTGCAGGAAGTGTTCTGAATTATTTTGACGCTTTCCTCGGGCGGATTGAGATCATGGGGAGCTCCCATCGAATAGAACGTGTTTACTTTGAGATTTTAGAAGACAACATTGAACAATGGGAAAAACCTCAAATTAAGGTTCGAACATGCACCTGGATAATAAAAAGACTTCCAGTAAATGTTCTTATGCAACTTTGGTATTACTTGTACACACATATTTCAGGAATCCAAACGTGCCTTCTTCTATTCCATTGTGACTGAAGGCGGTGATAAGGAAAAGTTGGAATCCTTCGTCAACTTTTGTGAAGATGCAATTTTTGAAATGCAACATGCCACGGCTCTCATGTCCACTGAAGAGGTCAGTATTATCAACCAGATATATGTTGTTGAATACTAAAATGATCCTATTACTTGCACTAGGTCCACAAGTGTGTGATTTCAATTATTTTTTATTATTGCAGGAAGGACATGGTGGGAAAGCAAGGGCACCAGCGTTTGTGCTCCCAGCGGACGAGGATGAGGAAAAGTTAGTTGCTTTTATAATTTTGCAAAGTTATGTCTCATCATTAAGTCTACATATTTACACGAGTACACACAAAGTTGTTTAAATCTCCCTAAAGTTGGCACTTTCTGATTTTTTCAAAGTTTGGTTTGTACATGAGTGAAAAAGTAGATGGATTTATGATATTTGTTAGTTGATCTAAATTTAGTTTAGTTGGCAAGTTTTAGACATTTTGTAGAAATTTGTTGACGCTGATGATGATACAAGGCTATATATGTAATGATAACGTTATTCTTGATTTTGTGGTAGAAAATTAACATGGACAGAAAGGTGAGAGAGAGACCATGTCAACGTCGTCCGCTACCCTTTGCAGTTTGATTTATTTCTTATGCTTTCTTTTGCTTCCTTTTGTTTTTGCTTTATTTTTCAACGCCATTGAAATTTTGGACGACAACAGCCATCAAAACATCTACACCAGTCAACAACAATGATACTTTTAGAACAAAAGCTTTATTTTCTCAATGCAATTCATGTATAAAATATGTATATAGTTGTAAATTTGATGAATTTTCAACAGAGGCACCCTCGTAAAGCAAGCTTACACAGGTCTAAAAAACTGCGTCAAAGCTTTCTTCTCAACCATCAGCCCCAACAACATAAAAAGGAAAGTTCGAGAGGTTCAGCAAATGACTCCTGTCGAAATGGTTCTTGGCTTCTTCAAATTCATATTTTACATCTTTTACGCAACTGGAGGCAGTTTTGAAAGTGTTTTCAAATATCTCTTCAAAGCGCTGATCAATTTGATGCGAGGTCCACCACCAGAAAAGAAAGAGGAAGAGAAACCGCCGGATGATTTTTCTGCGCCACTAAAAACTCCAGCACTTCCAGCCTCCGCAGGTCCAGACGAAGACGGGATGGGCGGAATGTTGGCAATCTTGGGAACTGATGCGGAAGAGACGAAGGGAGGCGAAGGGTGTGCAATTATTTATCATAGTATTATATGCACTAATGTTTCCCAAATGCTTATGCCTAATAGTATGATCGTCCATTAACATTATCAGGAAAGAGGGTGGCGCTTCTGGTGGTGGGGGTGAATTAATTCCATTAGATTCGAGTGGGGATGAAAGTAAGGCGTTGGTGGTTGCCAGAGGAATGTCACAGGGGCCGAATGATCACCCAATCACACCGGAAGCCCCATCAACCCCGTCTTCTCCTCTCGATGTCGTGGAGACCCACGAAGAAACTTCCGTCGTGTCGCAGGTATGATCCATAAGAAAACCTCTGGTTGAACTGGTGTACCCTGGATGGGATTACCCACCCACTTCATTGTGTGTATGTACATAGATGCAAATAATTATGTCTTAACTTTCTTAACTAATGCTGCTCATGCGGATTTCCTACACCATTTACCCAATTACCTACATAAATACTAAAATGCAGGAGAATTCTATTCCTCCCCCTCCAGAACGACCTTATCGAACCCCGATGTATTACAAGAAAAAGCGTACCCCAAAGAAATTTGGGTTCTTTAACGTTGTAAACTAAACTAATCTACTAATTGCTATTATTGATAATAAATTGTATCTGGGAATAATTGTTAACGATTTTCTAAATAGATTGACTTTTCTGGTTACATCAACGGAATCGTTTCGTTTCTCGCGAGGAACTTTTACACCATGAAGTACATTGCGTTGATTCTTGCCTTCTTAATCAACTTTACTCTTCTCTTTTATAAGGTAAACATGAGTTGGCAAACAAGATGGAGAAAGTTTAAAACTTGTGCATTTATGTAGGCCACAGCAATAGCCGACGATATGGACGATGACGGCGATGGTGACGACGGGTCTGGTTTGGAGGGGAGTGCAGATTTAGCGGACATAATTTCTGGCAGCGGTGATAACGCTACATCCGAGGAAGCGGAGGACGAGGAAGAGGAAGACGATATACCAGAATTGGTGCATATGGATGAAAAATATAACAATTATTATCTTCCACACATCCTCCGATTGATGTCTGTCGTTCACTCCATTGTTTCCCTTGCTATGCTATTTGCATATTACCATCTCAAAGTGAGTCATCCTCCACAAGTTTATTTGTTCAAGAAATATAAATGCACATATACAATTGCAACAAACTCATATTTTCGCAAATTTTTGCTAATAGGTGCCTTTGGCCATTTTCAAACGAGAAAAAGAAATTGCGAGACGACTGGAATTTGATGGCTTGTACATTGCAGATTCCGAAGAAGAAAATGACATGAGGGCCAATTGGGATAAATTGGTTATTTCAGCAAAGTAATTAATTTTCATACTTTGATAACCATTATCATAAAATGTTTAGTGTCAGCAGGTTGTGAATTGTTTACACAATTATGCATGCACATATATAATTAATTACACGTTAATGTGCAGATCTTTCCCAGTAAATTATTGGGATAAGTTTGTGAAGAAGAAGGTGCGACAAAAATATAGCGAGACGTACGACTTTGATTCAATCAGTATATTGCTGGGAATGGAGAAAACCTCTTTCACAGTGGAGGATAGCAACGACGGCGGTTTAATGGCTTAGTAAGTTTGTCAAAATTAGCTCAAAAATAATATGTAATGCACACATGCAAGTGTCGTCATCATGAAATCATGTCCGTCTGTGGCTAATTTGTGTAGCCTTCAAGGGGTCGACTGGCGTTATCAGTTGTGGAAAGCTGGCGTGACAATCACAGATAATGTAAAATACGCAAATGCACTAAAAAATAGAAATTCCAAGTTAATTCTTTGTGAATTCTTTCTATAAGGCCTTCCTGTACAGCTTGTGGTACTTTTGTTTCTCTATTCTTGGAAATTTTAATTTCTTCTTCTTTGCGGCTCATTTACTTGGTAAAATTCACAGTTATTTTAATTACAAATTATGCATACAAATTTTTACAAGTTCGTTTGTATTGTAGATATCGCCGTGGGTAAGTGCTACATTGTACCGCAGTAGTGTTTAGAACATGCAATTTAATGGCTACTTCAGTCAGTCAGTTTTTGTCATACTAAAAATTTAGCATTATAATAAAATGAGTGTATCTGCAGCGGTTCCTGCTTTGAAAACAATCTTGCAGTCTGTCACTCACAATGGAAAGCAGGTTTGATTTTATTCGGCTTTATTTTCCACATATTCATTACATTTGTCTAATTATTAAATATTTAAATGTATAGTTAATTTTGACTGTAATGCTGCTCACGGTATGCCAAATATATTTGAATAAGCTAATTATCATGTATATTGTCCAACTTTACAAACTTTGGTTAACGCATGTATATCTAGATCATTGTATACATTTATACTGTTGTGGCATTTAATTTCTTCCGAAAATTCTACGTCACTGAAGAAGACGATGAAGTTGACAGGAAATGTCATGACATGGCCACCGTAAGATTTTGTAAAACTTTGCAACCTACTAGATTTCTTGAGCCAACTATGTATGAGACATTTTTGATATCTGCAGTGTTTCGTATTTCACTTGTATCAAGGAGTGCGATCTGGTGGTGGCATTGGTGATGTTATTGAGGTATAAGAACTTGAATTGTCTGAATTGAATTATATATTTTGGCTTTCAATAATAAATACGAGTACCTTTCTTCCGTAGCCCCCGGATGGTGACAGCTATGAAGTGTACCGAATCATATTTGACATCACTTTCTTCTTCTTTGTCATCGTTATCTTGCTCGCTATTATTCAGGGTTCGTCCAGTTTGCATGCGTTTGTAAATTATACATATAAACATGATGCAACAGATTTAAGGAACGTTGAGCCCTTATGAAACTTGCAAAATTCTGATTCTTCGTCTCTAGTCTTGTTATTGGACGACGGAGTGAAGAAATATTTTAAATCCCAATTGTCATGATTTTCAGGTTTGATTATTGATGCTTTTGGCGAGCTCAGAGATCAGTTGAACAGTGTCTCGGAAACCCTAGAGTCAGAGTGCTTCATCTGCGGTATAGGCAAGGACTACTTCGACGTTGTGCCTCATGGTTTCGACACTGTAAGAGTTATAAGATTCATGCAATTCATAAAATTTACAAGTCAGACACGTTTAAATAAGAGTCTTATTCAGTCCGACCCGAACGTTCACTCATTATATTCAAATCTTTAAATGACATTCAGTTAGTAAACTCTATCACTCGCTTGTTAAAAAAATCATCGTCAGCAGTATTCGCAAAGTGCATTAAAGTTGTCTGCATTAAAGGTAATAATTTAACCAAAAATGCGATGGTGAAATTTTAAGATTATGCAGTCCGAGTCAGTACAACCAACATTTCTTGAGGCAGTTAGTGTGATCGTTGGAATTAGTCAAAATATTTTAGGTCAAAGTTGAAAAATGGGCGATTTTTTCCTGCGAAGGGAATGGGAGTGGAGGTTTGCTTCCTACACTATGTAAGAAATGATTGCAAAAAATTTGTAATGCCCAGGGTGGGACAAAATGGAGACTTTTAAGTTTAACGTTATAGAGTTAAATTATGCTCTATAAATTATTTGATTATTGAGCATTTATAGGGCTGTTTGAGTTAATGACAGTTTATCATTTCATGCTGACAATTGTATTGTTTTGTTTTAGCACGTTTTGAAGGAACACAACTTGGCAAACTACATGTAAGCTTGACATAGTCAATTATTCTCTAACCGTGTTGGATTTAGTTTGCCCAGATATGTAAATATTGTTGTGTCTAGGTTTTTCTTGATGCACTTGATCAATAAACCTGATACAGAGTATACTGGACAAGAAACTTATGTATGGAACCAGTACCAACAAAGGTCATGGGACTTTTTCCCAGTCGGTGACTGCTTCCGTAAGCAGTATGAGGCCGAGTTAACAGGAAAAAGTAGCGAGTAACCTAAAACTACAAGGATGATCCCAGTGATCCGACAATACAACTCCTCTTCAACGAATTAACGAATCTTAGGACGAGTTGAATTGCTGAAGCTCTATAAATACAAATGTGGCTTCGAACCGTTAAATTTCCTTATTAATTGTGTGTGCTTTATACCTGAACCTTTAACTTTTTGGAACGTTGTGATAAAAGGTACTACAAAACTTGTAATTGAATAACTGCCCAGACAGCAATAATAAATGTCGCAAATGTTCGGTCTAAAGTACAGACGTACGTATTATGTTACTTGCTAGAGTTCTAAGTATAAATTACCTTGTATCAATTAGGCATATCTGTACATATGTACATTGTGTGTGTTCTAAAATAGTTACATATTTGTGTGGGTGAGGTAGAATATTTAGTGGGTGTGCAATTTGTTTCCGGATAGAATAGAAATAAAATTAATATGAGCAAGCAAACTACAGTTTTATTGTCTTTATTAAGCTTCGGGCTTAGCAATATTATGCCCATGGTTTTCTGGGACAAGTTTATTCCAAAAGCACTCTTGATTTGCTTTCCATGCTGATTGTTGGGACTCATTTTCATCCGTTTTCCCATCAGCATAAACTTCTTTCTTCCAAATTGGCACGGCTGCCTTCTGTGGGGTGCAGAAAATGGATTACTCATCAACTGTTCAAAATACCTCAATTGAAAAAAAAACTTGCCAATGCGTCAATAGCGAGATGAACTGCTTCCAGAGATTCTTTCCTGTGTTCGGATGATATAGCTACAACAATACTTGCTTCCTTTACAGGTACGAGGCCTAGTCTGGAATGGAATAGGTCATACATGGCATGTAGATCTTGGAAAGTCTTATTATTATTATGTATGTATGTATATGAAATGATGTATACCTGTGAATCACTCCAATGTTCTCCAGTTTCCATTTCTCCCTAAGCTGCACGCAAATTTTCTTGATTTCAGCGATAGCCATGGGTTCATAAGCTTCGTATTCTAAGCGCACAACCTGCATATTATATTTTTTTAATACACCGAATAACATCTCGTTCTTTGAGTGATTTCTTAACCATTTGAAATAATGAGATTAGTTTTATAGCAGAGAAGCAGCTAGTTAGTTAATGAGTGAGTACCGTCTTATTTTCAAAATTATCTCGCGTCGTTCCAATGAAGGTTGAAACGGCTCCACATTTTGGTGAAGCTATTTCGGCAATTAGAGCATTAATGTCAATTACTTCAGTCGTCAATCTTATAATATCCATTTTCACCCCGTCCTTAGGCGTTATCCTGAAATTGGTGTATACATAAGTATGACCATTATCAACTTCGTAAATATTTTGTAGGTTTAGATGGGATATGATTTTCTCCATCATCAATTACCGGCACTTATGGGTGGTATCACGGCAATTTCGTCTATACTTTTGAACACAAATTCTTCCTCAGACTCCGAGTCTAAATATGTTTGATTGACAGCTAGAATTATGCACTGCTGCAATGGTTTCAAAGTGGGAAAACTGGCAAGAATTGACTCCAAAATCTCTCTAGGTTTATACGCTTTCGACGCACTGAAAGAAATTGTGGCTTCACTCGTTTTTGTTTGCTCCTTTGCCTGGGCAAAAAAGAGGATTCGTACAAGAACTACAGCAGAATTTTCAGTAGAAATGTCTTCCATAATAATCAGTAATGTAACAAAGTGGATGCTTGTCCATTTATTGAAAAGTGCTCAATGTATATTTGTTCAATTACAAAAATAAAAGACGACTTAGGAGGCCAAAGCTGATACTGGAAGAGAGCACAACTAAGGAATGGTCAACTTTCCTAAACTCTTATCTCTCAAACACACGTTTTTGTACATATTACGCAATCCTGCCCATCATGATAGAAGAAAACACGTTGATATTGGTCAACTCGACTACTTTACCCTTTAACAACACTATTACTAAACATTCGTTATACTCTCCGACCCAACTCGGGACACTCTATCTGCATAAGTAAATATAATGAACATAAATGAAAGAGCACCTCGAGTAGTGATAGTTAATGGGTTGCATTGCAATGCCATCACCATTAGAAAGTTGACTAGCAAAGCCAACAATAATTGCATAGCATAATATATAAAAAAAACTCATGAGACGAGTTTTTGTTATCCAGAGTGCATCACGAGGTAAACTGGCCTTGTGTGTCACCGTATACAATTGTATAGTTAAACAAATACAGTAAATACGTCGGCTATGCAAAATACGTTTTGCATATTTCAGTGAGCATGCTACAAGAAAATATAATTTATACTCAACAATACTAGTATTACAAAAAAGTCAAGGTTATTATAATACAATTTTCTACTGTAAAATTAAACAATGAGAATCATGCTCGTCAGTCTTATGGCTAATAACCCTCATGACAAAGTTCTGCACCAGTACAGTACGTATTACCCGTTTAAAAATTAAACCTAAATCTGACTAATAATATGTACTAATATTGTCATGCCCTATTTTCAACAAAAATATCACATATTATGTTAGTATTGCTTTGAAAGTTATGACTCCTGGTTGTATCTTTTAGAAAAAAATAGACTAATGAATAAATTAAATAATTTAATCTAAACCAATTTTTTTAAATTCTAAAACTACGTTAAATGTGGCATTGTCATTATCACATATTCTTCAAGCCTGAGGAAGTTGGTGTCTCAGCTCCGTCCTGTTTTGTCGATTTCTGAGCTCCAATGTAAAGCGTAGTTTTTGGTGGTGTTACTGATGGGCGTTGTCGAATCATGTAATTGATGAAAGACACCAAATTACATGTGTGTACACGAGTTTGGGAAAAATAATTGATTCGAGGATCATCTGCATCCAATTTTGTTACAGTGACATTTGTTTCGCTATCCCAGGTCCACAACACTCGGTTCCCCATTGTGTGACTGAAAGGAGATAAGCTGTGTGTTACCATTTCAGTCTTAAATGCAATCCATACCAAATCACCAAATATCAACTTAAAATTCTTACAAGAACCCAGATATGGCATCTCCAGGGATGTGATCATTTGAAACTCCAGATACTGTGTTGAAAAAAAACTTTTTATGGCTTTGAAAATTCAAAGCCATTTGCCACGGATCTAGAATATTTGCAATCCATAAATACTTCGTTAGAACTTATTTTTTAAATGCAAATTACCTTTAGTAATTTTTAAGAACAATAGTCCACTGGGAATTATAAACGGAGAGTCAGGATTCGTCATGTCGAGGGGGCACACAACTCTGGCTCCATTGCCGGCACCTTTCACGAGCCGATATTGCAGTCTAGACATTCATGAGTCATTTATAAACGGATACAAATCAGAATAATGAATACTTTTCAAATTGTAAATCATACTTTTGAATGAACATTGCCAAATGTTCCATGCGAATTAAAGCTTTTGCCCGAATTTGTAACGTTCCAGGCATTGTGTGAGCTTCTGCAAATTTCACGCTCATTTCTTGCCTAATAAGAAACCAAATACGAAAAGAAACTAATTATTGTAAGGAAACAGAAAGGCAAAAAAACACTCTAATGTTCCATACCTTTGTGTACAATGCACATTCCGTAAATCCATACCCCCTAACATTAATGCATCAATAATGTGAAAGACTGGGATTACGGTCTGCTCTGCGCCAGAGTTTCCATATATTTCATTTCCAAACTCCCCATACACAAGAGTGTTGGACGGCATCAGAAGCTTCTGGGCGAATTGTGGAACAGAAACCCATTGCGACTCATGGTATCTATATAGTGAACCTTGTCCAAGTGCTGGAATAATAATTATATTTAGCTAATCATAATTATGTATGTATATCAAGTATTTAATTAAATGGTTAACCATTTAATCAATGATAAAATCAAACTGTCTCGAGTCAAAGAAAACTTACACAAGTAAAATCCTCGATTCGATACTTTCTTAAATCCCGTCGTCGGCACAAAACGCCAATCATATGCCGACTTGAATAACAATTCGATATTTTCAGGCGCTAGATCTTTTTCTGGACGTCTTAGCATGGCTAAATTGAACAAAAACGAGAGAAAACAAGGCAAAAATTAATTTGTAATCAAGAATGAAGAATGCACTAATGAATATTTAATTCCTCACTCAATGGTAGTTCCTGCATAACCGCTTTGCAACCGTTGTCCGGCGTCTTAAACATTGCTGGTGCAGGAAGTTCTTTAGGAATACCCCAATGTTTTATTGCCTTTATCCTCGCTTCCTCCTGCATTTCATTATTGTTCAGGGTCCTGTCTTTCACAAAAGCAACCATTCGTTTAAGGGTCACAATTTGACTACGCGCAATCCTGAAATTAAACAAGCAGTAAAATATAGTCACACAAAATTAAAACAAATATTGAATGTATGTCTAACCTGTTGTTACAATCCCGAAGATAAATATAAAATGGATCTAAAACACTTGCAAGGAGTGTGACAGGAACAAGTTCCAAAATAGCCTCCTTATTGCCACCATTCATGTACATCCACATTTTCTGGTGACAGTCCCCAAGATAGCTAGTGATGTGTGATGTTACCTTCTCCGATTTTTTCCATTTACAAATCAAATACCGTTCCGAATTTGCAGGGCGACTTGCCAGTGGTTTATGAATGGTCACAGACTCGAAACAGTAATACATTAAGTATATAAGAGCCGCAGTGAAAGGTGTGACTACGTCAAAAAGTTTGCATACTGCGTGTCCGCCGACTCGGACAATCGCGAGTGCAACATAAATTTGTGATAAAATGATTTGATGACACAGTACTTCTTGCATATTCTCTCTCTGTGTCACCGAGAAGCCCTATGAATTTGAGACCAATAGTTATTATTGTTCCTTTTGAAAGCTGTATTGTAATTAATTATTTTCATGTATTCATCAACTTACTCCGTCTGCCATCATGAGGTGAACCCCTTTTTTCCCGGTGTTAGCGATTACATGCTGGATAAAACTCGAGACGTTAACAGGATTGTAAATATTGCCGTCATTGGCTTCCCCATAAAATGTTTGAAATGTCTCGGTTTCAACGAGGAAATTTGTAATATCAAAGTCTACTTCTCCTTTCAAAGTCAACCCAAATCCTTTTGCCTCCCATTTCTTTTTCCATAAAATGTATCTGAAATGGAGAAATTTGATTCAGTAAAGTAAAATAATAGAAAGGTTTATGAGGTTTAGCCTTTACTCTGTAAATCCTCCAGGACCACCACATACATCAGCAAAGTAAAATAAGTCACGCATGCTTAAAACCCGATGTCCAGCTCTAGTCACTGGCTGGGTGAGTTCGTGATTGAGAACAACATCAAGGTTCGCAATCTTCATTGCTGCTCGACACAAGAAGGGTCCTTTGTTCAATTTTTCGAATAAATTACCTTTGCTCCTCACAATCTGATAATCATTTTTGCTCAAGTTTTGAAATAGTTTCTACATAAATAAACAAACTTGTACATAATTGGGATTAATCAATTCATATTTAATTAATGGCGGTGGATTATGACATTTACCTTGCATTCTATTAATTCATCATACAAGTGAGGATCAATGAAGGCGTTGTCAGGGTCAATTTCAATAGAGGTTACTTGTGTTCCAACTTTTCTCCCTTTTACCAACATGTCAAAAGTCAACGTGGGTTTGTCATCAGAAATAATCCATTTGATGCTTTCCTTTACCGACACATCCTAAGTACGACACAATGGTGAGCACAGGTAAAGTAATCAACTCAAACATAAACTCTTCTTACGTCCACGCTTTGGAGCTCCATATCAGCTAGACAGATTCCAAGCACGTTTACTTTATCGTCAAATTCTTCGATCGAAAATTTGGGACCAGTCAACGTATCAACTTCGGCTAAATAATTGGCTAGACCCTTCCCTTTCCCAAATCCCATAAAATTCTGTCCACAGTAATGTACAAATAAATACGTATTAAATTTAAGACACATTGCACATACATTTAAGATAATCATTAAACTCACTGAAATTTCCCTGGCAGACAAGTGCTCATGCGGATGAGGTATTACACCATTCCCATTTGCATTGTAGTCAGTATTAGTACCATTTCTTCCTCGTTCAGGTCGCGATGGTACTACTACCGGACATGGGTTGTCTGTATATTTTTGATGTATTTCAATATAATTAATATAAAATATATTATTGCAAATTAAAATCATCAACGAGAACTTACCCTCAGGGTTATCTCGATCAAAATATGTACGCTTAGCGGTCCAGTTTGGTGATGGAAGCTGTTTCAAATGACATGATGCCGTAAAGTTGGGCAATGGCTCTTGAAGCACTGACTTGGCCTTTATAACATCTCTACTACCATTCCTGCTTTCGGAACTTGATATTTTCCTCCTCTTAAAATTAGTACCATCTTCATCACTATCCGAATCTGCATCACATATGTAGAAATTTGTAAAGATTTGTCAATATATCAAAGATTGTCAATCTTTGACAAATCTTTTAAACTCGATCTATTTCCAATTATCTATTAATAAATGAAACATTAAAATATCATACCACTTGATGCTTCCATGCTCCTGCGAGACATTTTCAATGAATGTCGTACAAAACCTATCCTCTGCTCCCACTTTTTTGAAAAATGTCACATATCACATGTTAAAATTACTGAGGAAATTGTGCTGTTTATCTTTCTCTCAGCCTCGTGAGCAGTCGTGACTCGTGAACTGGCACGGGTGCCGCTCAAGATTCACCAAATTCCACCTCATAATTTGAGACAGACGCATGCTCTGCAGGCCCTTTAGTCTCCCAACCATAATACTAATTATTAATTCAATTAATTGCCTAAACATTATGTATTTTTTTAAGAAAAACTTTTATTATTATTACAAAAAAATAGATAAAATATGAAGTACACTTAATTGGCTTGTATTTTATTCGACTACAACAATTTCCTGAGCTAGACAATTTTAAGTTACTTGAGTAAGGGACAACTCACAGGTATAGTACTTGAGTTGGACAAACGCATTTATTCTTAGATTTTTGTAAAATTATATCTTATTTAGCCATACAAGAACATATAAATTAAAAATCTACAGTGCAGACTTGATATATATAGTCCGAGTCAGGAATATACACTTCTCTTTATGATCGAATGTCGAATGTTTATGAAATATTTTCTATTATGTTTGGCATACAATTTTTAAGACCGCATTTTAAGAATTCTATTATTCAATGAATTGCCCTTTTGAACTTAATTTGTAAACAAACTCTTGTAAATAAAATTTTAAGAAACTAAAAATTTTTAAGAACTCTACAAATTCTTCCCCGTGAATGCTAGTGGGGCTCGATTCTTCCAAATTTTGACCCGATGGTGGGTTGAGAAAACCTCTTAATAGGCATCCGAGATCAATAAATTCAGTCCCACTACAATCTTGACTCTGTAGTTGTCAAGGGTTTATAGGCATGGAGTTTTATGGAGTCAATAAACATGAGAAATATAAGAATGACGCAAGATTGCTTGACAATTTATCATAATACAAGGTTACGACAGTTGCTTCGATAGCCTCAAAAACCTCCATTTTTGAAGTGCTAATTATTTATTTGGCCGTCGCTAACGGTAATTAAAGCACAAAAATTTCTAACAGAACGCCGAAATAGCCGATTTCACATTTACAACAACTCCACTGATTTAATAATTGGATTACAACTCCACTGATTTATTATTAACATAAACATTGATAAACTATGAAATACACTTAGTTGGCTTGGGGAGTAGAGGAAAAACCCGATGTTGGTGGGTTGGGAAAACCTTTACTTGATCCGGATAGGCGTCCGAGATCACCATTCGGCCCCTTACATGATTTTTGTAAATAAAACGACATATCATTTAAAATATAAAATAATTCTTCTAATCCTCGTTGACTGGGGACAGCTCCCATGATTGATGCCGCATTCCCGCGTTGAACTGCCAAACTAATCCGTTGAATGAGAAAAGTTGTCGACATTGGTCCAGTGACATCCTTCATCCTCCTCCCAACATCTTGGATGAACTTCAACCCTTCCGTCCCCCATACTCCTGATGTCTCGATAGCCACCGGAACAAAGATATAGTTTGTTTTAAGTTCAGAGTACAGTTTGTGTTTTTTGGTCTCGGCTAGTTTTGCTGCTGTGCCAGCATGTCTAAGTGTGTGAGAGAGATAAGAGGGGGCAAAAGTGTCTGTACATGTAAAGTCCCATGTTAGTGAGTGTCCCTGTTTGTAAGGTATTAGTGTTAGACCATCCGGTCTTTTTCCATCTGTCCTACAACACCCTAATGGTTCCCTAATGCTTGGTATGTCTGCAGAAATTAAGGCTCTCTTTATAATGTCATTGGCTTGCGTATGTCTAGAGTGCCTGCCAGCACTTTTTTTACATGAAAGACCATGTAAGCCTAGTTCATCTACTTGTGCGCCGCAAACACATTTATGAGGGAAACATAAATTTAACCCTAACCTCAAACCTATTGCAATCCTGAAGGAATTATCGTCTAAAAGTGTGCCTAAATTCCTCGATGGTAAAGCTTGCAGCCATGCACCTGATTCTTTTGACCTTGATGCCAAAATCCTAGCAGTATTTATTGGGGTGGTGGATGATTCCAGGATACGTGAAGATACGTAATTGAAAATTGGACTTTCCCAGGATGATTGAAAAGAAGTAATTGTACTGCGAGGTAGTTCTTCACAACTAATTGACTTCCACAAGTCCTGCGCCTCGGTCACAAGTGAATCGGACAAAGCAGTGACATACGAGGGCAAAATTAAAGAAACCAAGTCAGTGGTGGCAAATGAAGATGCAAGGAAACATGGAGTTGCTAATGTTTTAGATTGTCTAATTCCTAAACCACCTAATTTAATTGGTAATGCAATTTCTTCTAAAGATAGAGGATTAATTTGGTAATTTGTAATTTTTTCTAAAGCATTATGGAGCAAGGTATCAAATTCCTCTAGCATATGTGGTGATTTAAAAATTGGAGCTGCTCTCAGTAGATAAACTAAACGTGGAATAGCTAAAGAATGCTTCAAAAGATAATACGCAATATGGCTTGGAATGGAATGCAATCGACCAGCCATGTTAGTAAAAGCGTCAATCTTTTTGCGGAAAACATGTTCAATAGATTCAAGAGTCAAAGGTGCACCTAAAAGTTCAGCATTTTCCTGAGTCATACATGAAATACCTGGTGCAACTGATTGGAAAGATTCTAGTATACATTGCGTGTTAGTTTGTGGACCTAAAACTGAAACCTCACATTTATCAAAGTTCAATTCTAAACCTACTTCATTTGCACATGAGATAATATGTTGAAAATCGTCTAACACTGTAGTAGAATTGCCACCTAATGTACCATCATCTAAGTACCACATATTAAATTCTGACCCTAAATTTGAAATGACTGGATGCAAGGTTAAACAGAAAAGTGGTGGACCTAACGGATCTCCTTGTTGAACACCTCTACATGAATCAATTAAAGAAGAATTCCACACAAGACTGGATGAGAATCTATAGCACTGATTAATATAAGGATACAAAGTTAGGTACAAGTTCGTGAACGGATGAAAGCAATTTCCCTCTATCTACCATATTAAATGCATTCTTAAAATCGATTTTAAGGAAGGCTGTAGGTGATTGATGTGGAAAGGAAAAGAATCTACGGGCAGCGTGTGCTCCTGCTTCAGCACCATTTTTTACGTTGAAACCTACTTGGACTGGACTAAAATAATCCTGAAAGACATGATTCATGACCTTCACACAAATCTTTGAAACTATTCTACGATAAGTGCAACCTACTGCTATAGGTCTAATACCACCTGATTTCTTTTTAAGGGCCGTAAGACTTGCACCGTAAATGAAAGGACAAATATCTAAAGGAACTTTTCCTGCTAACATAAAATTGCAAAATTTTGTAAGAGATTCTAACAATTGAGTTCCTACGTCACCAGTATGTTGTGAAACTAGATCTTTCAGAATTTGTGGTCGTAATGCATCTAAACCCCCTGCTGAACCACTAGGAAATGAGAATATTGCTGAGATAACCTGCTCTGTTGTCGTAGTAAATGGTGGAATGTTAGGCTCATCTAAAACAGTAAAATTGTCTAAAGATTGTTGTGGGTGCTTTTCTACAAGTGTGTCCAAAGTCGCTGAAGAATTGGGAGCGACAATTGGGAGTCGCTGAAGAATTGGGAGCGACGTATCCCTGGGTGAGCTCCCCATTGCAGCTGCGCCCTTGGGCCGCCCTGCCTCTCTGGGGAGTCGGGTCCACCCGTGGTTTCGGCCACAGCCCCGACTCTCTTCCCGTTGGAGGGGTGGTCCGGGGGAGCAACGCTGCAAGGGGAGAGCCTTACAGGAAGGTCCCCCCTCCAATGCTCCTCCCACCAAGCAGGCTCACCGGGTGGGGAGCCGGCGGGTGGCGCTTGGCAAGTGAGAGGGGCTCTCTACCTCCAACCCTTGGGTGACGCCGCTCTTTAGCGATACCTCCCCTTGGGGCCGGCCGGGTTCCCGGGTTCGAAACCTTAATGGCGGGTCGATTTACGGGGACCTCCCACCTCGTAAGGCGAGGGTAAGACGAGACCCTCCGGGGGAACGCGGTCACGGAGGCGGTGACGTGGATAGGGCTTTCCCGGCCGGTGGAGGTAGACCCCCGCGGACGCATTCGGGCGTCCGCGGGGGCCGACCCGCGTGGAGCACAAGGGAGCGACGTCCTCGTCGTGTGCTCTGGAAACGCCCTTCTCAGGGTGGCCAACAGCTCCCCCCCCTTATAAATGCATGGCATGGCGACAACCTTTGTCGCCATGCCATAATGTCGCAATTTCTCGTTCGATTTGCATGAAATTAAGCACAACGCTTCTAATTGGTGTTGTCGACATGTCGCAATGTCCCACCCACCGCCACCCCCTTGTTTTCGCCAAATTTCGTCGCCATTCCATAATTTCGCCATTTCTCGGCCGATTTGCATGAAATTGAGCACAATGCTTCTTTTTGGTGTTGTCGTCATGTCGCAAGGTCACACTCATCGCCTCCACCTTGTTTTCGCCAAATTTCGTCGCCATGCCATAACTTCGCCATTTTTCGTCCGATTTCCATCAAACTTCGACAGAGACTTCTTTTTGGTGTTATCGACATGTCGCAAGGTCCCACCCGCCGCCACCCCCTTGTTTTCGCCAAATTTCGTCGCCATTCCATAATTTCGCCATTTCTCGTCCGATTTGCATGAAATTGAGCACAATGCCTCTTTTTGGTGTTATCGTCATGTCGCAAGGTCACACACGCCGCCACCCCCTTGTTTTCGCCAAATTTCGTCGCCATACCATAATTTCGACATTTCTCGGCCGATTTGCATCAAATTAAGCACAATGCTTCTTATTGGTGTTGTCAACATGTCGCAATGTCCCATTCATGATCATACCCATCCTCAAATTTGACAGGTACAGGAAGTATATCCTTCAAACAAGCAACGTTAACCGGTGCATAACCGGCAATGTTGTGCAGATAAAGAACCATTGCCTCCTTAATCTGCCTTTGAATCACCACGGAAGTCTAATCCACCACGATGATTGAAAAATTGTCCGGGCTGTACATATTGAGCAATTTGTACGAGTACTTCCTATTGATCATCAATGGACGATCCGGATAGCACCACTCATCCTTATCAAGCAACATTTCAGTAATCAGTAGTCGTTCCTAAAACAAGAAAGAAAATAAGTGGTGATGTTTAACTCCAGTTAAAAACTGAAGAATTATTTTTTATCATTATGATAAAGTGTTAAAGACAACTTGACCAACAGTCTTTCTGAGTCTGAGTGCAAGATTGCTTGACAATTTATCATAATACATCCATGATTAATTTTTTTTGCCATTTGACATGTTTTTATTAACATAAACAAACATTAAAAAATTAATTCGAGAATCGAGAGCACGAAATGTGAGTGTTGGCAATTTTTGTGCGGTTTGTTTCTGGGTGACAGTTTGTGCGACGCACACTGGTTCCAAAAGGTACCAGGGTTTTCGAAAATTGAAGTTTTTTAGGCGTCGAAGCAATTGTCGCAACCTTGTAATAATTATTACTACTAAAGTTGTCAAGCAACCTTGAGAATGACGCATGTATACCAAGATTATTTGACATTTTATCAATCTATAAGGTTACGACAAATGGCCGAGTTACAAAATAAATTTTCATTTTTAGAAAACTAAAATTTTTTGAAAATATGTCATTGGTTACAATGGGAAATTTGGAAATGTGATTTTTAGTCAAAGTCAAGTTTACTGGGACAAATTTGATATTTATAAAATTTCTAGAAATAAAATAAACATTAGTTTAGGTTTTTGATGCAATTAATTTTCCTTTTCTGCATGACTAACTGAAATCTAGTCGTAAATTAATCTTCCTATGATAAGAAAACTTATAATTATATTGATTAATGCTACTATTTTATGAATTATGAAATTGTCCAAAATTACCAAAATTGTAACATTTTAAGAGGCAAGAAGATACGGGAGACAAGCACTGGCTTAGTTCCTACCCATGACGGCCAAATTTGCAAAGCCTTGTCGAGAAGACGTCGCCTCAATATTTTTATAATAAATGATATGTAATTGATGACTTAACTTAATTAATTGGAATTAAATTCGTGCGTTATGTTAAAAAAAAAAAAAAAATTTAGTCAAAGTGCTTATGAAACCGTCATGTCCGTCTGCCTGTCCGTCCGATCATTTTACGATAACTTTCCTTAAACTCGTCCTAGCGACTTTAAATTTGGTATACATGTAGTATGTGACAAATGAGGAGTTAAGTTTGAAGATGGGCGAAATCGATTAAGTGGTTGACCGGTGGTGGTCATCTGGGTGGGTGGAGTATTTCAAAATCCTCGTTGAAAGTTGTAATTTGGCATCGAGATTGCTAATGGTGTCTAATTGAAGAATATGAATTTAAATTGGGAAAATTTTCGACTGGAGGGACCCGATACCATACCGATTTTTGGAAATTATCCAATCGAGCTGAAATTAGTGCAGAGATTGCTAATGGCCCCTGATGAAAGAATATGCGAATTGAAATTGGTAACATTTTTATGTGGAGACACCTTTAAGGGGGTGACTCACATCGATTTTTAAAAATTGTATTAAAAAGATGAAATTCGCTCCTGACACTCGTAGAAGACTGAAATTTGGCATGACCCCGTGGGGGTAGACTAGATTGAAAAATATGAAGTAAATATTAAGATTTTTCCACAGAGATTTAACAAGGTGACACACTGCTTTTTATATTGGTAGAATAAAAATGATGCACATCGGACTAAAGAACATGAATAATATTCATATTCATTGAATATGAATATTTTTGTGGGCCCAGCCCAGAAGACTGAGACCCGTAATGGTTTTAAAATTGGTCAAGGAGCTGAAATTTTGCATGCTGGATTATGGGAACATTTTTGCCGATTACGAATAGTAGTTGGTGCAGGTCGTCTGACTAAAAGTTAGAAGCTGACACTGACCCTGACTCGGGCTAAGTAAAGGCTGCACATTGGATATTTCAAGTTTACTTCTCGAAATAGTACCCTCGAGATTTTGATCTTAAAAAATCAAGCTAAAAATTACGATGATTTCATCTTTAAGAATGAAGTCTCTATGTCTGCCCATTCAAAAGTTATTAAAGGTCAAAGTCGTTGGTACACAGGCCCAGGGGACGTGTACCAACGATTTAAAAAATAATTATTTTATTTGTAACTCCACCATTTGTCGCAACCGTTAAAAGACACAAGAGTTACCTAGATACTAAATGTCAAGCAATCGTGCATGTATACAGTTTTTGGAAAATTGAGACAACCTACAGAGAACACTTCAGAATCTCAAAATCTCCCTCGATAGTACTATACCTATACGATGTTCAAGAAGTTACTTGGGGCGAAAAAATTGGACAAGGCAGAAGCGGCCACTCCCCTCATTATTCCCAAAGAAGATCAACCCTTAGTGGCCCAGTCTGAGCAGGATGGTGACGATGGTGTGGGAGGAGGAGGAGGGGACATGGGCGGCGAAATGGTGAAGGCTAACTCGAAGGCAGCCTCCTCTTTGGTCAGACAGTCCGAGAAGCATCGGTTTGACCTCTACGTACCCAAAGATCGTGCAGCCTGGTTAGAATATCTCGTAACGCTCGTTAAAAAGAGGACAAAAATCGAGTACCTCAACGACAGGTAAGTTCAAATGGGGGATTTTTCAAGTGAGTGGATAAACAGTGAGTTTTTTAGTCGCATAGCCAAGTGAATGAAATAATTTGAAACTTATATAACAGGGAATTGCGAAAAGTGATAATGCGAGCAAGACCTAACCTCGCAGGTAAGAAGCCTGTCGTCAAATTTGACCCCGACTCGCCGATCTGCTTCCACTGGACCGTTGAACAAACGGCCGACTGGATTGTGATTGCTGGATTCCCATTTTTGAAGGTACGCAATTTATTCAAAACCCATACCTTTACGGCCGTATAATCACACTACTAATCTTTGAAAATGAAGGCTGTCATGAATGATTATGATAATGAATATGATTAGGGAACTGTGCAATTGTTACGTAAAATATCAACACATTTTTTCATTTCTCATTTTCATTTGCAGGAGGCATTTCTCATGAATCAGATTTCTGGACGGAGATTAGTCCTAATCGATTGCAGTGCTCTGAATCAAATGGGGATGACTGATTTGTTTGAAATGAAGGTTGGCGTTTCTCAACAGTTTCTTGATTGTGCATGCTGAAATAATAATGAGAGCATATTTGCATATAAAAATGAGATTAAATTTAGAAAGTAACTGCAAGAATTCGCGAGCTGCTTAAAATCCCTGCTCCCAACATTCTTCGTGCCATCATGCGAATCCCACCTTTTGAAAAATTCATAAAGAGGAAGGTGCACTTAGGAAAGGAGACCGATGCTCTAACATTCGAGAAGTTTTGTCAGCAAGAAGGTTTCAACTACTCAATGCTAAAGGGTAACAAGAATGCAGTTATCCCCTGCACATGCGAAGTCCGAATCCTCCCCCTGGGTCAGGTCGACGATGATGAGGAGGGTAAGTGCATTTCCAACTGCAATTTCCACCTGTGCTTTTCAGTTAATTTGAACTTTTCATTTTGATTTGTTTAAGAGGTTGAGGAGAGTGAAGGGGAGGACATCTCCCTCCTCAACGCACCCACTGTCGAGTTCGTTGTAAGGAACTTGGAAGCTCGGGATAAAACAGTTTCGTACATTATTGAGCTCATGATTGAAAACGTGTTCATGCCGAACTCGGAGAGGACGTATGGAAAAGTTGCAGAAAGTTTTAAAGCTGGTTTGGAAAAGAGTTTCGATGAAATGGGAAACATGAGTCCGCAAGAACGGTTAGAATTCGCAACCACAGTGGCAAGGTCACTAATGGATGAGTTGCAGCATACGGCGGACATCCTGTGCGATCTTGAGCTACTCCAGAATTATATCCAGGAAGAGATATCTCCAGAAAGATTGGAATGGTTGCAGTCTTGTGCAGCGGAATTTATGGAAAACGTGCTGCCCATCGCGTCCTTGATGGCGTTGGGAGAGCTGGACTTGGAAACAATTTTTGAACAGGAGCCAGAATTTAGTAATTTTGTGGATGGTGTGATCGTTGAGGCGGAGAAAAGGATCAAAGTGATGGAGCTTCCTGGTTTATCTGTCACCGACATTTCTTCTGGAACTGGGATGGTGAAGGTGGTTTTGGAACAAGTAGTGGACAATGTGGTCGAGGTTGGAGATGACGACATATTGAGACAAACACAAGGCAAGCTTTCTTGAGTCCTTATGAACAAATGTAGTATAATTACCAAGGCTTCAGATTGACAATGCTATCTTTTCTATTCTTGATTTTGCAGAAGCATTGACAAATGACATTACAGGATTTCGGTAATATGCACACATTTCTATCGTTTGTCTCATTGATTTACATGCAAACTATCGAAAATTACGGAATGATTCTTGATAAATAAATAATATTAAATATTGAAACTCATTTCTATAATTTGTTCTCGGTCGTAAATATAAATATATGCAGAACTGTTATCATATTAGCCAATAAATATGGAGTTCGATAACCTATAAATTCCCATCGTAATCATATAACGTAATTTTGTGTATTTGTGGACTTATCTCATCTGCACTTATGCTCCGATTCCACATTTGTACATTTAAGTTTAATGTGTCCATATCATAGTCAGTCAAACTTGACGAATTTGCAACTCAATTTTGAGAATGGTGGGATTGCATTATGCATAATATTGATTACAACTTTGTTTAGCGAAACTGTGTATGCAGAGCAACTCGTACGTGTAACAACGGTCTTTGCATGCAATGTATATATGAAGATTGCAGGTTTTAGAGTGCATGATAGATATGCATTTATTTACTATCTTGTGGTTGGCATTTTTGCAAATAATTTAGTGATCCATTGCTTGCACTTTGTATTTCACCTTCTCTTGACTTTGCAACAAACCACACGCTTGTACTTATTTAGGTATCTTTCTTCCCTCTCTCACAGGAGTTTTTGTCCACTGTCACTCTGTGTTTAATGTTAGTTGATGATTGGATGGTCATCATTTTATTTATTCCTCCATACCAAGTTATTTGCCCTTTAAACACTCATCATGAAAGTTTTTAGCACTTACTTCGTCGTCGCCTTACAGATACTTCTTCAAATTGGTGTCGCTCAGTGTCACAAGTTTGTCAAAAAGGAGAGCAAAATCCTTTTACTCTCGCCATTCGCCGTCCCAAGTCACAACATTTTGTTCGAAGCGATCTTGGAAATATTGGCCAGCACCCACCCGGAAGACTACCAGCTCACCTATGTCACAAACTCAGAACGAAAATTCGACAACGAGTTTGAAAACGTGCGAATGTTTAGACAATTTACCGTGAAAGAATTCATGGAAAGTTTTCCATCCGCCGAAAATGCACCTTTTCCTTTTGTCCATGTCGCCCAATTCTGTCGTCAAATGTATGCAAATCCTGACTTTGTAAAGCTCATGGCACGAGGACAGTATGATTTGATCATTGTCAACGGGTTTATACACGAGTGTCTTTTCGGCTCTCTGCACTTGATGGAAACGCCATTTATAGTCTTTAGTAAGAACAACCCAATATGCATATGCATTATTTTCTAAATTTTTAGTGGCTAATATGAATTTTTGCGCAGCATCAACGCTACCACCTTCATACGTGACAGAGCCCACAGGAAATTTCATGCCTTTTTCAATAGCACCAGTGACGGTCACTTCCTTCTCGGATAGGATGACTTTTACAGAACGCTTACAAAATCTGGGCAAAACGTTGGGTGGGAAATTTTTCGTGCCATGGATTATGATGCCGACGTTCGAATCTGTCTACTACGATCAGTTCGGAAGGCATTTGCCACGAGTTTCTGAAATTATGCGAAACGCGAGCCTGATAATTTCAAATAGTCACTTTTCTATTTTACCACCCAGACCAGTTTTACCAGATTTCATAGAAATTGGTGGAATTCATTGCAGAGAAGGGAGAGAGCTCCCACATGTGAGAAATAATTACAATTTGATTGTGTAGGTAAACATGCGCGTGGAAATAACAATTTTAAATATGGGTCTGTCCCATTTTAGAGTCTGGACAGATTTATATCGGAATCTGAGAATGGAGTAATTCTATTGGCCTTTGGATCCATGATAAAGTGGGAAGAAATCCAGGAATCATTTTCTGATGCTATGATAGCAGCAATTGCCAGCTTGGAGCAGCGTATTATTTGGAGATTAGGCAAAGACTTGAACACGTATCCAGAACATTTGGCTCGTAAGCTCAACACCTTGAAAAATGTCATGTTTTTAAAGAATGTCCCGCAACAGGATATTTTAGGTACGCATTAAAATTTAAAGGAACACTCTGAAGTATTTCCTCGCGCAGTATAGCTTTGTTCTTTTAAAGTTAAATATGCATAACCTTTTGCAATTTTGTGACGCAGCTCATTCAAACGTCAAACTGTTTATTAGTCATGGTGGGATGCTAAGTGTAATGGAAGCCGTGTATCATGCAGTGCCCATCCTGGCAGTTCCGCTGGGGATGGACCAGAAGCTGAATATGAGACGAATTACAGACTTCGGTTCTGGGATTGCATTGAGTTTTAAGGATGTCACCAATCATACACTTACGACAGCCATTTCAGAGGTCATTGGCGAACACAACTCAAGGTAACTGTACGCAGGTGTCGTGCTAACCAATCTCTTTTATCTCGCAGCTATTTATTATTAGTTATATTTTAGTTACTTACTTTATGCATTATAAACATGTTCACTTGCAGCATTCGCCAGCGCATGAAAGAGCATTCGAAGCTTTTTCGGGATCGGGCACAATCTCCGGACGAGGTTTTCCTCTACTGGGTGGACTACGTTCTTCGACATGGTGGAACTGGACAGTTTCTTCGATCCGGAGCCAGAGATCTCAACATTTTGCAATTTTATTCTTTTGACACGGGTGCATTTTTAGTTGCACTTATATTCTTAGTGATGACCGCAATTAAAGTACTTATTCGTTTCTGTGCTACATATATGCGGAAAATGTGTTCAGCAACTATTCAAAAAGTTAAGCAGACGTAGCTGATAAGTAGATATGTAAATAATTAAATTTTATATTGCCCATTTTACAAGTTTGATGTTCTATTTGACCTACGATGTTGGTTCGCAACGACATATGGCATATACCCTAAAATTCTATATTATATTTGCTATCTTCATGTGTCTAATTTCTCAAGTCCGAAGAATAAACGTTCAGTATTCAAGTTACAAACTTAATCTTTACTCTTAAATTCTTATCATAAGTATATTTTGCAACAAGGAGTTTGGCATTAAATTAAGAAACGGCTATCAATTAAAGTTTTTCTCGCAAGGTTTCGCTTTCCCATGAAGTTTCGAATAGCTTTGAGCATCTATATAAAAATAGTATAATTAAATAACTTAATAAATGCTTTCGATGTACTAAATACATAAAAAAGTAAGTAAATAAATCTTACCAAATCAACCAAGAACACGACAACACCAGCCAGTACGAAATTGTGTGAAATAATGTCCACAAAAATGAAGGTGTACAGTTCCCCTGTTAACATTTAAAAGGTTTACTATGAAATATATGAACATGCAAAAATGTTCTTTAGTCAAATGAATGCTCATACCGAGAAATAGAGTTCTTTCGTGACCGTAGAACAGTACCGAGTCGAAAGAATGCCCATCATCTATGACATAAAATGCATTTACATTTATATATTTTTACATATAAATTAACTCCTGCTATGTAAATGAGTAGAATAATTTTCGCCAACAGATTATAGTTAAAAAATACCTGTGTAAAAAACGGCTCTGTCACTCCCAACTTCGTTAAACTCCATGTCCAAAAGTCCCTCGAAAAACGTCTTGTTACTGTTAAAATAATAAAAAAATCAATTTGTACTTAGAAGACTTACTTATCTTATTCTATATACATTAAAATGTTTGAGTATTACTTGATGTCGTAATCTAGGTCGGACAGAGCGTGTTCCAAAAAAGCCGTGAGAAATCGGTTCATCGAATTGTAGGCATGGATGCTAAGGTTGAGCATGTTGGACGAAGGCTTGACTCCTACTCCACCCCCCACCGACGTGGCAGTCTTTGACCCACCCAGTTGTCGGTTCTTGGTGAACAGTGTGGACGATGCAGATGAGCTCTGGAGCCAAAACGAATTTATTCTTAAATTGTTACACATTCATGTATAGGAATTGATGTAATAAGTATGGAATTACCGCATAGAGTGGTTGCAAAACTTGGCTGTAAACTGATCGGAATACTCCAGGAACAGATATGAGAAATGTTTGTTGATCGGTTTGAGGCAGTAGCCCCCTCCGACCGCACAAGTCTTCCTCCTCCCTGCTGAGTTGTTCAATCATTGTCTGCATATCTGACAAGTACACACAAAAGAAATTAAAAACAATGTATACATGTTACTGGTGTGGTCATTAATAAATTTTCTTTACCAGTGTCTGCAAACCCGTGAACAGATCTATCAAACAAATAAATGACAAGTTTACATGAATAAGCTGAAATTAGCATTTGTTCATTTTAATTCCACTGATCCGTTAACTATGTACCTCCCATGAATGTAGTAACCGTGTTGTCTCGCAGCCAGTATGAAGACACTGTCGGAGAAATACGCATATTAATATAAATACGCATATTAATATAAATACGCATATTAATATAAATAGATTTTACAATTTTATTTAAAACCTTGCGACTCTCGGTTAACCAACCTAATGTTTCCCATAGTGCAGAGGTCGACAAAATCCTGAATTTCATTTTTGATATACCGTTCGTAAAACCCAATCCGATACAAACACTGGAGAATCCCAATTAAACCAAAGACTACGGTGCCCACAACAAACCTTGCTGATGTACTGAATGGCACATATTTTTGAACGTCAACGTCTGGTTTCACAGAGTCATTTGGCCAATGAAGTCCCCAAAATTTGAACCCAAGAACCTACGCACATATTAAAATAAGTATATACCATGTCCCCACAAAAGTGAACAATATCATCGTTTTTCTACAATAAATATATTCGTTACCTCCAGAAAGAAGATTGTTGCAATGATTTGGGTCGCCATATGCACTTTACGAGTCGTCTGAATTTCGTTCCATTCATTGGCGATGAAGTACGTTCTCCAAATGCTGACACTCTCGTCGCTATTTAAACCAGTGCCAAGCTTATCCGGCTTATTCTCACTCTCCATTGGTTTCGGTTGAACAGTGCTCGTCACTTTGGGACGCTCCCAATCCACAAAGAAAATGTCAATGTTGGACTGTTTTCTAATCAATTCTATGATCGCCACAATCTAGTTTAGGTAGAATGTCAAATGTCAGACCAAAGCCACCCGAACAGTAAAAGTCTATTTTCTAGCTTTTAACCTTTAATGCAAATGCAGATATTATCAAGTCCCTGACCAATCTCTCCTGATACATATCCGGAAGCAATACGTGGACTGCATTCAAATGCAAGAATTAGTTCATCCTTATCAGAATTCTTGAAATAGTTTATAATAACCTGCAACTTGTTCTTTGAAGAAGACAAACCAGAATGTTGTTGTTGCAAAACACACGATAAAGAAAATATCAGCCAAATTTCCGCATGCAGTTATTAGCAAATTGGAAATTGTCGTGAGGTCAATTTCTAGTTGCCCGTTCCTCCTGTTCCAACTCCAGGCTTGGATAGCACTCCATAAAACAGCTAATGCACTCAGGACGCCGATAGAAATCTGAAAAGCAATTGAAACGTTTAACAGCTTCCTCTCCCCCCCCCAAAAAAAAGATAAATTATAATAACACTAAAGCCCTACCTTGACATCCTCAATGGAACGAGACATGTCCATAAAGTAATTAACAGAATAATCAAAAGTGATGACATCGTTACGGATGAACTCTTCCTGCGTGGCGTCCGCGTATCCCATTGTGAGCAGAGGGACGTATATTTTTCCAGCATCTTTGCTATTTTGCAATTGAACACTGAAACAAGAAGTCCATATAATCACATATATTTACGCTGAGTACTTAACTTACTACAAGTTACACACGTTTATTGTAATTGTTGTAACTTTGAGCAATGTACATGTACATACCTTATGTGAATACTTTTTAAATAGCGAATATTTTTCGGAATTTTGGTCTCTGTGCTTGGGTCTCCGCCACTTGAAGGTTCCACAGATCCAACGGTATCAATAATGAAGAACCTTCTCACAAACTGCCATTGGTATTGATCATCCATCTACAAATTGAATTAAAGTGTAAAGTAAAGCACATTATACATCTTATAAATGTCTACAATCCAAGTACACATGAATCTCTTTGCATTTGTAAGGCAGGTAACTCTATAATGTACCGTGTTAACTTTAATTCCATTGCGCTTAAAATTCAGAGTCTTGATAGGAACAGGATACAATTGAATTTGCTTGTTCTTTCCTTTGACTTCCTCATAGCTCACGTAGGGGTCCAAGAAAATTGTATTTCCATTAAACTGGTCCCAGATATCTTTCAGATTCATTTCACATTTTGCTTTAAAATTGGTCCCAAACTTTCTCCCGATTTGCAGCACCTTTTTTGGTTCTCGACAAGGTATCACATCGTCGATTGCAGCAAGTCCCAGGAACTGACCCTTGAAAGAGAACTTGGAGAGGGTGATGTTGACATCGGACGAAGACTGGTCATAGCGCATGTCATGCGTATGTGGAATTGTGGACGATCGAATTAGGACAGATGGTGCTTCAACCTCACTGTAATAAATTTTTGGTATGTGGTTCGGCAGAGGGGTCAGCCGACCAACAATGCGATACAGGCGACATGCCGTCCAGTCTTCGCCGTAAGTGTGAAGGTTCAGCGTGCACATATTTCCCAACATTTGACACGCCGTTTGGTTTCGTTGCCCCTGAAAAACATAAATAAAGACATGGAAATCATAAAAAGGAACATTTTGACAACATTAGAAAAAGTAGATGAACATAAGTTTTTCTACCCCTTTTGCATACGTTACAGTTTGCATATATTTACGCATAGCTTAATTGAAGGGCATGCACATTTATGTAGCTCCCAGTATCGAATCAAATGAGATGCTATTGAAATTGAAAAGCTAAGCAATTTTATTCTTAAAGTTGTACTTCTCCTTGCCTTGCAAAGATAGAAAGCCTTCGCGAGATTCTCCCGAAATAAGAGTGACTCCACTTTGAACCCGTCATATTCTATTTTGTAGGCCGATTTCGCATCAAACAATGGATCATCTAGCTCCTGTTGTGTAAAGCATACTCCGCCGAACTCGCTGTGAGACACTTCTGAACAACGACACGTACCATTTTCATTCTCCCCAGAGGCGAAAGAGGGGTGGCAGGGGACGCATCGTCTTTGAGACGTCGAAGGATGAAACCCCACCCCGCACTTCGTACATTCTAATCTCCGCAGTGGGGACCCATCTGGACTGTAGGCGACTATATGAAGATACATACACATTTAACAACCATTTATAATTATTATTTAAGACGTGGTAATTAATTAATTAACCTTCTATATGTCCAGCAGGGCATGGGCTACACCCTCCCAGAGTTAGACTGAAGGGATTTGCAGTACCACACTCGAGGCAGTGTTTCGCATCATATAGCATTTCGTTATCTGGACATTTGGTGCATCTCTTGGCCGTCCGTTGCCACACAGTTCCCGACGGACATTGACAGTCTGCCAATATTCGCGTATTCATTCAGCACTGTTTTTATAATGAATAAGCCAACCTTGAATGGAATAAAACTTTTATGTGTAACTTACAATCCGGACTATTCTCCGCTTCCCATTGGCACTTGACGCATCCAAGTGAGCTCCATGAAAAAGTCTCGTTGAGGGACAAATTACATCGTGACGGCTCTTCAAACTTGATGGAAAGGTCGTCTCCAACTTCTCCAGCCACGGGAGAGCGGCTACAGAAAACAAGGAGCAAGAGAGTCAGACTGCACACACCTCCAAATACCGCACCCCCAAAGAATGTCATTTTTCCCATTTTTAATTATGACGGCAAAAGACTGATGACTTAAATGGTGTCATTTAGCAAATCCAGAAACGAAGGCAGTCGTTTATCCTCAGTCAGTGTCAGCATAGCATTTTGATGATCACCTTGACCACGATAGCACAACATTAGAATGGGGAGATTGAGACAGTCTCAAGTTCCCACTCTCCTTTCCTTGACTTTTCTCTACATAAAAGCTTATCTCGACTTATCTCAAGTTTCTTGCAACTCTCAACCTCCACATTTACTCATGAATTTGACAAATTTCATAATTTTGCACAATTATTGATGCAATCGTCATGAAGTGCATGAGTGAGAGTGACTGTATAATGACGGGGAAGGGGAGACGTAGTGGTGATGTGGGAATTGGAAATCAACACCGCACTCACTTTCCATGAGGCAGCAACGTATTGTTTGTTTGTCGGTCACTTTCTGAGGCAATTGTGCCGGATTGTTGCAAATTTACCAATTCCGTTTGGATTTCCAACAGTGGGCAATTATTTCAGTCGGCGACGTTTTTTGATATAGATAGTCCCAAATTCCTACTACGTCAGGTAATAAAAGCATTTGATTTCAATTTGAGCAGGCGTGGAATGAACCTATAATAGGTTTGATACTTCTTACGTTATCAGAAAGGATTAGTTGCTCTGCAGTAAAATAAATAATCATTTACAACCTGTTCAGTTTGACTTGTGCTGACGACGACAAATTGTTTAATCATTTATTCTTGTGTTTGCACAGTTCCACACGATTGCGGACTCGAGTGAATGCAACTTAATTATATTGACTGAAACATTCAAAATGGCACCGAACGAGCATCTGGAACAAGTTTCAGAATCTATAAATTTTCCACTAGCAGAGGAGAATATTTTGGCATTTTGGAAGAAAGTGGATGCATTTCAATCTTGTTTGAAACAATCCAAAGGGAGGCCTCGGTATTCGTTTTATGATGGACCTCCATTTGCGACAGGACTTCCTCATTACGGTCACATATTGGCCGGGACTATCAAAGATGTTGTGACAAGATTTGCGTATCAAAGTGGATTCCATGTCGAACGAAGATTTGGCTGGGATTGTCACGGCCTACCAATAGAATATGAGGTGAGTACAATAGAAAAACATCAACATCAGTTTATTACAAGTACATTCATGCATAGATTAGATAATTTGTTTTATTTTTCTGCAGATTGATAAAATGCTTGGAATTACGGGTCCAGAAGATGTGGCAAAGATGGGAATCAAGGCATATAACGATGAATGCAGAAAAATTGTAATGAAATACTCTGGAGAATGGGAAACAGTGATTACTCGACTCGGACGATGGATTGGTATGCAATGCAATTGAGAGGCGACTGAAGTTTTGAATTAGAGTGCACGTTTTTATATTTTTATTTTATGCTTGCAGATTTCAAAAATGACTACAAGACGCTGTATCCAACATTCATGGAATCTGTGTGGTTTATTTTTAAAGAACTTTGGAATCGAGGCCTAGTGTATAGAGGATATCTGGTAATGCCGTACTCAACTGCGTGCTGTACTCCTCTCTCAAATTTTGAAGTGCAGCAAAATTATAAAGAAGTCGTGGATCCTGCCGGTTAGTAATAGTAGCACATGCAATTAGGGTTTTACATTGTCAGTGTCAACGGAATAAATGTCATGTCATGTCATAAATGTCATGACATGTCAATTTGTCAATTTTTTGTCATAAATGTCAAAGCATCGAAATGTATGACATTTATGACAAATATGACGGACATTTATGACATTTGTCATAAATGTCAATCTCAATATGCCCCATGACCTGATCTTGGTAGCAGCTATTAAACTCTTCTTTCTCTCACTGCAATTCAAATAGTCTAATAATTCAAAGAGTATTATGTATTGAGTGAATGAATATATGACCTTACTAAACTCTGTAGACTACCAGTGGTCCAAGCTTCATATTGCTCTCATGTTTAACGAAAAACATTTTATGTTATCGGAAAAGACAGACTTCAGGTCAATATAATTGGAAGCAACATGTCTGGAATGGGCCAACTATTCCAAATACATGCTCTAAATAAAGCTGATGATCAGAGACAAACAGAATAAGTTGTAATTTTAAGAGCGAAAGTCGTCAATATAATATGCTCAGTGTCGTTCGTAGTAAAAAATTATACGAGAGGAAAGATGTGTAGCTGAGAAACAAAATATAAAGCCTACGATGATTTTTATTTGGAGAAAATGAGATACGAAAATTAAAATGTCATAATTGTCAATGTCAAGTTGACAGAAAAGTTGACAATTTCGAATTTGACGAATTTTCATAAATGTCATAATTGTCAATAAAAATAAATGTCTGACATTTATGACATTTATGACATGTCAAAATGTCATGACAAGTTGACAATGTAAAACCCTACAAGTGTTTATCTAATCACGTAATTTATAAGCATATTTTAGTACGCTTATTATTTTACAGTAATCGTAAATTTCCCGATGAAGAGCAAACCTGGCGTGTCCTTGCTTGCATGGACGACAACGCCTTGGACCTTGCCAAGTAACGTGGCTTTGTGTGTCCATCCTGACTATGATTATGTGCACGTGGAAGGTGAGAGCAAATTTTGATATTCTGTTAAAGAACTACACATTATGCACGTATTATATTGTTCTTCCGTCTATTTCAGAAATATCAACATCAAAACAATACATTTTAATGGAGGCCAGACTTGAGGCTTTATTCAAGAAGCCTGATGACTACAAGCTGATTTCAAAATTTCCAGGGTCGACATTGAAGGGAGAAGAGTACGAGCCTCTCTTTGACTACTATATCGAGGTTCGTAGATTGTATTTGCAAACTTGCTCATACCTGGCTGTGGTCCTCATAATCAATATTATTTTTATAATACTTTAGTATAAAGAAAAGGGAGCTTTCCGAGTTCTGACGGACGGATATGTCACACAAGACTCTGGGGTTGGAATTGTTCATCAAGCACCTTATTTTGGAGCGGACGATTTCAGGTTAGCATAATGCCTTTCATATTTTTACTCATTATATGCAAGCGACAATATATAAACATCATACTTTTGTTACTTTGTACAGAGTGTGCAAAGCTGCTGGAATTGTCTCAGAAGACCAAAAACCAATTTGTCCTATTGATGCCAAGGGTCGATTTATATTACCTGTGAAAGATTTTGAAGGACAATACGTTAAGGTTCGTTGAAGGATTATAATAAATAATATCTATTGTTAAGTTTGTGTAACACAAGCAAATAATTGTTTGAAGGACGCTGACAAGAACATTATAACACATTTGAAGAACAAAGGACGACTAGTAAACGCCAGTACCATCAAACACAGTTATCCATTTTGTTGGAGATCAGACACGCCTCTCATCTACCGATCCGTTCCCTCTTGGTTTATCCGAGTAGAGGAATATCGTTCAGCACTTTTGAAGAGTTGTGCAGAAACATACTGGTAAGTTTAAATAATCATTAATCCCATTTCATGTCTCAATTAAAGCGTAATGAACAGTATCATGAAAAATAAATCCTTTCAAATTTTTCAGGGTTCCTGATTTTGTTAAGGAAAAACGTTTTGGGAACTGGTTGCGAGAAGCACGAGATTGGGCTGTAAGCCGAAGCAGATATTGGGGGTAAGAGATACGTTAGATATTTAGACGATATTTCCAAGCAGAGAAAACATAGATTGGTTTCCTGCATGAGCACTTCGTTCTATATATTTTCCTTATTTCACATGCAACTATTTGTTTTTTTAAAATTAGAACGCCAATTCCAATCTGGGCATCTGAAGATTTTGAAGAAATGGTTTGTATTGGATCCAGAGAGGAATTGAAATTGCATTCAGGAATTGAGTCGCCAGCCGACTTGCATAGAGAATTGTAATTAATCGAATATAATATAATTTAATCTGAACTACTTAATGTTTTCCTTGTAACACATATGTATTTAGCGTTGACGAAATTACCATCCCTTCAAAAATCCCTGGAAATCCACCTTTGCGCCGAATCCCTGAAGTCTTTGATTGTTGGTTCGAGTCTGGTTCCATGCCATATGCACAAGTTCATTATCCTTTTGAAAATGAAGGTATTAATGCGAATTAATTGTAGCTATTTATATAATTACTAATGGATCAGAGGTAAAAATTAATTAAATAAATAAAAATTTTTACAGACGCTTTCGAGGAATCTTTCCCTGCAGATTTCATCGCAGAGGGAGTCGATCAAACCAGAGGATGGTTTTACACGCTCATTGTCATCTCCTCCCTTATATTTGGCAAAGCTCCTTTCAAAAATTTAGTCTGCAACGGCTTAGTTCTCGCATCTGATGGACAGAAAATGTCCAAAAGGAAAAAGAATTATCCAGATCCAATGGAAATTGTAAACAAATATGGAGCAGATGCCCTTCGTTTGTATTTAATCAACTCACCCGTTGTACGAGCTGAAAATTTAAGGTTCAAGGAAGAGGGAGTCAGAGACTTGCTTAAAGATGTATTTTTGCCATGGTATGTAAATAACCAAGATACTACTATATTATACATTGAGTGTGCATTTTTATATTTTTTTTATCGTCGGGTCCATTTTAATGCTGATTTACTGACTCCAAGAGTTTATCAGTTTCGCAGTGGACAAAATTAACTCGTGTTGAAATCTAAATTACATTTCTGTGTGGTTCTGCGAAACTGACAGAAATGGATTTCTCATGAAACAAACTATCTTATGTGTTATTCAACTTGTATGACATGTTTGTTCACTCGTCAAAAGACGTGTTTAAATTTATTTGTTGACTCATAGTTCGTTTGCCCGCAGGTACAATGCATACCGGTTCTTTGTTCAAAATATGATTCGAGTTACCAAAGAGGATGGAGTTGAACTGAAATTTTCTCCAATAATGGAAGGCTCTTCTGGTAGCGATAAGACGGAGTGGAATGTCATGGATAGATGGATTCTGTCAGCCACACAATCCCTCATCTCTTGGTTTAAGCAAGAAATGGCTGCCTACCGATTGTACACCGTGGTTCCCGTGCTTGTAAAATTTATTGACCAGCTCACAAACTGGTATGTCCGGCTGAACCGGAGACGTCTGAGGGTAAGAAAATGTAGAATTGTATATTTTAAATAAAAAACTTATGGGTCCATTTATAATGCTGATATGCCAAACCGTAGTTTATCAGTTTCGCGATGGACAAAATTAACTCGTTAAAATCCGAATTATATTTCTGTGGCAGTATTTCTAACGGAAATTGATTTTTACGAAACATACATGATAACAGTTGTGATAAATATTCGAATTAGTGTACTTACTACTTATTTATTTACTATTTATTTATTTTGTAGGGAGAAACCGACACTAAGGATTGTTACAAGGCTTTAGAAGTATTTTTTATGGTTTTGTTCACGCTGACCAGACTGATGGCTCCATTCACACCATTTATCACTGAACACATATATCAAAATTTAAAGAAGGCTGTTAAAAAGTCTGACAATGTGGAATTTGATGAGAGCATCCACTATTTGATGAATCCTGAAGTGCAGTATGTACTCAATTTAAATTTCATAAAACATTGCCTATTTTAAATTAGTCAATATTTTTTTTACAGAGAAGGACTAATTGATAAAGAGGTTGAAAGTGCTGTTGAAGGAATGCAAAAAGTCATTGAATTGGGTCGTTTGGCTAGAGATCGTCGTGCTTTGCCAATTAAGGTTTGTACTTTTCGGCCAGATTTAACATAATTTCTAGTCGATGGTATTTTTATTAATTAATAATTCAATTTATGTGTTTCTATATTTCTAAAACGAATAGTTTCCACTGCCTGAAGTCATTGTTGTACACGCTAGCGAGGAATTTCTGGGCCAAGTCAAAGGACTACAGAATTATATTTTAGAAGAGTTGAACGTGCGTACCTTAACGCTGAGTTCAAATAAGGCTGCTTATGACGTTCATTTAAAAGCGCAACCAAATCATCAACGTCTAGGCTTGAAATACAAAGTAGAGTTTAAAAACATTGCTAATGTCATCAAGGTATTTTGATTTTCATCATATTATTGTTATCACTCACTGATACAACTAGTAACTACAAGATGGGTGAAAATAATATTAATTTATTACTACAATTTCCTCTTTCTAGTCATTAAGTGATACTGAAATTGAAACGTGTTTGGAGAAGAAAGGAGTTGAAATTTGTGGAAAGTGGATTGAACTTGATGAGCTTTTTGTCACTTACGACGTGGGAGCAGGCAATTCGAAAGATCTTGAAGCTGCGTGCGATGGTCCGGTTTTGGTTATTTTGAACACCAAAGCGGATCAAAGTATGCAAGATGAGGGAGTGGCCAGAGAAATTATTAATCGCATTCAAAAACTTCGAAAGAAGGCTCGTCTCGTTCCCACGGACAAAGTCACCGTTTATCTCAGTGAAGACAAAACACTTGTTCGCATCGTCAAGGAGTACACAGAATACATTCAAAATGCAGTGAAAGCAACGGTTCTGCCATTATCTTCGTGCGCAAAAAATGTTCAGTTCCTCATTCAAGAGGATTTCCAGGCAAGTCATGCTTCAAACTATTTCAAATGTGTGTACCAGTGTTATTTTTGTAATCTTTTAACTTTACCCTTGTCTAGATCAAAGAGAGTAAATTGTCGGTAGCAATATTTAAGGATGGAGAATCTGCTACAACGGTGTCTTCGGAAATTCTAAATGGTTCTTCTGGAAAAGGTCCAACTGAAGATCCATTCTGTAAGTACGTCAACTTGGTACTTGATGAGGGAATGAAATCAAGCAACACACAACTTGGAAGAAAGGGTGTTATACTTTTGGAAAACCCTGTTGGAAAATCCAATTTAAAAACAGACCAATTGAAAACAGAAGTACATAAATTATATTTTCAGTCAGATTTGACTAGTATTTTCAATTATACAATTAATTTCTCCCCAGGTTGAAAATTTATTCAGTTTGCATGGGCGATCCTTTCGTTTATGTGATGAGAATGGGGCAACCATCACAAATTTGCAAGCTGACAAGCTGAATAGGAAAACACTTTACATTTGTAAACTTGAAGATAACAAATGCCCAACAAAGAAGGTTGGTCAGAACAACGGACCGATTGTAAAGTACGAAACATAAACTAAACGAATATATATGATATGAAGTTTATAGTTTTAGATATATTGTGATGTCCGGTTCTAATGATCATTCTAAATTTCTCACGATACAGATTTTTAAATATTTCCGCAAAAGGGAGCAAAGGTACAGTGCTTTTAGAAAACCCTGTGGGAAATCCGGCTTTTCAATCGGAACAAGATGCAAAAACATATGGGGAATCACTATTATGATGAGTAATGATTTAATGTGTTTATTAAATTACCAAATAAAAACCGATATTTATTATTGAAAATATTATGACCTTTCTGTAATCACAATTTCAAATTGATGACAACGTCAATATGTAACAGCTACTAAAACTCTCAAATTTATAAAAAAATACAAGATAACATCATAGCTGAACAACTAAGTCTGCATAGATATTCAGCGCTTGATAAATAACAATATCCAAGTATGTAGATTACGGGAATTTTCGTGTAAAAAAACAATACAGGAATATTTACTAGGGCGGCCAAGAGTAGAAAATCGTATCACAGATTTTATAAATAATATTTGATAGTTATTATGTAAGCTTGGGTACGAAAAACAAGACTAATTTTCTAACAAGCTATAAAAATACTAAACACAATTTGCATCTAGTTGGCCCACAAATTCATATCGTAGTGTAGTGTAAGTTGATATATAAGTAGTGCAAGTCATCAGAAGATCAATTCTCTAGGTAACCCTCATTAGCCTCACTAGTGGTAAAAAGGTAACATTGTTTTATAGTTTGATTGTGACTATTGTTACATGGCGTAAAAATTGTCTATCACTGAATTTTACAATTAAAATAATTTAATAACAAGTAATACAACATGGCACATGAAGCACCCACCCACTCGTCAATCAGACCTCCATCTCTTCATTAAGCATTTTTTGCATATCGTCCTCTTCTTTCTTGCTTGCATGACCATGGTTGGAGGTTGTTGCTGGATTGTGTACCGGTTCCTTTGAGTACAGCCATATGGCAAGCGTGACAATAAAAATAGCCACGGCAGTATTTAAGTGGATAGGAATGTCAAATATCAACCAACACAGGATAGCGGTAAACATAAGTTCTAAGGCGCTGGCGAACGTTTTCAAAATAGAGTTTAGCTGAGCTAGAAAGAAGCTGGTAACTATTCCTATTGCAGCGTTATTTAGTACCACTGCAAGTGTGATAGGCGTAGTGAGGATTGTTTTCATGGCTGAAAAATCCGTTAGAACTGACAGGTTGTTTCGAAAGACCAAGAGACCCAAGTTACAAATGATTGAGTCGATGTAGAGACACACATTTTGAATCAGAATCGGAAGTTGCTTTTGACTTGCAGATGTTGGTCGTTTGAGAAGAAATTCATTGTAGACTCCGGCAAAAGATGAACATAAAACCTACAGATACATATAAGATATTTACATAATTGGCACATAATTAGGCTGGGCGTTTTCTCTTTATATTTCGCTTGAGGATAACAAAACTCACTTGCAACAAGATCAAAACGACTCCCATAGGATTATCCAGAAACCCAAGTTTTTGTACCTTATCAGCAGCAGAAGCAACCGTAGCACCACCACTTATTTCGCTAATCTTTTCATTACCCACAGACTTTTGCAGGTTTTCTACAACTAAGGAATCTGGGTCTAGTAGCAGCCATCCAAGTTTCAGTTCCTTGATCATGCATCCTATTGTGAGGAAAATTAAACTAATCCACTGGTACTTGCTCAGTCGTTTCTGGAACAACATCTACAACACATAGTAAAGTTGTTAACTGTGGCATGAGATATTTCCAATTGCTAATCCTTCGAAATTACTTGTACGTATGGACAAACCTGAAATACTATTCCAGTGACTACCACTCGAAACTGAAGCAATAAAAAGTAGGTGGTTGGATCAAAATTGACTAGATTCATAAAAGCCAAATTGTTGTATAAACAGTAGAGTCCGGCTGGGATAAAATAGAGGAATAGCACTGCAAAATAATCAAATTGATAATCAATCATATTTATGACGATGACGGATAATAATGCCTCATATGTTTTCCAATTAGTCTCAACTTTTACCTTTAGAATTCTGTCGTAACTCGCCAACAAATACAGCAACAGAGTTCCTAAAAAGTTTACAGCAGGATAAAAAAAACTGTGTGCATGATTTACATTTGTGTCTGTAGCAGAATATATGAGCTATTTTTCTGAGAGTGGAATGTATGCAGTTTAAATAAGACTGAGATTGCATGGTTTCACTAGTGGAGGAGCAGTAGTTATTAATATTGAGATCTTTTAGATAAGCTGTTGAGCGAGAAGCGTTGTTCTTCCTGGCAGGGATATCATCATCAAGTATCAAGTGGTTATTCTTATTTGTTCTATGAACACTAGAAAAAGACAAGAAAGATAGTGGATAAGGAAATTCTTTTGTTATTTAGAATTTGATAACTAACTACTTATTCATGTATAACAAAATGGGAACAAGGAAATTTAGAAAAACAAGAAGAAGCATAACCAATATTGAGAGAAATCGAAACGAAAAATCGATAAATAAGATCGATGTAAAAAACTCATCATAACACTAGATTAGTGACACGCTATGAGGTAAAGTTCTGCTGCAAGGCAAAACGCCAAAACGATAGACAATGCAACAGTCTAACTAAAGTATACATACCTTTGTATGAAAATTCCTGCGCTGACCCATAATTTAATGACTTCTGTGAGCAGTACGGCAATTATTGTGTTGTAAGAGTAGCCTTGATGATTTGTATTCTGAGACGCGGTCACCAGGATTCCTACAAATTATGATCAACTCTATCAATCATTCATAACATGAGGCACTTCCAAATATATATGTCACCTTGATTAATAAATAGTAACATGTATAGGACGAAAATGAAGAATGACCAGCTTGTGGGGAATAGATCCGAGATTTTGCGTTTTTGAGGCATGTCGACGCAGTGACAGTGATAATACTTGAATCTCAACCCTGAAAAAATCATGTGTAAAATAAATATTTACAAATTTTTAATTGTTCAATTATGACTCATGATACATCCGAAATTAAGTGAATGATTAAATGAATGTGATGATTAAATCTGACTTACCTGACGTAGCAATAAACAGTGTTTATTAAACACCGTCCAAAATTACCAGCTATGGCCAGCCAGTCACCCTCCGAATTGCAAAGCTCCTCACATTTATTGTTGACTAGTTAGCTAACACAGCTCACAAGCAAAGTACTAATTTGTTTTATGTGAATAGCATTTGGCAAACAGGAAGAAGTTCGTTTTAGCCAAGTCGAGGAGGAGTAATTTCACTTGACCAGCCTACCCGCTTTCTCAATCCTGTGATTCACAAATTTTACACTACCGCGCGAATCCAGAGTTTTCTTGGACATTTCACATTTCGAGTTTCGAAAAATAATTTTAAGCTTCAATTGATAATATTGGGGTGCAAAAAGTAAGAACAAACAGAAACATTATAAATTGTGATTCTTGAGGAATAATAAATTATTTATTTTGTATGTGTATAATAATTATATTTTGTTGGTAATTGTGAAATGAAAATGTTATTTTGAGAATTGGATTGGTTTGGTACAAGAGAAATTTTTAATTAATTATTGTTTGCTTTTCTCAGGTTGGTGTAGTTGTAGGGGTCACTGTCAAGTGGAGACGAAAATGTCGTATTTTTCGAACAGTGGTCCCACCACGAGACGTTACGGCGACCTCAGTTGGCCTAATATCCGATCCGTATGGGACGGTAAGGACAATGAAAATTACTTGTACAAGACCTACGTACTGTCCAGATACACCACCTTCATTTCTGCATCTTTCGCTGCATTCGACATCAGTGTACTCCCAAGAGTTGTGAGTGCCTTTTTTGTTCTTTTAATTTTTATTTATGATTTGCAATTTATTTGAATTGATAAAATATTCTAGTGATGAGAGTAATTTCATCACCCTATGGTTGTTTATTTTAGGAACCTGGCTTGGCGAGTGCCTTTGGTCGGGTAAAGTTCTATTGTGTTCCTGCCATAGGAGCAGGGTTGGCTTATACGACCGCTGTCCACATAAGTGGTAATGTGCGTGGGAAGACGGACCAATGGAATCATTGGTATGGAGGTGCGGCTGCTGGTGCTGTCGTCGGGAAATGTGGTAAGAAATTACGATATGGTCAAATAATTTTCTAAAAATTAATTTTAAAACTTACAAAATTAATAAATGATGGATGGATTATAGCAAAATCTGTACTTACTGGCGTACTAATGGGATTCGCTTTGGGTTTGGCTGGATTCATGATGAAAGATGCTGCAATGTTTGACCAGTTTCCAGGACACAAGCCCTTTAAGAAATATGGAGGATCGTTCTATCATAAGTGGGATTATTCTTGTCCACCAAGACAAGGATATTGGGTACGAACCCCTGAAGAGGTTCCTAAAATGATGGAACGAGGCCCACTGTGAATGTTTCCGAAATTTATTCATTAAAAACCGTCGATTTACTGTGCACCCAAATTGTAAAGTCAATATAGTAAGATTTAGATTTAAATATTAAGCCATCTGACCAGCAGGTCATCAGTATCGTTGTGTAAATAAATTTACGAGTATATAAACTGTTATTGTCTTGACTTGGACTTATTATTGGTTTGTATTCAACGACAAATTAATTTAAGACAGTACATGGTTGGCTTTATAAACATACTGTTATATATAAGCTACCTACTACTACCTCTAGCTTACGTATTACTGATCGTTGTTACTGTTCGTAAAATATAATAGTTTGCATACATCCTCCAAATCCATGTCGAAGACAGGTGACACAGGTTTGCAAAAATCCGCACTGAATCCTGCCGGACGTACATGTTGTTTTGAAATAGGTTTCGTGGCCCATGTGTGACGCTTGTTTTCAAATCCAGTGTCCAGCTTTAGGTGTTCAGTTTTAAGTGACATTGAAAGCGATAGCTGATCATTCAAACCGAGTTGAACATTTCTTTGTTGCATTGCAAGCTGAGCTTTGGCCCTCGCTGTAGCCCTTTGTTCTTCGAAATAATTTCTTGGAAGTGAGTGGCAGTCTGTAATAGCGGAAGAGTGATCTAATTTTCCATCTTGGAGACCATGCATGGCTGGATATATACAGAATGCAAATAAGAAAAGACAAGTGCAAAGAAAAATAGGCACAGCCAACCCCCAATACTGCTGTGGGGGTTCGTAAGGCAATTGTTCAATAATGTGGGTGGGCAGTAGCATCCAGATAAAGTAGAAAAAAGTGCATAGGTTCATCATAATAAATAGTGCAAATCCATATATTCCGCGTGCTTGTTGCGGCCCTGGTGTGTGTTGCTCTTCCTCCTCGACCATATCTACATTAAATTAGTAGTAAAATATCTGTACAACATATGGATTCTATTAATCAGCTATGATTAGATACCATAACTCGGTTGGTGATAAATGGTAATAGAATATTGGATTTTGCTTTGTATAATATAATTAATTCCTTTTGTGTCGTGATCCTATCAGTCCGAATACTTCGAATAGTTTAATTTAGACAGGGCTTCTTTGCTTCGATTCCGTCAAAATCTTCGGTTCTGGGTTCACTACTGCCAAACTTGTCGAGCGAAAACTTGTCTATTGTCTTTTGAACAAGGGTTAAATGATCAAAGAACGTATTTGACGAAAGTCGTAAACTCCTCGCGTCCGGACCAACCAATTCTCTAGAAAATGGAAAGAGAATAATCTATAGCATACATTGTGTCATATATATATCTCAAAATTATACAAAAGTAAATTACATTAAAATCTGCTTCACTTACACAATAAGACAATGTTTCTCTACAAAAAGTGTTTTCTGCACTTGACTACGTTTCGGCTCACGATCGACCCGAAGTGAGTTATGCGCGATAAGTGCCTGCTCCTTGCTCGGAAAAGGGATGACCACTCGAAGCTGGGCCGGTTCGTGAGGGTGACTTGTCATCTCAATTCTCAGGCCAATCTTATATCAAGAAAATTCATGATTTAAATGAGATTTTTAATCAAACATACACGCATACGCTAATTACCAACCACATGCATTTGACTTAGGAAATCATTACTTACAAATAGCAATTACTAACATAGTTGCTCCGTTAAAAGCAAGAAGCTTACCAGAAGAGTTTGAGAATCGAATCCAAAATAGAAAATTATTCCCGATCAGCCAACAAAGTGAAAATGTGTGAAGAATCCGCAACCGCCTCTTGAGAATTCTTTCTTGCCCCGTCGTCCAACAGCAGCAAGTGAACGTTGAAAACGTTGAGCAGGTGGTTGTTGTTGTCTGGCTCATCATTTGAGGGACTTTGTGTTTATTATTTACAAGAAAAAAAAACACCTCACTGCGTCCTTGATCCTCACCTCATCTGGTCATCAAGGGTCCCCAACAACAACCTACAATTTCCAGTGGAAATTAGACCAAGAGGAAGAGTTCATCCAAGCGTGAGTACATTTTTTTGTAAATTTTCATGTGGATAATTTCCTTAATTATAAAATAGCGCAATGTATTAGAAACTGAACACTTAAGGAGCATCTATCAACCCTCGCCCATCAATTTTTCGGATTTTGTCCGTTTCGGTGGTTTATATTAGCAAACGATTTATAAATGTAAGATGATGCTTCCTGTCCAAAGCAAAAATACTTTACTAGATCTTAAATTTTAATTAAATTTTGCGGACAATGACACCAGGTGCCAGGGTCGAACAGGGCATACGTATATTAAATTAGCGTTGTCTGCAGTTTCATTTTGTGATATGAAAAATGCCTAGGGTTTGCATATTGTAGAACTTTTTGTCATGATTCTGGCTCTGATTGATATGCAAACTAATGTAGCATAGAATCCATAAACTATTTTATTTGGATTTGTAGTTTATTGCCCTCATTTCCATTTACTAAACTGGTCTTAAGGACTGGACTTAAGGTGGTCTTCTACGTGGTATTCGTTACTGAGGTATTAAAATATAATTAAAGGACATTGCTCCAATTCTCAGAATCTTTAGCCCATACGTTCCATAATGAAATTATGGTCCAAATTTAACATGCCTTTGAAAAGCAACGAAAATCACGCGGACGGGTTTACAGGTATACACGCCTACCTTTTTGGTAGGAGTCTATGTCCAACGTGGTTTGCTACAGTTCAATTTCGTAGCCACCAGACATGTCAAGCCCGTATGTAATAGTTCATAAAATTATGCCTAAAGAGGTCATTTTCAAGGCAATTGAGGAGTAGTCCTCATGAGCAGTGGTCAAGTGTAGTTTAATCAGCTAAAAGATATTATCACAGAATGTAATGTCTGGTCCTGTTTTTGTTATTATCCTTACAGTTGTGCTCCTGAACTCGTACGATACTCTTGTTCTCTCTCCAGTTCTTTCTTTACATTTTACAGCGTTTACGACCATTTGTTATTAATTTTGCGTTGACAATCTACCATGCACCATGCAAGACGCTGTGTTCGAAACTGTGCCAAGAACGGAGAATCTGCCCATCACCCAAACCATTGCTCGGAGGCGAGCGTCTTTGAATCCTATTATGTTGAGTCGTTCGGCTCCTGACGCCCTCAACCTGGCTCAACTTATACCGCTAAGACGTACGTCAAGTAGGGTTTTTAAAATGTTATCGCTATTTATCAGAACGTGCAATCATGAGTAGTTCTTTATTGACTGACAATTTCCTTTCCAGGGTCAAGTCTTCCTATCAGCCCATCTTGCAGCGTCGCTACTCAAACGCCAACAGATGTTAAAATGCACTTCCAGTTTCCTGAGTCATTCGAATTTGACATTGATTCCATTGATGGCATTTCTTTACGGAGCGACAGTCGTAAGTTTTTACTATTATTTCTATGGGTTGTATTGTGCCTTTCTTGAACCCTAAATGGTTATTATTGGTTTGCATATTTTAGGCCGAGGAAGTAACACATCTTCTTCTGGCAGTGATCGAGAAGACTTTTTGTCCTTAACCTCACCCTCTCTGCCACCCCAAGATCTCAACATATGGAGCCGATGTTTGCGACGTCTCAGTTCACACTCTGACATTCTACATGGAAGTAAGTTATACGTTTATCTTGCATTTTGAATATGATTATGTGCAGTCCATGTGTATTGTCTAGTAAATAAGGACAAACATGTCATTATTATTATTATCAGACAGAATTGGAAGTAAATTAATATTAATGAACCACATTTGTTTTTTTTGTTGTTGGAGTCAATCGAAGGTTTTCATTTACTGAGCAGAGAGTAGAGATGAAAGTTGAAGTCCAAGAAGTCCAAGATGTTGGTCAGGTTAGTTCAGTTTCCAATCAAACAGTTCATTAAACGCAAGTAGATTTTATTGTGTAATTACTTCAAAATAATTTCTAATTCCAGCAACTTCGATCAATTGGTGACGACTTTGAACGCAGCCGCCTCACTCGAACCCGTAGCATGTCTTTCGTCAGTCAAAAGAAACGTTGACAATCAAATCAAACGAGTTTATCAAGATACTACTTATTACTATATATTTTGTATCTTTATATATCCGAAATTGTTGGCCTGTTGTTAGTTTGCCATTCCATAATTAATTATTTATGTTTATACGCGTGTTCAATTTTGTTTGAGTATTGTTTTCGAAGCTCTCTCTTGTTATTACTTTGTAAGTTAAGAAAGATATTGTAGCATTGTTTGCACCAATTAATTGTTTCCGTTAAATCTGCAAGTTCTTGAAAATTCCGTAGGCTACTGCCCATGCAATATTGTGGTTTGTGTGAAGACCTTAGTATATTCTTTGTTGATCAACCAAAGTGAATTATTTTGGTAAATTTTACAGCTGAATAACATTGAATTTTACCTGAGTAAAAATTTCAGTTTTGCATGCAACTCTTGTCACTTGTTTTTTCATGAACAAAGCATCGCGATTTATTTATTACACCATGCCCCAATGTAATGCAAGTACTTCACAGGAGGGCCGGGAATTTTTTTGTCTTCTTATTGATGAAATTTTGTATCAAAGTGTAAAGTGAAGAAATTGAAGAAAATAATTGGACCGAGAACGTAGGTAAGCATCTTATCGTTTCATTTTCTTTATCATTCGTATAATTCCGTGATTTACTACAATAATATCATCACAAAATCTAAAATTCGATTAACCAGCATAACTCTGTTAGTTAATATAATAATTTGATAAATATTAGAAAACATATCACATATGACATATGAAATAACATTGCAAAATAACTTGTCATTCATGCGACAGACTAGCAATAAAATTTGAGACAGGGAAATTTAGCGGTCGCATCGCTAAGAGAGGCTAAATCTTCGGTAGGTGTGGTCGAACAGTGCCTCCCCGTCCGGCCGCTCCGTCAGCGAAGATGTGTCCGTCCCACTCAACTCGATTATCTTCAACTTGGCCGATATAAAAAGGACACTAGGAAGTATACAACGACTTTTACACTTGGTTTTTTTATCAATGGATGTTGATTAATTAATAGATTTGATTATCTAATTTACCTGAATATGAGAAAAATAATGAGACACAAAATACACGAGACAAAGTAAATGGTGGAGGGGGCCGAGCTCAGGGTGTTGGTGTAGATCATGGAGTACAAGGGAACTGAAATCATGAATTTTTTGACTAATCATAAGCAAATCGTTTTGGTGGGTATTAAACTAAAAGTCACCATAAATATACCTGCAATTAATGGGACAATTGCCTCTATGCATCCCAAAAAGGCGAAAACCTTTCCTGTAGAAAAAAAATAACACAGGGTGGCTCAAATTAATGCAAGTTAAATTCGAATTGTTGAATTCAACGTGAAAGAGTTGGGAGATACCTCGCTCGTCTCGAAGAACACACTTGGACGCTAAAGATCGTCCGGACAAAGGTCCAATCACTCCAGTTATGTCGATGGCAGATCCTGCATTATAATTGATGAACCAATTTTATTTTAAAGATTTTGGCAACCTTTTGGCTAGATTACATGTTGACACTAGTTTTATGCTTGGATAAAGCCGTATAATCTCACCATAATACAAGAAGGACGAAGAAGGTGCTAGGGCTATGCATAACCTTGACGCCAACCTTCCTATGGCGGCAATTGCTCCGGATAATGGGTCTGAAAATTTTAGCAGTTTGCTGAATATTGGTAAAACCAATGTGAGTCCGGCTACTACGACGGAACTTTCGAAAATAGTCCACAAGCTAAACTGCTGCTCTCTCCATTGGAACTTATTCCGCGTAAACAGATACTTCATGTTCACTTCACCTAAAAGCCAAGAGATAAAAATTGTTATTTGTTACAATCAGACTTATATAAAGAGAATCTTCCAAAAAGAGTACATCATGTCATACCGTGGTACATTATTCCATAGAGCAGCATAATTAATCCAAGAGACAACAGGCATTTTCTTGTATGATTCGGCCTTTTCTTCACAATGGCTCGTAATGAGCCCACCAAAAAGTCTTTCACTCCGGAGGGATCCACAGACATGGAAATGTTGTTGTTACACTGTGGCTGTTGTTGGTGATAATAGTGTGGGGGTGGGAGCTGTTGATAAGGTGGAGGTGGTGCTACCAGGGTGTTCTGGTCACCATTTTGATAGTAGGACGGATTGACCAAGGACTCTGCTTCATCCGATCCCGATTCAAAGTCCGTCTTGGCGTTTTCACTGAAGCACCTAATTCTGGAGGGGATGGCGTCGGTGATGGTGCCATAGGAGCCGTAGCCATACTTGCCTATGGAATAGACGGACACCTTGGGTTGTGGGACTTCTGGCAGGAAGAATCCCGTGTAGATGACCGAGATGGCATGGAAGCAAACTGCGGCTGAGAAGACGCATAGATAACCGCCCATTTCGAAAAGATATGCTCCCAAGAATAGCCCAACGGGTGAACCAAGGGCCCAACAAGCTTCTGCCACACCCAGTCTCCACGTCCGACTCCGAGGAACGCTCGAGTCCGCGATGTAGCTGAATGCAGCCATGTGGAACACCTAAAAACACATTTTCAACATCAAATAATAAAGTTCTGATTAAATAACGATTCGAATAAATTATTGTGCGAGGCGGTTGGCTGTATACCCCATTTGCTCCCCCAATACTATGCGGAAGTGAGACCATGAAGAGAAGGACGACGGGGTCCCAGTGAATGAAATAGGCATTGGCAAGGAGTCCAATCGACCGGAAGAGTTTTCCGAGGAGTGAGAGCATCAAACAGGGCTTCCTCCTCCGCGTCGAATCGCTCCACACGCCCAGAAATAAGACCAGAAGCACCGGCAGTGAATTCTCCACGAGGGAATTATAAAGCAGGAAGTTGGACGATTTTTCCTAAACGATAAAATGTCAGTTTACTTGGCATTTAATTATTAAGTAAGTAAGAATATTCAAGCATATTGTATGATAACCTGTTCCCACCTGAATTTGATTCATTATTGGTTTCAACCATTCCTGATCTGGAGTTAGCTCACCGTTCACAGACTCGTAAAATTTACAAACTGCGTCATCGTATTTTAATTGTACTTTGCAGATCTAATTCAAAAATGAGTCAAGTATTAGTATAAACTACGTCAATTGTCTGACAAATTTTGCCAACATCAATTTATCTATTAATTTTAATAATAAGTAGATTACCTTATCAATAAAGAGGTTTTGAAATATGACGTAGGTGAGAGTATCCCCAGCTTGTTGCTAGAACGAAGGAATTGTATACTATTTGAACCGTTTCTTATGCAAGTAATTTTGTTGACTGAATACATAGATATGCATGAGGTGCAGATCGATTAATAGGTAAGTAGATAAAATGCTACTCACTAAAAACATGGCAGGTTCAACCGTTACTTTTTTCAACCAACTCATGGTCACTGCGAGAAAATTGGTTTCCTATTTGTGTCACACTTGTTAAGAACTTAGAATAGTTTACGTTGCGTTAAAAAATTGGCGACCGAGGATGGTGCCTTTTGCGAAATGATCACTGTTTCCTCAAGATTACTCCATTTTATGTAATAAGAAACAATGTGATACATATATAAGGCAAATACGATGTAAATATGTGGTACGAGCTGCGAAAGGAATTTCCTTGACGTATAAGGAAGGGTTCACTTATCTGGAGAGAAACTAAAAATGACACTTCTTGCTAAAAGTAGTGGTACGATGACCACGACTCGTCTTGACTCTCATGACATATGTTGATTAAGATGCTGAAATTATTTTTTTTTGTAATGTGGTACTAATGACTCACACAAATAACGTTACCCTGTTTGATATGTAAAATAATTCCACATGTTAAAATTTTGTATACGTAATTTAATCAAAGCTCACAGGTCACATGAAAAATGTTAATTGAGAAACTGACTGTTGAGGTTTATGAGTTGTCCGTATCTTTTTATAGTCGTGCTGGACATCAGTGACACAACCACACTTGTATTACCAAGGAATAAAGGTGTATGTATGTTCATATGATTGACCTTTTTCAGCACTGATGCAAGTTATAATTTGTGGTTATGCTGATCACAGGCTGATTAGATTATCTGCGGCTTGCATCCATGCTGGGCCAACATGTTCAAGTTCATAATTACTCATACTATGCGTATGAGGTTGGGCAATTTACAGTAATATGCAGACAGACAGCCTCGGATGTATAAACTGTCCATCATCTTCTTCTGTTTTAATATGATTTATTTCATTGCAAAATGCTAATTAATGTTCACCTACTCTATTTACTGCTGTGCATTCGTCATTCCCATGTTTTATGAGTTATAAACAGGGTCATTGCAATTAGTACATTAAATCAATATCATTATAATACTTCGCATATCAATATCAACACAAGAGACGTATCGATGTGCAATGTGAATAAGTCAATAGTCATTGTTGATTGAGTTTTAAATCACAACTTGTAAATAACTGGAAAGTAATTCCCACATAAATGTCGCTCGTACAGAAGCGTATTAAAATAGTATTGATTGATAAAAGTTTCATAATAACTTGAATTGTTTTGAAACATTGGGCATATTCCATGGGATCGGGGAATCCCAGATGTCAAGTGCTGTTTGTTGTGAATGGAAGCAGCATTTATATTAATGCGTAAATATGCACATGTCACTAAATAACAAACACTAATAATATTGATAACAGTATTATATAAGTAATTATGCGAATTAACTAATTTCATTTGCATACAAATATTTTTTTAGAAATCAGAGAGGAAAATGCCGACAGTGATTGTTTTAGACGTGTCTTTGTCCATGTGTCGACCTGTGCCCAGTGCTGCAGCTCCAGATACTCCAGAAGATGAGATTCCTACCAGACGAACACTTGCTATAGAAGTCATCAATCAATTTCTGCAACACATTTCAACCCACTGCAAATTAGAATTTGTTACTTTGGTATGAATTCTTCTTTAATTGTTGCACTACTTGTTCATATTGGATCATCACATACATATGTATGACTTTGTATAACCATCGCGTTTCTTTCCGTTGTTACAGATAACTTTCTCTACTCTATTTGAAATCATTACACCCTTTGACAGAGACTTGGATGCAATTCGGGGAGAATTGAGTTCTATATCAACTTATGACTGTACTAATTATGAGGCAATGCTAAGTGGAGTGAGTACAATAGTTATAGATACTTGGGGCACCACTGTTCCTGTGCAGGCACGTACAAATTTGTAGTCTTGCGAAAATATCAATTTCTCACGTCTAATTGACTATGTGCTTGATGTGTAAAAAAATCCAGATTCTCCTTATTACTGATGGCTCTGGGGGTTTTGGGCCTGGATGCCTCAAGGACGCCATAAAATCTGCGAAACATTTCCCATTCCCTGCCAAAATGAATATTATCACCTTAAGTTAGCATTTTATGCTTATTTTAAATAAAGTTTGATACTTTGTTCTTAATATTTATATATGTAGGCGATACTGGGGAAAAGAACTATACAGAAGGATGTCAAATGTTGCAGAGATTGATTGATGTCACTTGTGGAGACGGAATGGTCTACTTTCCCGAAAATCACTTAACATCAAAGGTGCGTACTTAATAATAATTCGTTAACATATTTATCAGCCATGCTCGTTCAATCCATGATAGGTGTCTTGAAAAATGATAAACACTTTTTGTTCTTTTGTGCAGGGATGTAGCAGCGCGTTGTCAAAATTGTGTGCAAAGGACTTTACCCCATATAAAGGATTTCTTCGTTGTGGCAACTTGGTTTCAAAAATTACACTATGTCCTCCTCCCCAACCTTTCGTGGTGAGTTTTTTAAAATTTCTCTATAGATAGGACTTATAAAATTTATGTATTCATTTATTTAGTCCCGTTCTGATGAAAAACGATACGACTTTTCTGAAGCCATTGATATTGTCGGGTTTATTGAAGGGAATGATTTATCCAGTCCTGCTGCGCACTCCCGGCATTTACTTCTTCCCCTCAAGTCTGGTAATTTTGTAAAATCATGTTTGCGTTTGATCCAAATTTTTAAAATATTAAAGCGATTTTAATGCATTATTATTATGTAGATTGTACATTTCCATCCTCGAAATCTGAAGATTCTGAAGAGGACATTGATGGGAAAACACCCAACTTTTGTGTTCTTTTACACGGAGCATTAAAAGTATGAACAATTTAATTAGATAGCTAAGGTTTTAACACCAATAAAATATTTGTAATTATTTAATTTTTGTGCAGGTGGATAACAAATGCGCTCTGGTTGAGGTTGGAAATAATTGGTACGGATTCATTTACACATGGCAGGGTAAGGTAACAAATAAGTTGAACATATATATTTCGGTTGGACGATAAATAACACTGTAGTCCTATTGGCTTTGCCGTTTGCCATATCATGAAACAATTGCAATTACTGTTAAAATGCTCAAGCTTCTTCACAAGCAAGCTGTTTGTTTGTGGAAAGATTGTTAGGACCACTTAATATTTGATGTTAAAGTGATCATTTTGTATCTGGACAGACAACAAGAAGAAATCTAACCTTATGCTGTCAATCCTACCCCCAGGTACATTTAATTATTTTGCTTATAGCTTCTAGTGTGCATTGACTGAAATAACACTAATTATGCAGGAACCGATGTTGTGCCTTGGTTGGGAAATATGCAACTTCTCGGGTAATCAACAAACCTGATTAATTAATTAGATATGCATATACCTTACCGATTGTATACGTATGTATGTATGCACAGACCGCTTGAGGAATTTGTGACGAATCGATCTATCCCCACTGTACCAACATTTCCTGTTAAGCCACCAGAAAAAAAGAGTTATGGAGGATCTCCAACCGGTAATTTCTAAATTAAAGTTGCTTGTCAGACTGATTTTTGTAAACTTGGTAAATTTAGTGTGGATAACTCCGGATCAAGTTAACAATGACATGGTCAAGTTACTGCGTAATTGCAAAAAATTGCCAGACAAGAATAACGCGTTCTATAAAGTGAGTAACACCAGATTTGTTCACTGGTTGTGTGTAAACTATAAAATTTAACTCGTTTACGTATGCAGGAACTCAATCGAATTCGCCGATGGGCGTTAGCTATTGGATTTGAATCTATTTTGGAATCTGTGGCTCAAGTATATAACAATCTGTTTTTAAAACATATAATTGATTTAGTTAACTAATGGTCATTCTCTGCTTAAAGATCTTGGAACGAGAATGCATGGTATCAACTTCAACTCATCCTGACGCTTCCATTCAATTAACACATGCAGCCACCCAACTAAGAACTCCGGCCGCATATAGTAAAACAATTACTCCTCACTCATCTCATTGAATATTAGGTTTGTTAAATTGTATTTGTCTACATAAGTTTAAGCTTTCTTTGTTACAATTTATATGTAAGTGACGGACACATGAAATACCACAAATTATTATAAAATATATATATATACGTATCATCATGATCCAATTACATTTCTAATTCGTAAATCATCAGTATGAATTACTATGTACACGTATTGTTCAAACACTTAATGGCAGTTGGTTAAAAGGGAGAATCAGTTGAAATTTCATTTTTACAGCTAATTATTATCATGTTGTTTGCGAACATGAGAGTACTGTCTGCTCTTTGTCGTAGTGTTGTTGTTCTTGCTCCGACTCTTTCCTCTCCCAGCCTTCCATTTTCCATTTTTATTGCTGTTATTACTGCTGCGCTTTGGAACCATCATACCAGCCTGAAATCCAGATAAATAGGCTGCCTTTTGTTTTCCATGATCCTCAGCAAGTCGAACACGTAGGGGTTCAGCACATCCAGGAGGAATACAGTTATTCAACTTCATAATTGCAGTTGAAGCTTGATCTCTCTTCTCGTATCTGATGAACGCCACACCTCTCGGCAGATTGGTATATTTGTCACGTAACAACTTCTTCTGAATGATGGGTCCAAACGGTTTGAAAATGTTCAATAGTTCTGGTTCTGTGATATTTCTTGGGAGGTTCGTGATGTATAAATTAGTGTGTTTGATGTCGTCAGAGGGTGGACGAGCAAAGGATACTATGGAGAAAAAACATAAACACAGTTAGTCACACTGAATTTAAACTAAACTTAACTTGCTAAGTTTGGGGATCACGTATTATTTACTGGGAAATAAAAATATATCAACCTTTGATTTTTTTTGTGGCCACTTCGAAGCCATTCATAGCACGTTGTGCAGCAATTGCAACTTCATCGGTAGTAAAGTTGACGAAACCAAATCCAAAAGAGTATCCAGTCTGAAATGAAACATACATACATGCAACACGATACTAATAAAATCTTTACTTTTGTCATATAGTTTTTTCTTACTTCACTGTCCTTCATAATTCTGACGCTATCTAGAGGTCCGAAAGGACTGAAGGTATTATACAACTCAGCGTCCGTGAACGTTTGAGGAAGATAATTGACAATGAGATGTCGTTTAGTGAGAAAATCCTCCTCGGTGTCGAAAAAGGTCATAGAATTGTTGCAGAGATCCTCCGTGTCACTCATTTCACAAGAATGTGTAGTTGGCGATGATAAAAAGTCGCGACGAGATCTCGTGACTTGGCCACTTGCTTCATTATTGCCATACTCATCTTCATCCTCCTCCTGGTTGAAGTGCTGGACGGGATTTGGGAGTGGTTCAAGAACGTCCATATTTTAAATGAACTTCCTTCACACTTGCCGTTTTTTGAAGGAAGCCTTCCTTAGGAAGGTGAAAGTAGTCCACTGTTAATATAATACGCGATGATTAGATTTTAACACCAAAATGCAAACTCGTTCAGAATAATCAGTAATACTGATTCAGTGCCTATTAACCTTATAAAAACTAATTAATTTTGACCTGGATACCATTTAAAAACGGAATTAAAAATGGTTTCTATTGCATTTGGGGGCGGATTTACTGGGGGGCAGAATACCATTGAGACCGACTTGTGGGGCGGTGATAAAATCAGTTGGGGACTGAATTAATGCAAACCGATTTTGAATATTCTACTGATGCAGTTATGATTTATTAGAGACCTGGAACTGATTCGACAACAAAAATTAGAACATAATACATTTTTAACATGAAATTGCAACTGAACCAAATGAACACACGATATTAATTTTGATAAAAAGATCGGATTTGATTTTGATAGTACTACAAAAATAAACTAAACGAACAAATCGTCATCATTCATGTCATCAATTTGATGACACTGATTTTGGGATGCATTTTATATTTTAAACAAGTTATTAGCTATAATTTTGTCCTTCAGTGTTCTGTGACTTGTTCCGATCGGTGGTGACACTATTGCGAATATATTAGCTAAAGAGAACGTTGTGATAATTTTAAAAAAATATGAACTGTATCATATTTACAACATGATACAGGTCAGAGGTCAACGCCGACCAATTTATTAGCGGCGCCAATGTTGGATAATTTTTCGGGGGCGCGGCGTGACCTCTGATGCACTTCCTCCGAGTTCCTCCCCCCACTACAACTACAACTCTAAACTCTAAAAAAATTAGTTCAGGCTTGAAGAAAAACCAACGACAAATAAGGAGGAAAGAATGGAACTGAGAAAATTTTCTCGGTCATTTTATTTTTATTTTTTCCTACACCTTATTGATGTAGCCCGGTCTCAACGGAATTCTGTAACCATACACCTTATTGGTGGAATCCGTCGCCAACGAGAAAAAGTTGGCCTACACCTTATTGGTGTAGTCCGTCGCTAAGGCGAAAAATTTGGCCTACACCTTATTGGTGTAGTCCGTCGCCAAGAGATCGAAATCGCCCTCCACCTTATTGGTGGAATCCGTTTTTAAAAGGTTAATTTGTCCTTCGTCCCAGATTAATAACCTCGAAACTTCGTTATTGTTTCCGTGAGAATTCAATCCTGTGTGTGCCGGGCAAATGGTAAAGGAATATGATCTCATATTCATATCACGTTTTTATAGTTGGGCATCTCGAGATTTTGAGACGACTTTCTCTTTCTTCATCATCTATCGATTCCACACTGAATCCGGGTGTTTCTCTCATCCTGCATATCCAGCAAGTGCACCCGATTTGCACATCCTCCAAACTAGACATGTGTAAGATCCGTCGGACCACTTTTGACAGATGCGATATTATGCCATGCCCTACGTCGTCAACTCGCTCTCCTTTTCCCTTTATGTAATCTTCATTTCATTTCATTATCGAGACAAAATCGTCTTTTTGAAATCATTACCCTTTTGTTTATCATTGTGTTCAACCGTTTATTGTTCCTGATTTCATTTGCACCATGCATCCGTGCCATGCATCAGAGTCTGCTGTCTATTCATACCTTAATTTAATCCTAAGTTTCTGAAATTGTATAAATCATTTCAAACTAACGAATAGAGTGCCTAATTAACCTTGTTGTTGGGAGCAAGGAGTTTGTTGCATTGTGATCACTGCGTAAGGGGCTAAGAGATGGGGACAAGGGCTGTAAGTAGAAAGTCGGTCTTAATTCATATTCAGGTTTACTTATTTGTACTCTTAATAAAATAATGTTACAGGCAGCATTCACGGCAAAGATCCGCAACCTTCACGATTATCATTCCAGGTTGACCAACGGGGTGATGCCTCTTCCCACAGGGCTCGACATAAGCAACACCCTCAAATACTTCTCTCAAACTTTGTTAGGTATACAGGAAGATAGTTAACCAATACATTCATACAAGTTTATTCAAAGCAGCATGCATGGTTCTCTTGACAAAAATTATTAAGCTTTTTGTACATTTGATCATCGTAGTGGTACTTAAAGACGTTCCCTCTTTTCCGTTGGAAATGCTAAAGTCTCGTTCAGAGGATGCAGCCAGAATGCAACTTTTTCCTAACTTGGACTATAAATCCTTAGTAAGTCAAATTCTGTGTCGATTGGTTTTGCTCAACTATCGGATGATTATGTAATTAAATGATTATTTGTATTGCAGTTCGCCGTAGTTGTTCAACTAATTGACGCCGCACCCGTAATTACGTTTGGAATTCAAAGTTTGTAGATAATTTTGTATATTTTGTGAGCAAAGAGATGAGACGTAGAATTAAAATTATTTATTGTATTCTATCGGATTTTTTTGTACGTGCCAGCGTTTGGTCAGCACATTCTGCAAACGATTGCTTGCCTTCTCCCTTTTTTGGAGCATGACCAAATCGACACCCTTCCATACATCGTGACAGGTATTTCATCAATAAACATACCGGAATACGTAGAAAAAGTATGATCGGCAACTTCGTGTTATTATTATTAAAAATTATGACGGACAGCCTCATTGGGAACGTTCCCGACATCACTGCATCGAGGTAACATTGCTATATACGTACTCTAAGCTTCCTAATTATTCTGGGAGAAAAGGCCAAGTTAACATTTCCTAATTAATAAAATTTTATTCATTCCAAAGAAATTTTGGACCTCTTATGCTACTATCTCTTCCCATTTACGATTTGTAAGTGTGTAGACAACTTTCACTAATGACTTTCTTTTCCTAAGAGCAGCAGCAATTTATAATGAGATTCACATATTTTTATTTCGTACTCTTAGTCAAAACGGATGAAAATCCAGAGAAAGCGATTTACTCAACACAATCGGTCAGTGCAGTTTTGATGATGGTTTTCCAATACACGAGTGGGTCAGGTTGGTTGAAATTAGAAATTTTGTAGCAATTGATGTATTTACATGTACATACATGTATATGTAAATACATCAATACAGGTCAAACGGGCACATGTGCCTTACACCCGTTTGACCTGTAATTTTATTAAATGATTGGACTGAGATATGCATATGCTTTTCTAAGAATACCATTGTCAAATTCTGGAAGCTGTGATGAGATACAAACGGGATGCGATAAAGGATTTGCTTTGCGTCGTGGCGTACGGAAGTTTGGTTGCGAGAAACGTCGCCATCAACTTATTGGTCTACTATTGGCCTCACCACAATCCAACCCTTTACGACAGGAGAAACATTACCTTCAAATTTGGTAGGAGTATTCGAATTTAGATTCAACTTGAAAAATTTTGCATATTTCCTGCTAATTGAGCTGGTTTAATTGATGCACGTAACATTAACTATATAGGATACAAGGTTCCAACGTGCAAGAGTGAAATGTGTAGCGTGCACAATACTGGGGGATTAGGTATGGCAACTTGTACAGACCCCTATAGTTATGAACGAGTCCTTACTATTATTGTATGAAATGTTGCAGCCGATGCCACCAAAGTCTGCTATGACCACTCCATTGGAATTTCCCTTGGTAAGTCTTTTTTGCCAGAATTCCATAGTTTTGAGCCTATTGTAATTTTCGCACATCAAATCTAGCCCCGGAGAATCCTCCACCATTATTCTTATGCCAAGAATGTGCAAGTCGACTTCAGAGTGAGCAAGGTACATTTATAAACAAATATAATCCAAGGTAATCTTCACCTAATTAGAAGTGGGTACATCTATAAATATCAAAATTTAATCCTATTACAGCAAATGCCATTGAACACTTGTATGACGTCAATTTACCCATTAGCAGAACCGGAACGACGTGTGACAATAAGGTATCTCCAACGTACAATATATGTATACTTACCAGTTACGGAAGGCCACTTTCATGACTTTGCATATGTCTCATAGAATTGCAGGTCTCAAGGTCCCGAAAAGATCATGAATGGTGTGATTTGTTTTAACTCCGAATGCGCAAGGTTAGTTACCATAATAAGTTCTTTTTGTGAAGTAATTGTGATGTTAATAAAATTGTCCCTTTTTTCCTTCCATTGTAGCTACAATGGAAGTCGACCCATTAGGTAATTATTAATTGTAATTATATACATGCACACTTTCACTCTTTGTGTAGGACATTTAGGATAAATTACTAACTGGTCTGTTACTATTCCCTTGTCTTAGATATTGCCAACAGGTAAGACCTTTTTGTTTAACCATTGTTGTCACCAATTTACACCCTAATTTGTTTGCCAACAGTGTCACTCTATCCGACATAATAATAGGAGAGGAGCTGACCACGTCTTTCATTTGGCGGTACAATCTCCAAGTTATGCAGACACGGAGTTACTAACTTATCATGTCGAAGCAATTGTGAGGTAAAGGATGGTGGTGGCGCCATGCCACTGGATTCTCCTTTATTTTTTTCTAACTACAAATTTGTAAATAATCAAATGCAGCCTACTTCTGGAAGCTGAGCCTTTGGCAACTCGTGGAGGTGCGAAAGAAGATCATAACACCAGACTGCGGCTTTTTACCGACGGGGAATTTACGGACCCAATTCCTGTAGAAGAACGACGACTAATGGGAAGGTTTGGAATTTGGCTGCTCGTCGGGTTCTTTAATGCAGAGGAAGAAATTTCAAAGGATATTTTGTGCCGGTTATTGTCGTCGTTGTTCCAATGGTTTAATACTACGGCTTATCTTGGCGATGGTATGCAAATAAGACAATAAGTAAAATTGAGCATTTGGGACGCCACAATTTTTTCACGTGCATGATTTACAGATCCATCTGCAGGTGCTCTAGAACGTTTAAAAACAGATGTGGTGTGTCCATGGCTAAAGAAGATTATCAAACATAATTTTGACACCTTCGTCACGTGTTTACTTCCACATCCCCCGGATTTTGCTAGAGTTGGTGGTCACTGGTCAGTAGGCGTGATTTTTTTGATTTTTATTGTTTTATTATTATATAATTTTTTATTAGGAGTAATTCCTTTAACGCTGTTACAGATTTACTTACAATTAGTATTGAATTTATTTGTAGGGATGTAATTTCATCTCGTACATTTCACCTACGTGAAGGTTTCAATCGGCTATTCTGTCTTGTTCCGTACGAGGTAATATCTCCTGAAATATGGAGTCAAATAATGCCAAACTGGATGGAATCAATGGCTTCAGAAGTCCCAGGTAAATTATCAATTTGCACTAATTGTGGGCACGCAGATGTAGTTAAGTTAATAATGATTTATTAGTCAATTCATATCAAAACCAATCATTACAAAAAATGTCCGAGTGAAAAATGTTTGAGTACTATATATAATTGTAAATTACAATTTGCAATGATTCTCCAACTTTACAAGTGCGTGAAATTCTCTGTTTCAGAAGAAGAAATGGCAGAGTTGAAAATAATTTTGAGGTAAAATTATCATATACATATTGTCATTGAACATGTGGTTTATCAGAATAAGTTTGCAATTGAATGAAATTGACTTGTGTATTTTCTGTAAATCAGCAAAGTGATGGATCCCGAAATGAACCCGTTGGGTTTCGACGCCAGGCAAATGTGAGTTATATTTATTAATATATATTTGCATATTTAAAAAAAAGTCTTAAACTTTTGCAGGTACCAATTTATTGCTGTCAGATTTCATCAGACTTCACACAAAGTCAAAGAACAAGCTTTGAGGTTAGCATGAGTAAAATATTATGTATTCCATTTTATATGTACTTATCACAAGGATACATATACAATTAAGTTGGTAAACAAATGTCGTGTTTTAACTGTAATTTTCAGATGGCTACAGGTAAAATAACTAAATATAACTGTTGTAATTATAATATATCCGATTGATTAATTAAATGTGCCTGTTTTCGACTCACTAATTTTATTGTACACATTACAGGTCCTATCCAAATTGGAAATTGTAATTCCACTCTACTTTATATTTTCCATCTTCCGTGAAGGCATTCGGCCAAAGTCTGAAAAAGTTCCAAAGCGTGGTAGTGTTTCAACGCAGTCCAGGGACAACGAAAATGCGTCCAAAGATGTTATCGGTATATGCAAGTCTCAGATTCAATTTATGAAACATTTATATATTTAACATGCAGACATTGAGAGATAATTTGCGGATATTGCAGCTGCCATTTGCCAGGACGAGTCGCCAAATGCATCATCTCTGTCGGACGATGAGGATAACTTTACTCTGCACACTGAAAAACAAACGGAAAGCGAACTCATGCTGTCCTCATTTATTTTCATGTTGGATATCATTTTAAAACAGGTTGGTTAAACCAATAGTGGTTATTTAATATACATTTGTACTTATAAGCAAACCGCTTTGATTGATGATGACATCTTATGATTTATCAAAGATGTGATAAAAATTATATCGTATTTATTCGCTATTATTGTAGTTGGAACTTCAGGAAGTGGAGCAGCACAAAGGTCTTCAGTCCCTGGTTGCAAAAGATGCAATGACACTGTTGCACAACATGGTGGCAATGCCATGGCCTGGAACACACACATGCCAAGACGGTCAGGAATGTCAGTATTGTGGTTTCTGTGTTTTTTGGTATCAGTTGGCGTTAGAAATTGTGGAAAAATTAGCTCCAAAGGCTTCAGCAATTCCACCAGATGTAAGTAAACGAAAGTATTCGATAATTTTTATTCATTGTAATGTTATCAAAATAAGTAAGGTAAACCCCAACGAAAATTTTTAATTTACCTTCGAAAATTGTTCTAGGCGATGATGAGTCCAGATGGAGAATTCGGTTCAAAGTCCTTCCCAGAAGTCCCCCAAAAACTGGAAGTAAAACCGGAAATGAAGCCGTCCATTTCCCCCAAATCCGAAAGTATGGGTCTGGAAGGAATCATTGTTAATATGCCGCAAGTAATTGAGAAAGTTATTTCTTGACCACAGCAATATGCGTATGTGCATTATTACATTTGTTATTTAATTGAAAATTTATATTACAATCCAGATTTTAACGGCAACGGTTGAGACTTGTTCTGACATGGATTTGGCACCCATCATGCCATCCGAGAAGGTGGTGAAAGCAGTTGCGAGAGCGGTCACAATAACAGAGTCAGAAACGGGTAAGTCGAATAGACTCTCCAGAGTATTTATGTTATTAAAAATAGCACGATGATGACCTGCAGCATCTGCAACCGCACACATCGCCTCGTCCGCAACGCTTGTTGGAGATGAACAAGTAATTGGAGGGGATCTGAGTGGTGAATCGGACAAGGATTTTTGGATTACGAGCGTTAGTACAATTAAATTGAAATCGAAACTTTCAGAAGTAATAAAACAGCAAAAGAATAAGTATATAATTATTGTACCTCATACAGGTTGGAAAATTCAAATTTTGTATTGAAGAACTTCCGCCCTATTTGCAATTTACTTTTGAATTGTTAAAGGTTAGTGGGAAAATTGCATTATTCATTTTTTGTGAGTATGATGTACCTGCTAATTTTATTTCATTACAATTTTAGAAAATCCCCGAGATTGAGGACCCAGAGTTGATGGAATACCTTTTAAAATGTTTAAAAATCATGTTTCTTCATGAGGAGGTGATGCAAAAGGCTGCAAAGGAACATCGTGGCTTTGTCATTTGGTGCCAAGAAAATTTACTTATTAAAAAGTGAGCCAAATAACTTTTATAAATACGCAAGTGTTGAAGGAAGAGTTCCTCAACTGGAATGCTAATTTATTCATTTTGTTAAATATTCAGTTTGTGGGAACTGATGGATGCAGAGTTCAGCCAGGTGAGTTTTACATACGTTTTTCAGACTTAAAGTTGGTCAGTTTATCTCAACATTGTCTTTTTATTGCACAGTTGTGCGAACATGCAGTACCGATTTTGGTACATTGTATTACGCTTCCTGTTGGAGCGGACACGTTTTGGAAGCAAATTGAAGAAGATTTCCAAAGTACAGATTGGAGACACCGTTTTACGGCAGGTATAGTCGCAGGCAGTTTAATAAAACAATTACATATTTACAATATAATCCTATACTATGATACAACTTTTGCTATGCATAGTCGAACGTGTGGTCACCATTACCAGATTTATAGATTCGTACCCAGTAAAGAGCAGCCAAGCTTTGCAGACAGCAATGGCTAATGCCTTTTGTTACACAATCTCGTCTCTGGACGACCCCCATGTTTCAGTGGCTCAAAGGGCAGCTTTGTACCTCGGCACTATAAATGATTCAGCGTTGCAGGTTCGTGATTCGATAATTACTTGGCATCTTCAGTTGGGCATATAATATGTAAAACTGTCGTATGTGTATTTACATAGTATTTTAATTATTATTAACGTAGAGTTTGATGTATTGTTTGGAATCACAATTTGACTCGGTAATCATTGATCGTCCGGGTGAGTAAAGTGTTATTATTTAATGACTGACAAGATATCAATGTTGATCATTGCATATTTCAGTAATCCTACAATCGCTCTACCTCCTCATAAACTCTGTTAGTGACCGGAAAATTTTGCGTTGGGACTTTTTCTTAAATTGTTTCGACACCTTGTTCATAGAAGCTCAAATTACACTAGAGAGAATGGGTGACGTTTCCTACTCCAAAGGTAATTCCCCACTCACCATGCATTACATTGAATAAGTAGTTAATTATGTATGTTTGTGACGATTTTCAGACGCGAGGCACATTGACTCTAGTTTTGACCATTTTATTAAAAAACTTGGTAGAGTTCAGGTACATAGGTTTATCATGTCTGGTTAAATTGTACATTATATTTAATTAGATGCAAATACTTTTCTTAGGATTCTCTAAGTAAAGGCGAATCAAACCACGGGCATAAAACATTATACTCGAGCATTGGAACTAAATGGCCGTACAAAAGAACCATGTCTGCTCCTGCAGGGTTCCAGAAAAATGAAAAAGATCGACAATATTGCAGACAATCCTCTGCACCTGCGTTGAAACGGAAAGGGTCGCGTCATGGCGTTGGTACATGTTCTTTTTATTTCTATTTTTCTATCATGATGCACGTAGATAAGTACTGACAAGCCATAACACCATGATGAATAACGTAACTTTTTAAATACAGAGGGTCATATTCATGGGCTGCTTGCTGGGGAAGATAGCCACTTGGCTGGGATTTTTCACAGAATTGTGGAGGTAGAAGAATCCGACAAGGAAACAATTCACCTACTCGTGTTCTTGTTTATGCAATTTTTGTCCCGATATAACCGTGGGGTACAATATATGCATATATATTTATAATATTTTCCTCATCTGCCATTTAATCCAAGGTCATTTTTAATTTATTCCAAATTTTGATCCTACAGCCAATTCCAAGTGAAAATAAATCACTAGCAAGGACACAAACAGCCGTTTTACGGCATGTCACAATGTTGTTGGGATACAATCCACAAGAAAAGGCATTTTTCCTTACACCCAGCCGGGTCAGATCATCAGCCATATTTAACTCTTGGAGTAAGGTTCTTGCGTTAATGTACCCATTTCTTATGAGTATTGAAAACTCATATTTGACTTAATTTTCACCTTGTGTGTTCCAGTTTCAAATCTTCCTCAGGTTGTAGATCAAAACTTCCGAGTGGGAGCAACTATGCTACCAATTTCATTGACTGTGTTACACTACTGCCCAGCACCAAATAAAAGTGCTGGGTCAAGAATGCACCCTTCATTTTCGCTTTGGTTTCTTGAACCACATGTTCGCAGACATTGGTTGATTTCCTTGATTGTAATACTTTATAAGGTATGCATAGTTTTCTTTAATTGGCGGAGAATTTCTAAGTAATCATACAATGAAGCCACTTTTGATGTATGGGTAGTACGAGTATGGCGTTCTTCCATTATCCAGCCAGGTTCAGACCGTAATCAGAATAGTTCTCAATACCCTCAACTACCAAGAGCATCGATGTCGACCGCTTCCATCCACACTTATACTAGACGAGCCAAATGCTCGCTCCAGAGGTGAAGTTTACATATTTATAAGTAGTTATTTTACTTATGGGTGTGCTCTAAAATACATTTTCGTTGTTGACGGAAAGATATTTAATATTTTAATTGCGGATTTAAATATTTTAGAAGTAAGCAGAGGAAATCTTGCGAATGCTGACCTCGAGCACATCACAGAGCATGAAACACCTCCAACAACTCCACATAGTACTCAGAACGTATCCCCAAGTTTCAGCCTTAAGAAAGAACACAGGAAAAGTGTTGGGAGCATTACGAGCACAAAATTTGTAAAGAAACCAACCACGTCGACCACCGCACCGACTCCTGGAGTAACCGACTCTTTTGAAATAATGTGAGACTAATATTGTCAGCTTTACCGAAATATCTTGTAAATTCTATTAAAGTATAAAACATTGAGCATGTTTCACTGCTGCACTTTAGGTCGTCACAGGATGATGGAGATGAAATTGAACCAGAACTTGCGGCGATACCAGAGTCGCCAAAATCACATGGTTCTGGTGAAATGGTAATTGTTGGCAATATTTTGTGTACACTTGTACTTTTTAGCCCGAGTCAGGGCTTATGGAACCATCATGTCCGTCCGTCCCTCCGTCCGTCTGTCCGTCTGTCCTTCTTACGATAACTCTCGTTAAACTCATCCTATCGACTTGAAATTTGGTGCACATGTAGTATGGGGCAAATGAGGAGTTAAGTTCGAAGATGGGCGAAATCGGTCAAGTGGTTGACCAGTGGGGGTCATATAGGTGGATGGGGTATTATGCATCAAAATTTCAAAATTGTCATAGAAGGCAGAAATTTGGCACTGAGGTTGCTAATGGTGTCTAATGAAAGAGTATGAATTTAAGTTGGAAAAAATTTCATTTTGAAAGACCCGAGGGGGTGACCCATACTGATTTGTCAAAATCGTCATATCGAGTTGAAATTTGGTAGATAGGTTGCGTATGGGGTTTAAGGAAGAACATTAAATGAAATTGGTCAAATTTTTTATCTGGAGGGGCCCGAGGGGGTGACCCATACAGATTTTTGAAAATCATTTAATTGAGCTGAAATTTGCCATTGACGTTTCTAATAGCTCCTAATGAAATAATATGAAGTTAAATTAGTAAAATTTTTATGTGGAGCGATCTTAGGGGGTGGCCCATACCGATTTTTATAAATTGTCTTAAAAAGATGAAATTCGGTATGGTGATACTTAATGGTCTCGTATGGAAGTATATCAAGTTAAAAGCGAACAAAGTGGAACCAGAGTAGCCTAGGGGGTGACCCATACCGTTTCTACCACTAAAAGTAGCTATTTTAAAAATTGGTAACTGATATTCGAGAAATTGGTCATACTTGAATTGGCGAGATGAGAAGAAATAAAATTAAAGTGAAAGCTATTCATTGCGTTTTCTATACAGTTCAAAAAGGCACGCAAAAAGGCAAATAGGCAAATAGGAACAAATAGCTAAAAGGCTGACTTTTTGCACACACTGGTCACCCCCACTGGTTTGGAAAACGGGCGTAGACGACTAAAAGTTGGCGTGGTCATGCAGGGTTAGATTAGCTTAATAAATGTAAAGTAAACTTTAAGATTTTTTTTGCACAGGAGGACCCAGTGGGGTTTTTGGAATTGGTTAAAGAAGCTGCAATTTTGCAGCGACGATTGCGAATAATTCGCAATCGACAAAAATTTTCCCATAATGACCGGTACCAACTACTATTAGTAGTTGGTACCGGTCACTTGACAAACATTTAGAAGAGGACTCTGTCCCTGACTCGGGCTATATAAACACTGCACACTGTAGGTTTTAATTTTCACAGTGTCTATTGTTTACAATTTTGCTTATCCTTGCAGAAATCTTTCCACGACCTCGTTGTGATTGACAGCAGTGCTGCACAAATTGTTCAATCGTCCGTTCACCAAGACAAAGAATTCCAAACTGTCGATCAGCTCCAATCTTTTCAGCAGGTCACGGTGCACGGAGATAGTCCAAAGTTAGTCGACCCTGGTCCACTCTCTGCCTCTTCGGATAAATCAAAGTCTTGGTTTCACGGGGATGGAGGGGATTCGAAATCGTCGTCCTCTGGAGCAAGTACAAGCAGTAAAAGTGGTGGTGGTGGTGGTGTGGCATCGGCGTTGGTCAAGGCGGATTTTCCTTGGCATCTTAGTGTCCAAGCTGCTTTCCAAATAGCAAAGATTCCAGCTCCACCACTGGAAAGACTTTTACCCATCGGGGCATTCAACTTACCACCACTTTCTCCCACGGTGAAGATGACGGGCAGAGTTAGCGAGTACGATAACTCGTACGAATCTCAGGAATCGTCGATGGCTTTAGGAAACATGATTTCTTTGGGTATATTAAAGAAATCTTTCAAATCTAATAGTTGCATATGCACATATGATTCTTATGAGTGATTAAATTAAACTTATCCATGATGGTTTATAGGACCGCAGGTTCGAGTGGATGAAAGTGCAATGGACCGAAATCCAGGACGAGACCAGTATGATGACAAAAATTACAAAATGGAAGAATACTCAAAAGCTCTGCATCAGAGTGATGTAATATTCTTGCATAATAATAATCCTTCCATTTCTACAACCGAATGGAATTATATTTAATTGACCACCATTTTAACTAATTTAATGCAGAGTTTTGGGAGAAGCATGTCACCCAAGAAATTAGTAAAGCAACCGCATGTTAGTGAAACCGTAGACGGATCTAACAACGCTACATTTAAAGGGGACGCAAACGGGGGCTCCAAGCAAATACATGATGCGTCTAAATCTGTGGGATTTGTGTACGTTTCGACATATTACTATACGAATATCTAACAAATACAATATTTATAAACAAACAATTTACACATATTAATATTGTTAGTCCTCGTTTGGAATCTGGTCATGCTCGTATGCACAACTTGCGTCAAAGCAGTCTCCGAATTGGGGACGAGGTAAATAAAGTACAAATTACTTAATACTAATTAAGTATGTAAATATGAACATAACAGTGGAGCATGGAACGTTATAAATTAATAACTAACAGACTGTTCAAGACCGATGTGGCGAATGTGGCGTTGTTCTTGAAACATATACAAATGAGGAACTTGGTTTATGTCTGGTTGCTCTTGAAACGTTCATTCATCGTGAACCTGGATTAGCTGCACCACTGATGCCAGAAATACTCAAAATTGTCACGAGGTATTTATAATACTGTGATTATAATTATAATTTGGGGACTTTTATGGATTTATCGTTGTTATTTCGGATTGCTGCTGATTCAAGGATTGCGCTACGACCATTATTTGCCTGGCAAGCGGAAACCTCGGCTGCCACACCTGGAGGAGTCTCCAGTGTTGCTCATCAATTCTTACGATGTGTTCTTCACCAATTGGCCCCTTACGGCGTGTTTGTCCAATTGTTTCAAACAAAATTTCCAGGTCACAATTATTTAAAAAGGTTAAGATTATGTATTTCAACAATATCTTAAGCTAATTTGTTATACCAGCAGATCGTGTAAAATTAGATGTCTTCAAGTCTATAACTGTTTCACTTACGGACTTTACTGAACTCAATCCTGTGGCTCCTCTGCAAATGTTGTTGGAAGCCCTTAATGCCCGAAAATCTTTGATAATGGATACTGTCGCCCGTAAATTATAATATCAATAACATTGCTAATATTAACTGTGACGTTGCGTAATCATCACTTATTTCTTTTCCAGATGTAATTGAAAATATGGCCGTGTATCTCGAATGTCTTCCGCTGGAAGCTGCGTCAGTTACTTGGACTTCCGTAATTCCACTGTTTGAGGCATTTCTGAGGAAAATACTCCCTCTAATTCAAGGTGGAACCGGAGTGGTAGGCATTTTGCGTACGATGGCTTGCCTTTTGCGATTACCTGGAATTGCTGCATTCAAGGTATCAACAAAGTGATAATAATGGTGATGATCTGTCGTGCATGTCGTGTCGTGAAATTACATGGTTAGATATACGCCTTAATCCTGTCATATTTTTAGAGCATCTTGGATCCCTTCTCAAGAATATTAAGTTTTGCTCTGGGAAATGTTGGCCTAAGACATCACGTGCTGACGGATCTTTGTCATCTATGCCATCGTGGGTTCTTGAGAGTAAGAACAAACACCTCACATATATTTTCATCGGTATGGCTTCTGGTATAAATACATATTCATTATGTATAAATAAATTGCAGGAACGAGAAAAAATGTTTTTGACTCGCGTTTCCGTCATCGAACTTGTTCAAGCCATGAAGTTCAAGTCTAATATACCAGATTGTAATTTTTTGATGTTGGTAACGTTTATTCTGCAGGTAAATTTTATTGCTTTTAATATTTTTCGATAAGCACATTATTCAGCTGTATTATATACTAATGATTTTCTAGGATGCTGGTGGATCTCTTGCTCCTTATGTGGAAGGATACACAAAACTCCAAGGATCTGGTGACCCTGTTTCACTCCCTGCAACGGGAGCTGCAGAATGCATGCGTCAACATTTGACGGATTCTCTCGAGTTTTTGGCCGATTTTCATTCTTTGAGCAAAATTAAGGTAGATACTTAAAAATCTTGCTAGCCACATACTAATATGCACGTAGAAATGGTAATATATTGAACAAATGTATTATATGAACAAATTTGTGCAGAGCAATTATAAGGGAATCGGATGTGGACTAAATGATGACACTCTTGGAGGTATATTTGTACACGACCAATGTATAATTTACATTGCAGTGTTAATATTAATGCTAAATTATTGTATGTTAATTTCAGGGGTCATCAAAGGAGGAATTTCGCAATTCATTGCGCTTGAGATTTCTCGAGGCAACAGCAGAGAAAATCGAGCAATCGGTAGGCATCTTCCATGGCTGTACAACGCTCCTTCTGCAATTCAGCAAGGGTACAGCCAGATTTCAAAATATTATACCTAACAACATGGCATGGCTATATTCAAGATATTCAATTAATGTGTCCTGTTAGACCAAAGGAATTTCTGGATTGCGTAGCACACATTCGAGTCTTGTCCTGGTTGTTGCTTGGATCTTTGACTCACACGTCCATGTTTGGACAAAATACGACCGTAACTTGTGTGCCAATTCCGCTAGAAGCCTCGTGTCACGTGGCTGACCACGTTCACGTAATTATGACAGGATTCGCGGAACAGTCAAAGGCATCTGTGCTGCATATGTCGGTAAGCGTGTGTTTTACGGTCTCAAAAATTTTATAGCCTTATTTAGTCATGATTAATAATTAATTAATAATTAATAATTAATGATCGATTTATTTCATCAAACTAAATTGTAATGTTACGATAATCAACTAACAGTTTTTTCGTTTCGGGATCGGTGATTTTTCATGATTACAACTGTTTGAAAAGTTCAAGGGCAAAGATCACAGGCTAGTGCATTGGGACTAGAGTAATGGCTAATCTAGGCAAATTAATATCAAGCACATTATTAGCGATAAGGTTTTGTTGAATAATAACAACATTAAATATATACATTCATATGTTCCGCAAGAGTTTGTGTAGTTAAAACAGCACCACACAAATCACAGTTGAGTTTCTCTTGTAGTGGTGGGGGTAGACAAGCGTTTTTTAGTTTATCTGGAGAGGGAGGAGGAGGGTTGTTGAAGTAATCCTGTGTAATTTAAAAGTGCAGTCTCACACATTTGTCAATATTGCAGGCACTTTTCCATGCCTTCATCCTCTGTCAGGTTTGGACAATTTACTTGGAACAAGTTGGTCCTTCTGCCCAATTGTCGAGTTCTAATGATCCGGCTAATGTGGCATCAAATATTTTAACTGACTTTTGGGGAAAAGTTACTCCAGCCATTCTTCAACTGATCTCACATTCAAAAGTGGTATGGGTACATTACACCTCTACGTTCACATACATGGTTGTGTTGGTTTATCATGTGAAATAATTATTGATACATATTTACAGTTGGCAGAAATGGTTAATCTCCATTTTCTCAGCTTGTTAGAATCTCTGTTGGAATGTAATTCATCCGTTTTTAATCGTCTTCTACCACTTTGGAGTCCTGTGCTGTTTGCACATTCTAGTCAGGTATATGTATATGCGACTTGTTCCTCCACCACTACGTTTGAGTATATGTATTACAATACATGTTTATTCTATTATTATTCTTCTGGTTGAACTTGTTACACTAATTTTTTCATAAATTTATAGCTGCCATCTCATGTAAACGTGAGGCTTCAGGCGTGCATGGGTTATCCACCTCCAAATACTGGTCGGAAAGACGGTGGGGGTGTAGGAGGAGGAGGCCATACTTCTCATGAAATCGAGTTCCCGTCCCCACATTGTGGCCCCGTGCACAACTTGTTACTCCTAAAATGGGTGCAACGGCTTCAATTTAAAATGGCTCAGATCGAACTCCAGTCATCTGCAGCAACCCAGTTCTATCCGTTGTAAATCATTTAAGTGCAGCGATTATAACAATCAGTATTATGTATGTATTATAAATAGTATTTAGTTGCTGTATTCGGTGCTAAAATGGAAATAAATAAAAATAGCTCATGGAATAGATATAGCAGTCAAATCAGTATTATTCATGTTCACACAAACACATGTACATCTGTCATGCACACTATATATTTTCTCTGTGTAGAAAAAGAAACTTTTTCACTCTTATCACGTTCTTGTACACAAAATTGTAAGATTACATATATTAGTTATAGTTTTATTTATGAGTTTTAGAGGAATTGGCAATGCATATAAAATCAGGGTTGTAATTATATAATAATTATTTGTATAATTATGACTACTCTATTGCTACCGTCTACCTCCACCACTTCCGCTTGGAGCACTTCCGCCTGCACCTCCACCAAACATATTTCCCAATCCTCCGGCACCTTGCTGAAGTTGTCGCATTATATTTTGAAGGCCGCCCATTCCACCTAGAAGAAAAAATAAACAAGCAAATATAATCAATAATTTTCAAAAAACACACCAAAGTGCAACATTTTCGTATTTACCCATTTGTTGAAACACTCGAGGGTCCATCATTTTTGCCATTTGTTGATTGAGTTTTGCCATTTGATTTGGATTAACATTCTTGCCCATGTCCCCACCCTTGAACAGTCCTTTGATGCCTCCCATTTTCTTCACCACTGCAGCAAACTTTGTGTATTGAGTAAGCAGTTCTCGGACCTCTCTTTCAGTCACACCAGCACCACAGGAAACGCGGATAATTCGGCCGGGTTGTTTTGTAAATAGTTTGGCTCCATCTCGGTTGTCCAACTCTGTTCAGTTTTAATGTAAGAAATAAAAACAAATCAAAATACACGAGCTTTGAATTTAACTTTCTCGGGCTGCTACTACTTTCTTAATATCACGAGAACAATACCTCCGTCATTCATGCTGTCCATCATTGTCATTAATCGTTTTAATCTGGCCATCGACTCCTTTTCACTGCCCTTGGCCAAAAAATCCTGACTGAATCCTGGAATCATCCCCTAAAGACAGAGTAGACCAGAAAAATAGCACATTGCATATACTTCATCAATTAGTTTGTAAGCTAATATATCATTTACTCACCATAATTTGAGAAAACGGACCCATTTTCATAATGTTTTGGAACTGTTCGTACATGTCGCGCAGCGTGAAATGACCGTGCTTTAGTTTTTCTATCAATTCCTCGTTATCCTCCAAGCCCAAATCATTTACTTTTTCAATCAGGCCTTCGATATCTCCCATTCCTAACAGCTTACTGATGAACGGCTTGGTTTTGAATGGCTCCAAGTCATCAATGTGTTCTCCAGTACCGATGAAAATGACCGGACTTTGTGTAGCAGCAACACTATCAAAATAAATCCAAATAATAATTATCAGATTGAAGCAATCAATTGGTAAGCACATTATATATATCTATATATAGATATATTTTAGATCAAGGTTACGACTTACGCACTAAGAGCACCACCACCCTTGGCATGTCCATCCAATTTTGTGATGATAACAGACCCTACATTAACTTTATCCTTGAAGGCTCTGGATTGCCCCTCACATGCTTGACCAATGGTAGCTGGAATCAATGATCAATCATAGATGAAACAATGGATTAAGAAAATAAGAAACCATTGAACACGTAAAAAGATGAACATAAGAAGAACACAAAGGATAAATGAACTGGAAGTACCGTCCATGACGAATATGATGTTATCCGGACTCTGTCGACATAATTAGAAAATAATATGTAGTAAAACATTTAGAGCATACATGTAAGAACCTGATAATTCGTGGGAAATAAGTTAAGTTACGTACAACGGCGTTGGAAACTTGTAACATTTCTTCAAATAAAGAGTCTTGTTGCTTGTGCCTGCCACTCGTGTCCACAATAATGATTTCGAACCCTTCTTTTTTAAACATGGCGACACCTTCTTGAGCAATAATTACGGGATCAATCTCTGTGTAGCTACAAAATGAAAATTTCCAAGTCATGAATGTTCAACAAATGTTTTAACATAAGCGCTGTGTAATAAAACGTGTTTCATACCTTCCATAGAAAGGGATTCTAGCCTTTGTAGCGTTTTGTTTCAACTGGTCATAAGCACCAGCACGGAACGTATCGGCACAAACAAGGCAAGTTTTCCAACCCTTCTTCATATAGTGATACGCCAACTTGGTGCAAGTCGTCGTTTTCCCAGATCCTTGCAGACCCACAAACATAATCACATTGGACTTCCCTTTAACAGGCTGATAGGCTTTCACTCCTGGATCCACCAGCTGCAATGTACAATGCAATGTTGTGAAGTCCTTCCTCAAACGATTCGTAAGTTTTTATTTACTGAATAATAGAGAACGTACCTTAACAAGTTCTTTGAACACTGCACTTTGGATCATACGACGCTTGTTAAGTCCAGCAGCCATTTCATCAAAATCAATAACAGCCCTGCGGCGAGGAAAAAGTTACAAAATATGAAATAATTGAATTAAACAAAAAAGATGTACAACTTTTTCATTCCTTACCTGACATTTTCCCTTAAGCCCTTAACAAGTCTAATGTTGACATCTGCTTCCAATAAGGCTGTAACAATTTCTTTTAGCATTGCATTTAGAACCTCCTCATTAATGACCGTGGCGCTGTTCAACGACCGCAAAGCGGTCGTGATTTTGCGACCCAAATCTGCTAAAACCATTTTTCAGCTTGTTTTCACAAGTCTTCCTTAAAAATAACTGTATCCTTTTTTCTGGCAGCTCTTTTGAGCTTTTCGACACTTTTTCTTCCCCACCCCCTGCTCCCACTCCAGGATGGGTAGCTCACGAGAAGAACGTTTCCAAGAAATGGGTTCAGCAAAGGTCCGTGCTAATTGATCAGTTGATTTAACTTTTGAAATATTTTGAGAAGCAGATGGGCCAAGAAAAGTGACGAGGAGAACCACTTACTTTTTTGTTTCGTAGCTGGCGGCGGAGCACGCAGTGTTGTTTTGTTGCAGGCTGACCAGAGCAGTCAGGCAGCAGCAGAGACGAGCAGCCAGGGATAAAAATTCCTTCTCGCAGTAGAATTCCGCTCAGCTTGACGGAAGGACGGAAGATTTCGGTGCGGGTAGTTTTCCCCCAAAAAAGGAAAACCATTCCACTTATCTTCTTCAATCCTTGACTGGCCAGCACGACTACCTTATCGCCAGCAGCTGAGCTTACCTATTCGGATTGAGTTTTTAGGAAGAAAGAGGACAACGATCGTGGCTAAACAATTATTAGAACGAATCTCCTCGAACGGAATCCTATTCATCGGTTACTTTTATGACAAGTTGGTAAGAAAAATTAGTTTTCTTTTAATTGTCGAGCTTAATGTTCAAGTTCATTATTTAATCATATCGAACGAATACGAATCTAGTATTTTATAGCATATTTGTATTTTATGCTTGATAGTGCAAACACTGCACACTGCTTTAATTTTTGCTTGCCTCATCTAAATATACTACACAACACTATATATATAATCGTATGTTATTTGTATAATAGGAAAGGAGGGGAAGTAAGAAGTATGGCTTCTCGAGGTGGAGGATTAGGAGGTCGTGGTCGAGGCCAGCCGGATAATCTCGGTCAAGGACGAGGATATCGCCCCCCTGGTGGGCGTGGAAGAGGTCGAACTGACAGGATATTTAACGGTCATGACAATAGGAATAACCCTGAATCCTTCTCCAACGGCTACAACACCAGTAATCACCAACAACAGGAAGAGGAGCAACCCCCACTCGCAAACTTTTTCAATTTTGCCTCAAAGCCATTGCCAGTCATCCCTCAGCCTCCTTGCCGCTGGACAACGACCACGCCGAGTTCTGCCGCTTCTACGCTTGTGGATGACAGTAATTGGAACGCCACAAAGTTACCGGAATTCACTAACGATGACAACAAAAACTATGTCGAACGTTATCAACAGGAGGCAGAAGCAAGTGTAAGGGGTCCAGCCTTTTGAAACCAAGATTTCATATATCATAAATCATCATTCACTAATGATATGTTTTTTAATAGTTGGCTAGACTAAAGTTGCACTCTAAATCGAAAGAGGATGAGTATGGAGCGCCATCAATAATTGGCACAATTGCTGGAGATAGAAGATTTGGTGATGATGACTCTGAAGAAGATGGTGTCTATTGGAAGTTCAAGATGGATGATAAATATGTGGACACTTCAGGATTGGTCATCAACCAATATGAAGACAAGGTATTAGTCCATTAGTATCATATAAAATTAAAAATTGTAAAGTTGATTACATAATACACAACTCACAACTGTATACTATAATGTCTTGATACAATATTAAAACCAGATTACATCAATGCTGGAATCTAACCAAGTTCTGATCGTCGAAGGGTTCACAGGATGTGAGTACGAGTACATCACAAAATTTGAACATACCGAGAGGAATATCTTAGGTCGCGGTCGTTACTTTAATTATACACATTTTTTTAAGGTGGAAAGACGACCCAAGTTCCACAGTTTATTCTCAATCACGCATCCAGAACAAAACGTCACACAAGAATTGTAGTTACGCAGCCGAGAAGAATTGCTGCAATTTCTGTTGCTAATCGTGTGTGTGAAGAAAGGGGGTGGACACTCGGGTCTCTCGTTGGTTATCAAGTAATTTTATTTTTAATTTAATTATACTATTATCAGGCCTTGTCCATATGTAATCATAGAGCTATGAAATATGGGTTAAATCTCTAATTTATTCTATTGTAACTTGTCGCGAAGGTTGGGATGGATCGTAAACTCACTGATGATACTCGAATAGTTTACATGACCACCGGTGTGCTCTTGCAACTTTTGATTAACAAAAAGAGGCTAACGGACTACACCCACATTATTATTGACGAGGTGCACGAGCGAGACTTGGATACTGACTTGTTACTTCTCGTGATCAAGAAGATCATCATTGATAGACGAGATTCAAACACCAAGATCATATTAATGTCTGCCACGTTGGATACTGAAAAGTTTCTCAAGTATTATCCAGTATTCGGAGCAGCAGATCGACAAAAAGGCACTTCAGTGGTATCAGTAGACCAACCGTCTGCGTTTGCAGTAAAAGAATTGTATTTGGATCAACTGGCATCACGCCATGTAAGTGTTGGTGCTAATAACTATTGACAAGCAAGGGAAAGTTGTGTCATAATCTGTATTATCTATTAAGGGTTTTGAAGGATTTGAAGTTGATGGTACAGAGGAGCCCAAGGTTTATGCAGAATGCTACGAACTTGCCTGTAGCATAATCAATGGTTTAGATTATCATGAATATGAAGAGGACTGCAAACTCAGGAAAACTCCACTTAATGTGGGTAGCAGACAACCGTATAATATTTTATGTGATACCCTATAGAATAATATCTATTATTATAATGATGAAATATTTGTACTTGTCCAATAGTTCATGACGGAAGCTGAGAAAGGAGTGTTTACAGCGTCCGAGTTTTATGCAAAAATTCATCGTAATGCACCTTCAAGGGGCGCAGTGTTGGTATTTTTGCCTGGATATGTAGAAATTGACACGCTGTACAAACAACTCGTTGAATTGAGTGTTGTGAAAGCCGGGTATGTGATTGCTATACATATATGTCCGAATTTGATTGAATTGGAATTCTGGGTTTTCTCGCAGTAATTTTAACAAGCCAGATGTTGCAAAATGGACAATCTATCCACTTCATTCATCAGTCACTGCTGAAGAACAATACAAGGTATTCAAAAGCGCTCCACCGGGTTTCAGAAAGATAATTTTAGCCACAAACATTGCCGAGAGTTCCATCACTGTTCCTGATATTAAATATGGTATGCAACATAGCCAGTTCCATTACATCATGATTTTATGCGAATATATGTATTACATGACTAACTTTTATTACTGATATTTATATAGTGATTGACTTTTGTTTAACAAAATCACTATCTTGCGACCCTACCACAAATTTCTCCTGTTTGCGATTGGAATGGGCATCAAGAAATCAATGCATTCAACGTCGTGGAAGATGTGGTCGAGTTGCACCAGGAATTTGTTACCGTTTAATTTCGTACCCATTTTATGTGAGTATATTTTTTCTGAGAATTTTGTTAGCAGAATTTCTTATAACATAACGTTACTGCACTTCTTTACATAGAGAGATTTAATGCCTCAAGAAGCCCTTCCCGAAATGGAGAAGGCAAGCTTGGAAACCGTAATTCTGAATGTCAAGCAGTTAGAAATGGGTTGTCCTTTAGAGGTCTTGTCCTATGCAATTGATCCACCGAAACAATCTGGAATAGGCCGAGCAGTTTCCAATCTGAAAGAGGTAAGTATTTATTTTGATCCTTGAATGATTAACTGGAAATTAGTATATTATTATTTTTTGATTAGGTGGGGGCACTGACACTCAATGCTAATGGGAAATATGATGCATATGACGGAGACATGACTTACATGGGCTCCGTGATGGCTCGACTTCCCCTTGACTTTCGTCTTGGAAGGTTAATTGTACTTGGGCATGTTTTGGGATGCCTCGATGATGCAATAATAATCGGTAAGCAGAAATAAGATTAGATTATCATTAGATCCTATACGAATAAGTTGATTTTATTGCACAGCGGCCGGGTTAAATACTAAAAGTCCCTTTAGTCATCCTTACACAAAAAGACTGGATTCGTGGCTATCTAAATTTGGCTGGTGTAATCGGACTTACTCTGACTGTTTCTCTCTGTTGAACGCCTTTTACGTAATTTTCAATTACAATAAACAAAAGCTTTTGCAAATTATTAAACAAAAACTACCAATTAGTATTATTCGTATTCTTCTTTTACAGGCTTGGTTTACAAACCACAGAGATCGCATTTTCCGGGGCGAAAGTGAGGAAAGGAATTGGTCGCGTACATACTATCTTCAGTTAACTGTTCTTCGGTAATAAACCTACTTGGTCATCAATACATTTCAACAAACAATACTATCGGATTTTTTAAATTCGTTTTTGTTTGATACACAGAGAGATTGGAAGAACTGTGGAAGAAATAAAGAAAAGACTTGCAAACATTGGAATTGTATCAGATTCTCGCGCCCTTCCAACTCTTGAACGAGGGTTTATTTTGAAGGTGGTTGAAAAAATAAAAATTGATAAGGAAAATCAACTAACAATTTTGTAAAATACTCGTAGTTGCTGATTGCTGGAGCATTTTACCCAAATTACTTTTTACGACCCCGTCCGGTCGGGAAAGAGTATCAGCGCGATATAGTGAGAGATGTAGGTGGATACAATCCTTTGAACTCTGTCACTTTCTTGGGATTTCCAATCGACCAACCTGGCAAATTGTAAGCAAATCAAAGAATTTTTTATTGATTGATTGTGCAAAAGTTTGATTGGTTTCAAGATTTTAAATTTTTGAAAATTTAAGATATGCCAAACATATTGCGGACAAGATGACTTATACTAACTGCATTCCTCATATTAACTTCAAATCATCTAAAGTCATTGTCACCTTTGACCCACGAGGTGATAAACATGGTTCAATAAGCTCTGGGGTATACAGAGCTATAAAAATTCGCATGTTAAGAGATCGAGTTGTCTTTTGTACTCTACCGTAAGTCTGGCTGGAATTATTAGAAATTTGAAATAAATATTCACATGGGTTGAATTATGAACAGGCGAGAAGATTCAAAAAGAGCTGTGGACAACGCTGCCTGCTATGCAGCAGATCAACATATTCAAGAGGCGCCCAAATTTGATGGTCTACCCAGTATAAAAGAGAATCAATTTATGTGCATGATTTGCCATATCAGCAATGTGAGTATCTTTATTCAATAATACTCTATACTACTATAGCTGTGTTGAGGACCAACAATTTGTAAACAAAGTGTTTTTTATTTGTTTTTGTAGACTGAATCTCCTAATGAATTTTATGTAACACGAAAGAGTGATGAAGCTTGTCTCGCGCAAGTTAACGAAATTTTAAATGGTGATGCGTGTGGATACGCTACGCAATTACGAGTTCTCTCCCCCTCTCATCGCCAGCCTGGAGCTGTTTGCATTATCTTGAAAAGGAAGCGATATATCCGCGGCCGAATTGAGGCGTTAGCCGGGGACCAAGCACTGGTATGCAAGTTATATCGTATTTTGTTAATGATCACACTTGGTATTAAATTTTAGTTAGGATAAGTACAAATAGTGTCACTATGAATATGTAGATATATGGGATTGACGTTGGAATAACTACATGGAGGAATTCCCAGCTCCTGTTTAAAGTAACAGATGAAATGGTTAATCGAGGCTTGCTCAAAATTCCAGCTTTGGTAAGATAATACACTGTCAATTGTGACTGATAAAATGATGATCTTTTGCAACTGATTAATTGCAAAATATATAAATAGCATAATGACTGTTCTACTTTGTTTAAATAATATAGGCTATTCATTGTCGCTTGAGTGAGCTGAGACCGTCTTGCAGACATGGTCACGATTGGGTGCATCCGGCATTTGCTGATTTTTCGGCTTTTGTGGAAAAATCCGGAAATAATTTCGAATTTAAAGTAATAATACAAAACAGTACAACATCTGGGCAATTTATTGCCCATTAAATTTATTTGGTCGTGTTTGTTTGTTTTTTGTGAAGGTGTACTCGGTGGTTGACGGTGTTGTAATAGGGGAACTTTACAGTCCTAAGCTTGATGACACCATCAACAATTTGTTTTTAAGAAAAACATACTTGGAAAAAACATCTGAATGTCAAGATTCTAAGGTAATCCACACACGACTATGAATATTATTCTGAATATTATTAGTAAGATTATTTGGAGTAGAATTCCTGCATCCCAATATTATTCTGTATTATCTTGTTTTAATGCATATGTTCTCTTGCAGGAGAATGCCCAATACCGTCAGTTGTGTCACTCTCTGAGATATGAAGAAGCAATGATTGATTCAATCGATAAGAAGCAGAACTGCTCATGGGAACCGACGCGTTACGTCTTTCCACCAAAATTGAATGCCGAAACAGGAAGCGAAGTTACTTTAAGGGGCCCCACGTCTCCTTTGGAAATGCAGTTCACGTCACTCTGTCGTAGCGCACATATGAAAGTTGTTCAGGTTGAAGGAAGTAGTGTTAACTGTGTAGCTCTGGACACTGATCCATTTAATCCTAGCTCTCGTGTCATGATTGCAGGTAATATTTAAGATCTACAACAGTTTCTTAAGTACAAATTAGTAGGTTGTGTTATGTAGTAGTAGTAATATAGGAAATGTTAATTCTCAATTGCAGCCAGTGTTGGAATAGCCCATCGCTCTGGAAATATTCTCGCAAGGTATGTCACTATTTTCAACATTTTTACTCGCGAGTCCCTAAACGAACGTAAAATTTTGTGTGTAGAGAGACGACAATCATGCCACCAGTTCCTGGTCTTCTTTCTTTATTGACGATGCTATTCGCCCCCAAGATTGAATTCCGTTTAGATCCAGACCAGACTCGCTACACGGGATGTGTTAGTGGTCTCGGAACCGATCCATTGGAGACAAATTCTGTGTATCCTGATCATGACATGGAAGTCATTTTTGACGTGAATATCGACAATGAAGACTTGGACCGTATCAATTCAATTCGAACAATGTGCAACATGATTCTTCGTCAGTACTCTGGGAAGCATCAAAATCTCGAATCTCTCCAAGAAAGAATTCGATCCGAACTGACATTGTGAGTATATTATCAAGTATTAATAATAGTAGAATTATAGGAAGACATGGTTGTTGGTATAAAGCAAGTATTATTATTTGGTTTAACAATTTCAATCGATATTAATGTACATATTTTAATTTAATGATTACTTTAAACAGGTTGTTACAACGTGAGCGAGAACCAATTGAAGAAACATGGCCAGATCTAACCCATGTTTGGAACCGCCTTCCATACGATGCGGAATTGTATAACCCTCCTGTAGAGTATTCTGACATGGTCAACGACGTATTTTCTCTCCATGTCGGCGTCTGTTTAAAATCTCTTGGGGATGGAGAACCAACTCCAGCTCGGAACGTTTTCAAAGCCTCTGCGGTGCCTCCGTATTTTTAGGAAAATCTCAAATTATGGAATTATGCTCCTTTCGTTTAAAGATTTAGTTATTTTATATCATCAATTTGTTGTTTCCAATTAGTTTTATTTTCCTAAACTTCGTATATATGTGTAGATCTACACAACAACTCTATAGGATTCTACAGTTGTATGACAAGTACTGATTAATTATATAACATAACCTGGTGGCTAAACTTGTTTACTTTGCCAAAAACTGAATCCTGTGATTGTCATCATTTTAATTAATTACTGATTTGTTCAGAATTTACCTCATCAGCTATGGAGCAGTGTGGTAGTAACTATTATTGTAATACCTTTAAAAAATGTATAAGAATATAGAATAGTATTTTTTACTGTCAATTATCGTAACTGTAACCAGTACTTACGCTCCTATCAGAATTACCGCAATTCCATTAGAGACTGATAATCAATATCTACTAGTGTGCTACAATTTTGGCAAATGTTAGCCGAAATTTAATATTTTTAAGTCAATTTGTTGTATTGAACACATTACAACTTTAGAAAATTACATACTTTGATATCAGAAAAAAACATCATCTTTTGTTTTTTATTGCCACTTTTTAACATGTCTAAAAGAGTTGCATCCAACCTTTAACAGTTTAATAAGGTGTTGCAACTCATCAAGATGAGCAGCAAAAGATCAAGGTGCATACACGTAAACCCATACATATATGCAACATGCATGTATATCCCATTATTATACCCACCTTCATGGTGTATGCCCATCGGCAAAATTGCAGTTGCAAATTTTACAGTCGGTGCATTTCATGACTGCAGCTTGCACAAAATTATATGCAGATGGTTGACTTGAAGTTCATCTTTACACTTGTACGTATGTATAATACAATTCTATTCCAAGTCGAAGTACATATGGGACGAGTCAGCTATCTCTTCTGCAGTCAAAATCACAGTCATTCGGACGACGACACTTTATTTTATTTCATTGTGCATCGCTTACACGACACAAGTTGCAGGTCCCTAGAGTGGTTTCAAGGTATTCATTCTTGTATATCATTCATCATATCAATTCAGTAAATTCTTTATTGTCGGCCTCTTGATTTTCTGATGCATGGGCACTTCGGAGTGTTATTAAGGACTCTGCATTCAATCTACCGGGGTTCAACCCTGATTCGTTCAGCTCTGCTGCTTCAGTTAATTTTTTACTTGGAATTCCAATAGATTAGATTCAATTAATTTGTAATAAGAGGGTACCAATCACCCCAGCACCCCAAACTAAGGAAGAACCAACCACTTTGTATGCGTATATTATCTGCTGTTACGTTGTGCAGATTTTTTTCATTTTACTCTCACGCAACCCAGGTGGATGTATATTATAAAATTTTGTATTATTATTGTTATGAAGCTTGCTTGGTCGAGTTGTAGGATGTGTTACTTTGTATCATGCCAGGATCCTCAACCGGCTTGTCATTCCTTATTTGGAAAATGTGTGTTAAATTGAATGTTGTGCTTTCGGCCAAAGAGGTTGTTAAATTGTGAACTGTAGGCACCAAAGCCTCATCATTACCATTCCATCAAATTGCATGTTTTAGGAGAGAGATGTTAATTGGCGTTGTTACCTCCACTCTACTCACTACCAATAAGTATGTGGAGACCATTCGGTTTCATGTTGCGTTTGATGGACCTAAAACTGTCCAAATTTGTTTGGGCTAAGGTTTTACTCTAGACGAGCAGGTCGTTTATGTAAAATAAATAGCTCAGCTTATATTTTCCTGACCACGTCTCTACGTATGTACAAATGTAGGCCTGTTAGCATCCATAATATTTATAAGTGACGTGGTTTGGTTGGTTGGTCAATGGGTTAAATATTGATCAAACTTTTCTGAAATATAAGGAATTTGGTGGTGTCATTTTTGAGGGTTTGTATGTACATACGTATTACTTGGTACAGTTGGTACTCACTGCACTGTGCTTGCTTGTCATGGGACAAACCACTGCATCTATCGCAAGATAAAATAATACTTAAAAGTGACATGGTAAATTGGAATTTGTTTAACTGGTGCAGAATGTGAAATCCAAACTACTGATCGAGTAAGTGGGTGGTGACGGTCATGGAACGACAGAAGATGGACAAATCCGTGGTCAAGAAACTCGCATCCCGTCTTAAGTTGGTCATTGTGGGCGACGGATGTGTCGGGAAGACGTCACTCCTTTATGCCTTCGGAGCTAACACATTTCTGGAGAATCATCACGAACCTACCGTTTTCGAAAACTATGTGACTAGCATTATGGTAAATAAGAAAGAGGTAAATTCACTTGGCGAATATATCATATGTAAGTTTCGACGTGTTTACGGGTTTGACATTCATATATTTATTTAGGTTGAGTTGAATCTCTGCGACACGGCAGGCCAGGAAGATTTAGACCGTTTGCGCCCCTTATCTTACAGCGAGGCGGATGTGATTCTTATTTGTTTTTCAGTCAGTGACACTACCTCATTTTTAAACGTGGCGAATAAATGGCGTCCAGAAACTCAACACTACCGCCCACACGCCCCCGTGATACTGGTCGCAACTAAAAAAGATTTGAGGGTGCACGATGGAACACGCCCTTTCCTGGAACGGTATGGGCAGGCGGCGTTACAAACGGATGAAGGATGCACTATGGCAATGCGAATTCGGGCGGACGCCTACATTGAATGCTCGTCTAAGACATTTGAAGGGGTTCATTCCGTATTCCAAATTGCTGCAAATCTTGGACAAAAGGTAATTAGTTTTCCCTGTAAACTAACAGAGCAATTAGAATAATGGTCATATCTTGTTGATATTGATCGAAAATTGTTTAATTCCAGTTTCACAAGAAAAACTCAACGTCCTGCACATTACAATGAATCAACAGTTTGTTAAATATTTCGTCTAGTTCTATTTTTAAGAAGACCCAACAAAATCCTGAATCTCTAGTGAACTAGTCATAACAATGTCAATAATTTCAGTCAGCGTTATTTAAAAAAGAATCGATACTTGGGAAATCATAAAAGTGAATTTAAAAGTAAAATTAAAAGTAAATGTTGGCGTGCCATAATATACAACGGTGTGATATACATATATGCATATACGTGTCCGGTTAGGTGCTGAAAATTATGGTACTAAATTTTACGCTATAATTATATCTGTATTTTATGATTATGAAACAGTGCACAAACTTGCACCTAAATAAATTACAATATTCACCAAATAGTCAAAATCAATCAACGTAAATATAATATTATTTACGATTTTGTGGAGAATGACGACCATGAAATTGCTACACTCTTGGGGTTTTTGGCACGGGTTCCCTGAAATACAATTGATTGTTAGCAATCATAAACTATTCCTTTGTCTTATCGTAGCTGTACAACGTACCCCTCACCACCTCCACCTCCACTTGTACCTCCACCCTTTCTTTTTTCGATAATTCCCTGAATCTGCTGCCACTGTCTATCCAGTTGTTGCTTCTCTTGCTTATCGGTTTTTGCAACCTTTCGTGTTTTACGCCCATCGTTCATTTTGACACCAAATTGGAATGCGGCCTTGGGCAACGCTTCTTTATTGCTCATATACTCTCCATATTCTTCCACAGAGTCAAAATCCCACCTGCCAACATTCCCCTTCTTTTTGCCCTGCAATTAAAAAACACCAGTGTGAGAACTATCTTTGCGTACATGTACATGTACAATACGCAAAATCAACTCACTGGGTCCATTTTAGAATAATCGGTTTCCTCATCAGAGTCATCCATTGCGTCGTGCATTTCGTCAAATCCTATGCAAATAGTACGAAAAAGAATTAACAATGAATCAACTCATGATTGCTTAAGTATGAATTATACTTTGATCATTCGCAATACATTTTTTTTCTATCAGAGCCAGTTATTCACCAGTTATTTTTTACACAGACAACAATTATATATCATCCCTCATTCTTAAGGAAATTATTAGATTGCCATTCATCATTTCAGAGTAAAAGAAGTTAGTGGGAATCTACTAACCAGGATAACACTCAGCGTAACCCTCAGGCTGGGAATTAATTTTTGACAGCAGCTTTTGTGTACGGGACATTGTTTTCTCGTCCTTTTTGAGTATAGAGCCGAACGTCTGATCTCCCCCTTGCGGGCCATCGACCTCATTCCAAGCTTCTCTATCACGCTTTCGTAAAGTTTGGTCTACCATTTGATTTGCTTGCTCCAGAACTAATCCACGGTCCTCGTCATCTGCTGGTTTCTCAAAATAAGGAGCTTTCTTTGAAGCACGATGTTCTTTGTCTTCTCGTCTCCTATCTCGATCCCCTCGTTCTCTATCCTTGTGCCTGCATTGCAATATTCAATATTCACATATTTTTTAACATGATTCACCAAGAAATTTGGATTATCTCTGAATAAAATAAGATCATATGTGTGTACTTTGAAGATTTTTCTATTGCTGGAACATAGTCACCAATATCTCCGTAAATGCTGTCCTCCTCAGTTTTCCTTGAAGATGAGATGGGAACCACCTTAAAAATTGGCATAATATGTATATACATGCTTCATTCATGTCTCATACATATATATGTACGTAAGTCTCAAATAATCTTTAATTCTTTATATACCTTCTCTTCAGGACGACTAGTCTTACTATCCTTGTTTTTTCTATGCTTCTTGGATGATTTCGTTCCTTGTCGAAGATAGGAAAGGATTTGTGCTAATTTGTTGATCACGATGTCGTTTGTCGTAAGCGTCGCTTGTCCCTCTGATAGAAGTAAAAAGAGATTTAAGAAAAATGAGTTATTCCCTTACGATGAGTGGACTGAGAATTTAAAGTCGCTTAAAGTGTTTATATTTACAAAAGGGACTTTAAATATTCGACCAGTTGGCCAGTTCCATATTTAAACATAAATTATGAACGTTTAGTTGTATAATCCAAATTACCGGCCAATGGGCAATCAGCTTTACTTCGGATGAGAGTTGTAGGAATATCACTTTCCGCATATTCTTCCTCCAGATCCATGACATATGCCATCCGACCAGGAATAAAGAGCTCGTTCCGATCTGGTACTGCAGTTTTGAATAAAACCCTGTGAATATTTTTTGCAAGCTTTGTCCTAAACGTGGATTCGATATCTGTTGATACAGTTGTGGGAGCTGGCTTCTCTTTTTTCTCCACCACTTTTTCCTTAGTCTCCTCGCTTTCAGGTTCCACTACGTCTTCTTCGTCCCCTTCTTCCATGTCAGCAACCGTTTCACTTTTCACCTACGTACATCACCCAAACCGATGAATACGTAATTAGTATTTCCTTGTAATCTTATAGTTTAAGTGTACTTCATTTGTAAAGGAATTCATTTAAATCATTAATCATCTTTCCATACCTTCTGAAGCAGAGCGTAGTCCAACCCCTTTACTAAATGAGTGTGCTCCATATCTCCTCCCAAAAACTTTGACTCTTGGATCATTTGTTTCCTTCTCTCTGCGGCGTCAACATTTCTGCCGATTTAAACAGAAATATGAAAAAGGAGTAAACATTTTCGTACATTATAAAACCATTGCAACCAACCCTCTGAAATCAGGTGCCACAGCCCTGTAGGCCCCCTGACTTGTGAGCAGTTCGGATTCCCGTTGTTGAAGTTGGTCAGGGTTGACTCCTTCTCTCCGCTCTTTGGCACGATCTCTGTACTTTTTGGCCAGCTCCTCCATCGCGTCGTCCTCCTCCTTTTTGATCTTGGAGTAGAATTGTTTCTTCTTCTTCCTCTTGTCAAACTTTTCCTTGTCCACGTGCTTCTTAACGGATGAAGGGACAGTTCCAGGTGGTGGCATCGTGGAATCACTACGACTGTTTGGACCCCCATCACCAGGGTGTCTCGGGGTCATAAACAGCTTTCGGAAGTCGTCATTTGTCAACTTTCTATAATTTATCAACCAATTATTAACAAAAATCACCTTTGCATAAAATATTTTACTTTTAAGTATCAAATATATTAAGGCGGAATATCATGCTGGCTGATGCGGGGTTTTTTATTTGAATTGTTGTGTCTCAACTTTCCCTTCCTCCATGTATTCAAATGGCGATTTTGAAAAATGTTCACCGCCTTTCGTTTTTAACAATATGAAGATATTAATGCACCTAAAAATCGGTAATTTTTAGGCTTACATAGTTAGGAGATAAAAATTTTGATTTTTTTCTTCAACAAGAAGATAAATATAAAATAGATGAAAAATAATCAATAAAATTTAAATATTTCCTCATTGAAGAAAAAAATCAAAATTTTTATCTCCTAACTATGTAAGCCTAAAAATTACCGATTTTTAGGTGCATTAATATCTTCATATTGTTAAAAACGAAAGGCGGTGAACATTTTTCAAAATCGCCATTTGAATACATGGAGGAAGGGAAAGTTGATACACAACAATTCAAACAAAAAACACGTGATACAATGCCACGTTAACTAACCTTTCGCTCTCTGAATAACTCATCTTGCTAAAATCTTCGTTCCTTGACCAGGGGTCAGTAGGACAACAACAGGCTGTAAATTAAGCAAGCAATTACGAAATATGTTTTAATTAATTTTTCACATTAACTAACTAACTAACTAATTAACTTAATTAACTTTTCAAAACACTTGTATCGGAGATCGGAGAATCTGGGATTTTTGAAGGGTTTGAAATAAGGCAGACTCGTAACTCGATGGTGCATGCTTTTTGTGAATGAAACCGACTGATGAAATTCCATGAATATCTACCAATCGACGAATCATGAAACATCAATCGTCAATTACTAAAACTTAATAACATTTCAGCCTTAACTCCAAGACTGGAAATGTAAACATTCTATTCCAGATTTACTATGTCTTGCGTGTGTATAAATGAATGGATGCATGTACTTACTTACTGTATGTATTCTAAATCAGCATTCAAAATATGTAGATCATCTTTAGTGTCTGCTACTATCTGTACATATTATATGAGAGATGAAATTATTCGAAAGTGCGGATGCTGATTATAATTCCTAATTAGTGATTATATTAATTAATTAAATTTCTAATTCAGCTAATTCAGACTACTTTAATCTGTCTCAAATTCCCAATATGAAACCAGAGTGCTCCAGATTTCCTCCCACGTCAGCTCGTAGTCAGCTGTCAAAACAGAAATTGTCGGCTGCTGCTTACAGTTCCTCCTTTGTTTAGTGAATTATTTGCAATTGCAATTAAATACGTGTGCAGTAAATTCTGCACAATTTACTCGTTCAATATGGTAGTGTGTTATGCAATCCAGAAGACCACTACCAAGTGATCATCCGTGGTCTTATCGTATTGTTGTTCATCTTTTGAACCGTTGGTGTTTAAGTTTTTCTACCTTATCCACTGTGTTCTCTATAATCACTGATCGATAATCACTCGCATTCATCCCATAGCAGAAATTTCCTAAGCTTAGCAAGATGCGGTTTCACCATCAAGACTTTTCGCTTTGGTAAGACAATTTGACCAATTTTCGCGTTTACAGTTAAATTGTAATGTTATTCAATTTACTGAATCATTTATACACATACTGTTAGCGATTTGCATACAGTTTTTTGTCAACATTTTATTTTCCAGTTTTGTAAAAAAAATCACTAATTTTAAATTGTGAATTATCATTTGTACGCCATATTAATTGTTCCACTAAATAAAACCAGAATTTTACTCATTACATGAAGTATTAAACAACAATTTATAATACTGATTTTCACTTTCTAGCCTATTCTTTTTTGGGACCGGCGCTGTATTATATTTAATGTCTTCCAAATTGCAAGATACTACAGAAGATTCTTTTTCCAAAAATACGTCATGGGTGCACAAGCTGTTTGCGAATTTGTCTGGATATGCTGTCATCTTTGTTCCTGGATATCTCATTATAAAATACATACAACGAATCAATTACATTGATTACACGAGTAAGAAGTACTTGTAAAACTGTTATACTAAAGAAATATCTATCACCGTTATCTGTGTTGTTAGGCCGTGGGTTCCTGTGGCCACTTATCAAGTCGTGCGTATATGGTCAAGGGCATGATGGAGAACTGATTCCATCTACCGAAGGAGGTGGCAAGGGGTCCATGTCAACGGATCACGGCCCTTCTTTTGCTAAGAACTCACTGGTCCTTGTGTACTGCTTCTTAGGACTCCAGTCGAGTTATTTGATGTGGGGTCTCCTCCAGGAAAAAATCATGACACAGACATATTCTGGGAAAGCATTCACCGATTCCCAGTTCCTTGTATTTGTCAACAGGATCTTGGCACTGGTCATTGCTTGGGCATATTTACTATTTTATGAAAATCAAAGTATTCGACGCAGCAAAGATGGCCCACTATATAAATACTCGTTCTGTGCGTTTTCCAACATTATGAGTTCCTGGTTTCAGTATGAAGCTCTGAAATTTGTTAGTTTTCCAACTCAGGTATGGACAATATATAGGAGTACAAAGTAGTAATGTTTTCGTGTCCGTTGCAAACCCCTTATTCCTTTTTGTTTTATATTTGCACATGCAGGTTCTTGCAAAAGCCTGCAAAATTATTCCTGTGATGCTTATGGGGAAACTGATTAACAAACAGACTTATGAATACTACGAGTACTTAACTGCAACCCTGATATCATTTGGAATGATCTTGTTTCTATCTGGAAGTAGTGACTACATTAAAGTAGGTCAGGAGGAGACTATACCAACTGCGACGATTGGACTTTCTGGACTGATTGTCCTAATTCTGTACATGGTATTCGATTCTTTTACATCCAATTGGCAGAGCGCATTGTTCCAGACCTACCGGGTTTCCTCGGTTCGTATGATGGCCGGTGTTAATTTATTCGCGTGCTTACTGACTGGAATTTCGCTAATTCAACAAGGAACTCTCGCCCAATCATCAAGATTTATTGCTGACGTGAGTTAGCTGTAAACTACTTGTCATTATATTTCTATTAAAAAATACTAACAATTCAGTTTTGGTTTACAGCATCACGACTTTGCATTTGATTGTCTCATGCTGTCGATTTGCTCAGCCGTAGGACAGCTATTTATTTATTACACAATTGAGAAATTTGGAGCTGTGGCATTTATCATTATAATGACTATTCGCCAAGTAAGTAAATCATATGCTCTAATCATAAGTATATCCATACATTTATGATCGTTAACGTTAAAATCGTACTTATCTTGGTCATAAATACAATGATTATTTTTTAAATGTGTCGACTTAATTTACAGGCTCTGGCAGTACTTCTCTCTTGCATATTTTATCAACATCCCATAAGTGCGGTTGGAATAATAGGCGTGTTATTGGTCTTCCTGAGTCTTCTACTTCGAATTTACTGCTCTTATAGAATCAAACAGATTAGAAAGAGACCTGTTTTATCCATAAGTTCTGGATCAATAGCAAAAGTGTAATTCCAATTTCGTTCATGATCCATTTTGTCACTTTATTAGTTTATAAATGTGCGACTAAACATTTATTTATAAACTAGGTTAGTATTTATTTGTCAAGCATATAATAATTGTGGTTTGTGGTGCAATTTTTATTTATTTGATGTGTTGTGTAATTAACTGTGTACATGCGTGCTGCCGACGGTCGACATAGTCATTATCAAATAATCCAATGAATAATGGTCTCAATATCAATTTGCTCGAGTATGAAATCTCAGTCATAAATAATTTATTTCAGTTTAAATCTTGAATAAATTAAAAATTGTAGAAATAGTACGTATAAAACTAACGATGATACTATATTGTGTACACTTTATACATGTCTACTTATGACGGATGAGTATGATTTTACGTCAGAGTTGATTTCTGATGAAAACCAATGGCCAAAATAAAAGTATGCATAATTTCAACTCCCTGAAAAACTAGTTGTATGGCTGACAAAATGAGTTCAATCCTGAGGACATAAGTCTGCCACAGTAGAATGTACACGCTGCCCAGGACGCTGCAGATTCCAAGTGGGATTGATACGATTATTGGCAACTGCTTCTCGGTCAAATTTCCACTCCGTGACAAATCAATTCTGAAGAACTCCAACACAAAGGTGAATGTTATGAGGATGATGTCGCAAGTTAGGTAGCTCCCTGGGTATGGAAGGTGATAATACTTGAAGCCCATAAGACCCAGCTCGAGGATGGAGAAAAGGGATAGAAACCATTGGTTAAAGAAGGTCATCATTTGGTAGAAAAGTGAAGAATGCATGGTTGTGCTAAATATTAGATATCAGAAATGTAAATAAAATTATAACGCATTGTTGTGAAATATGTGCAGATTGGCTCCTATTCCTTACCTACTCTCTAGTCCTTCTTCTTAGTTAGTAATTGGTGTTCTTTTTGGCAATTTTCCAGACTTGGACCAAAATCCAACTCGAAACAAGCATGTATGATGATTGATGATTCTGCACGCAATTGTCAAATGTGGAGGATTCAGATTTCTTCGAGTGAGTATTGATTTTCCTTTGTTGTGACTACCGTTCCTTGCCAGTCACCATTCTTTAGTTACCAAATTTTCCAGCAAAATTAGGCGTTACAAATTTTGCAAATTTTTGTTCCCTTTAAAACATTTTTGCTAAAATGAATTTTATCACGATAAAATTTCATGAATTATTTCTTATTGTACAATTTAAGTGTGCATGCATTTACATGTAATGTGTCTGACACAAAATGTCTACGAACATCAATAGCATTATTCGTTATTTAATTCCAGACTTCAAAGACTTCCAACTCCACCAATATCAATTGTCTCAAAGTTGCCATTTTTGCTAAAAGATATTGCATCTTAAATTTAACGATCTGATCTGATTGGACTGGATGATGATGATGACTCACTCGGTTCTTTACGATACTTCGCGTGATGTCATCTGTGAATGAAACCTCTTTTTTAACTTGTTGCCAGTATTACAAGAGTGGGGAGCGGCTATACTTGTATTGTTACGGGAAAAAAGACTCGGTTGGATCGGTTTAGCATTGTTGGTATTGTATATTGTGCTGCATAAATGCTGTGCGTCCTATACAGCCGATTCTGCCGTTGGTCACATTTTTACACCTGGGTTGGTTAACTTTTTCCAGAGTTTTGCTTTAATGTCATCTAAGTCTTTCATTTATAATTGTAATTAGATTCTATATTGTACATTTAAAACAAGAAAAATACATTTCAAAATGGGCAACGTCCATTGGGGACTTGCACTTCTGATTAAGCTATTGTACATCGCGTCTCTGGGTGAGCCGAGTTAAATCTTTGTTAAAAACGCCCCAATTAAGCCATGTACGTGAATGTTTAATGTTACTAATTATGTCGCTATTATTGGAATTATTGTAGGGCATGCTCAGAGAACCCCTACCATTTCTATCATTTCGCAAGAACAAATCAAGAATATTGGTGGCACGGTATCAAATCAACAAATTTAACACATAAATAATAAGTCTAAATACAGAATACGTCTGTTCGGATTATTCAACATGAGACTTATTTCGTTTAGGTGGAGTTGGATTGCTCAGTTCAATATGCAAGAGATTACCCAGTGTTGTGGATGAAGCTAGATAAGGATACCGGACAGCACCACTTAATTATTTCATCTGGGAGCACGCTTATCATTCGTGACAGCCGATTCAGTCTCCGCTATGATCCCTCCAGTTCCTTGTATACTTTACAAGTGAAGGATTTGCAAGAAACGGATGCTGGAACTGTAAGTCAATGTTTATGGCCCTGCATTTGCACTATTAAACCATTTTGATTTAATTTGTCCGCAGTACCAGTGTCAAATTCTCATTGGGGTCAGCAACAGGGTAAAGTTTCCATCGGTTTATTTATTCGTTGATTCGTTTGATTCACTGGAAACAAGTTTTGACTAAATGCTTGTGTATTATTGACAGGTTACTGCAAACGTGGATGTTTTAGTGAGAATACCGCCGGTAATCTCGGATAATTCGACTCGAAGTTTAGTAGTGTCTGAAGGTCAGTCCGTTACATTGGAATGTTATGCGTCTGGCTTCCCACTGCCCAGAATTTCATGGAGAAGAGAAAATAACGCCATCCTGCCGACTGGAGGATCTATTTACAGAGGAAATGTTTTGCATATCCTATCCGTCAAGTGAGGCCATCAATTACAATCATAGATAATACAATATAAATCCTACTAAATAATCTAATTGAAAAGACACTTTTACTGACTTTAAATTGTCGAATGCTACAGGAAGGAGGACAGAGGGACTTATTATTGTGTTGCGGAGAACACGGTGGGTCGAGGAGCTAGGAGGAATATAGCACTGGAAGTGGAGTTTCCTCCAGATATTACGGTGCCCAGACCCAGAGTTGGTCAAGCGTTGCAGTATGACATGGATCTCGAGTGTCACATCGTCGCTTACCCACCACCTGCAATTACGTGGTTACATAACGACGTTGTGCTATCTAACAACCAGCATTACAGGTATGCACATATTTACAATTAGGTAATTGCAATTAAATGTTTAAGAATCTCTCATTTACTTTAATTTCCAGAATCTCTCATTTCGCTACATCCGATGAATTTACGGTAGGAGTCTAATGCGTTATTATTATTAGTTACATTCGCGATTATTTGACACCCACATTATAACACGTTGCGGGTTGGAACAAAATGTCACAATTCATCACAAAAGAAAGAAACTCACTTGAAACATTGTATCGCGAATTAACTCTCCAACCTAATAATTATTTTTCCAGGACACAACCCTGCGTGTAATTACGATCGAAAAGAGACAGTTTGGGCAATATACTTGCAAGGCCGCAAACAAACTTGGAATCACTCAGAAAGAGGTTGAGCTGTTTGGTAAGTGTGTCGTTTGATGGAATATTAAATCAACCATCAAATAAATTGTGATGTCTACATATTTTTTAAAGCATCATTACAGGAATGATATAATGTTGCATGACTCCAAACTGAGGATGCTTGTTTGGATGATAATTACCTAATTATTATTAACTGTGTTTTTATTCTGTTTTATAAAGAAACTGTTATTCCAATTTGTCCACCCGCGTGTTCGGTGTCGTATTATAGTGATGCAGCGTCAGTATCTACGTCTGTCAGCATGATTTTTGTGACACTCTTCGCTCTCTTTCACTGGTTTGTTAATATTTTAAACTGCTACTATTTACTCTTAAACTTTTTTATCGCAAGCATTTTACTGGCATGTTTTGTGTGTGTTGTTAATATTCTACTAAAAATTAGTTCGCTTTCAAAACGAATGAAGATGAAATTTATATTACATTTAATTATTTCGTAGAGTCTATAATTCCGGACGAAAATTATCCTCAACTTTTACTCCCGAAAAAATTCAGTTTATGGAAATGGATGACTTCAAGTGCCCCTAATAATAATCTTCTGAATCCAGGCCCGTTTTTCAACAGAAGGAACGCCGTCTTTCACACCATTCCGTCTTGTCGCGTACTTTTGACAATTTTAACCACCTTAATGTTATATTTAGTGTAATTAATTAATGAATTAATTAATAATGGAGCTTTACTAAAAAGGCATGCATCTGTCTGTCATGCTCTGAAGCTCTCTCGTATGAATTTCAACAAGATCATGACAAAGCCAGTGATTTAGCTTTATCGAATGCAGCAGGAACTAAGTACACAATGCTTATGTATTTTTACAAATTTCACCCGGTGTGTGTATGTATGGCAGATATGTTTTTATGTATAGACTATAGTAGAAGGGTCCACTTACTACATACATTTTTACATATTTAGTGCTATTACACACAAAAAGTAGATACGTTAAATTTGTTTTAATTATTATTTTTTGTACACGTTGCCATATTTTGATAACGATGTTAGTGTAAAATAACATAATATGTAAGATGCCACGTTTCATAAATAACATTTGTAAATTACAAATTGTAATTGTTATATTATTGTCATTAAACTGCCGAATTGATTTTTCTATAACAGACTTTATCATTTAAATCATTATAATATTGCTTTAATCAATAATATTAATTCGGACCAGAGGATAATACTGCTAGGTGAAGATGTATCGTGCGTGATTATAATAGGTGGACGGAACTGATCGTGTTATAATAATGAGTGCTTTGTTCTCCCATTTGTATATTTCATGAACTAATAGCCAATAGGTTTGACATGCTCTGAATCGTTTATCAGCATAACCATCGCGTTTAATATACAAAAGTCATACATTTACCTTATGTCCAATCGCATCCTTTGATAGAAAACTGTTGAGTGGATTGATTAAGCGTCCACATATTGGTATTTCAGAGTTTATGATTAAATGTATGTGTCTATATAAATATGTATGCAAATGTAGGAATATACACGACTTGGCAGATAAAAGATACATACCTCGATGATTGTTCAACTTAAACGTCACACAATTCTGATTGTTGAGAAGAGATAATAACCAACTAACAGGAACTTATGTACATAGGGAATCGCATGATTTGTCATATCGCGGTCATCATCATATCTGTCTAAAGTAGGTTTTGGATTGAAAAATCGGATCTACCTTCACATTCTATTTATTTGTACCATGTGTGTGATAGTGGTTGCCTTCGGAGATGTTTATAGTTGATAAGAGAGTCGACAAGAATAAGGAAACACGTATAGTTTCATTAATTTGTTGAACGATTCATCCGATTCGATAATACTCCTTTTATCGTGATCTGTTCACATGAACAAGTTTTACGTGACAAACATGAAAAATGGTAACAAAATCTCTAGTAAAAAGTATTGATGCGGATAATATGGGTATGTATGAACTTATCAGCTTAGTCCACAACCGAATAAATTTATTCTCCTTGTTTCACTTTTCTACACTGACTGATGCAAAAAGAAAGTAAAAACCTACAGTGCAGACTCCATATAGCCCGAGTCAGGGACAGAGTCCCTGAATCGGTGATTCAGGGACCGTATTGACCGACATAATACCCAAACTCCGTGTTTTGGATAGTTTAATGTGTGTTAGATTTTTTATTATTTGGCATCAAATCCCTTAACAACTTGAACTTCCAAAGCTGTGTGTGCTATCCAGAAGTGGTTTTTATCCCCCATACCAAATTTCAGATGGAAATAGCAACTTTTAAAAACTGTATGGGTCAGCCTCCAGGGTCACTCTGGTTGCACTTTGCTCACTTTTTCCTTCAAATTCTTTCGTATTAAGTATCACCATGCCGGATTTCATGTTTTTTAAAGCAATTTCTAAAAATCCGTATGGGTCACCCCACAGGGTCGCTCCAGATAAAAATTTTACTAATTTCATATCATATTCCTGCATTAAGACCCATTAGCAACTTCTCTACCAAATTTCAGCTGGATATGATGATTTTGAAAAATCCGTATGGGTCACCTTATGGGGTCCCTCAAATTGAAAATGCTTCCAACTTGAAGTAATTTTTATCTATTAGGAACCATTAGCAACCTCTGTACCAAATTTCAGCCTTCTACGACAATTTTGAAATTTTGGTGCATAATACCCCACCCACTCCGATGACCCCCACGGGTCAACCACTGGACCGATTTCACCCATCTTCGAACTCGTTTCCTAACTTTGTCCAATATGCATATGGTAAAAATTTCAAGTCAATCGGTTCAGCCGTTTTGGCTCTATCGTGCCGGACAGACAGACAGACAGACGGACGGACGGACATGACGGTTCCATAAGCCCTGACTCGGGCTAAAAAGAGATCACGAATTTATTTAGTTGATTTTGTATCAGTTTGTTTTAATCGCATTCATTTAATCTCGACCCATGAAAATGACACATGAGCTGCCTTCTGAGAATTGTGGCTCTTGTTCTTCTTCACGGTTCAAACCATCTCACAATCTTCTGACGACTCTGACACTTTTTCTCCTCGACTCATCTGATGAGACCATTCAGATTACAAAGGAAGATGCTTCATGATGAGATCAAGAGTAGAAATGTGAGGCAAATATTATTTCTTGTCGAGATAAAACAATGCATAAATATTCAGAAAGGTGGACAAATGGTTGATTGGATATGAGATTATCATACCTATGTATATGCATGTATATAGATTTATGTGTACATATGCACAAATTACCCCATATCTCATTTCATACGAGGTGCAAGCCAATCAACCCTATCTATAATCTATTTATCGTCATGTAAGAAATACTGAAAAAAGTAGTCTTCTTCATTTACCGACATTAATACGGATTATACGTGAATGTATACGTAAGTATGACCATTTGTTATATTTATGTATGTATATAGTTATAGGTATGATGTCCAAGAGTAAAAATGTTCACGATAAATATTTATAACGACCCATCCAAATATTCGCCCTTGTTTTCTCATCACTTCATTATTTCTTTTCTTTCGTGTGTGTGACAGATTTGAGCTCGTTCGTTTCATAACTCGTTAGTTAGTTAGCTGGTTGGTTGGTGCGACACGACAAAGAGAGGAATACTTAAGATTAGGATCTTATGTCTTGTTATTGACGCTGTGACATGGGACAAGTACCATTTGAGGCAGGGATGAGAATTTCCTTCAACTATTCAAACTAAATCGGCGAGATAAGCATTCATTGTACGATCATTCTATTCACGGATTGCTTACTGGTTGTCATTGTTCTGGGTGTAAATGTCGTAGGCTTTAGCATTAGGCCATTATCCATTGCGATTTAACCACGGCTATTCCTAAGTCGGGCAGCAGTAAACCACCGCAGTAAACATTTTATGTGGTTGTGGGGATGAGGATGTCGTGACCAAAAAGACATGGAAGAGTCGATAAGGGTTATGTAGTCTACGTAGTTATGAGCCATTTAACAATTTAAAGATGGAACAATTTAAGCCTTAACTTTTGGACGGGCTAACGAGGTCTCATCCTTGCAATTGCATTGTCTCATCATCGGGTTTCCTTGTTCCAAAATAATAATTGCATTTGGACACTTGAAATGTGCCGTAGTGTGTTGTTGTGTGTCTTTTTGGTTGAGTGGAGATGTCACCGTGTCACCAATATCTGATCACTTTGGGGTGGCCCATGTAACAATTTACACTCATTGAACAGAGTAACAAGGACTTTCTCGCCTTACGTTGTGTACATATTTGCTTTTGTGTAGCTCTTCTTTTTCCTTGATTCTTCCCCTTATTAACGCCAACCCTTGCTCACTTGTTCCAGCAGACCATAATTTGTATGGGGCTCGTAGGTATGGAATGTGTACAAATATTTTTATCTGGATCTTTCATGTAATGTGTCAATTTATTACGCTGAAACAAGGACAGTTCCACTCCTTGCGTGGTGGTTACAAATTTTGATGGTGCGGATAAAGGCCAATTACGAGTATTCAATTATTATTATTTGGTTGTAAGTGCTTGGGTTTTTGGTGAATGGTCAGTCTATCCCGTTCGTGAAAGGAATAAAATACTTACAATAAGCGGATGATGAAAAATTCAGTCTAACGCAGTTATTTTTATAAAACATACAAAACTAAATAGGATGCACTGAACGAAAAATCAGTAAATTTCTATGAAAATGACACTTTTCCATGTTCATTCTCAAAGACAGAGAATGATGGCTCTCAACTGACTGCTGCATTATGGATGTTGATGTGCACGCATTTTCATTACAGGATGAAATTAGAAAGAACAATAAAAATGGAGGAATGAATTGAAACATTGAATTAGGAAAGGAATGTATAAAATTTGCGCAGCGAGGTTCGTCCATTACAAAGCGGCTTCTTTCTTGAAGTTGAGGAATTTGAGGTCAAAGGGCGACCAGAAGACCCCCAACTTCACACCCCCGCTGGCCCTCCAAATCATAAATCCAACACCTATATTGTGCATATCATCACCAACTGTGTGTTATCAACATTCATTATTATTATTTTCGCAGCTCCTTTACCACCAACACCACCAATACATAAACTCCTCGTGCTCGTAATAGTGGATTTTACAGAAGAAGATGATGAAGAAATTGTAAATTCCAGAATTATTACTAAATCTTCCTTTTCTCTGATTCTTTCCTTTCGAACGGAGTCGGAAAGTCTGCTGCAACCAGAAACCAGGCAAGAATATGAATATATTATTACGATACACGAAGAATCTCTCGATTATTGTGCAAAGAGAATTTAAAACGGACGGACCTGAAGGAAGGAGCAGACAGCAAGGCTCCACCGACTACTTCTGCTCCCAGGCATGATAATCTCCTCCGCCGTCTTCTGGATTTTCTAATTTTGTTGTCTGACGAAACTGAAACATAAATTAGACATCTTACGACCACCGCAACTGATTGCACACTGGAGTTTTGACCTCAAAATGAGAAAGATTGGAGGTGAAGTGTGAAAAATGGAATTATTTCATTATTATCAGCCTTTGTATTGCTTCCACTGAAACGGGCGGTGCGGGGAGCAAAATTATAAACAAAAACGGTGTAAGCATTTCATGGAGTTTTTTAAAGAAACTCTCCAAGGAACCAACTGCATATTATTGCCCACGAACGATAGGAATTTGTATGTGTGCATAATGTATGTATTGGTTTGTGAGGAAAAGTTGACAGGAGTTGAAGAGTCATCATCACGAAGAGGGAGCAGTAAGTAAAGTATCATCCGAAAAGTCAAAATAGGAAAGCAGCGTCCATATTCCGGCCCGTTTGATCACTCACTTTCATCTCTCACGTATTTGTGAAACCTTTTCTCAAATGTTGAGCAGCAGCAGGATTGAAGGAAAGCAGACCAAAAGTCAGCAGAAGACGAACCGACGCTCACGGTGCTTCCTTTGAACCAAATAAATGTTTGATAATGCCAAGATTTTAATTCAGAGTTTTCGTCTTAAACTTTGCCGACGTCATATGAATGATGAGTGAAAAGCTGTTAAGCCAAACAAATTTTGGGGCTGAACAATTGATGCACTTGTGTGTGTGTGTTTATTAATGTGCGTCTTCTTGGCGTGGTATTAGATGTGGTTCAGCATAAATAAATAATGTGTGTGAGATTGACTCTTGGCTGCGTGTACGTATACAAAGGGAGGTTGGATAATGTATTTAGATGGAGGAAGGAGGAAAGAATGACCACATTGATACGATACCAAACCTGAAGAATGCTTAAGAATTCCAGTTTTCTTTTCAAAAGTCAGAATCTCCCCGAGTCGGCTTCCTTTTATCAATTTTTGGATACTTTCATAAAGCAAATAAACATGTTGTCAATCTTCTCTTGTGGCTGAGATGATGGAGCAAGCAAACCTTTATTCTTTCTTCCTTGTGAGGTATTAGAGGGCTAAATGTACTTATGTATTCCTGGTGGCAAGACAGATGAGTGGGTCCAAAAGAGTTTGGGAATTTTTCTCGTGACATCAGCAGCAATAACAGAACAGCATGTTCATCACTTGAAGAAAACGATCGCTTTACTCTCTCAGACCTATTTCGATAATATGGATTCTATAGTTTTGTTGCGTGCAATTGGCGTTAATAAATAAAAATCAGGCTAAAATTGCAAACTCAATATGCAAGAGAGTAGTTGCACTAATTCTCAATTTGCCTCCAAACCAAACAAAGATATGTGCCACTCTATCATTTATCATTATCAGCTACTAATGGGAAAATATCAGATCCGGGTGGATTCACTTATCAAGAAAGGATGGTACATAAGAGTAATGTGGTAATGTGGGTGATGGAATTGTGGAATGTTATGCCGGATTATGTGGAAGGAAAGGAATCTCCAATTTGGAATTCACCTGAGATAGATGACTGAGATTGAGATGTTTGTTGGTAGGAGCAGCGACTGCCATTGTATCAACTCACCCTTTTCCTCCTCTTCTTTTTTCACCATCCCAAAGCTGCTTTTACCAATAACACATAATCGGGGTTAGATTGAGAGAGGATGATGGGGATGAGAAATAGAATAATGCGTCGTCGTCGTCGGTTAGCTCTGTTTGAGATTTT